CAAGCTTATTTAGATATCTTGCATTGCGTGTTCGTGGTGATGAGCGAAAATACTTTGTAAATATTCAAACCGATACCTATTTCCAGACCGATCTCTTTCAACATCGATTGTTTTTACGTACACCAGGCCAGTGGGAGACAGTAATGGTAAGTTAGTTTGCGGAACCAATGAATGGGGCTGAAGGACCGGATGTGATAAAAACTTGAAAAAGTAAGAGCAATTAATTGAATCGAGCTGTCTTTGTTATAACACACGCATAGATTCCATTCCGAGACTTTGTTTTTACCAGCAATGGCTTGATCATGCCTGATCAAGTGGAAATGTTTCGAGAAAAGATCAAGACGGTTGGCATCTCTCTTACAGATCGACAAGAAGGCCCGTTCAGCATTGAAATTGATTGGATAAAGGCAATTAATAGCGAGAATACGGAAGGTGATGATGATCGAACTCCATCACCTGAAGTGGATTGAGATAATGCTCTCTTATTCTATCAAGACATTCCCGCATCCACCACCCCACGTCATCCTTTTGTAATATAGTGTTTTTCTCTGCTTTTATTAATATTAATGAAAAATAAGTCATCCTAGTCATCTTTGCTGACAACAGTTGGTCAAGCATAAACTTCATGATTCAAAGCTTGATTCAATTCATAACGTATCGTAAACAGACATTGCATCAATAATGGGTTTAAGATCCACACTTGAACAATTTGACGATGGTTGTATCAGAGTGCTTGTGGAAGTAAGCATATTACTGCGTCTCGAGACACACTTTCTGTCTCTACTTTGATTAGCGTTTATACATTGTCGAAACCACCGCCCACTGGACTTGCATTTATGAATCTATCAGAAGCTGATAATCTTTCCTGCATCATAGCGCATCGGCTACGTGTGTGCATATTAACGACTATCTATTAGCAACGAGAGCCATTGTGATTTAGTTCGCACATAAACTGCCATTTTTGAATGTATGCATCTTTGATGAGATTCGTCAAATGTCCCAAATAAGCACAATAAGTGGATATGGGATAGCGTAGGGATTGAAAAAGAACTCTTTAAAAAAGGATTTAGCATTGATATTTGTTATATAAATGACTTTTCACTTTTTGTTTTTCTTTTTTCCAAATACATGAAATCGAGGGTTGCTGGTAGAACATTGATTTCTGGTCAAGCGAATTCCATTACCCCCCTGTGCCCCTTGATCCGTTAACGGATATATTAGTTCCATCCTTTCTATTTCTACTACCTAAAGAATGTTTTTCATTTTGTTGCCTGCCACAAAGTGGTATACTTCTCACATGTGTTGATGGCAGCTAAACTTGATGTTTCTCCGCCCCACCCCTCGTAACGCCTGCCAATACATCATGCTACAGCTTCACTGATATCTACAAGAGCGTACGTTGCGAAATCGTCAAGGATACAGCTTATAAGACAGCACACATCGCACTATAGCACAGCGCCATTTATAGATTGCTAGGCTTTTGCAGTTGCTTTACATTCTTCTCTGTAATCTTCCATTTCGAAAGAAAAAAAAATTTGTCAAAGAACGAAAACACGCTTAGCTTAAATTAGTTATTCGGACCGGCATATAAACGTTTTCTGATACTTCTGTGCGCGTAATATTTCCCAGCCCGAGTTCTGCTTTATTGCGCGAAATTTCCAAACATGACACTCAAAGAATTGAAAATTAAGACCAACGTTGTCAAACGGTAGAGTTCACCGCTTTTAATTCCATTTCTCTCGAGTTCAAGTGCTATGCAATTTACTCGGGCGAAAAATTAATTACTGTTGGGTAAAAACAGCATTTACAAAGAACATCTCGCGTACGGCAAGGAAGCCCAAGACCAGCAAAAGAGAATTGACAAGCTCATTGAGGAGAATGCGGATGAAGCCGATGTGCGAAAGCAGGTCAGAATCAACATCATATACACATGAACGCTGTTTAAGTCTCTTTTTTGAGAGTGCGTATAGTGCTAAAATCGAAAGGCGGGGAACGCGCGTTTTTGTATACTCTTAGAAAGAAGTACTCGAAGAAACTTTTCAAATGATACCCGACGTCAAGCAGCGTTTTGCAAAAGCATACAAGGATCTTGAAGACAAAGTGGTATGTGCCTCTTTATAAATTGTAAAGGAGGGTGGTAGCAGAAGGTGAAAAGCAAGTGTGTGTGCCTAACATATTGTGTTATGTAGGAGGATCCTCAATATGAAGGAAGTGACGAGTTGCAAGAAGCCCGCACTGTGCTTGCTGAATATACCATCGAGGAATAAAAAGGAACGACACACCAAGTGTTGTTTTGTTGCTTTCTAGGAAAACACTGAGGATCTTCCATTTGCATATGCTGCTTATATTTGAATGCTGGTTTGATGTCCACTCATGTTGTAGCATACATGCAGGGGTAGAGAGATAGAGTGTTGATGCCTCAAAACAAATCTAAAACAAGGTATGAGTTGTCTTGATATGTGAAACATCATTTAATTATTGACCGCTATTCCTGTGCCTTTTGCCTCTGTGATTCCGTGATACTGATGTATGAAGCGACTTTTTAGCCATTGGATGAAATCCGGTTCATGTCCAACGGTAGACGGAAACATTCCTTAATTCACGAACCTTACTACGATGGGAAGAGCTATCGATCCTACGTATGCTAACTGAATCAAATTCATCATTGTCTTGGAATAAGTAAACATAGTGAATATGTTTAAAGTCATCTAGCAGTACATGCTATATACGATATATCGTAATATGATAGTAATGATCACATTTTGCTGCTTGGCGTTTCTACACCTGAAATTTTCTACTAAGTATAGAGTGAGAGATGTTCTGATTCAAAGACATTCTGTGGTCACGTGTCTTCCCCGAAATTATTTTTAAAGCATTCTTTGAAAAGACAAAAAAATGGAACTAAACAAGTATAAGCGAAGCACTGTTGGTTCCGAAGTGATGTACATAGCACTTTGTTTCTGAATGAGCGCCAAGTACACATTAAACCAGTTTCAATATTTCGGTATTCCGCAATAAGCGTGCTCCAAAAGAATACTATATGTATGCAAGATTCAAAAGGCAGTAGATAGCATCTAATAAGTTGTACCGATAGTAGCAATCAACCGCATTAAATTTCTTAAAATGACACGTACACAATCAGGTTTTTTTCCTACGATTGTATGGCCTCTCATCGTTGTTCTGGGTACAGAGCAACAATATTTGTTTTGTTTGGCGATCAGACTCTCTTGCGCTAGCGAGCACATGCATTTCATTTTCCACTATGCATCACTTTTGAGAGACAGCGAAAAGAAACAATACAAACTAAGGCTAAACATATCGTACATGCAGCCTCTTATATATCACGCGCCGTACACAACTTCATCTTCAGATCGGCTAACTATACTATCTTGAGATTCCGTGCTTGTTGTGAAATGTTAGTCCACATACACAGTAAGTATAGTAGAATGCAATGTTCTAGACACACCGGTCACTCTCGGAAGGACTGTATGTGACACTCAAACACTTGAGGGATTGTGGCTAAAAAAGAACAACAACGAGATGGGTGTACATTTTATGTACCGCATTTACAGAAAAGAGAGTGAGCAGAAGCAGTACCACAAGAGAACCAATGAGGGATGATGACAATTTTCCATTTTCTATGGAGGAGTAGTGGATAAAAGTAGGATAGCAAAAGCGTACTATATGTGATACGCGTTAGCAATGATTCCAAAGAAGAAAACACAAAGTGAGATTAAGTTTAAAAGCATATCATAAATCCAGTATATATAAAAAATAATATCTCCTATTATGTGCTTTATACCCTTTCCCGAGCCGAGAATAAAGAGAGAGAGAGATTACTTTCAGGGCCAAAGGGAAGAAGAAAAAAAAAATTGTATGCAGATTACCTACTACTAGCTCGTCGCACGCGCCATCCGTTGCTTCTTTAGGAAGCTTACCTACCTATTTGTCTCATAACGTTCCCCGTTCCCCCGGAAAGAAATAACCCCTCGCGCAAGGAAAAAAAAACTTAACGCCTCCCTAATTTTCTTGCAAATGTGATCATCAACAAAGCTATAGATGAGGCTCAAGTTTCTTTGTGAATAGCAGTGAACGGCTGTCTTCTACTTACAACAGCAACTGCAATAAGTAGAACTATCAAGTAAAACGTAACTAGTCCATCACTCACGGAGAGACGAAAGTTATGGATAGTCTATACAAGAACTGAAATCATAGCAGATATTAGTGGCTGCAATTCATTAATGCGTTAGCTAATGTTTCGTTAGAGAAAGTAAACCTGCATTTCTATATACCTCAAAACAAAACCGATGGTGCTTTTTTAACTATTCCAGTATATCCTCAGAGTTTTTTCCCCGTGTATTATCAGACGCGCGTGGTGCGTTGGGTATCTATTGCGAGCTTTCTCTCAATGCTCGCCTCCTCTTGCTTCTCCTCGCTTTAGCTTGGTGATCTGGAAGAGCCTATTGGATTATTGTTAGTGAAAAAGACATAGAGAGAAATCTCATTGCTATTATTATAATCATAGATCTTCTTTTTCTTCTCTGTTTCTCTCTTTCTGTCCCTTCTTCCCTTTTCTACTTCTACAACACACATCGTTTCCATATTCACTTAATAGCTGTCGTCGATCCTCCCACAGCAGCAGTAAACGATAATAACAATATCTATCTACAAAAGAAAACATGGCTACGCTATCCAGTAACGCAGCGATGCCGGATGGAGTGCCAGACCTACGCTTTTCAGAGCCTGGGCAAAAGGACACACTACAACAGATCAACATTATTGCAAACAGCATATCAATCGCTTCAGCATCCACTGTTCTCATTATACTACTTGCGATGCGAATTTACGACTACCGCCTTGTCGACCGTGTCTCGTTACGTTTGACAGCCGCTACATCATTAACTGATCTGATTTCATCTGTGTCGTTGCTACTCTACTGTTATACAGACAGCAATGGATCAGCATGTCACATAGCAGCCTTCCTCATCATCTGGTTGACCAACCAATACATGTTCTTGACCACCGCCATCGCATTCAATCTTCAATGGCTGTTTTTGCAAAGCCGATATTATAATCCAGTATTTGAGAAATGGTTAGCCCTTATCAATAATATAAACAATAATTTACTGTTTATAGTACATTAAGATGTGGCAGATGCTAAAAAAAGATGTTCTCTTTTATTTCATTTCTTGCTCGCATATAGGTATTACATTGTTTCGGTTGCACTATCTCTTCTCACTGCCGTCTTGCCGCTTTCGAGTAATGTTCTGGGCTTCGATGTAGCTCAAGGTGTCTGTTGGTATACGGGTAAGTTGTACATAATAATACCCTTTGCCCTAATTTACTTCCTAGTGAATAATACGAACGTATTGAATCACAATAGATTCATATACTTTGCCTTCTCAGATCTGGGAATACGGCACATACATTGGTCCACAAATCGTATGTCTTACCTATTGTACGACCGTCGTGGTCTTGGTCGTTGTCAAGTTATTGCGCGATGCTAAAAGTGATCTCGTCGATGATGACGAAGTAAACGCGATGCCATCAACGTCGCAAACGGTCGTCAGTCGTGTAGTTCGCCGAATTCTCCTTTATCCAACAACCCCACTTTTAACGCAACTCGGCTTTATTGTCTCTGAGATTTACATGTTTAGTACCCTCCGGTATGTGTCTTTAAGGGTGACAAAAAAATGCAGAAGCATGAACATGTTCTTTTTTTGCGGGTCTCAGGGATTTTTTAGGCATGCAGTGATTATAAGGAACAAAGTAATGGTTCTCTTAAAAACTAACAAACCACATGTGGCCTTTTCCTTTTCGTTGTTCTTGTTAGGGTGAGCTATGAGCTTAATGTATGGGGAGTCCTTACCAAAGCGCTTCCGGGATTCTTTAATTTGGTAGGGTTCCTCATGGATCCTGCGTTTATGGGTGCGCTCAGGCTTTTGAAACGGTAAATACTTATTTGTAATTTTACGATGCAACGACAATCGCCCTTGACAACAAAAGACAAAAGTAAATTAACCAAAATGCTGTATAATATAAAACTTATAGCGACCTGATCCGTCGGTACGGTGATACTCAAACAGATCTGCATCGATCAAGCTCACATCGAAGTATTGATAAGCGCTCTTACAAAATCTATGCAGATCACGGTGCACTTGACTTTGTCATGCCCCGTGATACGACCTGCGCATCCCTTGCGCCCTTGGCCAAAGAACAACCACAAAAGACATCCAATAACCGATGCATGCGATGGCTCGTGAAGCGCTTCTGCAAACCTGCTGCTGGTCCTGATGCTGATGCTGGTGCTTCCGGTGCTGGCTGCTCTTCTTTGCCTACCTGCGTTACTATCACTGAAATACACACGGAAAAGACGCCTTCCTCTGAGAACCTCCCGACATTTCTAAACTCCCCAACCGCCTATCTAATAGGGGAAGATATCAGACGAGACTTTATCGGAAATCCTACTGCTGCTGCTGCTGCTGCCACGCCTAGCAGTAGCACTGCTTTGAGCTCCACAACTACTGTTAATGCAGCTGGATCGCCGCCGCGCCGACAACGAGAGCAACAAGAAAATAACAGTACCACTGGATGCTTTTCTGTGCCAGTGTTTCTGGAAGATCAGCTCGATGAAGCCGTACCATGGCGAGTTTTGGAAGCGACAGATGAACAATACTACAGTCAGCATGATCAACAGCAGCAGCAACAACAACAGCAATATCAGCAACAACAGCAACCTCGAGGGAGCTGTAGTAACGGAACATACAGCGATCGAGAGGTTGACAGCTGGCTCGAGCTCAGCGAACCCATCTCTCCTTCACGCATGTCCCAATGGCTAAACAAACGTGGCGATTCGTTTGAGCTTGTACGAGAACGAGTAGCCCGAAGCTCAAAAAGTATACGCCGATGGTGTCGCCAACAGCAACAACTCCATCAAGACGATCAACTTGACAAAGTAGAAGAGCCTGATCTTCTTGACACATCACGTTGGTCACGAACTCTATCTGGATCCTATTTTGATCATACGTTGCTGCAATCTGTCCCCGAATCACATTTGGAATCTGTTGAAGAGGCATCACGCAGACACTACTGATGATCATGGTGTGTGTATACTGTGTACATACATCATCGATTGATACATACATGATCGATACGTCATATACATACATTTTTAAAGGACCAATAGTAGTACTAGTAGTAGTAGTAGTAGTCGTCGATAGCAGATGTGCTGAAGTTGTAAATAATCATGTACAAATAAATAAATACGAAAAGGAACGCATCTTCTCTATCATTCTTCCAATCAATGCACATCCTCTTTCCCTGCAGACGTCTTCTCATTATCATGTGAAACATGACAAGACAAGTCCCCCAGCACCCGCCTGTAGTTATAGTAGATACGTCACGTTGTATACAGAAAGCACTGAGATGACAAAATATACATTATTACCATTTTTACTGTTTTTATAAATTGACGCGCAACACAAGAAAGGAAAACAAAAGTAATAAACAACAAAAAAAATAATAAAAATAATAATAAAAATGCATAAATATGCATTAAAATGAGTTGCGCCGGTTCCGTCGCATACAGGTAGGTGATGTTGTTGACAACGACGGTGAGTGTGATGCTGTTATCGCTGTCTGCGGTGCATAATAATGATAGCTGCTGCTGCTGCTGCTGCTGCTGTTGTTGTTGTAGCCAGGCTGGGTCCTTGATCGAGTGATAGCAAGTGCAGCATGATGGTCCAAGCTGCCTTGGGCACCACTACTACTTGAACGCATTGCATCATGCAAGAGCGGAGCAGGTCTCTGTTGGATCTTCCTGTATATTGATGCCCGGCGAGGAAGGATGATGCGTCGGCTGCTCCGTCGTTGGAAGCAAAAATTCGGTTGCTGTTGTTGCTCGCGTACTGGAAATGCAGAGGATGTAGAGGAGGAGGAGGAGGAGGAGGAGGTGTCGTCGCTGTTGTTATACGCACCAGGCACAGATAATCGGCGTGTCAGCCATTGGACCGGTTTGGTAGTCGTTGTTGAGACTACAACCTTGTCAACCATGACATTTGCAAATGCAAAAAAGAACGCCCATGCAATCATGCCGGTCACGTTATGCGGTTCGGCCGTTGACAGGGAATCAAATACCATCGAGATAAGCGTATGGGGTATATGTAAAAGTGGTAGCACCAGCAAAGCAGACAGTCGTGGATCTACCATCGACGCTGACGACGACGACAATCCATTCAGTAGTCGTTGTTGTTGTTGTTGTTGTTGTTGTTGCTGACTTTTGCCAATAGTACTACGCTGATGTATCAGAGCACTACTGCCACTACTGTCACTACCACTGCCACCACCAGCAGCAGTGAATCCTTCTTCCTGATCCGTAAAGGCAAGGTCACGCGACAGGGACTCGACAAGTGCCATCGACGAGTCTAGTCTTTTGTATGATTCAATCAGTGGATCACGTAGCAGTATCTGGGCCGAAGAAGCGCGTCGACTGCTGGGCCGAGGTGTTGCAGATCGTCGTATGGTCAGCACAGGACAGGAGAGAGGACGTGGGGCCGACCGCCGACATGCCTTTCTGGCGATCACTGCAGGCGATGGCTGCTTGGGAGACAGGGGTGATGATGGGCCTATGGATGCTGTAGGTGAAGTTGCAGTAGAAGACGGCGAAACCGGTGAGAACAGTTGTTGGTGGCTATGGGTACTATCGATGGTGGTGGTGGTCGTTGACGAAGACGAAGTCGTCGACGATGAGGAGGACGACGATGACAATGATGACGATATGCTCAGGTCACGGATATGACGACGGCCCAGTGAAGTTGATGATAGCCGTGGTAATCTCGAAGGCGGTGTTTGTTTCGTGTGCGGAGACGGAGGAAGAGGTGGTGGCGGCTGTTGCTGCATTTCGTTGTTATCTTGCTGCTCTATAGTTCGGTGATGATTTCTTTTTACAGCATCGTTCGCCTCCTGTAAAAGGTTGTTTAGGATGCCGGATATCCGATCGAACGTCTCTTCGTTGCCACTTTCGTGATCGCTGTTTCCATTGTAGCTGTCGTCACCTTCCCCGTCGTTGTCATCGTCGAAATCAGACAGCAGCGCCAGGGCAGAGTCTGGACGTGTGATGGTATGACGACGCCTGGTGCTAGGATGCTGGGGTGGCACGGTATAGGATGGTGTTGACACGGACGGAAAGGGTTCCGGCTTTTGCAACAGTTCTTCTGGCGGAGGAGTGTCCTGCAAGGGAAAACATAAAAGTGGTCGGGTGGAAGAAGATCAGCCAGACAGACCAACGACGTTGGGTGGACGCACACGGTTTTATGTCTTTGAATGCCTTTAGGTGGGAGGGCGATTCTTTATGTTTTAATATATTACCATGATTGATTATTGAACGATGTATGTAGGGGTGTATATGTACGATGAAACGGATGTGAGGATACGGGAGACAGTCAAAAAAAAAAAACCGAAGAAGAAGAGGAAACAGGAAAGACGAAAGGAGGTATGAAAGATCGAACAAAGAAAAGAAAGAAGGAAAAATCTAAGAGGGGGAGGAGGGTCTAAAAAATATATGAAAGAACGCGTTCCGTTCCCCCCGTGCCCCACTCTGCTCTGCGAACTGCACATGACTGTTGGACTTGGGATTGGAGCAAGAAGAAGAAGAAGGACTACGTCGTCGTCGTCGTCGTCGTCATCTACTACACTAGTGCGAGAATCCAATCGACTGTTGCTTGCGCTTGGTGCCTCCATCGCCGTACTGGGACGCCCATTTCCGGATTTCTTTGATCGAATCCATCTCTTCACTCGAGCTCGGCCGCACCAGTTTCAGCGCTTCGTCGAAATGTGCCTGCCCCAGTGTTTGCTTCTTTTGCGTCGCTGCTTCCTTTTGTGCTGCCTTCAGCGCAGCTGTCACACAGAGGTTTTTCAGGTCCGAACCAGAGTAGTGTTCCGTGGCCCGCGCCAGCTCCGCCACAGACACCAGATGTCCCTCCTCGTCACGAAGAAGCATGTTCAGGATCTCTGCACGGTCTTCCTCTTTCGGCAAGTCCACTATAGCAATTCAAGTCAAGGTTTGGATCCCATTTAGCTGTCTAACGTCACCGATGTATCGTGGTGCAAACGAAAGGGGTCCTCTCTCTCTCTCTCTCTCTCTCTCTCTCTCTCTTTTCGTGTTTGTTATTGTTACCTAAGATCCGTCTGGGCATTCTTCTCAGGATAGCATCGTCAAGATCCGCAGGTCTGTTCGTAGCTGCCATCACAATCACTCCCTGGTTGTCGCTCGCTAGGCCTTCCCATTCGACCATGAACTGGTTGATGATTTCTCGGTGTGCGTTCGTCGTCGAGTCAGATCGGCGTCGGCTCATGATGCTGTCTACTTCGTCAATAAAGATAACTGCAGGGCTTATTTTCCGGGCCAGCGAAAACAGAGCCTGATGGTGTTTAAATTATTGAGGGAGTCAGTACGTGCACGTCGTTTATTCCCCTTTGCGGAATTCCGGTAAACAATAGTTACCTTGACATTCTTTTCACCTTCTCCGAGATACATTTCGTAACTAAATAGCAACGAGTCGATTAAATGGCAAGAAAACGAGTCAATGTTTGTTGTCATTTCCACTCTCGCACACACACCCGTAAACACACACACACACACACACAGCGCATTGATTAGCACACTACTCTCTCGAACTCATGATCTAAGCCCCGTGCTTACATGTCACTCGCTTGCACTTCCAGCATCCGACTGCCACCTGCTTTGCATACAGCCTTGGCAAGCATCGTTTTGCCCGTGCCTGGAGGACCAAACAATAATACGCCTGGAATAAAGTTGTTTTTCAAAATGCCCCGTCGAAACAGATCCGGCCGAACCAGCGGCAGGGTTATCAACGTTTGCAACGTCTCGATTGTGGCTGACGGGGCTCTAATTTCTGCAAAGGAGACCTGCACCTTGGCTTTTTTGTGCATAAATGCAACAATTCATCGCCTGATTAGAGTGGCACAAAACAGAGAAAAGTACATTACGCAACACACAACTCACATGGATCAACGATACGACTTAGGAACCGCTGCTCGTATTCATCGCAATGTTTCTTGAGCTCCGCCATATCTAGATCAGCACCACCGTCATTACTGCCAGAGCTTCCTGCTGCAACTAGCCGCACCCTTTGTAACTCCAGTGTTTTATCCAGCTGCCGCCGTGCCGATACACTCTTTCGTACAACACTGTTCGCAGCAACCATGTCTTCCAAATCCACCGCTGACTTTTTATGTCTGAGCGCATGTCCAATCGCGAATGTAACGTGCCGTTCAATTTCGATGCCAGTCCAAACCGACTCTTGGATGCCTTCCAATTTCGACAGTTCTGTCACTAATGCAGCTGTGTTGTTGTTGTTGTTGTTGTTGCTGTTGCCCTGCAGCATGTTCTTTATCCCCGTCACATTCTTTTGTTGAAGAATAGCGAGGATCTGTTTGGCATTGATTTCACCCATCCTTCGTGCCGTATCCATCCTCATTTGAGATTCCCACGCGTCTAGCAAGACCCTGTCATTGAGTGGCGGTGGAATGCTGATGCATTTCATGCTTGACAGGAGGGGTATTTCGTGTTCTTCGAGTGCTAGCTTGTAGTTGACATGCGTCGATGCGAGTGTTGGCGAGTATCCGGCAAGAACGACGAGTCGATGGCCCTTTTGCTTCAAGTGCTCGATGGCCATCATGAGTGCTTTGAGCATCAACGAAGAAGGCAAGTCATGCATATCGCCATAATCGCGCAAGTAGATCAGTTTAGGTGTTTGGCTAGGTGTTGTTGCTGTTGCTGCTGCAGATGCCGTCGAGGAACTGCTGCCTTTTTCTTTGCCCGTCTGTAACATACGTTCAAATGCCGCGCTGTATCGAGCAGTCATTTCAGCCATAGCTTTGGGTGCAATTGCTTGTGGATCGGATGATGTCTTATTATCGTCCGACTTTTCCTCTTCCGAAGTTCTGTTACCGAATCGTTCGAGGATGCCTATGAGAGCATCCTGCTCCGAGTCGTACTCGAACATTGCCGGCTGCTCTTCTGCTTTGCTAGAATCCGCGGTGGCAGCAGCAGCAGCGCTGTTGGAGTTGGATGCCGTATTGTTGGGTCGAATTGCAAGTACCGCAGATGCTCCTGTATCTGAACTAGACATCGATGGCAGTAATGTCATTACTAATTTTACACAAATTATACATCCAACAAGTCAGTTCAACAATATCATCGAAAAAAAATCCAAATTCACCCCTCCCCCTTCCCCCACCCCCTCGGGAGCCACACCACTTGTGCTAATACATGTGTGCTTTTTTTTTACCGTTGCTATCCCCGCTTTGTGCCAAAGCGATGAAATCCTGTGCATCAAACACCACGAGATCTGCACCCACATCCACCGCTAATTGCTTAGCGATTGCGTCTTGCAAATAAGTGGCTCCTCGACCAGGCACATTCAGCACAATGTGATCCGAATGGTTGAATGCAGCCAATGTGCCTTTGGGTGCAAGACCTGCCTCCACCACAAGTCGGAGCTCCTCCCACAGATAGTCCGGAATCGGCTCTGAATAACTCGAAGGGATCGTTGGTGTTCGAAGCGTTTGATGGCGCAGGTAATTGGAGTCAAGAAACGATTCTATGTTGTTATAAGTTTTTTGAATTAAAAAAGGAAGGGTTCGTAAGTATTTTTGGTAAGATCAACGTGAATGGGCGAAAACATTTACAAAATACGCCAATCAAATAAAATGGAATCGTACTTGGAATAACGTGTTGCGATCGTCTGCTTTTTCGTGTGATCTTGCGGCCTTTGGTCGGATTTCCAGCAGTGCTCGAATCAGTTGGATTGTCAATCGATCCTCCTTTTGCAGGTATTTCGGGATCGTCGGATCCACGGTTCGATGCCGGTAACGGAGCAGCAGCAGCAGCTGCTGCTGCACTGCTGCTGTTGTTATTGTTGCCTAATGCTGGAGCCGCTGCCGCCGTTGACGCTTTAGCTGAAGACAATAAATAGGAGGTGGTTGCAATCCAACGCGGCCGGGACTGTTGCAATGTCACTTTCGCCAGACGGGAAATCAAGGCAGTTGACATTGGAGGACGACAACAAATAATAATAATAAAACAGAGCTTTTTTGACACACTCAAAAAAAATGAAAGAGCATGGTTGCTGCTGCTGGGCCTTAATTCCGCCCTTATTTAGTTTGAAGATCCTTTTTCCATGTCAACCTTTTCATTCTTTCTTTCTTCTTTCCTCTCTCCTCTCTTTCCACCTTCAATGCACTCGTTCTACAATAAATGACGCGATTGTAAACTTCCCTCCAACATACCGACCTCACATTCATTCATTCATTCACTCACTCACTCACTCTTTACAACACCCACACTGTATTACGCAAACAACAACATCATAAATACCATCCTCTTTTTTATTGTCCCCACTCGGTTCCGCACTTTTTTCCCGTTCCGTTCCTTCTCGACACCACAGCATACCCACCAACACCTTAGAACCTTGTCAACAGTTCTCGAACAACTTGTTTTCAAACCAACGATTATTTTCAAGTACAATATACCCAGAACATGTCTCCTTCAGTTACGCGTAACCAAAAGGCCAAGGTACAAACAACGACGACAACAGCTATTCTTAATATGCATGTCTGTTGCTGCGGGGGTGGGTGGTGTTATGGAGAAGAGGAGGGGAGGAAGGTGGATGGGCTTCATTATTTTATTGTAATTGCCATTATTCATGAACTCACATAACAGGTGCCCTTGTTCTATTTTTTTTGGATCTGGTTTAGCTTGCGGCTGATTTTAATGACCTGCTTAAGGAGCTGTCCTCTCGTGAAATGACGTCCATTGGGCTCTACTCGATAGGAGAGACGATTGGCAAAGTAAGTAAGCTTATTAGCGTGAGGAATTTGATAGAGAAATGCTCAGGCTTTTTCCCTTATCTTTCTTGTTATGTGGGAGGAGGATGCAGTGTTGATTATATTCCATTCTTTGCTCCGGGCATTATAGGGATCCTATGGTAAAGTTAAATTAGGGACGCACAAACTGACAGGAAAACAAGTAGCCATCAAAGAGATCAGCAAAGAACATGCACCCATGGTTGCTCGAGAGATTCATCTCCATCGTCAGCTTAAACACCCCAATATTGTCATGCTATACGAAGTCATCATCACCGAATCTTCCATCCATGTCATATCCGAATACTGTCCTCACGGGGAACTGTTTGACGCACTGACCGAGCGTGGCTACTGCTATTCTGAGCGAGATGCTGTCAGATGGTTCGTCCAATTGGTCGATGCGCTCAAGTATTGCCACTCGCAAGACATTGTTCATAGGTAAATCCTTGTTAAAACAGGAGATTGTGTGTATTCTTGTGCTGCAGCTACATTTGCAGCAGGGCCACGCATGCAAGAATCACCAGATCCTTTTTTTCGGCACTCTAAACTTAGATGATATATAAATATATATTATATATATACACTCCTTTATAGAGATCTGAAGCTGGAGAACATCCTGCTCGATGACAATGACAATGCAAAGCTATGCGACTTTGGATTTGCCCGACATGCTGAAAGCAGACAAATGCTCCAAACGTTTTGCGGCAGTTTAGCATATTCGGCGCCAGGTAATAAAGGGAATGCCTCCCTCCCCTCCTCCTCCTCCCTCCCCATTAAGAGCTAGCATACCACGAGGATACACATTGACATTGGCACTAAAACCTTCTCAACTCCCACAACATTTTCCATTACCACAATAATATCAACACTATTGAAACGCATGTAGAGGTGATCCTGCGCCAGAAATACACTGGACCTGGTAAGCCTCTTTTGATTGAATGCACAATGATTTTGTTTTGTTTTTTTTGACATGCGTCACATTTGTGTTACTCAACCTTAATTCTCTTTTGTATCATTGCCACTCACCTACTCTAAACTATTATAGAAACCGACATTTGGTCGTTAGGAGTCATTTTGTACACCCTGTTGGCAGGCGGATTGCCGTTTGATGATGATTCAGAGGTGGTTACACAACGAAAAATTGTCAAGGGAGACTATGATATTCCATCACACTTTTCGCCAGGTATGCTTGAGTGTGTGTGTGTGTGTGTGCGGGGTCTGGAGTCAACAAAGCTGTGCATTAATCACCCAACATGCTGCTTCTTCTATACTTCCAAAATCAACAGAGGTTTCCGATCTGATCACGCGGATGCTCAAGTTGAATCCCTCCGAACGTGTAACAATAGACCAAATTGCCGGACACCCATGGATACGCATGGCAGCGGCAGCTCATAGTAATGACGACGAGGATGACGCTGATTGTATTAACCATTGTATCAGCAGCAACAACAGCACGCCCTCGACACGAAACTCTAGCCATTCGGACTTGGACTCAATTTTTTCGACAAAACCTTTCACACCTGATATGATGGAGGATGATGTGGGTCCGGAAAAGTCGAGCTATGTTGGTTTTAGCAGCATGCCCGACCCAAACAATGTGGTGTCCAAATCCGACCGACGACTAAGCCCGACAGACACTGCAAAGTTCTCGCCTCAGGTGCGCTACAGACTTGGCATGATCAGCCAAGAGGAAATGCGTCGCCATCACCCTACCACTATCACTACTAGTCCTGTTCCACAACCGCGCACATCTCGCTTCTCTGCACCCTCAGTCAGTAATAGAAGCATGATGTTCCCATCATCACCGCCTCCTTCAGCAACATCAACAGCAACATCACCTTATAGATCATCGTTGCCGAGCATGCTGCCGTCACATGTCAACCCATTCCGTGATAATGGCAGCAGCATTCGACACCACCAAGTCCCAATGACGGCCAATGAGCAACAGTTAGCAACAGCTCTCGCGGCTGCAGGGCTGGATGAAAACATCATTAGAAACATGCGCATGGGCATGTGTGATTCGCTTAACGGTCTTTGGAACATCCTACTCGAACAAAGCCATAGTAGCAATAGCCACAACTGTGGTTCTCCTGACATGAACAAACGTGTCACTAAAGGATTTATATCGGCAATGCACCAACAACAGCAAATTAGAACAGCTCGAATGCCGATTCAACTTCCAGCAAAATATGCCACTGCCAAGCCGACGACCCCAGGAGATACAAAAGAAACTGCTACTGCTACACAGCACCGCCATGCCTCCGCCGCCGCCGCCGTCACCGTCAGCGTCGATGTAGCAACTCAAACATCGATGTCATCTGCAATGCCAACTCAAACAAAAGCAATGTCCAGTACAAGTTCTTCCTCATCTTTTGCTGCACTTGGTTCTCCATTAGCAGCAACAGCAGGAGAGAAGCAAGCAGGATGGCTTAATTCCATGAAGACCTGGTTTGGTTCTTCTTCAAAAACTGGACCAGATACAGCACAACATGTGAGACGAAGTGCACGACGTACATCGCAATCCTATCGTAACGTAGATGCACCCTTGCAACAACGTGGCGACGGACCACGACGCTATTGGGACAATAACGTAGAGGAATCTGCTACTACTACTACTGCAGCACCAGCTGTATCCCAGCAAGCCATGTATCGATCGTCATCCAATCAGAAACAACGACGACGCGTACTGCAACTCTCTGATCCACCTGTCAACGAGCTGGATCAACTTGATTATAGATCGACGACAGCTATTGCTCGTTATCAAAATACCCGTTGGCAAGAACATCAAATGCCCGGCTGCCGTGCTGGAAAATCTTCATTGGAAGCTGCTCAACAACCCATGGCGAATCTGCTCGTTACACCTCCCACAGCAGCAGCATCCACGCCACGAGGATCAACGACGCACACACTGTCCATTGTGACTGCAGACACGATCCCTAGTCAGACCAAAGAAGTGGATATCTGTGAAAAGCGTTACTCAATGATGATCATGGCGTCGCCTCCTCCTCAGTGCTCTTCATTATCTACTGTAGTTCAGCAACAGCAACACCCCAAGCCCTCGTCTGACACGCTTGTCAGTATACCGCCAGTGGCAGCTTCTGCATCAGTGACACAACAACAGCATACATCATGTACTCTCTCATCATCACGACAGCAAAAACAACAACAACGTCATTGCGACAAACAAAAAACAAGTAGCATCGCATCAGCATCAGCATCTCCAACATTACCATTAAAGTCATCATCATCATCTCCAACATCAACTACATCGCATCCTATCATAATTAGTGCAACTACTACTACTACTACCACGCCAACACCATCGTCCCCGGTCTTTTCACATTCAACTCCTGCTTCCTCCTCAGACGAATCTTCATCCAGTAGTAGTGATGATGACGAAGAGGAAGAAGATCCAACATCGCCTGCCTTATCTCTCCCGACTCCCCGACTGGACACAATGAAGCAAGCAGTGCCTCGTTCACAAAGCCTCGACGTGCGACCTTCCCCATCCTCTGTAAGTATATAAAATTGCTGTTTGTGATCAGAGGAGTAAATGTACTAACTCTATTCTGATTCGGCTATCTTGAAGAAAATGACAGGCCGCACTGACTTTGTGCCGCGATCCCGACTAAGTGTCTATGGGATGAATTCCAATCCCAGCAACCATCGGTTTGCTCCCAAGGCTATCATAGAAGAAGAGGAAGAAGAGGAGGAATAGGCCGAGCTTTGCCTTTTACTCTTTACCTCCTCCTATTGACACTCCTATATCTCTATCCCTAACCCTCCTTTCTTCCTCTCGATACGTCCATACTTGCATACCCCTCACCTCCGCCCCCCGCCCCGTATTTCATGATTCTATTTTATCATATTACATTTCACGGACAAACTTATTTCTTCTTTTTCCCTTATTCTATATCCATCCCGTAACCCCTACTTCTTCATACTGTGTTTGTTCTCTTATATCATTATTCATATCTTTACTTTAGTATCAGAATAGTATCAGTATATACATTCTATATTCATTCCTTCATTGGAAACAGCAAAGGAAATGACCCTCATATTTTCTACAAGTCACAATCATTGTCGTTATATCGTTACTACTAGTGTTGCTTTCCGTAAGGAAACAGAGATATCAGAGCCACCACGATCGACGGACAAGAGTGTATAAATCGCTATTCACAATGTCTTGAATTCCTATTGCCCGGGATTCGGGACGGACAGTCTGGTCCTGCTGGTGTCGACCCGTTCGGGAAGTAGGTTCGTTAGAGTCGTTGTTGGTGGTGCCTTGATTATAAAGAGCTGCAGGAGCCTCAACAGCTGCTGCTGTAGATTGGCTGCTATCGTCAGCATTATTATTATAAGATGGGTGCTCACTACCATGCGGTGCCCACAATTGTTGCACTGCCGTGTAGAACGCAGACCGACGTTTTTGTAGTTTTTGCTGCTGCTGTTGATGTTGTTGTCGTTGTCGTCGCTGACCCGCAGGACTTCTAGTGTCGTCGTCATCATCCCTTTTTTCTTCGTGAGGAAAATACAACGAGATGAAATTATCGAGTGCCACATTTACAGCACAATCCTTCAGGGTGAAAGGTGAACGACACAAAGGGCAACTGTGATGTTTGGGGAGTGGGATGCTACTACTTTCGTCGTTGTAGCATTGACATGCTGGTAGCTTTTGCCTCTTCTTGCTGCTTGAGGTGGACGGATGTTTATAGCGGTGTTGTTGTTGGCGTCGTTGTCGTCGTTGCGAAAGCGACTTTTGGCGACGTGTAGCTCGATGACAAGGACTGGAGCAGGACGCTAGTGTACATGTGCAGTAGATTTGTTGGATGCATGATCTGCAAAATGTATGAAGACAGGTGCCGATAGTGACAGGCTCGGAAAGGACAGCTAAGCAAATGGCACAGGTGAAATCATCGCGAGATGGAGAGCTTTGTTCCAGCAAAGTCTAATAGATCGGTTGTTGTTAACCCAATTGATTTAATCTTCTTGGTCTTCCTTTTTCTCCCCTTTTAATTCACTAACTTTCATTCTGTCTTCGAGCGCCTGTGATGTGCTCATACACTGATTATATCGCCGATCCCATCTTGTCTGTAATAAGTACTGCGCCGCTTCATAGGAGTGACTAGCATCTTTGAGAATCGTCATTTGACTTTCAAAGTACTGTTTGTAAAGGAATAGGTCGTGCTCCCACTGACATATTCGCTGGATACACTGAGAAAGCCCTGTATCTTCCTGCATTTCCATACGCACAACAACAATGAGTGTTAATTCTTCGTATCATACGTTTTTGTTTGCTTGCTTGTCATCATACCGTTGCCAAGACCTTGGAATGTAAACTCTCAAAATAGGCATCAAAGGATGTTTTCATCAGCTCGGACAGCTCCTTCGTGGAAGCAGCGTCATGTCGTAGCTGCTCCTGCTGCTGTAGATGGTCCTGCCATTCTTTAAGATAACTTGAAATGAATTGACGTGCATGGTGAACAGATTGACAATCCGTATTTTGAAGTGGGGACGCCTATCAATAATGCAAACAACAAAGCAAATAAATGTGTTAAATTCATTATTACGGAGCGTAGTACGCATACATGCATGCATGGGACGATACTGTACAATGGTGCAGATCTCGTGGGATAGTTCGTCGATTGTGCATGTCAAAGAATCAAGCGCCCAGCGACATTTCTCAAAGATCCGTTCAAGCTCCTATTCAATGTGTATTTCGCATAAGAAAATCCCAAAAATATGTCAGAGCTTATTTGCATCCCAGAACCCCCTCCCTCTCTCCCTCCTCCCCCCTTTAATTATGTACCTCATTCCATGTCCAAAAAAACGTCTCCATTTTAGCACTCTGTGCAAAGTGAAGAGCTTCCACCTTGACCAAGTCTTCCCTATAGACTTCAGACTCGGTCAGACATGACGACGAGGAGTAGCTTAGCGAGGGGACTGCATCCTCAGCATTGCCACTGCTGCTACAAAGGGGCGCCTGTTGTTGCCTGGTTGCACCAATGACGATGGTAGTACCATCACCGGCAACAGCATGACTTTTGCTGTTGTCAGTAGTAGCATCGTTAAGCTTCTTATAATTCTGATGCTGATCAATATGGTGGTGACGAAACGGATGAAGTACTCGCGACCAAAAACGAGGCATAACTGGAATACGAGACAGAAATGAAAAAAAAAGAAGAAAAAAGAGTGGAAAGAGACCCCCAGTATAACACACTTCAAGATGCACCTTTTATAACAGAAAATTCATGCATATACGCAATTAAACTCGGCTCATGCAAAAACACAACCGCTCTTTTTTTTTGTTTTCTTCACGGAAGGACGCGATTACGATTTAACTAATAAATCTCTACATTGCCAGTTCAAATCTTGGCCATGGCATTTAAATCGTTACGGTTGCCACGACGACAAAGATTCCAGTTTGCTTGTGTCTTAACTTTCGCTCTTGCCCTCCTCGAAAGTACAAGCTTGTAAATAGAGGTGCAACGATGGTAGTCAGTGGATAGTTGCTTGACCCCAATAAGGATACCTTTGCATTCGATGCAGAAAAGCATAGATTTGTATGTGGAAAGACAAAGAAAAGGGTGGTGTGAAAACAACACATACGCACCCAATTCCACTAGTTTTAATCCAAGGGTTCAAAACAGTCAGGGCCAGTTAACAGGCTCTATATATCAGAACTGTGGGGAAGAAACAGACTGTCACCACCACCAGCAGAAGCATTGGGAAAGTCGGCATATTCAGTGCCAGTCGTGGTGACACCGTGTTTTTGTGAGCTGTCCCTTCTAGACACACACACACACACACACACACACACAAATCAACTGGATCTATGTAACACGTACTTGGACAGATATGGCATCGATAAATTCCCGGCACTGACAACCTGAATACATGTGGCTTTACTGTATCGGTTGTTTCATTATTGTCAGCACCAGTGTTTGGGGGAGTCATGGGAGAGGGGTAGCAACTTTTTACAAAAAAAGCAAGAAGAAGATGTATCTGTAGGTGTTGAACTGACACCGCCAAGACCTTCATATCCATTTCTTTGTTCTTGTGATAAATGCTCTTGGCTAACCTTTGCTGATGGTCAAAAGTATTGCCAAACTTCGCATACTAGCCGTTTGTAGACTCTGGTCCAATCGTTGTAGTCTTCGATTTTAACATACCTACTAAAAATCTCCCGGCCGACTCCATTAAACATCAATCCTAACAAAATAACACTAGTCAGCATCAATGTACAGTGTAGTCATACAAGAACCCCCTTTCCAAGTAAAGTATGTCTTTGATTGAACGACTTGGGTTTCGTTCCGTCTTTTCCAATACGACACTCTTGAAAGGATTGTGATGATGATTGTTATTAAAGAAGGGGGTGGGGGATTGGTTTCAATTGCAAAAGTTCCGACTTTCGCTTTGTACCGTTTGATGCTGTTGTTTGCACCTGAAACGGACCTCCAAGACTCTGTAAGATACCAAGAGGCCCAAAAAAAAAAGGTGTAATATGAGATTCAGGAGGGCACCCACATCAACGTTAATCATTAGAAATTAGGGTGATGAAAAAGTGATAAGCTGTTTTCTTATACTTAAACAGGTTGAGTGCTGCTGCGCTTGCCAAACGCCATTATATTTGCAAATAGGTTGATTGAGTTGGGATCAACGACGAACAAGAGAGCTGTGGTCCAGTCTTTGCTCTTTTTGGCCCTGATTTAACTGTCACCTGTGTAGCAGGCTTGTAATCTGGTAATGTTATGCTTGAGGCACAAATGTAGAAAGTACTAGAAAGAGGAGGAGGCAGTCTATAAGGTGTGGGTGTCAGCTAAGGAAAAATGAGGTTGGATCACAGATAGTACCGAGTGTCAAAGTAAAGAAGATGTGAGTTATTGTCAAATGTAGTTCATAAGCTGATCCCATTTTACTGCTGCATTACCAAAGACGTGAATGTGTGTAACCTTTACGTTTATAAGCACCAAAATACTGCAAATATACAGTATGCTGAAGAGATGATGATGGTAGCATCCTCGGCATTTACCCCCTCTCGCTCGCCTGATAGATGGGGCCTTAGTATGGTATCGCGGGTCCTTTTCAATTACGATGATCGTGCTTCTCATGTGAGCTATACAAAGCTTAATACTTGGCCATGTGGTGTGCTGTCGATTATAAAGACGATGATGATGACCTTGAGCTACACTCTCACTTGTTTCGCTTTTTCTTCCCGGTCCAATATTACCCGATACTGTTATTTACTGACCGCTACACACACGCACACACACACACACACTCTCTCTTTACTAGCCTACTCCAAGAATAAATAAAAGAGAGCACTACAATAACTTCGATATATTCCCATAAGTTTTTTTTATTGCGGCTCAAATCTACTTAACACCGCGCGTTTTTGTTTCTCTTCTTTTCCGTGTTAAGTTGGAAACGAGATCGTCCCCCATCCCACCCGGCCAAGGGTCATTTATCATACTAGAAAAGAAATTATCCTGTTTACTTTTATAGATTTTCCTATCGTCCATATCATCGGTGCAACAACAACAAATGATAAAAAAAACTTTTGAAGGCTGCAAACGGCGGGTCGATGCTGTTAGAGCTGGTTACACAACCAGATGTGGCAAGAATTATCATCAAGGAAAGCAATAACATGCGATTTATATGTATCATATATCGGTAGTTTGTCGGATTAGAGCGATGCTATTGTCCTTTTACTAGTTCCATTTGATAGCTGGGTGGATGCAATGAAGCTACCTTGTTGAAATAAGTAAATGGGTGTGGGCTTGTTGTAGATGGAAATGATCCTAAAGACGACGATAATGGCGATGGCAGTAGGAAAAGGCTATAAGCCTTTGCGTTACGAAATGTCCCTTCATCGACCTATTGGTTGGGAAAATTCGTTGGCGGGGGAAAAGCTGCATTTTTCACTTTGTGTAGCCATTAAACTAAACGTGTGGGGAAAGGAACCCAGTCACTCATATTGGAACCTATTTTTTCATCTTTGTCCCTTTTACCCCGCACTTTTTCGGTTTTGTTTGTCTTTTCATTGTGCGTTCTAGACAACAAAGGGAGAGAAGAACACAAAACCTCACTGGTTAAGCCCAACGCTGTTAAAAGATGACGATCGCGTCGTCTCCATCTCCTCATGATGATGCTACTGTTTCTTCCATCATCCATACTCAGCATCATCATCATCCTCCCCATCACCCTCAACAATTAAGACAACGCCACCAGCAACTGCAACAGCAGCAATCGACCTCATCTCCATTCACTGCACCGCCAGCAAACTATCCTGCCAGGCACGATGACAATCTACTGTCCTCTGCTTTCCAAATCCCTTGGTCTCCTACGATGATGAGCCCAAATGAATCATCGTTCTTGTCAACAACTTCGTCTTCCGATCCAAAAACTACCAATGATCAAGCCCGCCCGCAAAAGGTAATGGCGCCGGCTGAATCTTTGTCGACTAAGTCTTCGATACTCCAGCAAGAGTTCTCACGCCAGCCGCACGTCCTTCTATCTCAGCGTGAAACTGTACAACGGCACAATAGTTCTCCTTCTCATTCGCAACACCAGCAACAGCAACAACAACAACAGCAACAGCAGCAACACACAGAAATGCTGAATATGCTACCGTTATCCTCAAATGCTTCTGATGTGGGGAGTCGTAGCAGTACGATTAATGATCGGCGGCAGCAGCATCGACAGGATTACAATAATATCGACGTTATGAATTATCCTAATTCCTCTTCTGTTGCCTCATGGGAACAGCAGCAGCAGCAGGCTACTCCTCCTCCTCTTCCAAATACTACTACTTCTACTTCCACTCACACTTCATCTATTAATACAAACAACGACACTCATTACCGTTATGATCAAACCAATCACCAAAACAGCAAAGCGCCAATGGAGCAGCAGTCATCGCAGCACAACAATAATGAATCGTCAAATCATATCACACCTAATTCATCCATGTTTGCCAGTTTCGGAAATGGCGGACAACCATATAGCAGTCAAATGGAAACGTCTGCCACAACAACAGCTGCGCCTTGGGCAACAGCGACAACCTTGTGGTCCGGTGGTGGCACAACTGACTCTCCTTATTCTTCTTCTTCCTCTTCACATCAAACACTGCCACCATCACAGCAGCAGCAGGTTCGTCATTACTACCCACTTATCCAACAAGAGCAATACCTATATTAGAAAACGATTGATACTAATTTATATCTACAGCAACATTCTAGTACGCGACAGTCAAATCATAATACCAGCACCATGAATCAAATCACTGACGATGGCTTCTCACTTGATTTTCTTGCACCGCCACCACCTCTTGATCCACTACAACAGACAAGAAAGCATTCACATTCATCGACAATACTGGTGAGTCAATCATCAGATTTTGCAAATTAACTGTGGAAAATTCTCGCGCTTTTCACATGAACCAACATGATGGCATTAATTATAGAACAGCAGCTACAGCAGCAACTCCTCTCCTACAACAGCATCTGCCAGCACAACGACGACCGAGCACAGAAACGTACCGACTGTGTCGTCTAGCAACCATGTGAATACGTCGTCATCGTTTGAGATTTTTGATTCATCATTCCTCAACACTGGTAGCAACAACAGCAACAACAGCATTCATGCTGACGATCACAACGACAACAGCAACAACAGTAGCAGTAACGGCAGTATCAACAGTGGGAACAGAAAAAGTCACAATTATCATCAGATCAATAGCAGAGGTAACGGCAGCCAATTTAGCGACAACAACAGCAACAACGTCAGCGACCTACTACAACCTGTTCGAGCGATTCCAATGTCGAATATGAAAGCTGGTGTCCGCACCGCTCGCATGTTGGTAGACGCAGCCATGTCGACCAAGACTCGCCCTCATATCCAAAGCTACCTTTTGGCCACAGATCCCGTGGCCATGGGAGAACGCACAGTTGTCATTTTGACGGGCAAAGTAGCACAAAAGAGCTATGGAACTGAAAAAAGGTAAAAAAAGCGGATTAGCTTTGCTAATAAACAATTGTCCCGTTATACTAAATACACACGCCTCCCTCCTTTCCCCCAGATTCTTGTGTCCCCCACCCACGGTAATTTTAGATGGCGCATCCTGGTGGACTAAAAAGCATGATGATCCATCCAACGCGGCAGCACCAGCAGCTGCTGCTGCTGCTGCTACCGCACCGCCTCAGTTGATGGTGTCCATGTCAGGCGAGACGTCTGAGACGCAAGAAGGCCAGGTCGATTGGTTTTCCATGTCTGGTACAACCGTGGGACAAACAGGATACGGGAGCGGCAACATCAACTCGAGCAACAGCAGCGGACGTATACGAAACAGTTTTGACAGAGGCAGTAGTAGTGATCGTGATTGGTATCGTATTCAGCCTCGAGACCCTTTGGCAGGTGGCAAATGCGTTCTACGTCAGTTGTATATCAACGATGCGGACGATAAGCGAAAACGTGTTGAGTGTGTTGCTCGTTTACAATTGGCGGATGGCACGCCTATCGGGACATTGGGTAGCAAACCCGTCAAGGTTATTAGTAAGCCAAGCAAAAAGCGTCTCAGCGTTAAAAACATGGACTGTACGATATATACTTCATTTTTCTCTTTTTTGCTTGGCTCCGTTACTATCAATATCTCTTACTGAACTGTCGTGTGGTACATACCACCCTTTATCTATCTTGTTTAGCCTGCATCCATCATGGTACAACCGTTTCGCTATTCAACCGTATTCGTTCACAGACCGTGTCAACAAAGTATCTGGGCGTATCAGCATCTGCTGGAGCGACATCGTCGACACAGCCGTTTATGTACCCAGGTCAGTCCAAAGCCAACCACAATCTCGACGGTCCTGCATCGACCAGCAGCCCAGACGGTACATGCTTTATCGCACGGACAGGAAGCTGGGATCCCTTTATTATTTGGCTTGTGGATACCACGTGGGTGCCCCACCATCACGAGCGAGAAAGTACCAGTCCAGACGAGTATATTGGCACTGGTGCCTCAACTCTACGTAACGATATACCCTATCCACCACCACCTGCCATTGCTGCCAAAAACAAAACCGGTCAGCCACTCGCTGTCCATTATAACCAGCACATTGTACTCCAGTGTCTCACAACTGGTCTGGTGAGCCCTGTTATGATTGTACGCAAGATAGACCGCGCATCGACGGTTGTAGGCGGCGCAAATAGTAAACACTACTCGCACTATAATAGAGGTGCAGAAATGTCGACTCCATCGGGAACAAGCGGCGGCGAGTACGGAGACGAAATCCTGGGTGATCCAGTTTCGCAGCTCCACAAAGTGGCGCTTCAAATCGTACAAGATCCTTCAGCACGTCTGCAAGAAAACGACATCCCGCTTCAGAACGAAACGTTACCACGCATTAATCGTCCAGTAACTTATTTGGCCTGTCTTAATGACATGGTCGGTATGCATCGATCTGCACATGATCGTAAACCAATACGTCCTGATCCACCTGCTGCTTCTGCGGTAACAACAGCAACGACAACGACGACGACGGCAAATCCTTCGCTTGACATGGATGCCGCTGCTTCGAATAGAGCCGCCGCGCGGCGCAGAATTGCTTCCACTGGCAATGTAGCCGACTATTACTATGGAATCAACACGCAGCCACAACACCCGCTCCATCACCATGCTGCACCACATCAGCAAAGTATGTATTCAACGATCAATTTTCAAGGAGCTACGGAAGAGTATCATCAGCAGCATCCACAGCAGCAAATTGCGGGCAAACGCAGCCGGTCTGTATCCGCCATTGATCAAACAAGTGACGATATGAATGCCATGACTGCGTCATGGGCTGAACTAGGTGCATTTTGGTCTGAAGATGTTTCAGATTCAGCAGTTTGGACTATTGTAGGCACAGGTAAGAAGAGGGGAAAATATACTGCTATTACTATCATTGTTCATCCGATCCAACCAAGGAGATCTATATTCTCAGCGCGCAAAAGGCTAACCAAATCTTCAATTTCATCCGAATTGCCACCGTTTCCCATATCAAACGTCACAATCAACACCTGTATACTATTACTATTACTACTAGATTGTGCAAAATATACATTTTGGGAGATACCACCGATTCCACAAGACGACGAGTTCGTGGACGAACGATTCTTGGACATGTCACTAAAGTTTAATCAGCCACGTACGGTCACAATTGCTCCGGTACCAACGCTTTCACGGTTCTCACGATCCAAGGGCGACGGTGATGGACTGTTTTTAAGCATGCACGGTGAAAGTTTCACGCGCGACCTGGAAGTATGGTTTGGTGATTGCCGTTCTCCGCGCACGGAATATCGTGGCAGGGAACATCTGGTATGTGAAGTGCCTATCGCGTCTGAACTGGCGCATTCGGTAGGCGCAGAGTGGAAAAATGGCGGTTCATGCAGTGTACCTCTTTTGCTGGTCAGAAGGAATGGCTATGCCGTGTACAAGACGAATAAGTACTACACATTTTGTTAATGTAATATCTTCACTTTTCTTTATTGTTTCTCCTTACCCTCCCTACCTAACCCCTCATTTTCCCCAAAAAGTCTCGTCGCCCCAGCCTCTGTATCTTCATTTATATACATTTAATTTTCAGTGCTATAATTCCTCTTGATGAGAAGGTTATATTTTTGAACTATGTATTCGGAGCCACATTGAAGACAAACTTTTTGGGTTAAAAATATATTATGCTTTTCTTTGTTTCTACGTATTAACATGCCCACCGAATCAACAGCTGTCTCTTCATTGTGCTACTACTAAACTTTGTTCATATGTGTTTTTAACCGGCATGTAATTGACCATTCTTTTGCAACGCTATTTTCATGTTATGATCTAGCAATTATGTACGTTTGTGAGCATCATGTGACAAAAAAAAGTACAGGGAATACATGGATCACCGATGAATGAAACCAAACACAAATGGATACCTTGTAGTTCCTTTTTATTTACTTTTGTGTCTATGTCACACAAGACTTTTCAAATGGCGGCAATTGTGTCGCTACTATCTTCTTAATACCCACGCTTGTACAAAATCCTAGATTCCCATATGACAGCGAAATGCAAAGAGAGAAAGGGAAAGAGAGGAGAAACATGACATTGAAACACAATCTCTCTCTTGGGTTACAAACAGACTAAACTTGATTTCTTTTCAATCGGTCATCGTTGCGGAATATATTACTTTAGTGACAGTAATACATCATGTACCTTCTAGTAAACAAAGCCAAAACTTAATTGGGTAAATTTTCTGGAATTATGTAATCTGGTTAATGGGGAGAACGTAATCATCTTCTCACTCTCTTTTCGCGCGAACGCGCTTAAAACGTCTAACTGAGTGGAGTTGGTGAGGAACTATGACGGGAAAAGGACTAAGTAGAAGGTTTAAGAGATGAATAAAAATCAATGAAGCGGAGACCTTCACCGTTATCTCTGCAGCACTCTATATTTGACGTACATAGTCAACTTGACTTACTATACTACTGTATGACTAACTTTCGTTGCTCTCCATTAATACTGGTAAGACATATCAGTTATAAACTGTGTGTCGAAAGCACTATTAATTTTTATCTGTACCACAACACGTTGGTTTCGTTTATTACTATACTCTACATGTGAGCGAGGGGAAAAGAAAAGGAAAAGAAGAGAAGCAGACTAGATAAAAGAATAGCGTTTAATAAACGAGCCTGGAAGGAATAGAAAGCGTAGGCAGCGTGCATGCCAGTCCACCGCCTTTACATGCAGAGACTCCTTGCATATTACGTGTATTTAATACTTTTGGAGAAATTTCTTTCGTTACAGCAGCAACAGCAACCTATCAAACAATATGTACACTTGTACAGTCCAATTGTCAACTCTACACCTCGCACATTCAGTGTTGTAAGATCGCCTTTACTGTTTTTCATGGGGGTTGCCTGTCCAAAACAAAGAGGTATCCACCACCGTGCTTCTTTGTTGAATAGTAAGGAAAACCGAGACCAAAGAAGGAATGGCTTTATTTATGATACATAATACTTGGCAGCAGTTGATGCACACTCACAGCCACATGACCTTTCTCTCTTAGCTAAACAAGGTTTCTCTTTATTATATGTTGCATGCACGATCGATCAAATTCTTTTTTATTTTTCTTCATTGCATCATCTGCACGTTTTTACATCAGCATTGTCGTCCACAATTGTCGTTTTTACGATCTTGTATACATCCACTGCCAACAACAATTAGACAAGTCTTGATTATATATACCAAGTGACACACATACAAAGCGCATCCAAGCTATACACAAAAGGCAATCCTTGTTTTTGTTGGCGTCAAATACGCGCAGCAGAGTTGATGCGTTTTTCTCTCTTGACTTGATCACCACTATGTTCCATACAATATCAACAACCAAAGTGGGAGGTATATAGTGTACACGAACCAACAAGAATATCGATCAAAAGGGGTGGTTCGATAATCCGCATCAACTAGATGATGACATAAATACAGGGGAACTGTAGAAGCAGCAATCAAAGAATTAAACCACTTGTATAACAATATAAAAGAACAACAACAATAATACACAAATCCGTAACCTGCAATCCTGAAACGCGGATCAGCATCAGCTTCGGGTGAATAAAACTGGCAATCAAGCTTGAGCTGCACTGGTCTGCTTGCTGTTGAAAAAACGGAGGGCATACAAGGGATTTAATAACAACCTTATGTCGTGTAATGTATAGAGCTTCATATTCGTTGGGTTCAAATGATAAAAGCCAGCAGAGCCAAGTTCACTTTTTCCGCCATAGGATATGTTAACGACCTGGAGAGCCGCGGCCGAAGCAAGACTGCTACTAACTACGGAATGATATACAAAAAAGAGCAAAAGAGCTTTTTAAACTAGCTGACATGGACAGTACGATATTGAGCATGATTTACTGTGCAGCTGCTACATTAGGGCTATGATCAGTGTATATAGACATCTAAGGAATGTTTTCTCTACAAGGAAAAGATAAAATAAGACGGTATATACAGGTCATCTATTCACTAATTCAGCAATAGGTTCGCATTTTATATTTGATAACAATACACAAAGTTGTGATTAAATAAAAGCAGATACATATGTGTGGGAATTATCTTAGGGGATGTGATGTTGAGCGTGTATTTGATATTTGCTTCTAGCTACTACTACTACTACTACTACTACTATCACATGCAAGGAATTCAGCAGAATGTTAAAGCCTTGCTATATACATATAGTATTATCACATCATATTTGCAAAAATAGCAAAGCATAATTGATACACCTCGTCATCATATCTATTAAGACATGTATATGCAGTGTGTATGTAGATCTTCAATCGTAGCAAACCATTTATATGCACTGTTAATAATTCAGCTGCTCTTATTGAAGCGATCATCCGAATATGTACATATTCTTAATGATGCGTTTGTAGGTTAGATTGATGATCATCTGTACGATAAAGGCAACACTTATCTGATTTTGAGTCACTGTGATATCAAATAAACTTAAAGAGATAGAATACGTCAACGAGACCCGGAAGGAATTACAAACTTGTTCATTATGATAACATTAGTTCTCACTACTGAATAAATAGATTATGGTGTATTTCATCTATAACCGCCAATGTTTCAATTTTGAGATTTCAAATGCCGCTTCTTTATTTGGTAATATTCAAATAATAGTAGGGAAATCGTCACGACGGTGTGAGCTGTAAGTTCGGGAAGTATATCTTTCCACAAGAGTGATAGCTTCGGGAGTTGGTAGTTCTTGGGAATAAGCGTCTATAAAACGCCACACCCTTCCATAAAATCGTCTAATTAGTGTAGGTACTTCGTCTGGGGGCGAAACAGTATCCAGGAACTTTGGTAAGTTTTCTTTCAAAGCTTTAAAACTGTAATCACAATTGATTCGTGCATGGTACTTTGCTTGGCCCCAATATCGTTCGATCCAATTGCACTCGCAATGGAATTTTGGATATAGCTCAAAAATGTGACCCGCGTTCTCCACAGCTTCACAAAGGGCTGTCTTTTGATCTCGAAAGTCGGGCTGAGCACCAAGAAAATGTCTAGCACAACACTTGCTATCGTCCACTTCTTCTTTTTTGCAATCCATTCGCCAAACTTTTCCAGGTCTATACGGGTCTTCATCAAACCAAAGTCCACGCTCATTCAAAATGATTTTTATCCCCTTGAAATGGCATACTTGCTGTTTGTCGGCCGTGACTATCGTGACACCTCGCTTGCATTTCTTAATGTTTTCTTCGATATTCATGTACATCCTTTGTGTTTTCTTTTCTTTGGTTGCTTCATCGATAAAGTAGCTGTCCCGATACACGTGCATGCTGCAGTCATGCTCTGCGTTATCCACTCCACACCGCTTTGGATCCTTGCACATAGTTCTCGCCAGTAATGCATCACTTGGGTAAGCGTTATGATTACTACTTTGATCGAATATAAATAATGCTTGACAACCAGGGTGCAAAAGGTCAAATAGTGGGATCGCATCTTCTTCTAACTGCTTAACCATGTCTTTGCTGGTCCAATACTGTTCTCAGTTAGCCCCTGCATAGAAGTATGTACGCGAGGTCCATATTCCAGATCGCATTGTGCCATGACACGCGCATTGGAACTCGGATATCATAATGGATTGTCCAGGGCTTTTGTTGTGTAGGATACTCTCGCCGTCTGCCAGCCATAGCTTTTGTTTACCGTCGTTTGCATAGAAGGTTGACTCATCATAGGTAACCATAACAAGTTTCTTTTGATCAGGCGCTAAAGATGGCTCAATGATGATTTCTGCACGTTGTCCTTCGTACGAGTCCATCCGCTTCTTGTACTCCACCATTCGTTTAGCCCATTTTAATCGGTATGCTACCACGTCATCTCGTTCGTGCCCGTCGTAATATATATCCTTGCTGTTTTTGCGGTATCGATAACCCCACTCAGACATATATCGCCATAATGTCGTCTGTGATACTGAGCCTGGAACACCAAGTATCTCAGGGATGATACTTTTATTGATAACTTTAACAAAAGCAGGGAGGTTACGCAGCTCGAATTTTTGACCGCCTATCAATAGACGGATTCGTTCTTCCACGGACTCGTCACTGAGGAGTGATTCTCTTTTTACATGCTTCCCTTGTTGATGTGTTGAGATGGACCCAGAATCACGGAATTCGCGCGCCCAGTAGCGAATGGCCTTTGCCCTGTACTCTTTTGATGGGGTGGTCCAGATATCGACAGCAGCTCTTTGAGAACTATCAATACTTTTCAATCCCTGTGACCGATAGTGATAGTACCGGTATACAGCTTGTGTTTTTGCCATTTGAAAAGCACCCATAGTATTGAGCGTGCTTCCTTTGTTCGCTACCGGCTTTATAAGTGCTTTTAAAGATGCTAAAAGCTGTGAGAGTTGCTCCTCACCATCAATATTGGCGACGCTGTAGTTTTTGTGGAGAGCTTTAGAAGAGTTCTCTGAATGTATACACGGCGTTTGCGTCACCTTCGTGAAATAATCATCGACCTTTTTGCAACCTTCTGCAGCAGCTCTTGCTTCTGTTCGTCTTCGCCAGTTGGTCGTACGGGAGTCTTTGTTATATACTACACGCATGGATTTATCTGCATCGTCTTTCCAAGCCAGCGATAGTTTTGCAGCCTGTTGTAATATATTGTGCGTCAGGTCAAGGAGTTCCCAATCGTTGATATTATCGTCGTCGTTGTTGTCACTTAGTTCAGATCCTGCATCGACATATGTAATAGTCGCTGGACTTTCCGAAGCTATGAATCTTCCATATTCAACTATTGTTTTCTCTTTGCGTTCTCTCTAGCGCTCTTCTGGCGCTTCCTAAGTGGTGGCATCTGGTAGAAGGAACAGGGTGTGGCCACATCTCAGCTCTTGCGAATAATAGTGTAAGGCATTAGATACTAACCAAATTAGGAAATTTCACGTGAGTATTATTTACCCGAATATGCATGAGTGCGTTTCAATTTTCCCCTTCGCCTGCAAAATTTTCCTAAACCAGCAGACTTTGACGACTATCCTCTCCTTCCCAAAACATTTTTTTAAGACGTTAGCCAAATAGAAATAGACTAAAGATGCTTAAGAAACAATTGATTTGGTTGCTTTTGTGGTAAACTTGTTTTTGGGGGTGCTGATAGCTTTCAATTTTGGGGAAAATTTTAGCGGTTATAGATGGAATACACCATATATATTCCACGAGAATGGCTATATGTACATTCCCTTGTCTTGAGCAATTTCCTCTAGCAAAAGTAAGCGTTATTCTGAGCTGATAAGAAAGATATGTTTATTCTACCAAATGTTAGTAAGTTTACGTCCGTGGTAATGATAGCCCCTTATTCTTTTGCTTCTAGTCTAAGTTTCTGCTTTTAATGCCAAGGCTGTGCTGCAGTTGCTGTTACACTGACTCGTTGTACTTTATGATTATCCGTGATCGTTTTTTTTGGCTTTTGCACAACGGTATTGTTGTTGTATCACTCATCAGCTACATCCGTTGTATGATGATCTCGTCACCTCTTCTTGTGGGTCACGGACGTTGTTTTTGAATAGAGATCTGGATAGAGTTGTTTGCGATTACAAAACTCGAGAATCTTGATTTCGTTACTGTTGTTTGGAATATTGAAAACATAACATGGATTTTGTGACGTTAGCTATCGATAAAATTGATGGCAAAATATTAGCATGTGTTTTGTACTTACAGTTAAAACTACTTTTCCATAATTGGTCCACTTGTATAGGTAATGCCTATCGTTGTTTTGATGTTTGTCTTGAATGCAATTGTTTGTCTTCAGCCCGGAATTGATACAAGTGCATTCGTATCTTAAGAAACGTATTGCCCTTGTACCATAATTTTCCATAAGCTTGCTCTAAGTGCTGCTTTTTGTCGTGCCTCGAGTTGTCTTTTCTTGCACCATTTGCCTTGTATCTTGTGTCTTGTATATAACTTTTTTTTCTTTTTTTTTTTTTCTTTTTCTTTTTCTTTTTTCTTTTTTCTTTTCTTTCTTTTCTTTTTTCTTTTTTCTTTTCCTTATTTACGGGGTCTATCATTACCTGGACATTAACTTACCAAACATCTGTAGTGGGAATATATTCGTGAGAGATATCGTTGACTGGTATATAGGAACATGCAGGGCTCTACGACAAAGCAATGTGAGCACAATTGCGTAACATTACAAGGTGGATCAATTGCTTTTTGTTACTAATTCTTACCGTTATGCTTTTCTAAATGCCTATTGCCCCTGGTATATCTTGCTGTCTGTAGCTGATTTTCTTGAAGCATGTGTCTGCATCTCTTGAGGATGCATTAAATAGCAATATCGTTCGGCCGCCACTTTTGCTAATGGATGTTTTGAAGTTTTGATGAATATATGTGGTATGCTCCAATGACGTTTGTTGTAATCCTTTTAGAGCACTGCACAATTACCCTTTTTCGTTTTTCTCCACAAATGATCTTATTGTCGTCGCATAGTAATTGAGCGAGCAATATGGATGCTCGGTGGACAATCACGTGCGTTTCATTGATGTGCCTTGAGTGTGTATGTGCACATGTGTCTTCCATCTTGACTTTGAAAAATGTATTGACTGCTTCCGCTTGCCACCGATCAGGTTTGTAGGATCGTCTCTATCACCAATGTATCGTAGACTGTATACTGGTAGTAGGCTCTTCTTGATTTCCGCTTTGTTGGTATACAGTGCCGTCGTGTGGATCTGAATATGATGGCCACTTGATGATGACGCCTTCAAAGCCAATGTCGTGTTTGATGCGCCTTATGAGCGAGACCTTGTATTGTTTGAAATAGCTGTGTCCTGTGTTTGATTTGCGGTTACTACAGCTGCGTTTTCATTCACCACGCGTTAACTGCCTCACAACCATAGCAAGAATGAAACCGCCACATATGATGTGATGCTAGTTTGTTCACTTACTTGTTCGCATTGGTGTCCTTGACCTTTCCTGTCGTCCAAACCCGTGATGCTTAGTTGTATGGAGGTCATCGCCAAGGTTTTGAATCGCCTTTACGATTCCTAAGAAGAGATAATAGATATGAGCATACCATTGTTTTTGACTTGATATCGGTGTCATCAGATAATCATGCGCACTTACTTTCAATTCATAAAGTAGCAAGTAAAATGACTAATTGTGCTGCCTACGTCGTTTCTTGTCGCTCTTGTTGCCTCTGATGTGTGGTTGTCATTACGCTGCATACTATAGTATCGCCAGATTATGTAGGTTTGACAAAAAAGCGTTCCCATGGCTTCTTGTTCTCTTCAACGATAAACGATCAGAACGGACGAAACTTGTCATGTAATTGAAATGTTGTTGACCGCTTGACTGTTCGATAAGTGCCAGATTCCAGGGTTTAGTTGCCACCTTCCTGCCTTGGTTGATGTTGTCGTCCGGAGCTCTTGATCTGCTGTTGTGCCATGATGAAGATCCGCTCGAAAGCTTGTTCTGTTCCCGCTGTTGTCAATTGTTACCGGAAATGCTGTTTGCCTGAGTTGTTGCCACCAAGTTGGATGTCATCAACGCCGATGACGACTATTTTGTTGCGTCGATGTTGTCGCATGAATAAATCTTGCTGTTTGTTGTCATAAGCAGAGGTGACTCATCATCTCGATTCGAACTGTAGCAATTGTCATTTGCAATGTTGTCAATTCTTCTTGCTCTTGTGCTTTTTGGTTTGATGTCTACAACGTGCCATACCGCTCTTTTTGATGTGTTGTTCCGACAGTTCCTTTCCGTCTTAACGTAACTTGTTGGAATATTCGAGTTGAACCGTCAGCCATGCTGATGTCTCTTCGTTGCTACAACCTCTTGCTTGTTATCCGTACCACTGAGTTGCGCTACTTCTTGATGTGATGATAAAATTGCTGCGCTGAAACATGTGATTCACTGTTGCACGCTTTTTCGTGATGGGGCATGCATTTTGACAAGAGAAAATCAAGCCAAAGACGGGATTCTCCGAATCCTCGATTCGACACAAGGGTGCTTTTGTACTCGGCTAGTCTGAAATTTGGCGCCACCCCACCATGACGGCATGTGAGGCACATGCATACTAACCACACGCAACGACGACGTAATCAAGCCAAAGACGGGATTCTGCTAATCCGCGATCAGCGCCAAGTTTTTTTACTCGGCTAGCCTGGAGTGCTGGCGCTCTCCCAACATGGCAGCGTACTACCACCGCACCGCTCTCGCCAGGACAACCCCAGCCCGGACACCCCAGCTTCAGGCACCCGAAGCAGAGGGTAAGGGTTATGAGACAGAAGGATACTCACTTCCATAGCAGAGGGACAGCTAACTGCTACCCAGGCCCCCTGAGGGATCAGACGCGGTTTAGGCGTAAACACATTCCAGAGGACGACCGAGAACCGTGCTGTGGGGTCGGTGAGGTGGTAATGCTTGTGGAACAATGCTTTGTGGTATTGTCGACGCAGGAGTACCACGGGGTGTCTTTTGAGCCAGTGTGAACCAATGGAGCAACCACGACTAAATAAATGCCACAATGCAAAGACGGCTTTAGGTCCTACATGGAGCTGCTCCCCTCCCTTGTATTAGCAATCATCAAAACGATTGACTGCTACAAGAAAGGGGGATGGACGACTAGCAAAAATACTTCAAATTAGTTAGTACATCATGCTCACTTTGTTTTCCTTTATTACGTGAAAGTAAAGATGATCAATACGTGCCTGCAAACAGAGCCATGGTCTACCGGGCCGCTCCATTGTACATTCCTGCTATGCAAGGTGTCACCCTCGTCCTCCAAAACCGACAAACGACAATGCAATGTTCCTAGCATCACCATACAGCACACCGGTGGTGCCACAGCCATCTAGTCCAAAGTCATCGTGAAACATGCGCAGAGGCCCCCTATATCTCCCTATACAGGCGATAGCACAGTGCCTTGCCACAGCCTTCCATCTCAGCCCTTACCTTACTCCGGGTACCCTCCACTGCACCCCATCGCCTGACGTAGGCGGAAGCCGCCAGACCAAACACCAGAAGCATCGCAGCCGAAACGACCACGCAAAGACCTAAAGAACATGGATCCAATCAGTAAATATATGCCTTCAATCTGAGACAGCCTTCTTTGAGCTACATACCAAAACAGCCCACGCAAAAGAGCCGACCAAAGACGGCCCAAACGAACCACCCCAGAAGCCATGCGGAGAAGGCACCACCGAGGAACCGACACATCACCACGACGCCGACGCGCCAACAAACCAACGCCAACAAGCGGGAAGAAGAGGATAAAGCAGGAGCCGGTAAAAAAGAACGGAAGCAGGAAAAGGAGGGCCTATTAAATCGACCAGCCAGCAATGTTAGTTTTCATCTTTATCAGGCAGCAATGTGTTTGAAGCAGGCTTAGTAAAACGAGAGTTGACTTTGTTACCAATAGCTATACGGAATACGGAATACTGAATACTGAATACTGAATACTGAATACTGAATACTGAATACTGAATACTGAATACTGAATGTTTTTTGGAGGGTTTTGACTTTTGAATTGTTTTTTGGGTGCTATTAGAATTTGTACGAAAAAGAAGAAGCCGGTATCAATGAGCGCGTTTATGATAAGAAAGAAGCAGAAGCACACGACAGCAGAAACATTATACTTACCTTTTGTGGTGTTTTTTGCTTTTTTTGTTGGGATCTATCATAACAGAAAGAATAGACGTGTCCAAGTCAGTGAACGTGCTCAATAAAAAGGTCAATGTAGAGTAGCTTACTTTATGGATGTTTTTAGTACCACCAGGGGTACGAAGGAGGAACCCAGTCTACGTGCATCAGATTGCTCTGATCGTCGTCAATATCCATGTCGTCGCTGTCAATGTCCATCATATCACCAGCATATGGGATCTCTTCATCCTCTTCTGGCACTGGCGCCTCTTCAGCCTCTTCGTCATCGGCAACCTCAACCATCGGAGGAGCGAGAGCGGGGAAGAGGACAGGGAAAGCGGGAGCAGGCGCCTCCTCAGCCTCTTCGTCATCGGCAACCTCAACCATCGGAGGAGCGAGAGCGAGGAAGAGGACAGGGGAAGCGGGAGCAGAATGGTGAGGAAGAGGGGACGGCGGCAAGACGGGAGAATGCAAAGGACTGAACTGCGGTGATGGCGGTGGGGACGAACCCGCACGCGACAGAGCACTGGACGCATCATCATTGTTGCCGAGGTCAATGATGAGGGAGGAGTCGGAAGAGAAGACGGTGACGAAGGAGTGGTGTGAGGCCGTGCTGGCGTTGTCGAAGCTGAAGGTGGGTGTAAGGACGGGCGAGAATTGGGGTGGCGCGGAGGAGATGGTGGAACGGGAATGGTATGAAAGCTGTGATGCCGCGTCAGGGTCGTAGGGGATGGTGGACGCATCGTCGTGGTCAAAGTTGTAGTAGCCTGTGGCTTGGTCGTAGGTGTTTTCAGCGTGAGTGCTCATCGTAAAAGTACGGAAGAATAGAAAAACTGGTAAAGAAGGAAAAAAAAAGGAAAACGCGTTTTTTTGTATCCTGCTTCCTTATCTATACTTGCTCTGATCTGATTTGATTTGATATGCACAAATAATTTCCTTTTTTGGGTTGCCTTGCCGAATGATCTCTTACCACTCACATTAAAGATCCTTCTTTATGACTTATGGGACCTTTGAAGCAGACAACTGGAAGCTTGTTTTCGAAGAGCTATACAGCAGAAAAAGACTTTTTTGTTGCCATGGCATTCAGGGGTTGTGACATTTCCTGTTCCTGAAAGCTGCTTGTTGCCATGTCAAGCATGTCAAAAATTTATTTTATTGTATTCGTCGCGTCACGCATTTTGGCCAATTCCGAGCGGAATGGCGGCTGTTCTCGCGAAGAGTTTATATCATACATAATTCTATTGTTTTAGTGTAGCAAAAACGGCACCCAATCGAGCTTTAGCTCCCAAGCCTTCAAGCCGCTTTTGATCTGTGGCCGTCCATGGTGGTATAGGATCATCATTTGGTGGATCTTCCAAACCTTGGCACATTCGGTATCTTTTGTATAGCCTGCAACAAAAAAAACAAATAGTCATTTGAGTTCACAGTTATCTAATCAGCTTCCGTTATATCTTTGTTCCGACATCGAAATCACAAAGCGAGAGCGAAGCTTACTCATGATAGCGAGGCTCATTGCCCAAACCGCCCAGTACTAGGACCAATGTTCCGGATGGGAAACCTTTATACATTTGCTGAAAGTAGCTGTCGAACCGTGTCATTCTTGCCGCTTCATCGTAGTTGCCACTAGCTATCTCTGTGGAAATCACAGTGGGTGCTGCTTCTGGCATATCAGCTGGGCCTTGCTTCTTCTTGTTTTTTGGACGCAGCGTATCGAATTGAGAAAACACAAAATCATGGGTACTTGCAGCCTTGATTGTGCTTTCAATCAAATTATCTTCAGAGTCGTAGTGCTTGTAATTCAAAGAAGTGCTGGAAGCAAAGACGCCATTGGGCGTTTCAGATGCTTCAAGCAGCGCGCTTGATTTGGGTGGCGTGTGCTTGTGTAATCGATCAGAGATGAGCTCAGAGCCATTACCGAATCGGCCAAAGTCAGGCCCGCGTTTCACTTTGAGCTTGAATAGGTCGAGTGCGGCACGCGCATCTTCGGCTGAATCGTGACCCACTTTGGATTGGTGCTGGATAACACGTTTAAGGAGATTACGTGACAAGTGACGCAAGGCTGGTTTGAAGGGTTTGCCTTTGAAACTATCGTAAAGAATCGATGTATCGGCACAGTAAGGGTGTGACAGCTTGAGTGCATGTAAATCGTTTTCTAAGCCGTGGCCGATCAAGATTACGTTGTGATCAACGTATTTGCGCACGTGTTTCTGTGCTCGACGCAGTGAGCATGTCGTCTTTTTCATGATCTCCGGTGTGATACCACTGTATTGCGTCAAATAATCCAAAATGGGTTCGCTAGGTTTGACGTATTCGTCTAGTAATGTATTTCCATCTAACAGAGCATGAACACTTATTAGCAGTCAGCCGCTTGCTTTCGATAAGAAAAGTCTTTACCTTCGTTAACCAAGGTGACACGAGCTAATGCCTTGCCTTCTGCGGTCTCAACCTGTGTATGATGAATAATTATATTGTTATTATCAGGTTCAAAACAGAGATAAGTACTGAGCCGTCTTACCATCTCACAATCAATGGCAATCAGTTTTTTCTTGGGAATAGGTTCTTTTACGGCCCGTGTTTCCTTCCAGTCATCGTCAATCGCTGCTTGTGGATCCAGGAACGTTGGGATAGGGTATCCTGATGCCTTCATATCATCGAGTGTCAGTATATAGTATTCGTTCAAATTATCTTCGTATTTCTTCAAACCTATAAATAGCAGACAAAACAAACTCAATAAATTTGTGTTTTAAAATATTATCTTGAGGAAAGAGAACAATAATTACGTTCGTTCGACGCCTTCTTTTGACGTTCATGCTCATTGTTTCCGACTGGGCATTGGAGCAATTCAGAGACGGGCGAGAACACCTTTCCACTTCCACCGGTCAGCTTACTGACAAACATATGCGAAAAGCAGCTGGTAAAAAAGGGCATCGCAGCCCTGCCGGTTGACGATGCCGTATCCAAAGCGCTAGTATCAATGGAATGGGGAACGTTGTTACGATGGGTAGGTGCGCCAAATGATATGATGTCCAAACCGTGAACAAAAATAACGACAGTGTGCTTGATGGATGCCCTGTGTGTAATAGTGGCCCATGAAGGAGGGTTCGCCTGGGTAACGCTGTACAAGATGAGATCACGTATACTCGACAGTGATATCTTTTGCTTCACAGAGTCAGGCTTCAGACGAAGAGTGGGTACGTCAACCTATTATTATATTTTTTTGGTACTCGCAAGTCAGCAGGGTGTGAATTGGACGATTTTCCCCCTATAAGAGTCTTTGAGTTTACCTTGACGCCATCGACAACTTTCTTAGCAAGTTGACGTTGTCGCTTCTTTTCACGAATCTTTCTCACTTTCTCCTTGACTTCTTCTTCAGTAAGCTTCTTTTTTTCACTGCCTCGATACTTTGCTTTTGCATCTGCGTAAAACAAACAGTGACCTCCACTTAGTATCGATCTTCCAAGTGGCTTCTTTGGCAGTATTACTTACCTTTTTTTGTTTTGCCGTTCTGCGTCTTTTTGGCATCTTGACCGGGTATCTGGATGGCTGTTGATCCATTTTTCGCTTTCTTAGAAGACGGGAACGAAGAGCTCTTTCCTGCTTTTCGTTTCTTGTTGCTGTCGTCTTTGTTACTGTTATCTTTACTGTCGATCTCGGCTTGATCGGAAGATCGTTTCTTGGTGGCCACCTGAATGACAGTTGTTGGGACACTGACTGCTACGTTCGAATCGCCGTCAAATTTCACGTGGACTTTGGCATTTGTATCGAACAACTTCGGCCTTTTTGGATCGATCGACGGTGTAAACTTCATTTTTTCTGTTGATCGATCAGTTCGTCGTTAAAGCACAGAAAAAAGAGACAAGCTGTAAATTTCGGATACAGTCGTGCGAGTCACGGATAATGTTCGTCGCGCTCGAAAGGACACCACCACTGCTGCGACTTCGTCTCTCACCCTCTTTTTTTTGCACAATGTCCGATCAACAGGTGTGTACATTTGTTATTTTTATACTCAAATGCATTGTCTCTCTAATCTTATATTTGCTTCGAATGTGTGTGTATATAGACTGCCGCAATTATTGCAGCACGACAAGCTGAAATACGAGCCAAGTTGGCTAAATTCCAACAGCAACAGAAAGGTGCACCTCCACCGTCAGCCGCACCACCACCGAGTCGACCACCATCACAAGCTCCTTCATCGTCTACATTTTCTGCATCACCGCTTACAAACAGACGTCCTGAGAGTAGTAGCGCCAGCCCCAGTTCATTACCGAGCCGTGGGAGTCCCGCCGGAGGTAGTGGTGGTTCTGCAGACCTCGATCTGATTCAACGGAAAATCGCAGAAGCCAAAGCACGATTAGCGGGAAACAATACCTTGGTAGCGGTAAGAAGAAGAGCAGAACCTCCCTTTTTGATGATTAAATAATAATAATTTAAACGACGGGTGCAAGTTATGCTGATCCCACATGTATGATCGGTTAGCCTCGAGCAACAGCGAAAGGTATCTATGTGCCCGATGATAAAGGAAGAGTTGGAACGCCTCAAGTTGGCCTAGACGCGACCGGAAGCATTGATCTTCAAGCAATGCTGAGCAGTATACCCAAGCGAGAAGTTGCTACAGCAAAGGTAAAACGTGTATTTTATAAATATGAGCTAGTCGAAACGTACTTTGAAAGTTTGATATTCACACAACATGTCTGTTTCCTTATTATGACAGGCTAATCAGCGCTCTGCACAAAAGAAGGAAGGGCCGGGTATAGGCATTGGAAGCAAAGCTAAAAACCCGTACCTGGAATATCCGACCGAAGCCACCACAATACCTACCAAACGCAAAGCGAGACCGCTCAAGTTTGTTCAGCCGGGAAAGTACATTGAGAAGGCGGATAAAGAACGAAAGCATGCACAACTCGAAAGATTGAAGCAGGAGATTGCGCAAAATGTCAAAAAAGCGGGCATGGAAGTCGAATTGGACATTTCTGATAAAGCATTAAAGGTAAGAAGGCGGTGCTTCTACATTTACGTATGTGAAATTTTAAATGATTAAGTAACTGTATTGTTCACTTGTAGAAAGAGCCCGGACCACCTGCCGAATGGTGGGATGCACCTTTTCTTCCTAATAAAGCATACACAGACATGGATGAAACACCTGTCAAACCGGAAGAACTTGACCAGCTCGTGACGCTGTATGTCCATCATCCGATCCCTATCAAACCACCAAGCGAACAAAACAGCACACCTGTGGTGCGATCACTGATGCTTACTAAAAAGGAACGCAAGAAACTTCGACGACAACGACGACAAGAAACACAAAAAGAAAAACAGGACAAGATTCGTCTTGGCTTGCTACCACCCGACCCACCCAAAGGTAAAGATGCTTGGTGAAATCTTTCAGAAGATCTTATTAGACTTATCTTAATAATGTGGTGACAAATATTTGTCTTTTCATCTGTTTGTATACAGTCAAAATTAGCAATTTGATGCAAGTTCTAGGACAGGAAGCTATCCAAGATCCTACAAAGATTGAAGCTCGTGTCCGAAAAGAAATGGCGCAACGACAGCAACAGCATGAATTAACCAACGAGCAACGTAAACTGACTCCAGAAGAACGAAGGGCAAAGATTATGAACAAGCTTGCCGAAGACAAGAAACAGAGCAATGAAGTGGCAGTTTTCAAGTAAGTGTAACCTTTGAACTACTTAAAGTTATAAATGTATATTTCGATACTGAATTTTTCCTCCTTGACAACTTTAAATAGAATAAAAAATTGTGCACACCCCAAACATCGATACAAGATCGAAAAGAATGCACAGCAATATCAGTTAACTGGAATAGTGGTTGTTCATCCAAAGTGCCATTTGGTTATTGTTGAAGGAGGACCAAAAGGTATTAAGGCGTACAGAAAGCTAATGCTCCGACGTATCGATTGGAACGACATGCCTCCTCCCAAGAATACTGATGGATCGTCGGACATGATGGATATCGATCGATTCAACACAGAAGGCGAGGATAACAAGTGCTATTTGGTATGGGAAGGTCAAGTGAAGAACAAGGCATTCCGTAAATTTACGTGGAGATCATTTGAGAGTGAAAAGATGGCTAGAGAAGAGTTATCCAAATGGAACGTAGAACACTACTGGGATGCGGCTGTCATGGCATCGGATGAAGACCTTGCTGCACGGCAACCAGAATTGTAGTCAGCGTAATAACAAGAAGAAACAGCACGATAAAAAATATTATAAAAAGACGATTATACGTTAAACCATAAATCAGAACAAATCGTGTTTAGTTTGAAGAAAGAGGAAGGATACAAAATACAGAGGAAGTTTTTGTTTTAGAGCTTTTGGGCAGGATAAATCTTGGAGAGCCATTGCTTCAGGTATGAGTTGCATTCCTCCGGTTGCTCCCACAACACCCAGTGACCAGCGTTCTTGACATTGAAGACTTCAACGTTAGGAACGGATTTTTCCATTCCTTTGGCCATAGAGGGTGGCAAAGCAACGTCGCCGTCAGCCGTCACCATCATGGCAGGCTTGTGAATGATAGGTTCCAAATCTGAAAGAAAGGTGATACGTTTGTTAAATTAAACACTAGAAAGGTAGATAATTACAGATCAAGTTGGGCTTTGAGGACGACTACTAACCTTTGCATTCTTCAAAGTTGACCTTGCGACGCTTGTAATAGTTGAGACAACCAGCAGCACCACGCTTTTGGTACTTCTCAACGTAGTAATCGAGCACCTAGAAAGACATTCGATTAAAGCCTGCCACAAATGCACTGCACTGCATTAAATTGCTGCTGTTGTGTTACCTTTTGAGGGAGTTTGTCGCTCTTTGGAACGGGTGGTCGGCCAGCAATAAGTGTTTTAGTTTGCTCATCAATAATGCCGCCACCGCCTACTTGCTCGGAAATAGGTCTGAACATCCGCTTGAAAAAGGCTTCGGTCTAAACAGCAAATGATAGCCAGGTCAATTTCTTTGCTTTTATAGTTTTTAATAAGGGAGGCACAACAGCGAATTTCATACTGACATTTTCATCTATTTCGGCTGCAGCTGAGGGTGTTGTCAGGTACAATTGATAGGTAAAGTTAGGCACCAGTTTGACAAGCTCTTCGAGAGGAAGGTATTGCTGCTCTGGACGCGAGTAGGGCGTACAGAAACTGGCGACTAGAGGAGCATATGATAGATTAATGGAACGTAAGTGTAATATTTAGCTTGCGCAGTAGCTACGTGAACAATATGTAGACGAATTTACATACCTGCCACTACACGATTGGGATAGAACTGAGTGAAGCGCCAGGCGCAGACACCTCCCCAGTCGTGACCGACGACGACAACGGTTGGGATTTGGAGGTAGTCAAGCAAACCAGCAAAGTCGTTTGACAACGTTTGCTCACCGTACTGTACATGGTCTGCAGGGGCATCCTATTACACGTGAATAAATTAGCTTCGTATTTTAATTTCGCCTACACGCTCATCTTTGATGAAAATTTATGCGTACACTTTCACCAAAGCCGCGCAAAGTAGGTACAACGACACGATAGCCTAGCTTGACCAGGAAGGGAATCTGCTCGCGCCAACCTATATTGTATCATGTTTATATAAACTTGCTCGAGTTGTTTCTGGCTGTACCTATTACAAATCACATACCACACCAACTAATGGAGGGTTTTTTGTGTTACTTTAATTAGGCATGACCAAGCAAGAAAATTTCCAGAGAGCGAAAAGGAAGACATACAGGTCGGGCCAGCCGTGAATAAGCAAAAGAGCCTTCTTAGACGACTGGTTCTCGTCAATATAGTGCATGCGAATGCCATTAACATTGCAATACTGGTGGTTAAACGTGGTGGGATCGCTTGGGTCCATGCTTTTTAAACGATGTCTGTGGATATACAAAAAAGAAAAAGAATAGAAGGAAGAAAGAAAGCAACCATTTTCCCTCCCAGAATATGCTATTTTAACGATTTTCAAAAGCCGAAAACGTGTTTTGTCACTGCCTCGTTGCTTTTGCAAGGATAGTTAAGTGTGTTCACCCAATGACAGCGTCGAGCACCCGTCCAGCAGAGCTTCCAAGAGAAAAGCTTTTCTGAAAATGTCCAATATATGCCGAGACGTGTCCTAGTTATCAGTCTTACAGATGCCGCCACCATTTGCAAGTCGATTGTTCCTGTTTCTTTTCATCAAACATTGATAAGCAGATTAGTCTCCGGTACCATCGAAACATATTGACAAAAACTAAAGGGCAGTGTTGCCGTATCATTTAGGATGAAGAAGGAACATGGGGTTGGTGGAATCACATTTAAGCAAGCCACCATGCTGAATTACTCAGCAATCCAGCATATTTTGGAAGGTGTTATATGTCTATGATGCTTGTATCAAGTTCAGAGAGCGTCGCTCGTTGCGCACGCATGAGCATATGAAAGAAGATATCGTCAATCACAACTATGAGCACAGAGCACTACACAGTGACAACAGCAGGGAAACTTTTGAGCGGGCGCTGGTTTACCCGTGTGCATAAACGTGCAACTTTGTGCGTTCTGTACGTTCTATTGAGACATAATAAAAAAAATGGGATTACGACATTACCTGAAGGTACTGGGCGAAAGAAAAAAGAAACGAGGAACACAGAGAATGTGGCTTCAATAGTCATTTTAAGAATCTTACAGAAAACAAAATGCATGCTTTGCCATTGGAGACACCAGTCCACGCCGTAGTAAAAGGCTTGCAGGTAATAGCTCCTTTTTTTTGGGACAGATAGTAAGTCCCATGCCCTAGAGGTAATCCTCTCCCGTTCAATACGCCGTTCACTATCGCGACGAACGCGGAGGGCCCTTTTTGCTAGCGCTACTAAGTAATCAGTAAGGGGTGACACTTGAAAGACTCTAGTAATGCTGTTAACTCAGCTAAACTCCCTGGAGGTCTGTCCTTGGGGAATCACACCCTTCATACCTCTACTATAAGGCTTTGACTACGCGGTGCTGGAGTCTAATTCACCCTTCATTTCAAGAGAACTTACCTGGTTGCACCAGAGATAGTTCAGGCGGATGGGCTTCTTCTACGGCCGATGGAGCTTCTGGTTCCTTTTAGTTCCCTCTCCAGAATTCAACTATAACGATAACAATAGCAAGAGCCTATAGTAGCAGACTTTGATACCCGTGAATATAACGCTGAGCATCACCATAGTCAAACGCCAGAAGCAGTGAGAGTAGGCGAAGACATGAAGGATGACAAATCGAAAGATCGCGTCATTATCCATCAAACAACAAATACTCGTGGATCGAATTGATAAGGCGGCACAAATAGCTCGCTACCAAGAGACACGCGCCATTGACAGAATCGATTCTCTTATACTTAAAACGTATCTCCAGCGCAAAACGCAACAGTTGGCAAAACAATTACAGCATTGCAAGAACGCGGTTGAACGAGCACGTCAGAAGCAAAATGGCGACATGGCGCATATTGAAGCAGGGCCTTTTTTTTCAGATAAATTGGTGCACAACGATTTTCCATAAATATATCAGCAAAAGACGGCTAACATCTTGTTTTCTTTTCCTTCTGGTCAGGGTGAATACTGGACTCGCAGACACAAAGGGGTCCTACAAGCCCGTTTTTGTCGTCTACGTCCAGTCTGTCAATATTGAGTGTGAGTTGGTCTCCGGGGAGGTAAAACCTTCAAACGTTAGCGTCGACCAAGCAGAGTCCGACCTAGTGATGACAGGGAAAGAGATGAATCAGTTGTACAATCGTCTCTTCATGCTTGGTGTACAAAAACCTTCCGTCTGTGGTGTGCTTGTTGAAGGTTATACGATGAAAACCTCTAAGATCGACGTTCTTGCACCAAATATTTACGATCAACAATACTCACCGAAACAGTAATTTTTAAAACACGGAAGCAATTTACCAGTATCCCGAACCTTATCGCTGCTTTCGTGCAAGTCAAGGTTATTAGAGACCTCTATACAAACATGCATGTGTATTGCGCGCAGTGAGAAGTGTGCTCTGAAGATATTTCAAATTAAGTGTTTGTGAAGTAAGAATAATACTGAACAAGTGTTAAAATATGGTATCGCTGTTATTACAGTGACTTGCTGCATGCCTCTGCCACCCAACGTACAGCAGAGTTGTATATAGGTGCTCCAAGCGCCACTGGATATCTAGTTACCAAGCAGAAAGCACTGTTCTTATTCTTTAGTATATGTATTATGCTAGTGCCATAGGTAACTTTCCTATCAGTCTTATATAATAAATGTAAAATTTAGCCTAATCACAAAACCGACACCCTCGCATCGCAATCCATCCCGCTATCCTTTTTCGCCCTTTCACTGTATACATGAACATCCATCATCATAGCTATATCTTAAAAGAAAATTAAAGCACTTTGTATATAATTTACACATAGATGATGACCTTTTACTTTATTGGTTTGAATATTCTGGTTATGCTACAATTTGCATACCAGCTTGCTTGGAATGGAACACAAGGGGTCGGCTATGCAGTTCCAATGGATTGCCCGACCATACAGCAAACTCATCGATAGCCTCCACAGTCTTGACACCTTCCTCTCGTTTAGAAAGTCCAAAGATTTCTTGCAAATTTGTCGTAACAAAGCGAATCGCTTCAGCTTCTGTAATCGTGCCTTCGACAGTAGGTGAAGTAGCAGAAAGCCATCCAGCATCCCAAGCAAGGTTTCGTGCCAATCCATCATCTGAAACGCCCAATCCAATCTTGACACCGTGCTGGTGAAGAACATGTGCTGCAGTACCGTTGGTCAAAGGTGCACCGGATAAGCAATGGAGAGAATCAAATCGCTCTGGTGTACATAGGGTCGGTCGAAGGATAACAGGAATATTTGCTTCTGCCAAATGGCGAGCAACCAAATGTGATTCAGCACCACCCATGACAACAAAGCGGGCTGTGGGGAACGACTTTTTCTTCAACATAATTATAGATGCAATCTCGTCCTTGTTGTGCACGGAAATAATGGTGGAAATTTCACCCCGAGCTGCTTGTCCATAGTAGTTAGGCTTGTCCAGGTTCTCGGATAGGATTTGACGAATAAACGAAATTTGTGACGAGACCGTAGGAAAACTGTCTGATTTTGCGCTGTCACCAATTTGCAGATGGAGAGCAACATACGGTGCCACTACTGCACCGTCTGAGAGAACTATTGTAATCATGTTAAGTCTTATATCGCATGTGTCATAATTTATAGATCATAATGATAATGGAGTTTCTTTTACTTGAGTCAGCTCCTGTCTTGAATGCAGCACTGATACCAACAACGACATTTTTTGACACAGGGGAGCTGATGGCCGTGAGAACACCTCCCTTATAAGCTTCCTCAAGATGGCGCGTGCTCAATTTAATACCATCGATAGCGCTTACGATATCCTTGGGGTTGTGCGATGATGAAGGCTTCACAATTCCATCACCGGTCGAGCTTTCTGATGGAATTTCTGTTAAACCCAACTTGGATCCTACCGCGACCAATCCCTAGTATTGGCAGTTCTATTTAAGCGAAAGCATGCTTCGATTTATCATGGAACAGCAAACTTACAGGGATAACGTAGCCGCCCTTAACGTCAACATGAGCCAAGGGTTCGTCATTAACGTTGTTTATCATAGCAATAGTACCGGAACAATCTTGAGCAGCACAGGCAACTTTGCCATCATGAACAAGAATTTGAACAGGGCCTTCCATGTCGATGTCATCACCGAGAATAGCACGACCAACGCTTGTAAACATTACCGACTTTCTTGAACCGATACTGGTGATATCGATTGTGTTGGTCTTTCGATCTGTAGCGGTTACGTCTGTGGAAGCCTGTTTAGCTGCAGGCGGGATAGTGCGCTCTTCAAACAATGGCATGCCATCGATAAATACTTGCAAAGGCGTAGCACCAAGTGCCAGCGGTTCGCGATCCCAAATGACAACGTCCGCATCATAACCAACCTTGAGAGATCCAATTCGGTGGTTTAAACCAATAGCTTTAGCTGGGTTAGACGTAACGGCTTTGAAAGCTTCCTGAGGTGGCAGACCGTAATGGCTGGATTTTGCTGCCTCGAAAACCAAATGTTGGGAATTCAATACGGGATGATCGCTCTTTAGTGCAACCGGTATCCCCGCCTCGTACAAAATCTTGGGGCTAAATGGTGAAGCCTGGAAAGCTTCCTTTTTATAACCCCAGTGATCAGCAAACGTAGCAATCGTGATGTTGTTTCGTGCACGCTTGATGATATCAGGCACAAGATATGCGTCGAGAGCATGATGAAAAGCGCTAATGGTAAAGTTGAATTCGATAGAGTGGCGGATCATGGCTTCAATATCATGCGTCTCGTAGCAATGAACGTTCAATAATACATCTCCACGGAGCAAGGCCACCAGCGATTCGAGGCTCAAGTCTTCAGGGAAACGTGATTCAAGTCGAGATTCTGGCTGGTTGATGTCAATGTCCTGAGCTGCGATGCACCAGTCATTTTGAGCATGCAATAATGTCCGTGCGTCGTCCAAACGTTGGCGGAATAGATAAGCTTCACCCATTCCTATGCAAATATCTTAGTAACAGCAGTTTCTATGCTTACATACATCAGCAATTAGTTGTTCCTTACTTGTTTTAGGCATACGACCGTTTTTACCATAGAAATTCTGCGAAATCCCTCATCACAATAAGTAAAGGCGTAGTGTGTTACATTGTTTAAACAATGGAATATCATACCTTTGGATTCTCGCCGCATGCCATTTTCATCCATCGCCATTTAGCGTCGATGCTTTCATCGATACCAGATTGAACCAACATATCCTCATTACTAGTTGTAGGTACTGGACGTAGCTTAAACACAAATGCTTCACCACCCATCAGGTTTGCTGATCCGGGTAAAACGAGAGCCGTTGTAACACCACCAGACGCAACAATTCGGATTGCTTTGTCAGATGGACTGAAAGCGTCGAGTGACCGAACGAACGGAGTAAGCGCTGACGTTGCTTCGTTGATATCCATCGCACCGTCAACATTTGGCCAGTTATACAGACCCAAATGACTAAATATGGTGATTTATCACACAAATGGTTCATTTTACTCGAGCTTCGGCACTAACTTTCTTTTCCAGTGCTTACCTGTGCATATCCACGATACCTGGACTAACAACATGTCCTGCAACATCAATCACTTTGATGTTTTCTGCTAGTGTCGTTGCGCTGATATCACGCTCAACCTTAGCAATGACGCCATCCTGCAGTAAAATGTCGACGTCTTTGAGTATGTGGCCTTCGCCATCCCATACCACCGCGTTCTTCAGTAAAACGGGTTGAGCATTTGCAGGGGCGCGAGGGTTTTTGCGAGCAATATTTGGTCGATTAATCGGTTTCGTCCGTTGGTAAGCTTCACACTTTGCCAAACCTTCTTGCAAAGCGCTTTCCGGGATGCCCGCCTTTATCGGTGCTTTGATATGGTTTCTGTTCGGAAGCGGAAGTTGGTCGCTGTAGTCATCGGGGAGGAGCAGTGCAACAAGAAAGCCAATTACAAGAGCTAGAATGACAAGGAAGCAGAGAATGTAGCCGAGATGCGCCTTGAAGAAACGCTTGTATTCAAAGTTCTTGATCTTGTCCCAACGTGTAGTTGCGTCGCCGTTCTGGCCCTGGTGACGTAACAGGTTGCTAGAGCTACTGGTTGCTTGCGCGGAATGCTCGTTGTCGTCGTCATTGACCGGAATCGCATCGTAGCCTTGCTTCCTTGCTGGCATGATGCTGGTGCACTGATATGGAAGAGCAACGGCGCGATAAAAAGAAACAAAAAGAGCAAAGAATTGGTGTCAAAGAAGCAGGAGCCGCGTCGTTTCATGTTCCGCCACACAACGTTACATGAACTCTCAGAGTACAGCATAAACTTTCGATGGCAACAACGACAGTAACATCAGCACACACATACATTCACCCCCACACAAAAAACGCATGACAATATTCAAGAAAGCAAGCATACGATATTACATTCATAACAACATCTCAAATGTTTATTATTACAGCACCTCTTGTTTAGAAAGGCAATTTTGCAAGATGAAGCAAAGGATGGAAAAAAATTTAGACGGATTCAAGGACAGGAGGCTCCTTGAAGTCCTTGACCTTAGCGCCGGAGTCTTCGGCGGCAGCAGAACCACCGTGAAGAGCCAACAAGGCCGAGACATCGAACTTGGGGGCCTTCAAGATCTTGACCTTGCGGATATAGGTGTTCTGGAGGGGATAGATGCTCTGACAGGCCTTCTCGATGCGGACAGCAATGGCATCCTGAGCAGAGGCAGAAGCCGAAGAGGTGACCTTGGCGACCAACTCCTTCAAGTCGCAGGCAACAGCTTCCTCAGACATGATGTCGAACATCTTCTTGCGGATCTGACGGACCTGGGCAGACTGGGCGTAGGTGGTCTTCTTGAGCTGGTTACGGCGACGAGCAGTGAACGAGATGGCGAAGAGACGAACGAGGTAACCGTCGGTGGTCTTGACATCAACGAAGGCCTCGATCAAAGTCTGCCACTTCTTGACCATAGAACGGAGCTTGTCCGAGGTCATGTCCATACCATAGAAGTTGGTGAGGCAGTTCTTGCCCTGGATTTCATCAACCTTGAGCTGAATCTTGCGGAAGGCACGGGCTTCGTCCTTGTTGAGGTCACCAAGGGAAGCTTCGACAACACGGCCATTCAACGAGTCGTTGGCGTTGCCTGTATGAATCCATCATCACAGCAGATTTATATACTTTAGCAAAATTTCTCCTCAAAACCGCCAAAAAAAATAAGGGTTCCTATCACTTACGCAAACCCTGGGTACGGTTGACCAAGGTCTTGCCGACCTGGCGAACCTCGAACATGGAGGGAGCCTTGATGTCGTACCAGTCTTTGCGGGTGAAGGGATCGACACTAATAACGATTGACGTATAGGTGAGCGTTATTGTTCTATGCGTGATTGCGATGTGCGTATTTCTTTTTTGCTTTTGTCGACAATAGTTGACTGGCCGAGTTCAAATCGTGTTGTGCGTGCGAATGCAGGTAATGTGTATTTTTCGGTCAGGTTGGGACAAAAAATGTTGACTGCCGGATCCCTTTTAATGCGCAATTGATTGACGTAGCAAAAAAAGAACTGCACAACAATGAATTTCCAGAAGCAAAAAAATGACTACTTACACCTTCTTCTTAAGACCCTTCTTTCCTTTGCTAAGGCGTCTATACAAGTTGAAGAAAAATAAGGGTTAGCAATTATCATAATTTTCTTTGCATGACTGCCATGCTGATCATTCTTAGAGACGGTAGGGCTCGTGTGTGAAAATGACCGATTCTTACTTATTCTTGCCAACAGCTACAAAAATTCACGAATGGATGGATTTAGCAATAGATTCATGGGTGTGATGGATGGATGCATGGTGATCGTGGATTGTTCAGTCGTTCTTCATGTACATACCCATTGTGGATGGAGTTCTGAAAAGGAAGTTCTATGAGGCCACGGCTCTCGAGTCTACTTGACCCGGCCAACAAATTTTCCAACACCGATGAATGTGTTCTCTCCGCTTTCGCTAGTCCAAGTTGCGACACACTAGGCAACGCGTAGCTCAACTTAAGCTATTATCCCTCACTAATCTGTCGAAAATTACCTTTGTTCATCTTATATTGAGTTTGCGTACAGCACAGCACTCTGCGCTGATACTATTACACCATTTTTATTCATGCAGGCAACATTGTATTTGTGGTACAGCTTTATTAGACCTGGCAGACTCTTTTGCTGTACTTCTTTGACATTTTATCCATATTTCTGAAGATGAAGCATAACTTCTCACTGAGAAGAATAACGAATTACTTCGTCAGACATAAATTATATCCTGATCCTACTTGACAAGCCTTCTAAATCATCGCCATACACGGTTTGTTTGACAAAAAAGGAGACAAATGAAGTATTCACTTTGCGAAGGACTTTGTAAGGTAAGATTTTATAATGTGTTGCCATTCAATGAAGTTGTTTAGCTGCTCTTTTTGTTTGCTACCTATTCCACTATGGTGATACAACAGACGCTCACCTTTAAGCGATGACTTCTTGTTGCGCTCAAAAGTTGCTCGCGACCACCTTCTTTATACTTGAGGCCTGAAAGAATTTGCAGGACGACCGGATCAGGAATTGACTAGAAAGGGAGTACATACTGTAGCGCTTCATCGTATGAACAATGAGAACTCAATAGATTGATTGATACCTTTCGTTGCTATTAATTCTAGTCAGACTAGATGCATAGTTTTGCCTGGAGATAGAATTGCAATGCTGCTTTTTGAACACTAGTTATCGCTACTACGTTTGGATGTGCTATAGTAGCTAAGGTATCATTTTGATTTTATCATCAAACCTAATCAATGTTCTATACTTAGACGCCAGTCAAAAGAGCTGCCACTTGATTCACCATGAAGGATATATTGATATACAACTTGCGTAAATTATTACCATAGCCGCCACAAAGGTATAAACACGTTCACAAAGGCTACAGCCACAAAATATATGTGCTCTGTAGGGTAGCTACTTTGAAATACATTTTTTGTTGTAGGGCCACTTTGAAATACACCAAGGAAGCTACCAGAAAAAAAATAGTGGTAGTTTCATCTCCGAAATAAAAAAATGCCCACAGTAAAGCGAAACTGTTGGTGTTGCTGACGCAGACCATTGGTTCTTTTTCTACTAATTCGAAATGACTCTTCATCCTACCGTACTCTGGGCTCAGCGCAACGACCTTATTTATTTGACGGTCCAGCTTGTTGACATTACCGTAAGTTTACGCGACGTTTACTGAAAAGAACGCGCGAAAAGTGCTGACGCGGTACAAACCCCATTTATTCTGCTCCTCACGATCGCTATTCCCCTAGCTCCCCCACTCGCTCCTTCTTTCTTTTTCTTAACATATATACTACTGCTTTCAGCATAATTTGTAATGAAGAAGAAGTGAAGTCTTACGCTGCTTTACTTTGTTTAGAAACCTCAAATTGATGTAAAACCAGAGCGTTTCCATTTCAAGGGAAAAGGCGAGAAGGAACAGAATGAGTATGAAGCTGAAATCGAGTTCTATGGTCCTATCGATGTAGAGGTAAATCAACAAAGACTTATTTTCTGAAACTTCTTGCAACTTCGGGTGGCTTGTTGTTATTGTTGATTGTGGGTGTAAACGGTTACGTGGAAGAAGAAAATAAGCAATACTAACGAAAACATCGGGTCTACATGGAAACCAACCTAGAGATCCAAGCAACACTTGACTCCTCGCAACTTGACGATGCTTATTTATAAGAAGGATGAGGGCTACTGGCCGCGTCTGCAAAAGGGCTCCAAGCTCAACTATGTCAAGGTTGACTTCTCAAGATGGAGAGACGAGGATGAAGAAGAAGAGGAGGAAACACAACAAGACCCAATGGGTGGTATGGACTTCCAGAGCTTAATGTCTCAGGCTAGCGGTAACTTGCCTAACATGGAGGACTTGGTACGTAACGTCTTGGTCAATGTCGTGTAAAGAAGGGGGTAAAGGACTAGCCTTATTTTGATCTGATTGTTTTTTTTTTCTTGCGTTTCCTATACAAAATAGCCAGAGGATGATTCAAGCAGCGACGAAGAAGATGCAAAGGATAAGGCGCCCGAAAAGAAAGGTATTCTTTAGTTAATTTTTTTTTTAAAATCGATGATGTGTTCTTGTCTATCGGGCCTGAAGCTTACTTTCTTTTCTTTTGTTTGCAAAGATTAATCTTGACAATAAACACAAAATTGTGACAAACCGGTTAAACCGGCTAAAGAGTGCCATGTGTGTATTTGTATGTGTGTTGTGTTTGGGAGGACTGACTGTGATAAAAAAAATTGGGATACACTATGAGAGTCGTAGCATATTGTATACAAAGGGAATGTCAACTATGGTGCAATAAGTTTCAAGACAATCCTTTCTTGGCTCAATGAATGACGTATATGTTAATCTCCAGCTGACCACACTTTTGTCTTGTGCGTATGTATCTAGTCAGAGCTGCTATGATGTTTGCCCATCCATGGTCCATGGAACGTTAAAACCTTCTTTTAATCAGATCCAGCACAATGTTGGCACACATATACATAGTCAATCTTTACATTACTGACTTCAAACACAATAGCAAGCAAAAGCAGCTCCTTTAGAAACCGTTGTTATGATGTAATGAAGTTGTAGTTACTCGTTTCACTCCCTTCATTGTACTTCGCTTTCTCGTCATACATTTGGATACAGTATGTACCGCCAGATGTTTTACGCAAGGTTAAAAGACAGATGTAACACAATAACGCAAAATTGGCACTTGCATGTTAAGAAGAAAGGGTTCTTTCCTTTTTACTTGACTCTCGCTCTTTAAGAGAAAATGGAGAAGAGAAAAGAAGATCACACCTCGGTTCTCTTATTACCAGAAGCAAACTTACAATGCGACAAAAAAAAATTAGCAGCAACGAACGATTTCACCGGCACCAGTGATGAAAAGCAAAAACGTTCAAAGAAATCTCGTATGAAATATGCAGCATATGTAGAAAGATAACCCAAAAGCTGTCGTCGGTACTTACCTAGTGGCATCCGTATTTTTAGGTGTTTTTCGAATTATCATTGTTTGGGTTGTATGCTCCGTCCTGGGTTTGTTTAGCCTCAACAAAGCTCATCAGGTAGAAGACATGTGGTCGGTGATTTCGTAAACTGTCGTGTCCGCTTGTGTACTCAATGTAAGAAATGATTTTACTATAGCTATACGCGAACAAGTGTGTTGAAGATTGGGGTAAGGCTTTGGATTATCCCGATAGCTTTCCGAGACGAGATGAGCTCCTTGAGCTCGAAATGATGACTCAACGTCTTGCAATAAGGCATGGAAAAGGTGAGCGATCCTCAGTGATTGATTGATCCATTGGACGCAACAAGATTGTTAAAACCCATTGGAAACCACGTTGACCATTGACAATAATACAAAATGTAGAATTTCTGGGGAAATGCTATCAGACCATGATGCTTGTTCCGATTATCCGCAATTCAACTCTTCCGTTATGTGATGATGCAAACGCATCAGGTTCATATTCAGAAGCAGAAGCACCCTCTTCTGCCGAAGCTACAGTCTTTTCTGCACCCGCCGCTTACGATGATGGTCCTGTTCAACCCATTCCTACTAGCGCACCCAGCAGTGGCCACAGCAGTAATGCCCTTGATGATGCGTCAAAGAAGTCTATTGAATCTTTTTTACCCCCTGCAGCCCCTAGGAATAGCGCTCCTGTGACGCCATACGACCCTGAGGTTTATCATACAGTTTCAATTGAGAATGCCCAAGTTCTATCGCTAGCTAAACCACCTGTTATCCGCAACCTAAAAGTCTCGGTAGCCGATGGTATTGACGTATATGTGGACATTCTCACGGCGGCCCAAGCTGGCCAAAGTCCTACAGAGGCTGTAGACATTTATTTGAGACCTTGTTCCGATGATGGCGTCAACATCTTTCAACTAGTTGAGCTCCAGGCGCGCAGTTTCTTCGGCATAATATATGTGACTCTTGACCTAAAACCTGGTGTCCCTGCTGGCAGCACTGCTGTTAAATGTTTATTGCAGATTGTGATTCCGGATACTTTCAGCAGTAATGTAGGCAGCAGCTCCCTCTCGCAAAAATGCTTGCAGAACGGTTTACGACTTTTCGAACTTCGCGCTAAAGAAGGGCGTATCAAAGCTAGTCATATGGTTCTCAATTCCCTCAGCATCGAGCTTGGCCGCGGTGTCGTGGATATAGAAGTAAGTAGCCTGTTGGCGCGTTTTTACGCTAAATGTATTTGTTAATTATCATAACTACCATTGAAAGGAAGCATTACTCGTGTATATTAATTCAACGAAATTGGTACTCGATATATCGCTTCATTAGCACGTCGATATTGGCGATTTACGTGTAGCAGTTTTGGACGGAGATGTTTATCTGGGAGGAATCAGAACTAAAAGAAGCCTTGCTGCTGGTGTTTTACGAGGATCATCGACGGTTCTTGCCCAAATTCATCCGGAAGATAACACGTATGCTGTCATCAACATGTGTGCCGACGGATATACCTATACGAATGTCATGGTACGTTTGACTTGGCCTTTTTAAAGTCTCGATATAATATTAACGTAATTTAGTGTAAATCAATTACTAAAAGCAATCACCCTCTTTGTATATATATTAGACAACAGAAAAAGACCATGAAAAATTTGCAGCCAATCTACATATCTACAGAGAAACTGGAACACGTCTCCTAGAGCAACCCGCACCGGTAATGGCGCATCCCGGTCATGCGCATTTGGACACGAACAGCACAGACGTTCACAAGACTGGCTATATGGTCGCGCCAAACAGTGGTTCTGACATTCTTGTCTATGCTGGTGCAAAATCTGCAGCGAGTCGCATCACAAAGTCTCGGTTTCTGTATGGCTACTACAATGAAGAGGCGTCTCTGCCAACATAACAGCAACTCGTATACTAGAGATATGCGAATTTTCCTATGCAGTAGTATAATCAACCCGCAAAAGCCAGCCGGATATTTAAGCTTCCAGAAAGAATACTGTACAAATGATTTTTTCTTTCAATGACAATAACTTTGTGAGATGACATATGAAGTTTCTTCGTATACGTGCCAGATTACTTATTAAGGTTTTTCAAGATAAAAAAAGGCTCTAGGTATACCATCATTATGATTATCTCTAGTCGCACAAAAATGCTGTTCGGTTACTATAAAGAATGATGTATCATATGTACAGTAAAATGGATTGTATCCGATACTTTAAGTACATTCAAAACCCTATGATAAAACCCAAGAAGAGAGCTGGAAGCAAAGCAAATATTGAAGGAGCATCATGCACTGTTGATGCGTATCAGCCGGCGAAATCGGAAATAGTCTGCCGTAGAAAAAGAATTCGTTCTGCTTCAGGAGTACCGCACTGAGATCTGTATTGGCTTTGGTAATAACGCAACACGTCGCGAGCAAAATGATACAGCTTATATCGACTACAGCTATTGTCATCGTCAGCTCGTTCCGCCATCATTGGTGATGACAGTGACGGATTTGATGACGGTGTTGCTGATGCAAAAGATGTCGTCGGTGCTTTATGATGATAGTTGTTATTCAACGACGGCGATAGTAGCACAGTTTCCTTTTCTTCATTTTTTGCTTGTTGCGGTATAATCTGACTATTGCGCAAACGGCGGCAAAGAAGACGACGCATCGAAGGCTGACTTGGATAGAAGTCCAAGTAAAGCTCCATTGAAGTTTGATGCCGTTTCCAAAGCATAACAAGATTGCCGTTGAGGGTCCTTTGAAGAACGTCACCAATAATTATGTCCTTCCTAGGGGGCCAACAGCGTACGGGTCGTTTTTTATTGTAATAGTTGCTGCTATTACAGGATAGTTCTGAAGCAAAATTCGGCTCTGCTGTTGGTGGTAGCAGAATTTCGTTTCTCACGAGGGTCGTCGGTTCGCTTGCAGAACATTTGTTACTGTTGTCATTACATAAAGATTTATCCTCTACATGCTGGCTCCTCAGTAGTGTAAGGGTGTGTTTGGCTGGAGAGGTTGACGCATTTGGTATTCGATGCTGGTGGACTACATGTGACGACGGATTTCCTGGAGAACTTTCGTACATCGATGATTCTTCTTGCTGATGTAGTACACTGGCGCTGTCACTAGTTGATATAAGTCGAGATTTATTCTGAGGTTTGTGTATCAATTGCTGCTGTTGGTGTTTGCGCTTTAACGCGAGTGTGGTGTTAACAGTGGGCACACGTTTTGACCGCCGAAAATAAAGGGTCGCTATCCGAATAGCCAGATAAATTGTCAGATAAGTGATAGATGGCAATAATACATTGAGCATAAACTGATTATCGGCAGCATCCAAGCAAAGAGACTCGGCACCCGAAAGAAGTTGATGTGTCTGTTGACAGCGGTGCTGTATGCTCACTAGTAGGTGTAGCTGTCTCATATCAGTAGTAGTATTGGGAAAGTAGAATGTGAAGAGAAAAAGAAAAAGGAAAGGCGACCTATGATATAAGTTTAGACAACAAATGAAATTAAAAAAGACCCTGCACTTTTGTTGCATATGCATGGGAGCACCGTGTGGTTAATCGTGTCGCCTCTGCTTCTTTTGTTGGTCAAATTTGAGATCCTATCTTCTGCATGTGCTGTCGTGCATACTGTACATATGTGACATCATGCATAGGAGCATTATTATCATACATTAGCACGACAAACTCTGCTGCTTACTTTCTTATACTTTAAAAGTTTCTTTTTTTCTCAAACGATTGAGACCAGTAAAGATAAATATTGCATAAAACCGTACATTGGTATATATCGCTCACATTGTATATACAAAGTCTGAGAGCTCTCATTAACCTACTTCGTCCTGGTGGACTTATGGTAGTGTATGATAGAAAGAATAAAACGCTGGGAAATTGCCATCATTTAATGTGCATCAGCCATGACTTCCTTTTTGTGCTTTTGCTTTACTTCACAGTGGCAAAGTGTAAACGTTGGCATGGATCATAAGTAATACTACCTTAAGTCCATCATGAGGTATGAGCTCTAAAACTATCCGTGGATGCACTCTCGCTATTCCCTTTGCTCCTACTACTAGTTTCTATGAGTTACTTACGGTGTCCCTCATTGCTTGTATCCCTATCCGTTTCTATCACGATATGGTAAGCTGTGGTGTGATGCAGCATCGTCGAATGATCACATTTTGCTCTTTTAAAGAAACACATCCGTCGCTCCACGATTATCAGCCTCTTCCCTCATTTTGCTCCCTCAAAACACTTCCTTCCTTCTGATGTACCTTTTATTGTGTGCTAATATTACTCTTGAGCTCCATCTCCTTTTTTTGGCCTTGGTTTTTCGAAAACATGTTCTTCTTTTTGGATCAAAATTATAAGCATCATTTTGGCGTCCATATTTACATCGCTGTGCGCGTAGGCAAAGTACACACTGGTTTTTCTGCGTATGTTACTCTCTTAGGCAAGAGAAAAAAGGCAGTTTGTCCGTAAATGGGAAGCTATTGTTAGTTTGAACGGCTAAATTAATGTATTTCAACTGATAGGATACTAACTCAGTACTTTTCTTATAAACCGCTAAAAGTAACATACCAGTGTTTCTTGATTATAATCCATCAATCCGCCGGCCGATGATTCTTTGAGGCGCCGGGATTCATCCTGCTGGTTGACGCACGTTTCTTGACTTTCATGCAACTTTTCAAGACACTTTTATAATTCGTATCTTAGATACCCAATTTCTCCATTGCTCTCCTCGAGCTGATCTGTATAATTTTCGGCCTGTAATCCGGCATGAACTAGTTCCCGTTCTGCTGAACCCGCTTGATCTGCGAGTTCCTGCAATAGCTCTCTAAACATCCGGAGCCCGACCATGGAATGGAGCTGCTATTACTTTGAATAATAAACCCACAACCATTATTGATACAGTAGACTAATTTCAATAGCATTCCATGGAATGTTCTATAGACTACATATTTCGAACAATAATTCGCACATCTTTTTTGGACTTCCTTGGCCTTACTATCTATACATGCTTAGTTTAACCAAAAACCCAACGGTGAAATTATCTTGCTCGCAACCTTCGATTTACCTTTCAGCAACACATTCTACGCATACTTTTAACGGATCATATTTTCTGAAGAAGATACAGCGTCATGCTAGTTAAATAATTGTTGCTAGCTAAGTCACTGATAGCTTTTAGCACAGAAGATGCGGCCATTTGGACAAGCCTTTGTCAGCAAAAAACTTGACAAAGCTCAAAAATGGATGCTGAATCCAGGAAGTTTCTTTGGTTTAAAGCTGTTGTACATTTCCATCAGTGTTGCAAATCAACAAATAAAATTGACTAAAAACGTTTAAAATTATCCAAGACGAGGCTCCGCTAGCTGCTGCTTTAACGCCATGTGCAGAACAACTATTGCGTATACAGTAGCAGCATCGGATAAGATAATGGACAGAGCTACAATAATAGCATCCGAGACGTTTACTGTCAAAATATCTCTTGCGCATCACTATAGATGCCCAGGAATATCAGCCAATTACTACGTCATTGAATTGTGGAAGAAGGAATCCCAAACACCTTCTTGATGGCGTCATAAACGTGGAACGCCAAATATCTCGTTATCGAAATTGGCATCTTGCCGGCGAAAAAACACTGTGATTTAGAACACCTATGCTAAATTGATAATACCGGTAGAACATAAGAAAATTATTGCTTACAGAAGGTGCACGTCTTACAGAAAATCTGAACTATTTACTTGAACTGAGAAGATACAATACACATAGTGCATATCTTCACCCATCCCGCTGCCATCAGGCTTTCCAAAGATACGCATCTTCATGCTGAACATCCACCTTAAAATGTTCACTGGAAAGCCTCATTTATATATTTGCTATTCGTTTGTATCAAGAGTGCGCATTATTGTATATCGCCACGTTCCCTGGCTTCCATTCGCACCTTCGCAGTACACTTGCTCGCTTATAAACCATACCAAATCAATCATTCGCACCAGTTCCTGTTGGAAGAATAGGTTTACATCATTGAAGAATCCATCTGAAATGCGATTGGCCTGTACTGTAGGTACGAAATCGAATTTTAGGCTCAGCCTGTGGTCTGCGGGTGTGTGTAAGTTCAGCTCTGCTCCAGTATTATAGGACTCCTTCTCTTTTCTGGGTAATCGCCATGGTAAGCATCCATCCATTCATCCATCCATCCCAGACGATATATCGATTTATATGCAGCCGCACCCATCCGATACGCAAATTACCGAAACGACTTGGAAGCTTCGTCAATAAAAAAGATTCAGCATTGACCGAACGAAACAAAGGATTTCAGCGACGATTCGACCGATTGATGGGAAATTATTGCGGCTGCAGGAATCGACCCTTTCGAATTTTACCTCTGCATCCAAGAATGTCTTGAAGATTTTAATCTTATTCTGCATTACGACGTAGGTTAACATTCCCAAGACCAGAAACACTTTCTGCAAGGGCGCCAAGTGCCGCAAGCACACTCCCCACAAGGTGACCCAGTACAAGACCGGCAAGGCTTCCTTGGCCGCTCAGGGTAAGCGTCGTTACGATCGTAAGCAGTCCGGTTATGGTGGTCAGACCAAGCCCGTCTTCCACAAGAAGGCCAAGACCACCAAGAAGATTGTTCTTCGTCTTGAGTGCACTGGTAAGCATCTATTTCGAGTTTGAGAAACGCGCTAAGTTAAAAGGCGAAACGAAGAATTGTATATAAAACTAAATATTATTGTATGAATAGCATGCAAGTACAAGATGCAGCTCCCCATCAAGCGTTGCAAGCACTTCGAATTGGGTGGTGACAAGAAGACCAAGGGTGCTGCCCTCGTTTTCTAAGCGCGCAGTTTTATGTCTTTTCTTTTTATTTTTTAAATGATAAGGGGAATAAAAACATGCCGGATATCAAAAAAAACAAATTTCAAGTGCACCCAGCTATCCGATACAGTGTTGTTGTTGCTTTAATTGATAGCAATACCTACGCCACGCGAGTCAACAAACGAACCATGGAGTGTGAGAGCATTGAAGGACCCAAGTGTAGAGCGGCCAATTTCTTTCATGGATTGCGCGTCGAGAATAAGCAGGAAAAAGGTTTGGATGCCTTGGTCCGTCTCTGCGTTCACCACTGAAAGCACGACGCCATCGTCTTCGTCCGTTCCGTCAGGATTGGGTACAAAAATAGGTTCAGAGCAAGAGCAACCAGGCATGTCCCAGATCTTGGATGTGCTTGCTTGATCAGTGTTGGATCCAAGATAAGGCTGGTCTAGATCCACCTTGATCAATCCATTTACGACAGCGCCAGATGCATATGAAGGTGCAAAGCGCGACTCACATACACCATAGAGATAGCGATACTTTTTGAGGTTATATTGCTGGTTGAAACGAGGTAGCTCCACGTCCTGGGCTAAAACTGAGTAAGATGCGACACGACGCTTGTTGTATTCTCGCATACCGCTGAATAGGTATCCGCCTGTCAGGTTGGATGGAGACCATGGATACTCGTTGTCGCTGCTGCGAGGCACTTGACCTAATCTGTATCGCCGAACCTGAGAAGGTGCAATCTTGCTGCCAGGTTTGCCTTGAGCCTTTTTCTTGACTACAAATCGTGCTGGCTGCACACGATCCAAGTCCACCTTGCCACTCGGCGCCTTGCCAAGTTCGAAGCTTGCGTCCACAATATCAGTGTTTTCGTACATGCAATAATCGAGGTAGATCACACGCTCTGTGCCGCCGCCTGGGAGTGTCACTTCTTCGTCCCATGCGTTTGCTGAGTGGAATCCGAAGCACGGTTCGGCCTCGTAGGTGGCAACATGTCGCTTTGTATGGCGGTCAATCACATGGAAAAGAGTTCGTCGGCTTCCATCCCAATGGAATGTTTGATAGGCGTTAGAGTAATAAATAGCGGCGACACCGCCAAATGCATAGTAATAAGGGAAATTGGGAACGATGATGTAGTTCTTGGTCATATTAAACGAGTGGATATACGCTGGCTTCAAGGTCTCCATAGTGTTCCAAGAGCCCAAGTGGCGCCAGATGGGTTCGTGCACAGTGGTTTCTGGTGGAGGCATGTCTCCTTTCACATCCGGCTGTGGAGCATACGGTCCGATTGCAAACGTCTGGAAACTAGGAAACGGACCGAGTCTGACCATGAAGTTCACATACTCGTTTGTTTCCGCGTCATATTGATGATGTGATGAACATAGCATTCCCCACAACTTCTTGTCTACATGCGAATAAGTAAACATTTTTAAAGGCTCTAAAATAACAGCATAAATGATAAACATGTGAGTGCATAGATAGTGATTAACTGAGCAGTCGGAACTGAAGATCGTAAGAATTACTTACTTAAGGTTTTCTTGTCCACGAGCTGCAAAGTATCGGCATCGCGTTTTACGACCACCGCTTCACCACGCTTGACACCCGTCTCTTGCTCGAGTCTTTTACCAATAGGGAAGTTGGGTGTGATCGTCACGTTTACCATATCATATTCAGGATCTTCTTCTTGTTTAGCCATAGTATGGTTGAACTCTGTAATGTGGTGATAGAAGGTTTGCATACGACCAAAGATGGTTTTGCATGGGTCAGGACCAAATGTGAGCAAGGTCTTGTCACCATCGCGTATCCGCTGCTCGAGACCATGCGATGTGTGCCGTGAGTTGTACTTGACAGTTTGCGTTTTGCCGGAAACTTCGAACCGATGAAGCATTGCTAGGCCGTCAAATGGATGTCCGATATGGTGGGTATCGCCATTATCCATAAGGATGTTGTATCGTCCAGATCCTTTTTGGAAGAAGATATAATATGTTAATCAAGAAGCAAATGATAGTGACGCTCTGAGAAAGTCAACACGTCATGACTTTTTACCTGAACGATAAAGTACGCCATTCACCCAAGAAGGAATTCCGCCCTGTATCTTGACAGTAATAGATTCTTCACAGGCAGGAGCGTTGTCGAACCCGACAGGCGATGGTGCTGGTTCGCCTCTGTTCTTGTTTGGATTCAATTCGGCTGGAGTTCTCATACTAAGCAGATAATGGTTATGGAGGAAAGAAATTGAAGAAGTATCAAACAGTGTCAAAAGTTGGCATTTATATATGCTCGCATGCAGGGGCTTCCACTTTCATTGTCTTTAAATCCAAGGAGCAAAAAGGCTATCTGTCGGTGCTTTAAGTACATGCGTCCCCAATGTTTTCCAGGGCATCATCGCACGTCGTCCAAGATGCTGTGACCTCCAGGTAAAAAAATATGGTTTACAGCCAAAAATGCCAAGTTACGCACATATGCAACTTGTAAAAAAGCAAATAAAGCTCATGAAAATTTATACAAAACAGCTTAGCCAAACTAAAAGTTAACGATCTCAAGACCATTGCTGGACGATGTGGCATCACTGCTAGTGGAAAAAAAGCCGACCTTTGTTCACGTTTAGATAGCCACTTCGAAAGTATTGTTATTAATGGCACAGCACCAACCAGTAGCGGCGACGCTAAATTCGATCCAGAAAGCTCCATTCCAAAATCCATACTTTCATTCGACGTAGGGTATAAGAACCTAGCGCACGTAAAACTGGATTGCAACAATACTATCACTGAGTGGTGTCGAACGGACCTCCAACTCGAAAACTTTCACCCATCGGCGAGTGCACCTATCATGCGCAGCTATGTTCACGAACTTATATTACCTGCGCTTAAGGATGGAAGCGTAAAAGCGATTGTGATGGAGCAACAACGGTATCGTGAAAACGGCGGGCACAATGTGTTTGAACATACGATACGAGTGAATACGATCGAGGCTATGCTGTGGTATGCTTTGTATGAAGCTATTGGTGGACGGCAGTTGTCATCACCGTATGTTGTGTTGGAAGCTGTGTCCCGCCCTGCCGTTGATCGCATGTGGCGTGCGGATTGGGAACAAGTGACTCCACCGCCTCCTCCAGACTCTACCAAGGCAAAAATGAATCGCTACAAGAAGCTCGCGTGTGTCAAACTGGTCAAGCATTGGTTGGAGGAAGATAAAATGGTGCGCGTCGACCGGCAGGAACTCTGGGATAATTTTATACAGGAAAAGAAGCAGGATGATATGGCTGATTGTCTCTTACAGGCCATGTCATGGTATCGATGGCGCCACTCAGCATTAGAATATATGCAACAGTGCTTGGAAAAGTAGAAAAGCCCTATAGCTGTTTCATAGCATCTATTGAATGTATATTTGTCTTCTCTTCAATTGAATCATCATCTAAAGCTAGTCAATGAAGATGCAACGACCGACCACCTTCTCGTTTTTTAAGCCGGTAACTCGAAACTTGGATCCCTTATCAAAGCTGTACATCATATTAAACCGAAATTCCAATGCAAAAAGCCAAGAATCTTTATTAACTAAATGTCGCCAAGATATATTGATCCACATGTCTTTTCATGTAGAAACAGCTCTTTTCTTTTTAAAAAAAAAAGCTACGTCGATGATGAACATTTAGGGACTGAGAAGCAATACTGTATTTTAGAATAAAGTATAGGAACACATCGAAAACACCAAGGCTTCTCGGTAATGCTTGCAAGTTGTCTCAGCGAGAGGCTTATTCACTAATTTATTCAAGAAGCTTCATGATGAAGCAAACTGAAATAATCCTCTGTTTCATCTGAATACTTTTTGTATCATATAGTAACAGGATCGCTTGCAGGATCATTTTTAATAACGTGTTATTACCGTGCCCACGCGATAACTTGTTACTTTACAGCTTGATGATTCGCAATGAATTTGATCAAGTTTTTGCATCACCAAATCGGTGATATTGCTGTTATTCTATTCACTCTAACTAGATTATACGACAACTTGACCTCATCAGGACCCCACGGAGATCTTCCATCATTTATCGCGTATGGGCACTATTATAAAAGCCTTCAATTAAACTTAAAGATATGTATAAATGTATATGTATAAAGGGACCAAGGCACACCATTTTGGTACTATGTTCAAATCGATCTTAAGAGATGATGGCTATTCAAATTGCCATAGGGATTTCCTGGAAATTTATAAACTTCCACTGCAAGTTCAAGAAGAAAAACCTTTCTATTAAGCAGCAAAAAGAAAAACTACATGCGACCGTTCGCGCATGCTCATAAAGTCGCCTACCTTCTGGAATATGCGTTTACAGAAAATATGATCTGTTTGTTCTCTAAATATGTGATGACAAGATTTTTGATATGGTAATAACCCCTATCAGTGTCGCCTACCCATTAGATATTACGGTGAGTTTCAAATATACAAACTAATACAACATTATGCCATGGAAACGTACGTAGTAAAAATTTTGATAGCCAGCAGAGGACATGGACAATGAGAAGGAAGTTCCGTCTCTTGAGGAGTGAGTGCCACTAAGCTTGTCGCGTCATGGTTGCATTTATCAAGTGCTTGTTGGGTAATGACTGCAGCATGTCCTCCATCGGTAGCATTTACTACGAATCGTTTCTGCGAGCCCGCAGAGTTTAGCATTTGTTGATGTTCGCTTTTTTGACGCGCGTTTCGGTGGCATAATCAAAGAGACAAAGACAAACTGTTGGGTGACATTACAGATAGATGCAACGCTCATTTATTTCCGACATACATAGCAAGAGACTACTACCTAGTGATCATACAATAAAGATATCATCATCTATTGTGAATTCTTCGTGTGTATGCATTATCGTGCATTTCCAACTGCTAAAAAGACTGCTGCTGTTCTGACAAATTCTCACCACCTGTGGCTATCACCGCTATTATCAGCATAAAACGCTGTCATTCACTGTCAGATTGATCTGCAAACAACGCTACCAAGTGAATCGATCGCAATGTTGAAGCAAGGATGCAGGAAATTTTTTACAATAGAGCTCTGTTTTGTGTGCGAAACCACACTATTCCTTTCAGGTTAATCCGTACAACGCGACTTACGCTGTTGTCTTCGTAACTACAGGTTTTTTGCGTTCAATCATTGTTATTTTGGCGCAGATGATATTTAATCGCGACTTACACGAAAATGCGCGTCTTTCTTCAAACCACTTCATGTGCGAATAAGCGTAAGGCCGTCGTGTCAGGCTCGACCGAGATGTTGTTGTATGTGATAGTATGGGTTAGATGAATCATCCATAAATGTACTGTAGAGACTAAGCGATAATACGAAAGAAAGGGGAGATGATGTTTTCATTATAAGGAGTGACGAAGGAGATCACTATAATAAATAGATCATTATTCTCGGGTAAACGCTAACGAAAAGGAGCGCAAACTCACACGCCAACGACATTGTCGAGCCCACTTATGAATGACGAAAGAGCAAGAGCAAATATTCAAAATCGTCATAAAACCAGAGAATAAGTAGAAGATCATATGTGTAGTGCAGCGCGATAAAATGAAAGGGAGTACTTTATAAATCCTTGAGTCTTAGCAGCAAGTTTACAACGCATTACCATATGCGTCTTCGAAACGTGCTTTACCGCCGCGATTTTGTAGCCGACAGGCATTTTGACCCGAGATCAAGTGCGTCTCAATCGCTGCTGCTGCTGGCCATTCCTTTCAAACGGTCAAGCACCACAGAAAATTAAAGCGAATGCAACCTCATTTCTTCCTTTTAAGAAAGATAGCAGGTACCATGCGTAGTGAGCACGGTGTCAAGTAGTTGCCACCACTTTATATAAAATTGAAAGAGATCATAAACCTCAATCAGTACATTCACAAACAAAGTACAAAAGTACTTCACAAGGTCGATCAGTAAGCGAGAGATCTTCCTTTGTGAATTGGGATGTCATTACCCAACGAAAGATCAACTTTCCGTTATAATAATAATCAAACATAGAAAGCTTCTCTTGTTGATTATTATCTTTATGTCATTTTCTTATTGTATTTTAAAGAGAAACCCTCTTTTCTAGGAAGTTCCAATAGAAAAAGAGGGGAAAAACTCCTGCTGTCTCTTTTTTCCAGGAAGACAGCAAAACCTGATCGAAGACGCAGGTAGTGAATGGTCGCTACGAAATGAGAGACCTTCGCCATTCACTAGTGGCGCCCGTGCCGTGTGTGCCCACAACGTCAACTAAGCACAAAGATGCCTCAAGGTTGTTGTACTACGTTGGTGCAGCCCTAGGGCATGCTTCCAACAACCTTGCTACCGTTGAAGCATCTTTCGGGTGAAAATATCCACCTCGACTCGGCGGATAGCTTTCCAAGTCAAGGATTCACACAACACTTTGCGCTTCATAAAGTTTGTGTAAATGGAACTGGAGAAGAAAAGAAAATGGGAGGGGTGGGGGGTTTTTCTGGTATTCTTATCCAGACAATTTTTGCCGTCACGCTCGGGTCTTCAATGAAATCCATCATTTTGATTGGCTCTCACTTTTAAGGCTCTGGTTGGCTCAATTTATGGACCGCTTATATCATATGACGCAACTTAGCACAAAAGCAAAGGGAAGGGGAAGGAGATGTGTAAGTGATAGTCGTCGTGAAGAAGTCAAATACGCTATAGCAGTGATCGACATGCTATGTATGTTTCACCATGCCGGTGTACCCTCCGATACTGTCGCCGCTTGTTTTGGAAAGAAGTGTCTGTGCACGCGCCAAGCCACGCGTCACAAATAGTTACAAGAAGTTTCGAATGTTAACAGGCTCTTTGAGTACGTGAACTGCTAAAGATCCTGAAAGTTTTTAGGATGCGAATGAACGGCGCGATTAGAAGTGATGAGAAAGAAAGACAGACTGCTGGCACTTTTAAGGAACAACCGAACGAGGGCGTGAGTGCGATTTTCGAAGGAGTAACATAGACAGCAGTGCGTTTTCTCAATTTGAAGCGAGCTGGCATCAGAGCTCAGTGCGAAGTTGCGACCAAGAAGTCAAAAGGATCCAACCAATATATGCCATTCAATCCCCGATTACTCTGTCCTCCCTAATGCGCTCGGTCCAGTCCACGCATGCCACACCACCCTTTTCACGGTAGCAATTCTCTGCTGAGCATTATCAGAATCTAAGCCGCTCTCGTTTGAGGAGGTGATTTTTTCGGTACGGTTTTCTCCCTCAGCTAGCGACGGGAACGGTTGTTGAGACACATGAACCGCTAAGTCGGGATCTGTGTTCTATTACGACAACGAGCCGCTAGTCAAGTTCAAAGCGATGCATTCGTCAGTCACTCATCAAATTTTCTCAGGCAATCTTCCAATTGCCTCCGTGCTCTTTCACAGATTGTTGTGCTAAGAACTATAGTTGACTAATGTTGCCACGGAGACGTAGCCTTCGTAGTGCGTCCACAGACAACGAAGCGATTTGAGCCGCAGTGTTGGGTGACTGTACAACATATCGCAATCTTTGAAATATCGCTTAAAGACGTACTGCTGTGAAAGCCAGGTTTGCTTTAGCATGGCCCGCCGATATGCGATATTCAAAGTATGCGATGAAACGTCCAGCCGAGAAACACCACAAAAATAGCTTTGAAAACCGATGGTTTGTCAGGAGCGCGAATCATGACTCTGGCTATTTCGACCCAATGAATGTCCCAGTTAATACATGTGAGGCTTTCAACCATATTCCTACTGTCTTGATGTGTTTAACATTCAATGTTGCATTTCTTTAGTTCGAAATTTTTAGAGTTCGTATACACACTACTATTGGCACACTGGGAGTGACCGTGCTATTAGCAATACATCTGTTTCCCCACATTCTCGTCAGGCGTCGTGAGTACCCTTTTGACAGCACAGAAAAGTACAACATTACTTCTTGTAACTTTCGCCACTTGGTCTCACCAAGCTCCTACTACACAATAATGGAGGCATGCTTTCGCAAAAGCCTGGAAACATACCACAGTCAAGTCGGAGCATGTTAACAGCAGCACTCGCTAAACCGATCACTTCGCTCAAGAGCAGCTTGGTAAGCAGTGAAAGGATATATTGATTAACCTACTATGGATTGCTTACTTATTCCACAGCTGACCGGTAGTCATATATGTATATATAACTCTACTAGGCTCAATCCGCAAATCGTTGAAGGGTCAGCCATCGTAACTTTGGGCAATGAATGAATAATCCTCTCCTTGATGGATCGAAATCAATTTCTGTTTCATTGATAATCGCTCTCTCCTACACCAGCATAAATATCAACTCAAGCGCAGTTTGATACGGTGGATATTCTGAGCTATTAGTGTCGAGGAGCAAGGAAAGCAAATTTGCAAGAGAGATCCGTGAAGTTGTCCACCAGCGAACGTAATGGTTTAGTTTCGCGTTCGTCTTGATTCGATACACGCATCATTTTCTACATATCAGCATGATTACATGCGAATTCCCATGATATTTTTAGAAGTTATTCCGGGCAAATATGTGTACTAACGCTGCATGCGACACTTAGAGTATCTTTATCTCAATAGTTATCCACCTTTTAGCCTGCCCATCAAGATACCACATTAATAGTGATGATAAACAACAAAAAGAAACAAAGAACATGTTGAGGATTTTTTAAAGATGCATACAATTTTTTTTTTTTTCAAACTGAAAAAAGGCTTAATTTGCTTCGGCCTCCAGCACAGTACCACGCTTAATCTTACCCCAACCAATGAGACTAATAAAACACCCGGTTTAGCATAAATAGTTGCATGATATCCAATCATCGTAATCGATAGAAGAAAAACTTACCGCCAATGTCTCTCAATCTTTCTGGATAACGCGACCTTGTCACCAACTTCAGTACATGTTGGGCCAGTCAAGACAATCTTGGCCAAATCGGCCTTGACACCAACAACACGACCACCAGTAGAAACAGAACCAATGTTGACCAACAACAGTTCGCCCTTTGTCAGCTTTGCAACCTTAGCCTGCTTCTTATCGTCGGTCTTGACACCCAATAATCGGCGCAGCAAAAAGTAGGATATTTCTAATTCGGTGTAGATGGAAGGCAGGGTGCCGGGGTAGCCGAGCACTTGACCGACAAGACGATCACCACGGCAAAGAGTAGGATCCATTTGGGTACCAACACCTGAATACGGCCACGGATTACATGTGTCAATGTATAACGTCTCTCTATCTTCCATATATAAACGAGATATCCTTACCAATCAAACCACCAGGAACAGCAAAGTCCAACTTGTTGGTTTCGGCAGCTAATGTGAGAATCTTCGAAAGAATAGGTCTTGCGCGGATCTTGCCTTCTTGATCCTTGATAATGACACCAGGACGGACTTCAATCTCGTCGCCGACCTTCAACACACCCTTCAAAATAGAGCCACCAGCAACACCACCCTGCAACTGGGTAACATCGGCACCGGGTTTGTTGATATCAAATGAACGAATGACAATGAGTCGTGGATCAGCAGTGAAATCACGGACAGGGACTGGAATCTTCTTTGTAATATATTCGTTGATAGCATCAATGTTGTATTTCAATTGGGCGGAAATGGGGATAACGGGTGCTCCATCGGCAACGGTACCTATAACATCAACACGTTTAGCACTCCAGCCCTCTTTTTTGTCTTTAGCAGCAGCCAATCAACTGAGTAATAGATGCATTACCCTTTACAAATGCCAAAATATCGTCGTGTTGTTCCTGTGCAGCCTTCTCCTTTACGAGATCGACCTTGTTTTGCAAGATAATGACATGTTTCAGTTTCATGATTTCGATAGCGGCCAAATGTTCGGAGGTCTGAGGCTGTGGACAGGATTCGTTACCGGCAATCAGGAGCAAAGCAGCATCCATGACTGCGGCACCGGATAACATGGTTGTCATCAAGATGTCGTGACCTGGGCAATCGACAAACGAGACGTGTCGGACCAACTGCATCTTTCCACCGCATCCAGGGCGCTCGCAAGGTGGGTGATCTTCCTTTGATGAGCCGTATGATCGGTAGCAGCCTGGACGAGGGCATTCGGCATTCTCGCACTTATAGATCTTTGCGTTGGCGTAACCCAACTTGATAGTAATGTTTCTTTCCATTTCATTTTTGAAACGGACAGTCTATAAAAAACATCCCTCGTAGGGTAAGTAATCCTACTACAATTTTCATGCTTCTAATGTGTATATACCTGGACACCAGAAATGGCCTTGACGACAGTCGATTTACCGTGAGCTACGTGACCGATCGTACCTAGAAATCAGAATTATGATGTAATGTAAGCCTGACATGCTTTGTTTCGAAATGAGGTAATTAAATCAGGATAAACAGTCGTCGTATAGGTATTTTTACCGATATTGATTGTAGCCTGCTTTGAGATAACTTCTGGTGATAAAGCAGTGAGCTTTGTTACGTCGATTTGGACGGGCACGGTTTCTTCAGAAACAGCCATTATTAATGATTACTTTTTTTTGGCCTAATAATAGTGGCAAAGTCAGTTTTTTTTTCCTGATTCTCGAAATTCTGCCAAAATGTCTAGCCTTGATAACGTTCTTTTACAGGCGAGTGTCACGAATGATGCTTACTTTTTTAAAGAAAGAAAAAGAGAGTGTGAATCCGCAAACTGGAATCGAAAGCAACAAAAAAAAAACTCGCTATGACAGTAGAGGCCGTCGCAGCAGAATTGGAGAAAAAAATAGTCGCGGGCTTTAGTAGTGACGTGTCTTTTTTTGACAATCGATGGACTGACTGACTGACTGACTGACTCACCCTCACAGCTTTGACTATATCATGTGAGCAATTTTTTTTTTCTGTTTGACCAAGATAAGAGCAATTACACATATTGACTGAGCTCTCTCTATAAGGCTGGTCCAAAGGGGGCTCTGACGGGTGGCACCATTTCATGTTGCTGCTGCTATGTTATCCATGCGTATACAGTATTGAGAGGTAATATATGTGGTAGCATAGATAGCAACCATTACATAGCAGGCAAGACGGACATCAAAGACAAGAGGGATGATGATGCTCGAAAAACAACAACAACAGCAGCAATGCATAGCTTGTTGTGCAACGACCTGTGGAGTGGATCACCATGTGGATAAAAAAGTACAAAAGTCGAGATTGAAAGTGTGGGAGAATGATTAGGAGTAAGTGAGATTTGCATGATCAATAATTTTTATTTTTCCTCAATGTAATGAAAGGGGGGAGATAATAAATAATGCTAAAATATGAAACCGTTTTTCTTCTGTTGCTGAAATGCTGCTGCTGTATGCGGTATGTACATTTGCGATACACACAAACGACCGGATGGTTGGGTAAAAGAAGAAGGGGGAAAGGAGAAAGAAAAGTGATATGTACGATATGTAAAGAGAAAGAAAAAAGGCGTTGGTTATAAGAAGATGTCTCAAAAAGGATATGTATACGCTACGGGAGGAAATATGGACACGGTAAATCACAAAAAAGAAAAAGAAAAAAGACGAATTTGCACCAGGCAAAGACAATGAAAGATGTGTGCGTGTGTGTACTATGTGTGAACGTTGCGATGCTTTATCACAAAAAATTGACCTCCATGGACGGAGCAAATGATTGATGATGATGATGATGCTGTTGTGATTGCTGCTGCTGTTGAAGCATGTGCCAAGAGTTGTCCCAGGGCTGCTGCTGATGCTGCTGATGCAGCCAAGCATTTTCATCAATCGACTTGGGGAGATACGAGGAGGTAGAAGAAGAACAAGGAGGAGGAGCAGCGGCAGCCTCCTGAAGCATCCAATTGGGTGCGACAGCGCTGTTGGTGGTGGCGGCGGCGGCGGAAGTATTTGCGACTGCAGCATAAGCAGCAACAGCTGCTGTTGTCATGGCTGGTTCAGGGGTAGCCGAGGGCGATAAGGTGAAATCGCGACACAAGTCGAGCGGTGGCACCTCGGGCATGGCCATCGTACACTTTGAGAACATGTCAGGCGATTGGCTGAACATCTGCAGGAGCGCTTGGCGAAGCATGTCATAGTTGCCCTGCAACACATGGACAGCCTGGTAGGTGGCCTGCTTGTTTTCGGAAAAGTCGCCGCAACGGATCCAGTCGTGGTCAATACCGGCTCGCCACATGGAGAAGGTCAAGTCGCCAGCATGGTCCAGATGAATCTGAAGCTGGTCGGCCATGGTCATGTCTTCCTGCACTTCAGACGTGAGCACCAGCTGGCGGATAGCGCTAAAGTCGATTTGAATGCGGAACTGGTGGCCGTCATCTTGGATATGCCAGATCAACTGGCGTTGGTGTGCGTAACACACGAGATCCCATTGCTGATCGCGCATGCCTGCAAATCTTGCCCAGCTGCCGACGCGCAAGGCTGCCACTGGAAAATTGATTTCAGCGTTCGGTCCTATCAGATTAAAATGGACATTCATTACATGTAATTAGTATAGGCTTTTGCTTCTGCAGCTTAATAGACAGTGCTATGTAAATAGGGGAGAGAAGAAGATTGTGCGGAGTTCTGGAAAAGGCCCTCCCTGTTTACCTTGTTTAGGTATTATCCGATCCGTGCCTTCCGACATGGCACGAGGAATCGCATCATTTTCTTCCTCTTGCAACAACTGCACACAGGCTGTTTCAGGCTTGGAGTACGAACGGGGACGTTTGCGTTGCTGTTGTTGCTGTTGCGGCCAAGACGCGTTGTTATTGTTGTCCTGTTGCTGGTGTTCTAGATGTTGCTGCTGCTGTTGTTGCTGTTGCTGTTGCTGTTGCTGTTGTTGCTGTTGTTGTTGTTGCATTTCTTCAAACCGTTCAGGAGTCATCATTGTACGAAATGTGGCTTGGTATCGTTGGGGCGTGTTGCTACGTTGAGGTGGCTCAATCCAGCCGGTTCTGACATTTGGCATGAGCGAGGGGATTTTACCAGAGCCGCCGGGGCAGTTACTGGAGATGGCATCCAATTTACGAGCTTTGGCACGGCGGTTTTGGAACCAGATTTGAATGGTGCGCTCGGTGACACCAAGTTCCCGGGCCAGCCGGCTGCGCATGGGGGCCTCCGGAAGTGGGTTGGTGACAAAGGACTCCTGGAGCACGGCGACTTGGCTTGGCTTCAGATGGGTGCGTTTTCGAGTGGGTGCTGTTGGTGGTGCCATGACAGCCGGAGGGAACATGGTCGGGCAGGAAGGGACTGCGCCGGAATTGGTTCGGTGTCTGTACTTGTTGAGCATTATTGCTAGTGGTTGTTTATGTAAAGGTAGAAAAGAGTGTGTGTGGTTTTGGGTTGGATTGGAAGAAGAAGAGAGAAAGTGTGAGCCGGCACAAGAAAAAGAGGAAAAGAAAGGAAGTGCGTGAGTTGCTAAAAGTGAAGAGAAGTGAAGTGAAGAGAGAGGAAAGGGCAACGAAAACAAGTTGGCGTTTTATATGCACTGTCAGTAGTCACTAACAAAGCCTTGTCTCTTTGGCAATGACACACACACACATTGCCATATTCTGTCAGGAGTCCCCCTCGGTGCTCACTCGCTACTCACCACGCTTGTACACACACTTTGCACAATGCCTTCTTTTTGACTCCCTGGTTACACCTGCAACCCAAAGATCACGCTACCCAGGGCACCCTAACACTGTCGAACCAAAATTTACGGTCCGCCCCCTTACTACTGATTGCTGATTGCTTCTGCTGCTTTGCTGCTGCCTAACCGACAGTTCGTTCTGGACCTCCTGGAAATTTTTTTTTTGGTTGCTGGGCTTGAGCGAATCATGATCATTCCTCTCTCTCTCTCTCTATGTTGGTCCCAGTGGCAACTGAAACATCCGTTCCCGCTCCCAATATAAAAGTTAGTTTTGCTGGGTAAGCCGCGCAGGGCCTCTTTTTTCTCCTCCCGTTATTTTTGTTTCCGTCATCATGGGCAAGAAGTCTGTGCGCATTCATCCGGACGAGTCAAAGAGTTTGATGACAGGTAATAGTAATAAGCAACAGCAGGGAAGCGTAAACAAAACTACTGGATGGGGGCAGTGTGTTTGTGTTCCACCATCCGTTCTGTTGTCCTGCCCTCCCCCCCCTTTCCTCTCCCCCATCTCGTGTACAGTGTGTGTATGGTTGGTGTACAGTGTGCATTCATGTATGTACGTGTGTGGAACTCTAAAAAAGAAAAAATAAACTGCAGACCCGGCCCCGATGCCTGCCATAGATGATCACATTGTTGACATGCACAAAGGCAACGAGGATGATGATTATGATGATGTCCGGCTTGCAGATGATTCGGAGCTACGACAAAAAAGTCCTTTCTTCCACCATCGTCATCGTCTGCAGGAAGACGATCCATTACAAAGTTCCGAGAAGCAGCAACTGGAAAATAACTACCACCACCTTGACGACATTGACAACAACCATCATGATTCCCATCCCCATAGCCACAAAAACTATGACAACAATAACCACGACAACAACGACGACAAAAATGATAGTAACCATGGAAACAACGACGATGACGACGACGAGTTTGACTGGAACGACGATCCAGACCAGCCACGGCCAAAGCGTCGCAAAACCACCAAACAGAGAATCCAGGATGCAATGCGCCGACCATGCTGCTGGAGCTACCTTTCTCCTTTTGCAAAACGGTTCATCTTGGCGCTGGTTGGTTCGTGCGTCTTCATCACTCCCGCCGTGTGTGTGAACCAGCTGCTCCCCGTGCCTACAGACGACGAAAGGGCCGATCCGGATTTCAAAAACGTGCGTAGCAACCTGCAGCTCTGGCTCTACTGGGCTGCTTCTCTTCATTGCGCCGCCTGGATCTGTGCTGTCATTGTCGAGTCCGTCCCTGCCGTTGTGTCCTTGTGGACCAAAGTGTTTAAAGGAAGACGTTCGGAGAAAGTAAAATCGTCCATGGAGGTAAGGAAAAATACAATATAATGGGAAGGAGGGTGGATACACAAGATCGTCGGTACGACACATACACACTCACATACTCAAACTCTGTTTTTTCTTCTTTTTTAATACGGGACAGTATTACATGAGCTTAAAACGATATTTGATGATTCTTATCTTGGCCTCATGGAACTGGGGCTCTTGGGCATTCTTACTGGATTATCCGTATAACGTAAGTCAGCCACCAACTTTCTATAATCGGCCTAAACCGCAACGCTGCATCGTATCTCCCCGCTCCCCCCCCCCACATACACTCTGGAAACCTCGCTCTACTGGTATTAACACAATGAAACGATCTATAAATAGTCTGTCAAAGACCAAAGCTACTCGGCCGTCATTACCAAAGTGTTTGCCTGCATTTTTGTCGCTAGCTGCTGGCTGTTTGCTCAGAAGGTCGTTGTACAGGTTATCGGTAATAAGAACCTACACTTTCTTGGTTTTTTTTCTTGTCTACGTTGCATTATACTAAGCAAGCGATATATCACTTAATAGCAACCCGATTTCATCGCGAAGCATTCAGCGACCGACTTCGAGAGAATAAGCATGCCCTTAAAAGTAAGAGTTTCACAAAAAAAAGTGTGATGATGGAATTTCTGTACGCACCAACCCACTACTGCCTGCTTGGCTGGCTGGAATGTTTCTGCTGATCAAAAAATGTTATACCAGTACTTGATACCTTGAGCAAATCCGAAGCCCGCAAATCGAGGCCCGAAGCCAATGGTCGTTTACGAAGCCGTCGTCCCAACAGCGGTTCATCGGAAAAAAGCAGCGACAGTGCTGCCGACCATACCACTACTGCCGCTTCTGATGGTAATACTGGGTACAGCACAAGCGTGGACGGAAGACCCGAGTACAAACGACACAACACTGGTGCGGAGATTCTTGGGCAGTTCAGAACATTGTCCTGACCGACCAACCTCAAGTGCGGAGCCGGATCGACCGCAACAAGGTGGACATCAACTCAAACGAGTATGCAAAAAAAGTGGCCAAGAAGCTTTTTTATTCGCTCGCTTTCCCCCATGCTAGCTTCGTAGCTCCTTTGACGAACGAAGAAGAGTCCAAGACGTCGCTGGACATGCATCACTTTGAGCCGTATTTTCACAACCGGGAGGAGGCAGAAAAGGCCTTTGCTGTGTTTGACAGAGATGGCAATGGTAATTTAACGCGGCGCGAGTTCCGTGACACTGTACTACGGATCTACAAGGAGCGCAAGGCGCTGGCCCAGTCGATGCGGGATACCAGCCAGGCCTTGGGCAAAATCGATACCATGCTACTGATTATCAGTGTCGCTTCCACCGTCTTTATATCCCTTGCCATTTTTAATGTTGATCTTTGGCAAGCCCTGGTACCCCTCGGCTCGTTCTTGCTGGCACTGACGTTCATCTTTGGCAATTCGTGCAAAAATACCTTTGAAAGTGTCATGTTCCTTTTTGTAACGGTAAGAAGGCCCTTTTCTGTTTTTATTTTATTAATTAACTAGGGTTCCACATGGTTTTCAACGCAGTACACACATAATAATACTCGTTTTCTCTCTCTTACTAACTCTTTCTTTTTTCTCTCTCTCACTTATTTTTGCAGCATCCCTATGATGCAGGTGACTACCTCCTTATTGATGACCAGTTCTTGCTTGTCCATGAGCTTGGCTTGATGGGAACCGTGTTTATGTAAGTTATTATTTTCCCCCTCCTTTCACCCTATTACCTTATAAGCCTATATTGAACATCGCTTCTAACCAATTTTACCTCGACGCATGATATGCATCATGTATCGCAATCAATCAGTCGAGGCGATGGTCAGCAAGTCTATGCACCTACCACAGTGCTAATGACCAAACTCATTGTCAACGTGCGCCGCTCTGGCGATATGGGCGAATCGATCGTGATCAACATCGATTTCCGAACCCCTACGGACCGGTTGATGCTGTTGAGCAAACGCCTTACCGATTGGGTGAATGGCGAATCGCGCGACTATGCGCCAGGGTTTGATATGCGTGTCACTGATATCATCGATGTCAACCAAATCATTTTGACTATGTGGCTGCCACACAAAGGCAATTGGCAGGATCTCGGTAAAAGATTTCAGCGACGAACGAAGGTGAGGAATATTTGATCTGGCTTAAAGGAGGACCGGGGGTGCCACAAAACAAACAAGAACAGCAACATATTAGAAGAAAGCGCGGGATATACAATGGGGCCACATGTTTCTTACTCTCTCTCTTTGTCTGCTGCTGTTGTTGTTGTTGTTTTAAATGGCTTTGTATAGTTCTTGATCGCAGTCAAGGATATCTTGACGGAGCTCGGTATCCGATACGAGTTGCCTGCTCAGCGCTTCACCCAATCTGCTGTTGAGCAACCGTTCCTTGGCAGTAGCACTACTAATAACCAGCAGGCTGGCAATAGTAATGGGAGCAGCAGTATTATGTCTGTGACACCACAGTCTTTTGCACAAGGATCACAAGCAGTTTCTGCAACAACTGGACGATAAAACCTGAACGTGTTCTTCCAAGTTTTTCTTTCTGGGCTCAGATGTAGATAGTAGTAGCAGTAGTAGATTCTATAAATATTTCGCATTATCATATCCAACCCTGTAAATCTTTCTTTTTCTTTTGTACAATATATACACCAACTCTCTCTATATATATAGTCCCAAGGACCCACTGAGATGATGATGATGAAGTTTGTGCGATATGTGGTATGTAGCACACGCAAATCCTTTAGTTTTTCATTGTGAGTTGATTAACAACATATTTTATTGGCAAATGTATGACATGATGGGGGTCTCGCCCAGCTGATGAGAGAGAGCGAGGGGGGAGTGGAAGAAAACCCGATGTTCCAGGTCAATCCAGTATGAGGGCCGCCCTAATGAACAACATCTCTTGTATTTTGCGGAGCTTACCAGATTAAAAAAGTACGATGCCACTTTTTTGTTGTTTTACTTGTGGCCTTTTTCGTTGGGACGCATCAAAGAATGAAAGTCGTTTCTAGAGAGGGCGGTGGCTTAGTTCTCTTTCATTCTTGTGCAAGTGATCAAGTAAGGTAAAGGATTTCTTTGTGGCAGTGGGGCAATAAAGGCTTAGTAGATCTAGATCACGCTATCAAGTGGCTTTCCCATAACAACTTTGTTGATGGCAGGTGGGTGTATTGGTGATTGGGGATGGTAACACACAGGATAGAGTGGAGTGTGAAGCGGGGCGCAGAAGAGCACAGTCCGGGTGCACTAAAGAGGAAAGCTCATTTGCCGTCCGCAAATGAACAGGTATTCGTGCATGAGTTCTCGCTGTCAGTTGTGGCTATTTTTATATATCGAACCTTTCCTTGCTCTCCTTCCCTCCTCTTTCCTTTCCAAATCTTTTATATTTGGTAGTCCCTCGTGGCGCCCCCAGCTGTCCTTTTATATATATTGTATATATCATCGTTCTACCAGTCTACAGTCCCTCTTTTCTTTTCTTTTTATTATAACTTCCTTTCCTTTCTCTTGACCACTACCACTACCACTTATATATTATCCATTTAAATGCCACCAGGAGTGCACTACGAGGCTGCCGGCGGAGGCGACGGTGGTCCTCCTCCTCCTCAAGGACCACCACCACCGGGCCATAATAACGACTACGCGTACGGCGTCTCGACCACGACAAACTTTAACAACGCAGGCGCCGCCAATGTTGGACTCGGTCGCAAACAAACCACACTCGGCCGTGCACCCACTCGACGCATCGTACCCGGCGGCGCAAACGGCATTGCCAATGCGGGCCAGAATATCCAGCGTGGCCGCACGCTGATCCGACCTGAGCGGTATCAGGAACCACCACCGTTATTAACGGGCAAGAGCGAAAAGTCCCGCAGTGCATTTGATCCGTGGGTCTTGTTCTCGAGAATCGTCACGTTCTGGGCCTTGCCTTCCATGCTCAAGGCATGCAAGATGCCCGACAAGAGCATGCAGCAAGCCTGGCGCGAGAAAATCGCCTTGTGTTTTATTATTGCGTGCATGGGTGGTATCGTCGCTTTCATCGTTGTCGGTCTTGCTCGAGTCTTGTGCCCCCCCGAATCATCCAACAACATGGGAAACTTTGCTGCGTATAACGATACCGCAAGCAGTGGTAAGAAGAAGGGAGCAAACAGTAGCAGCCAATAGTAGCATTGGAGTTTGAAGAGGAAGAAAAGAAATCACTTGGGATAACGCAAAAAAAAAGAAGGGGGGTTCAGGAGGACGAAGAGAAGAGAAAAATGTGCTGTAATAATCTATGCAAATGGATGATGGATGCTGACTGTTACATTTACTCTTTACTACAACAACAGCTAGCTTGCTGGGCATCAACGGATGGCAGTTTAACATATCGACTGCAGAAGCTACTGGCAGCGTCAACCTTTACGACTACGCCTCGGTACCTGGCACGGATATCACCAACTATTTCACCCATGGAGCCTCTATACCATCCTGTCTAGACACTGGCAACCCTACCACCAACGCCTTCACCGCTGTCACCTTTGACCCATGCACTGCAGCCAACGGCAACGGCGGCTGCTCACTGGGCACAATGGACCAAACCACCTTTGACACCTTGAGCATCACCAACACCTCGCGCAAAGTCGGCTACGACTGGAACTTTTTGGCCAGTTCGAACTTGACCAACTATTTCGTCTTGGACGGCAATGTGCTCAACATGGGCCCGTACATGGCAGCCAACCCAACTGCCCTTGCCGGCGACCCTCTCGATGAACTCATCCGCGATGTTCTCAATCAGTCGTATGCCGAAGGTGGTCGCGATGCCACCAAAATGTTCCAACACCGAAGCGAATACGAAGCAGCCATGGGCTGTATGAAAGAAAAGTACCGTGCTGGCTTTATTGACAAGGACACGCCCGGCTGTTTCGCCTCGCAACTTGTCTTGTTCTTCGCCCTGGGCTCTGTGCTTGCGGTCGTTCTTGTTCGATTCGGTATGGCGCTGATCTTCGCCTGGTTTATTTCCCGCCGCTTGTCCAAGACTCCGCCTCCCCTTCCCAGTTCCGCAGCTGTGGTGCATCCAAACAACACGATGGAAATGTCCAGTATCAAGAGCTCGCCCGGCGCCATTGGAGGACCTATCGCCGGTGCTGTGCGCAAGAACATTGAGGTGGGCAACGATCTGTATTCCGTTGTGCTGGTCACCTGCTATTCCGAAAACACAGAAGGTATTCGTGCCACCGTCGAGTCGTTGTCTGCAACAGACTATCCCGACGATCGCAAGCTCTTGTTTTTGATTGCCGACGGTATCATCACTGGCCACGGTGAAACGATGACCACGCCTGACATGTGCTTGAGCTTAATGACCTTTGACGACGAGTCCATGAAGAACCCCGAGCCCAAATCCTACATTGCTGTTGCCAACGGCGCAAAGATGCACAACATGGCCAAGGTCTATGCTGGCTATTATGGTATGGTGACACCGCCCAGAAAACCTTTTTTATCGTAGCTCAAAACCTTAATACTAATTAACCCGCTCCTCTAATTATTATAATGTTATAGTGTGCAAAGGCCACAAGGTGCCTATGATTCTCGTTGTCAAATGCGGTGGTCCAGAAGAACAGGGCAAACCCAAGCCTGGTAACCGTGGCAAGCGTGACTCGCAGCTTATCCTGATGAACTTCTTCAGCCGCGTCACCTACAATGACCGTATGACGCCTCTCGACTACGACTTGTTCCAGAAGATCACGTACTTGATGGGAGCCACACCCGATTATTTCGAGTTGTGTTTGATGGTAATTAAAGCGGGGCTTAGGACGCTAGCTTATTTCTGCTCTCTCCTATTGCGGTCAGGGGCTAACCCTTTCCTCTCTTCCTTTACAGGTGGATGCTGATACAAAGGTTTATGAGACGTCGATGCGGTTGCTGGTCAACTGTATGGTCAACGACAACTTGATCATGGGTCTCTGTGGCGAAACCAAGATCGCCAACAAGCGCGATTCATGGGTGACCGCAATCCAGGTGTACGAGTACTTCATTTCCCATCATCTGGCCAAAGGTTTCGAAGCCGTCTTTGGTGGTGTCACATGTTTGCCTGGCTGTTTCTGTATGTACCGATTGAAGGCTCGCAAGGGTGATGGCGACTGGGTGCCTATCATTACAAAGCCCGAGATTGTCCAGGAATACTCCTCCAACGTCATTGAAACGCTCCATCAGAAGAACTTGCTTCTTCTCGGTGAAGATCGTTTCCTTACCACGCTCATGCTTCGAAACTTCCCCTACCGCAAGATGGTCTTTACTCCTCAAGCTGTAAGTCAACATTGTGCTCTTCCTATCGGGTAAACCTGTACTCTTCGTGACACTCACACTCAAATGCATGAAAAATGGTGGTATTTTTAGATCTGTAAAACAATTGTCCCTGACGAATTCAAGGTGTTGCTCTCGCAGCGTCGTCGTTGGATCAACTCGACCATCCACAACCTGTTTGAGCTTGTCCTTGTCCGAAACCTCTGCGGCACCTTCTGTTTCTCTATGCAGTTTGTCGTCATGATGGATTTGATCGGTACACTGACCCTTCCTATTGCCATCTGTTTGACCGTGGTTATGATTGTTTCGATCGCCAGTACGCAAATCACCAGTTTCCAAAACGCCATCCCGCTTTGTCTGCTGCTCATTGTGCTGTTCTCGCCTGCCGTTCTGATCGTGTTGACCACGCACAAATGGGTCTACCTCGGCTGGATGTTCGTGTATCTGTTGGCTCTTCCTATTTGGAACTTTGTCTTGCCCGTCTACTCCTTCTGGCACTTTGACGATTTCTCGTGGGGTGAAACTCGTAAGGTTGAAGGCGAAGGCAAGGACGACCATGCCAACAAGGACGGTGTATTTGATCCATCCTCGGTGCCATTGAAGCGTTGGGAGGATTATGAAAGAAAGCGTGTCCGCGCACACAAGCGCCGCGAGCGTAAGGAACGTCAATTACGCGAAATGGGTCCTGTCCACTTTATGCATTCTGTGGTACCGCCCGATGAAGACGAAAGCAAGCGCGGATTGTTGGCCGACCCTCAGTTTGATGACGATGCTTACAGCAGCCGTTCCGATATTTCTGGCCAAGATGTACATTACTTTGATCCTTCCAAGGAAGCCCCCGCCAGAGCCGGTGCTGGAGGATACTACCCGTCATTCCGTCCTGACCAACCTGGTACCCCACCTGCTCCTCCAGGAAACTCTGCGCCTGGTCCATGGGGCAACCAGCCTTCTTCATCTCCCGGTCAGTACGTTGGTGCACGACCACCTCCACCAAGCAATCAAGGATCCTACCAAGGATTCTAAGCCTTTCCACACATTTCCAATAACAACGTACATAATCTTTCACCTTTTCTTTCGCATTTTTTCAAAAAATCATCCTACCGCACCCAAACTCACTCACACTCACAAAAAAAAGAGAGGATAGAACAAAAAACCTCACCTTCTCACGTATATTATATATAGCTGTTGTATTTCTCCTTTTTTTTCTGTATGCTAATGTGTAAAGTGGAGATCAAAGACACACTGTAATATTGCTTCATCATCATCTTAGTCTCTTCTTTTCATAACACGCACCATATCCAACTACAACAATAAAACTACATGTCAATCAAAAGAGTATGGGTTTATTAATGAGAAAAAGAAGCAGTGGATTATATTAAGGGTTTAAGCGAATACAACAAAAAGAATTATGGTAGATAGTAAGAGTGTAAAGTCTATGGCATGGAAAGAAGGTGCAGCAGATGTAGGGAGTTTTTGATGATGATCTTTGGATAACGTCTTGTTAGAGCCTATGGCAATCTTGTTGTGAGGTAGCGAGTTGCTATTATCCTGCTTCTCTTGCTGTTGTTGACTAGAATCGTCGTGCTTTTCCGCTTGAGCCACATGCTTATCTGCTGCTGCTGCTGACTGGTTCTCCGATAAATCCTCCCAATATGGACTCTCGTCACCAATGCATTGATGAATAGGGACAACGTTGAAGTGCTTCTTTAGTTCAGGCAACCATTTTTCGGTAAGCATGATGGTTTCGTTGCTTGACTCGTGCTGAAGAGGAATATGTCCGTGCTCGTTATCTTTGTCGGCTACTCGGAGTTCTACCCATTCATTGAAATATCCATTTACTGTAGCAGCACTGATGCTTTGAGCCGCCTATGTGTACACATAAATCATTACTATCAGTTCTCGCCTCACTCTTATATCTGTCATATGCTGCCAGATGGCTTACCAAGGCCCAGTCATTGGAATCTCTGTCCCATAAAATGGCACGCATGCCCATAAGCCAAGCAATGGCTCGTACGCGATCATCGATATCTCCGAACGGTGGTCTCCAGCACTTGGGCGTAATACCAACGACCTCCTTGATGGCCTTTTGAGTAAAATAAAGCTCAGACACGATTTGTTCGTTGCTCAGTGTCGTCATTAATGGATGTGACCAGGTATGCGAGCAGATGGTGTGTCCGTCACTGAAGGCGCGCTGAGCTGCCTCGGGGAATGTCATGACATTGGAACCGATAACTACCATTTTTTTTGTATAAGAAAAACCATGCACAAGAATACAACAAGCAACGAGAAAAATACATACAGAACAAGGTTGCCTTTTGCTTGTCTTGTTCGATCAAAAAGTTGTATAGTCGTGGCTCTTCATACTTTTTTTCATCTTCGTCCTCGCTCCAGACACGATAGGGCCCATCGTCATAATTGAGACCCCAATCACCGGCATGTGGACAGTAGCTCACGTCTTCAGGAATATAATCCAACTTAGGTTTTTTGCAGAGTGTGCTTGACCACCAGCAGTGAGGATCGCTTTCTGTATCATAAGTAGTAAAATTCAAGTCGCCGTTTTTTGCTCGCCGGACAGGTGCATCTGGAACTTTGGACCAGTCGAGCTGCTTGATGACTGCCTGCACTTCTGGGTCGTCGACCGGCGGTGCTTTCATGGGAGGCGGATAGTTGCCGAGATTTAGGTTACTGACCTTGTCGAGCGGTCGCACCTTTATGCTATCCTCGTCTAGTGTAAGTGATGATCGAGCATTGTCAAGCGGTCCTTTGAAATCAGCGAGCCATACAGGTGAAGAAACGGCCAGATAAGGTGATGTTTGAGATTGTTCTTGCTCTTGCGCTGTCACAGCCACTGTAACCGCGGAAACAGTAAGTAGAGCCACTACTGCTGTTTTTGTTGTCACTGACGGTAATGTGTAGTGCATGATCTATAAAAGAAACATCAAGTTCTTGAATAAAGAAAGAAAAAAGAAATTATATGTCAGGGAGGGGCAGTCAGTGCTGTCAACTTTTAATCTTTGTCAAGTTTGCTTCTAGTTGGATTTGCAAACCGAAGGTGGGGACCATATAAGAACACATTATAATCAAACAAAGCAAAAAAAATCTATCATTATTGTCATTTCATCCGACAGCGTCTCAAAGAAGAAAATAATTCTTAATTTTCTTCAGTCAGGACCATGTAAATATTCAGGCTCATCAGTGCTCTTGAAAATTTTCCTTGAATCAACAGATCCATCAGCACTGGTATGTCATCAAAGTTCACGTGAGGCGTGAAGCTGGCAAGAAGCAAATAGCGACCGTCATCTAGCTTGGGCAGCATTGCCATACTCGGAGCAACCACAAGTGTTCTATATATATTATTATAATGAATTAGGTCAGTGTTTAGTTAGAAAGAAGCCTTCGCTTTAAGCGATCTTCCTAGAATCAACAGATCCCATCCCTACTCTCGGAGTCCCTCTTTCCTCCATTACGAAGCATCATATTTCCTTTCTTGATATTCATCTTTTCATGTCTTGGAAACATAATATTACCGTTCGTATTCACCTGCCACTTGTTTCGATGGCGCAAAGTTCATATGTGGGCTATGTGGAACAAACGGGATTCCAGCTCGTTCTTGCAGTGCTTCGTAGAGCGAGTCGAATTGCCCTCCGAAATCTTGTACTTTGACATTTGGTCTATCCGGATTACCTAATCATATCGAAAAGTTCAGTTCCTCTCGGGACTATGTTCTCATCAAATCAGAAACCGTACTACATACTCTCCCACGAATTTGGATAGCCCAGCAAATGTCTCGGTGGCATGTATGTCTTGTAGAACATCAAGTGCGTTGTTACATCATGATGACTTGTGATTGAATTATCTGGACGCAACATAAACAAGATTAGCTGAGCTTCTTTTGTAGTTTGGATCTAATGGGTGTAATAATATATTTTGATTTTAACAACGTACCGATTTCACCAAACGCACAGCCTAAACCACTGTTTTCCAACACATGACAGCCTTCCATGCCTAGCGACTGCTGCTGTAAGAATATCATTGCTGGAACCAAGCCTCCCTTTATAACATGTACATTAATACTTGCGATGAAAAAGACATTCTATAGATTCTTTCACAGTCATTTACCTGATGAAGGACGCCGAAAATAAACGTAGTAGCAACATTGGAAGCTAGCCAAAGAAACTGAACAAGAGATCGGAATAAGTTTGCTGTACTACCAACAGATCAATCTTCTGTTTTACGTTGTTGGTGCTATCAGCTTACCCAAAACACTCTGTTGATCTTGACGCGATTCCATGTGTATACCAACACAAGCGGGACCATCATAGGCGTTAAGAACCGGGCTTCTTGATGTGGCATGATGGATAAGCCTGTCATTGCCAAGATAATCACGCTGACGAGAACTGAGGTACACAAAATTATAACATTTTAAGCGTGGTTGCTATATACATGTTCATGCCGTTCCCGTGGAGACAACAATTACCATAGTAGAGCAATGGGCTTGTTCTTGGTCTCCATAGTAATGACACCAAGGCGCTTGTACTCAGTGGGCCATACAACAATGGGAAGTTAACCAGCAGATGCAAGTAGCGCGGATGCAGACCATGATCTTTAAGGTTCTCGACTTTGGCATTATACAGTATATTGTTTAATGGCGTCAGGACAACTGTACCCTAGAAGTATGTATGTCAGTGAAATCGCCACCACCTGCATAAAAAAAGCGGTACAACAGTTAGCTTACCGATATACGAACCCGCGACCACTTTCCTGGATCGCTGATGACATCCATTACATCCACAAAGGTTTCGATCGATTTTTCGGCCAATGTAATATGCAACGTTTGATAGAATAACGAATCGGCAAGGATGCATCCTGCAGCGACAATGGTTCCTCCGAGTAGGAATGGAAACACTGCGCCTACGAAGCGACGGCCACTAGATAAAATATCTGAATAACTGCTTATTAGAACGAGCATCCCCATCCTGTCTTTACCTTTTTTTATACGCATTCAAGAGGAAACCAAGACCAACAGGAAATCCATAAAGAATGAATGTAATCCGTGTAAAAATTCCCAGGCTTAATACGCTGCCTAGTGCAAATGATCGTATGGAAGTGATCTGTGCGCGCGCAAGCTAATTAGCAAACTTAATCCCCTGATTTTCCAAGTGATTTTCTATCACTTACCTTCTGTAGTGTTGTTGCGTAAATGGAAAAGGCCAAACAGAGTGCCACTGATTCAACTGAATTTGAAAAGGGACGCATGTAGTAGACAAGCATGACTTGGCTGGTAGAAACCAACAGGAACGGTAGTACTGGATCCTTTCCAATTTGCTTGCACATGCGATAGACGGCATAATCTAATTAATTGCATGCATTAATATTAAGCCCGCTCACTATTTTTTCCATTGTTCTTCTTTTGCAAACAACAAACCAATGATAAGAGAATAGAGAAAGCTTGATACGCGTTCTGCAAAGTACATGTCGATCGCGCGTGGCACTATTAGGTGTGACATTTTTGCACTAAATTGAGTGTAACGTTCTGAACATACAAAGTAGACACGACGACGTAAAAAAAGGTTTCTTTGCCTTGCTGCATCGTTCCTTCCGCCAGCTCCGCAACACGACGAACAATCCATAACGGCAAGCCTGTCGTTAAGAATCTAATAAAAAATGGCGATTAACGCGTTGATTCCTTGCTTCTTTCTACACCTCGTTTTTCATTGAATACATGTACACGTACGGGACTAGCACAGATCGAGCTGCGTGCTCTGGTTGATATTCCCATGGTGTGAAAGTCTTAATGTCGAAAACGGAGGCTGCTGTAACTTCGGGCGATTGGAAGTACTCATCAGGATGAATGTAACCAGGTAAACTTGAAATGGTCCAACGGACCCATAACAGCACGGTGTAGGAAATGACGCGCCGGTTTAACATTGCGCGCCCACGTATATTTTTTACACCCACAAGCGAAGGAATAATAAAAAAGAAGGCTCACGTAGGACAGACCTGCAAGAAAAAAAAAAGAATAAAGGGTTTGGTATGGCTGGTGGTCACACCAACTCTCTCTCTCTCTCTCTCTCTCTCTCTCTATCCTCCCGCTTGCCTTTTATTTTTACTTTATTGCTGCAATAAACACATGCATAAGGATATCCTGAAGGTTGTCATAGTGGTGACGGTGGCACAGGGAAGGTAACAGATCACAAAAAGGTTGATTTGTTTAATCGTCATAAGAAGCTCTAACCTGGATAATAATGAAAAAGACTAGTTTACGGAATCAGGTAAAATAGCCTTTTAGCGATTAGCGTTCATTCTTTTCTTGCTCAACCCGTTTTTTGTGTAAATCAAAAAATAAGTTTATCCACAAGCGGTTCACCAATGCCTACAAAGCGACAATTGGTATATATACACATTACTACGTTTATGCCAAAGGGGCATTTAAAAAAGTGGAACCTAGTTGGAGCTGATGTTTTACAAATTGGTTCAGGCGCGGATTTCATTACCAAGGAAGTTCGAACGGACGATGGCAAAAAGGTCATGTTGCAGATATGGGACACAGCAGGCCAAGAACGGTTCCAATCTCTTGGAGTAGCATACTATCGTGGTGCGGATGCTTGCATACTTGTGTATGATGTGAATAACTTTTTATCGTTTCAACATTTGGGTACAGAATTTGGGATCAAGGCATTTTGGAGCGGGGGCGGGTGGATGGATGGATGTGATCGGTGCGAGCGATAAGAGAAAAGAAAATAAGAGAGAGGATATGTTGACTATCGGAAAGAGTGGACGTGTCTATTCACGCTCGGTTTGTGTGTGTACATACGTACTTGTTTCGTTAGAGCGCTGGCGCGAAGACTTTCTAAAGCAATCCTCTTTACCAGCTGAAGAAGCACAACATTTTCCAATGTTGATTATCGGTAACAAAATCGATATCGACGATCGAGTGGTTTCTCGCCGACAGGCCCGGGCTTGGGCAGAGCAACGTTCCAGTGAGCGGATGAAGATACCGTGCTTTGAAACGAGTGCCAAGGACGGTACCAACGTTGAAGAAGCTTTCACGCATATCACCAAGATTGCCAAGGTCCCTCAGCTTGAATTGGATCTAAATGGAGCTGGCGATACCGTGACACTCTCCTCTGACACAAAGTCAACAAAACATGCTCGACCTTGTTGCTGAAGCAAATCCTTTTTTTTTCTTCCTACTCCTTCCGCACACTTATCCACATCCTACAACCATCCTATAAACCTCTAAAATACCTTCTTTCATCATTCATACCGAACGGTAGATTGCGTATAAACACTCTACTGCTTTTGTTTTGCGTAACTTCTTTATTCTTTAACTTAGATAGTGTATATGATACAAACATTTGACGCTTTTTTTTTATGTACAGTACGATTTGTCAATACACTCGCTACCATCCAATCCTTATTCTTTTGTGCCTTGCAAATCATTTAATTCTGACCACATAAAAGAATGGCGAAAACGTGGTGTATTTATTTGCATAGCGTAGCCCTATCCGTTAATTGACTCTCGTGCCCTTTTCCATTTTTCGCTATTACGCCGGATATAAGTGACAAATGGACTTGTCACAAGAAGAATGCTCCCGAGGATAGTATAAAGGACTCCACAACCGAGGACATCCTGCAAGTCAGTTCCCCACAGTATCCCAAGAGTCATCAGAATGCACTTGACAGTTTGGATGCATGCTATATTATATACATACGTGTGGATCATGAAAATTATCGTATCCGTTGAGCTGAAAGAAATACCGGATTGATCAATCATTGCTTACCTTGAGCAGAAGAACTGTGTTTAGGGAATGATTGTACAGCATATACGTTTAGGATACAGTTTACAAGTGTGACTCCAAACATCGCTGGTAAAACGTACAAGATTTGATGAGCAAATATTCGTTTATAATGTACACTTATACAAGCGTTTTAGGAACTCGAACGTGAAGTATTAGGATGTTGTGGTGGCTCTTGCACGAGCAGTCTATACATACCGAACGCTTGAAATACTATTCCTGCCGAGAAATGCACTAATTTCTGTATACACCATCCATATCCAGCAAACGATACAGCCGTTATCAAGGCTCCAACAAACAGCACTGGTTGATCTAGTCGCATTTCCGGATAAACATCGGCCTTGCTCAAGTTCGCCCTTTCGACTCGGCGTATATAGATGCGATCGGAGAATAGCCCTCCCAGATACGCGCCCGATGTGTTTCCTACGATCCCGGTAAGATAGAATAATCCAACCATCGTTGACGAAAATTGATACTGAATGCTGTAAGCCCAGGTGAAAGAAACAGCTGCCGCATTGTTTGTGAAAGACCTACACATCGGTATTTTTCCGTCATTAAAATATGTATATATACATATCCATTGCAAAGAAGAAGCGGTGATGACAAAGCTTACAATATCCCAATGTATAGGCAGCATAGCACCATGTTTGGGAACTTGAGCAACTTCAACGATGCAAACGGATTAACCATCTTGAGCCCTCGCCATAAACTTTTTTCTGAGCTTACGCCAGGGCCTATGTTGTCCACATCGTCACTAGATAGCTTTTGATGATGTCTAGCGCATGAATTTGTTTCGGGAAGAAAAAAGACAATCGCGAACCAGAAAAGGCTGTAAGCTATCACAAAAAGCCAAAAAATACTTCTCCATCCAAGAAACTGTGTCATTACACCGCCTATCAACGGTCTTGAATATACCATGTGTGGATTATTACCGTTAGTATACCAGATTTACATGATTTATCTTGTAGCTAATATCACTAGATAGCGTAAATGATGAATATTCCCTTATACTTACGCGATGGCCGTACAATACAAAGTAACAGACGCATACCAGGACAGCGCCTTGCCTTTTTGATTATCTGTAAATATGTCATTGATCAATCCGGCCCCAAGTGCATTACTCTATGAATTCAATATGGTACGTAAGTTATGAGCGTTGCTATATATTTATCTTAAAAGTTTATGTACAATAGTTGGACAAATACTCGCAGCAGCGGCACCAACAGCGGCTATCAAGCGAAGTGCGATTAGCATCCCGATGTTAAGTGCTAATGCGCATCCGATATTCCCTATGATGAGGAAGGAATTGGAAGCAATGAACACCCGTCTACGTCCTATCCAGAACGTAAAACAAACTTTATTAGTTATTAATGATATCATATACATTTATTATGTATATAACACTACCATACCATAGTGATCGGCAAATGATCCCCATACTGCAGACTGTAAAGTTTTGAATACGTAATTTAGTGATGATGGTTTTTCATTTAACCCAATGCAGTCATCAGTACAGTAGATCGTAATTATAGTATAAAAGAGCGACATAAAGCAACGGTATACCAGTAAACCAATCATGAGAACATATACCGCAGCTATATACATATATTAAAAAGTTAGCTTTTAAATATGCTGTTTTGATGATAGCTTTAATACGAACATATCATAACGTACCCAGCGTATTTACAACAATGGTAGTCGTATTAAACTCGTTCTTTATGATGGGTAGTGCCGGGTGCTAGAAATGTGGAAAAAGCAGGGGTACTTTAATCTTACCAGTATCGATTGACACTTGGCCGGTAGCTTCCTTACCAAGCCATTTAGAGACGATTGATTCCTTGTTGCAAGTAAGATGAAATTAATGAGCTACTATAGTAAATATAATTGCCTTTCGTAAGCATTGTTCGTCGTCTTTACATACAGTATCTGAGAAAAAAATGCAGAGGCAAAAATGGCACGCTTCATTGCTTTCGATAAACCTTCATTTTCAAGTGATGGCGACGTGCTTGAATCGATATTCTTTTTCGAAATTGGTTGCTGGGTATGACTCATACTGGCATCGTCTACTACAATTTCCGAGTCTTCAATGCTTGAAACGCTCTTCTTCTTTTCTTTTGTTTAAATAACATTTTATCAGCCATGTCAGTCAGAAATGACTGCTGCAACTAACACAGAAAAATGGGAGTGCTACCTTTGATCATATTGCTATCATGTTTGTGTGGATTGTTCGGCATAAAAGACATGTCCGTGCTGTATTTGACCTTGTCATCCTCATTTTTATACATATTGTCACGCATTATGTTTTTCTTGCTCATTGATATAAAAGTCGTATCGCAGTAACTTAAAAAATACTTCGTTGAGAAAGCGTGAAGATTCATACACTACTTGGGAACATATAATGAGAGAAAGATGTAACAAAAGAAAAAGAGCAGTTGATGTAAAACGGCGTCTCTCCCCTTATTATATACGGCATGCATGACACATGCATATTCTGGTTGCCGAAGCGCACAAAAACAGTGTCTGTTGAAGGTAAAGTGATTGCTCGTATAGTCCAGACACTCGCCCTCCCCACCTTCCAGAATAATTAACACACGCGAAACGACCAAATGAATAAAGTGTCACTAGTCCACCGGATATATGAAAACTAAACAGTTGTATTTGAAAAATCATTTGGCTGAGAAAGCACACTATGCTAAATATGTCATATGGATAATCTCATTTCTGCCGACAGGTTCTTGCCAACGTATATGCATATGTAAAAACACCTTGGACTATAATTAAGGATAGATAGGTTATGTGATTTATGTGGTCCATATGATAGCGATTTCTTCCTAAGAATTGAAAAATTATGTATCATTGATTTTGATTAGCTAGACGGTATGAATATTGCATCCTAAGGGTTATATGATACTTGCTCGTGTCAAATCTGGAAAAGTTTGTGACTCTAAAACAACCGTCGGAAACAACTGCTGCTGAAGTCGGTACGAGTCTGCTGTATATGTGTATATGTTTGTTTAACGATTATGTAGTCTGACCTAGTACTCATTAACATTTACAATCCCTATTTTCATGTCGAAAATCTATGTGTTAAACTATATGGAATCCACTGTATAAGGCTTTATTACATTTTATACAATTTCTTGTCCATATTCTCCAATTAGAGTGGATCCATCAACGAGGGAAATTACAACCATCCCGTAGCTTGGCCGTCAGCGCGAGGATCACTACCGGCAGCAAGGACGCGTTTTCCAGTACGTGCATCTGTTTTCGCAACAACGATTTGACCACGGCCAAATGTCAAACGAGCAGTACCTTTGGAGGGATAACACGTGTGACCCATTGCTTCTAATTTTTTAACAACTTCAGGCGCGATACCATCCTCCACGTATACTACAGAGTCAATGACATCTGTAAATCGACGTAAACTAGGCATCACGTATCCATCGGATTTGGCTGGAGCAACGCAAATTCGTGGTAGATCAATCGCGTGTTGAGGACTTGCGAGATAGCGCATTAAGTTCATAATAACCTGAACATGGCCCTGAGGCTGCATAAACGCTCCTACCACTACAGTATGGATGATAATATAGCAGAGGTCGCATCTAGTAAGTTTCAAGTTATCACGAATTTTTCTTTGATTGTGCAGTGTTCACCTCCTAAAGAAGCTTCGAATTCATGGTCTCCAGAGGACGATTTTCGCGTGATTATCGCTGGGATGAGGGTGAGGTACGGACGCTTCCTGGGACCAATACAATTAGGGTGATCCTCGATGAGTGTAAAGCTGTATCCCCGATTATGAAGTGGGAAACCACATTTGTCAGGAACAATGCAACTCTGCCAAGTAAAGGTACGCTGGCTTCAGCTTCAAGTGTATACTTCTTATGTTAACGGTACACTTACACCAAAATATCCAAAATTCGAGTTCTTGTCAAATCAATTGTTAGCGAGAAACAGTTGTTAAAAAACAGAGAAAAAACAGGAGCTCGCGCTTATTAAGCATACAGCATACTTCTTACAATAAAACTGCAGGCATTGCCTTCCTCATCAACGACGGATAAATAAACGGTATCGCAGGTTTTATCAGGATAACCTTTTACAATTTCGCCGTTTCGTTTTTCCAAGTTCACCAATTTGGCACGCTCAGAAAGGTAGGCTTTGCTTAACAATTTATCGGTCGGCACAGGGAATACTTGTGGATCCGCTACGTAGTAGCGCGTATCAGCAAATGCCAGCCGAAGTACTTCGATAATGATATGCAGATACTCCGCAGAGTTATGTTCCAGTTTTGAGAGATCTAAGCCATGTTCTTCTTCCAAAGCACGGATGATGCCAAGGGCAATAAGAGCAGTAATCCCCTGACTGCTGGGCGGAAGTTCCCATATGGTCCAGTCGTGATAGTCAAGCGATATAGGCTCAATGATTTCGGATGTGTGTGACGCAAGATCTTCGTGTGTCAGAACGCCTCCACGCGACTTGACTGCCTCAATAATCGCATCAGCAACACGTCCTTTGTAAAACCCATCTTTTCCTTTGTCAGCGATAGCTCGAAGTGTCCTGTAGAAGGATATCAGAAAAGTAGAGTATACGTTAAAATAGCATTTACTGCATATCATATCTGCCAAACATACTCTGCTAAATCAGGAAGGTGCACTATTTCGCCTTCAACTGGGGCACGAATACCATCGATGAGCAGGTTATTCTCAGCACTGTTGTTTTCTTTCAACATTTTTTCAGCCCTCTTCCACTATATACATGTTTTAGTTGAAGCAAGTATGTACCATTACAGTATGTGATCATTTACTGCCTATTTACCGCACGGAAACACTTACACCCTGTTCAGGAACGTAGGAAAGTGGGAACCTTATTTGTAATGGTGCGTATTAGTTTTTCTTGCCATGGCTCCCTTGATAATTTTTATAGTCCTATAATAGAAACATGTTTACCCGTTTTCGGCCAGTTCGATGGCTGGCTGCAAAATAGTGGCCATATCAAGGTTCCCTGAGCCAAAATGCTCAATCGTATCTGTCCATGTTGCTACTGCGCCGGGAACAGTAATGGAATGTGCGCTATAAGGGGAAACGCATGCGTGGCCGTCAAATTCTCCCTGTTGGCGAAGAAGATCAACCGTCAATGCTGCAGGAGTCCTATAATACGGTACAGCGGAAAAGGCGTTATATATTTCACATTTGTTGAATTAATTATATTCCCCATTTTTCAACGGTGTATTTAGTCTCGTCTTCATTCTCAATCTGCAAATACAAATTATGATCTAGTCATATGAAACATGAACTCCACTCAAAAAAGACAAGAGTTCAAGTCCCTTTTGACTAAGAAAAATACACTTCACCGTTTTGAAATGAAAACTCTTGTACATCATCATATGTATATGTATATAATAAAAATATTTACCTTCCAGAACCATTCAAACCAATAACTTTACGTTTTTTTGCATCATAAAATAAGCAACATCCGTCACCACCCACACCAGTACATGGTAATTCTATATGATCGTTTTGTAAACGCAATAAGCAACAAGAAAAATAGCTTACAACTGCTTTACTTTGCAATATTACCGTTAACACTTAATACAGCGGCTGGTAGTTGCAGTTGTTATAATCGTGTGTGAAAAGGTCATCATCAGTAACATATTTTCAGATCTGCTTTTGAAATGTGTATATACAGTATATATACACAGAATAAACGTTATACCAACTGCTACTGCTGCATCCTAGATAAACAAATGCATTTTTAGTAAGTTGCAGCTAATTCGAGAACTATATCGTGCTCTTGGCAGGCTCTTAGAACTTACAGCTGCATTGCCTCCTTTCTTCAGAATTTCAATACCCACCTGTGTTGCGAACGGCTGCCTATAAATGTCATCACAGTTGCGACCGATTACGTTAATATTTCGATATAGCTGACAACAATAAAAAAAGTAACATACGAGCTGGCAACCATTCCTTTAGTGCCATAGACTGTAGGTCGACGTGAATTAAAGATGAAAGGGTTCTCTGGCACTGTCATATAATCAGTATGTAAGATTGAAAGGAAGAAAATGAAATTGGCGCTCGGTAGTATTCGGATGACCCTTTTTATATGCGGTAAGCTAGATATGATGTTCACATTAGTTTCGCCACATGAGTGGAGCAGCATAATTGTTTGTTTTTCAGCAGCAATACCCCTGGGTTGGGTCATTAACCTCAATCATGTTACGATCGGCAAAATAATTTACACATTTTTTAATGGAATGTCGAACAAAGTGCTTTATGTTGGATGATAGTTTGACTTCTATAATTTGTTTAATTAGACTGTTGTAACTCTTATTGAATTAAATCACTGACAACCTGAATGATCAAATATTTGAACAATACACACAGACTCTACATATGGCTGACTCCCTTTCTTCTTTCTTTCAAATATTACGCCAGCTTTGGCTGCTAGTAGATGTGCAAGTCGGTATAAATGTAATCTACCACTTGTTTTACTAGTGAATTCTTCATCGTACCTTTCCCTGATTCAAGACAACCAAAAAGGAACAAGAAAAAACAAAATGCTGATCATTACGCCATTCCAGCGGCCTCTTCCGCCTTCTATAGCGTGTACGTCACACAATGTTGCTTTCAGATGATAAAACCAATTCTTTTGAAGGTGTATTGCTCCTAAAGATTGTGATATGTGTTACTCTCTAAATATAAGTTGCTGTTTGGGGAACGCTACTTTGGTCAAACGTGATTGCCGAAATGATGAGTTTCTACTCAAATTCAATATATTAGACTAGTGGAGTAGCAGAAGAGAGGGTTTTTTATAGAACTGTGTTGCCTCAACCTTGCCTTCGATATAAGTTGTTCCTGCTCTTACCCCAGGTAGCCCAAAACGGCGGGTGAATGTCGCTATCACTTCCTACTGTAGACAACAAAGAAGCAAAAGCAAAAAGATAAAATTGTTCGCTACTAGTTAATTTGCAGCAAAAAAAAATTGAGAGTAACTTCCCTGATCGCGAGGTTGTTAGATAAAAATGGGATAATTTGCTGCAGTTCACAAAGCTTTTTTTTCATAGGATGTATGCGCGTATGTTTAAATAGAGAAGGAAGTATGTATACAGCATATATGAGTAGAGGCATGCGGATCTTTCAACAACTAGAGGAATAGCGATGATATGTCGTATCATTATCTCGACATGAATACCTCCTCAACAGTGACTCTAAGCACATTATCCATAGACAAATCGAGCAAAAAAAAAAGAAGGGGGGTAATCAAGAGCATCGTGGACTTATACTTTGTTCAATTTCAAATATAGTACATGTGGTAGTTGAGGGTAATGAGGCTATACTAATTACGTGGTGTAAGAAACAGCTGCTAGTTTTGGGAGAAGCAGGTTGTATTCATAATGATGGTAAACGTTGAGCGGACGGCGACGCCAACAAAAATAGAAGCGTACTTGTTACAAATACTAGGATCGAGAATCATCATAATCAGTAAAGCTGAGCATGTCATAAGAAATGCTGCTTTCACCGCTAACCGAACTAGGACGTCCAACACTATTGCTGCTGCCGACACCACCATGATTTGAGGAGTGCATACTGAGCTGACTGAATTCATCTGACAAGTCGCTTTCAGCTCGAGATCGGTTACCAGAAACGGATGCAACGTCTGACCAATCGGCATCAGCAGATGTCAAATTGGTGGGTGCTTGGATAGTGTCAATGCGTGGGCCGAGTTGTGCTGTCGATGCGTCAAGACCGCCAGTCGATTGATACATGGATGGATGGGAGGACGAAGACGAGGAGGAAACTACACTGTTGTTGCTGCTAGATGATGCTGAGGAGCGGTGGTCATGATAGTCGTACACGACGCTACGTTCAGTATGCTGTTGCGAAGCAGTAGAAGCAGCAGAAGCAGGTCTTGGAGGTAACGGTAGTGGTGAGGCTACTTCCGTTAGCTGGGAAGGAGCAAAGAAGAAAGATGGAGGCATGCTCTCATCAAAGTTCGGACGTGGATGGTCTAGTTCCTGAACGACAGGCGGACGAAAAAATGGGTTGTTGTCATTACTGTTGGCCGATGTAGTGCTATTACTAACCATCGTAGTGTCCAAGCCGTTGACGCTGTTTACACGACTTGCCAAGAGTTCTCGGCGACGCTGCAGGTCACGCTCCGCTTCGTCAAGCATTGCTTGTTCCATTTGAAGCCGCTGTCGTCTGTCCAAAATACTCTTTTCCATTTCCGTCAACTCGTACGCAGAATGGTACAAATTCTACAACATATAAAATTTGGGCTCCGTCAGCATGATGATAATCAAAAGAGCTCCAAGTATCATTCCACCAAGTTAACTTACTCCTTCTTCGTGGTCTCCATGGTCATAGAACGATCGTCTGGTGCTGCTTTTAATACTGGACTTAGATGACGAGCCTGCTCGTCGCGCTCGCCTTTGTCGCAGGTTTTCGTATCCTCGATGCCACATGTTGAGCTTTTTAGTGTCACTATCGTTGTTGTCGTCATCGCTTAAAGTACTGGAGGCGTCATCGTCATCATCACCAGATATATTGCGTTTCTCAAAGTCTCGTTGGTATCTTCGGACATACTCACTGTATTGCCTGCGTTCTTCATGGTCTTCTAACAGTCGACGACCTACTTCGTATCCGCCCCAAAGGACAAATACGCCTCCAACCACGATAACCGCAACTACAGCAGGGTGCATTTTTTATATGTTGCTCTGCTGATGTTGAGGGGTGTTTAACAGAAAGAGTGCGAGGGGTGTGGAGAGAAAGAGGGAAAATAAACTGGAAAAGAAAGGAAGTGAAGATAAAAACTCCTCTGATTGTTTTGTTTGGCAGTGGGACATCATGACTGGTTGAATGAGTGTGAGATCATGTGCTATGCCGTGCTGCTGCTGTTGTTAATCATAGTTGCTTTCACCAAGGGATGCAAATATGAACCTATTTGGGGAAGAGGGGCCCAAATCATTTCTTTTTGTGCGACCAACCAGATTTATGCAGTTATTTTTCCATTGTCGCGGCCATACCTGTTGATAACACGTCTTCTGATTTACAGTTTCTAGGAAACGAGTCTATATAGAAATCTGGTAGCGATGAGAAGGGGGAGAACATCATGATCTGTTTTGCGGCGTATCACTACAGATCTAGCTAAGAACATACACCAATAATCGAAATTATAGTTTATGTGAGTACATGATTCTGAGTTTCACCATAACATTCGTTGTACTTGTTGCAAGATGTATGTATGCAAGTGTAGGGGCTCCTTTTGTTTAAACATGTTGATCAGTTGTATATACCGAGTACACTTTGGATTGGGCACGGCTTATCCATAGGGCTTGTACTAAAGTATTAGCACGGTTAACAAACAAAGGTCGTGCGTTGCAAACGACTGCCTTTTCTCTTCCACGCGTTTCTCAATGTGATGTCCTTATATGTCGCATGGTGCGTCTCTTTCCAAATAAGCAAAATCTTTTCAGGTCGCAACTGCAGGACTCGATAACACACCTATCATCAAAAGTACTTCGTACTATGCTGTAGTGCAGTTTTGTTTTGTTCGTTACATAGTATAAGATTTTTGTAAATTACCCTTCAAGCGTCAAAATCATTGCAACAATCTACTAGCACCATATAGCTAGGTCTCACTCATTTGCTTTCGTTTCTGCTGACGATTCCCAAGCGTATTCTACAATAGTATGTAGGTGACATTCAACTTTTGTAGCACGCTTACAGTAGAAACCATTGCCTTCATACAAATGCAGCAGGGAGAGCTGAATGGTTGAATGCATTACATACTCTTTTTCTGCATATGTATACTCAGGAAGAAGGCGTTCTTTGATGCTATACTATTTATTTAACACGGTATGCTCTGTGTGCGACAGAAAGTGTGTCGGAGCTCCGGATTGCTTATATAAAGAAGAGAGGGTAAAACTTTACTCTTGTTGTTTGTCTTTTCTGACCCTCTCAACCCAAATTGTTGCGTCTGCCTGTAACCTTGCGATATAAGTGAAGACAATCAACTCTTTGATGAAACGATTTCTGCTCGTACTTTTTTTTAATTATGATCACTATCAAAAGACAACCTTCTTCGAGTTACGTATCGTACCAACGCGGTGACATACCCCTCGTCCTCACGGTCCCACACGGCGGGTATACCGGTGGCAAGGAAATACCCGATCGTCCAGAAAAGGGCGGCAACGTATTAGTCAACGACGGATACACGGTTGACACGGCTCGATTACTTTCTGAATATATTACCGATTATTATGGTAGTCGGCCGTATATGGTGATATGTAATGTCCGTCGACGTAAAGTGGATGTCAATAGACCTTTGGATTTGTCGACGGAGTCTGCTGAAGGGCAAGCAGTATGGAAGGTACAATTCCGGCGCAGTCATCATTCGTCTCCCACAGCTAGTATACGACATAAAGCAAGTACATAGGTTGAGCAGTCACTCTTCTGTTATTAAAAAAGGAATATCATCAAACTGTGCAACGTGCAGTGAACGAAATCCGCGCTCGCCATAAACAACAAGGTCTACTACTGGACATCCATGGTATTAATCAATATGACACAGAGTAAAAGTAGTAAGAACATTAGCTATCAAGAAGGGGCATTTTATCTTACGTAATATGTAATTACCATTGTAACAGGACATTCGCGACACGATCTGGTTATGCTTGGTTATCTTTTGCACAAGAATGAGCTTATCCAGTTGCAAGACGATAGAAACCGCACGGATCAAGCTGTGCTCAAGAAATCATCCATCCAAACACTCGCAGCACGTATTTCTATACCAGAACATCCCAGTGAACTCTTACGAGGTGACGGCTCTTTTGGTGAGCTAATGGAATATTCAGAAGAAACTGTGAAGGCTGTTCCTTCTTCGAGTCACCCGGCGCCTTTGCAGGACGAATTTTACTACTCGGGCGGCTATACAACGCACGCATATCATAAAAATGATTCTAACCGTAATGGATTGGATGTTATCCAGATTGAATTGCCTCGGTATTTACGTTTAACGCCAGATCAGCGACAGGTTGCGGCAAGAGCTATCACAGGAGCTGTTACATACTGGCTCGATCAATACTATCAACCGGTCATACTTGACAAAGCCAAACTTTAAAAATGAAGTGGGAAGGGCTCTCGTAGACATATTATGTACTATACAAGGGAACATGAAAGATGTGCCTATTCTTACTGCTATTGCTCAGTTGATATATAAAATTATAATCTACACCACTAGCACTCATGGTGTATTATAAATGTGGGCTGTAGTAGTAGATCATACTAAGTTCAACCAGGAGGTAGAATGAGTCGGTGAAATGTTAATGTACATACCCCGCTAGTACTCGTTAAATCTTTTAAGCACGGAACAATGAGTAAGCTACCAAATAGTAAATGGATTCCTCCCCCAACGACAAAAATCACATGCAGATGCCAACCTGTTCATACATCATTGACTGGAAATACGGGCTCAAACTATACCACCGCTAACTTAGTAACAATGACATCCTCGTATTGATAAAATGAAAGGACTGTCTGTGTCTACATAATAATGCGATGCATATTCTTTGAAGCTAGGTTGAAAGTAAGTATAATCAGCTTGTGGCATATGTGCGCACAAGATGTCACGCTAGCCATTTCCGTTTCGCGCTATGCTAATAATAACATCGCCGATGTAGATGGAAGACAAAACCAGTAAGGCGCCGACGTAAAATAGCGTCGCTTCATCAATGCCCAATTACAGTAGTCGCTTGATTTTACGGTATTACTCTCGTGCCGTGGAAAAACGTTGTGCTCAATTAACTTCCCTTTTTTACTCGGGGTGAAAAAAATGATCGTCAAATGCTACACAGTAACATTTATTGTGCAACAGCGCTAAGCTTACCACCGTTTGTTTCAGACCGTCTATTACCAACTGCCTGTGGCAGGAGGTGTGGGGATCACAAGGTCTGCTGACAACGACACCTTGAAAACGTCATGTAGATATGCCTTTTGTCATTGTCTGAGCGCCATCGCCTCCATTAGCCCCTTTAGAAGAACCCTATTCATGAAAACTCCTGAAACGAAGATACGAAATTCATGGGCCATCATTAATGGTATGGCGGGCAACACAAGTTGTATTAATACAAAGAGGGAAGAAGTACAGTATATAGTTGTTCTCATGGTAAACGAGGGTTGTGATAAGAAGACAAATAAGGACAAGTCTTCTAAGCACACGAATCCCAGAGAAGCGCATCAGCTCACGCTATTCCTTTTTGCCTTTCCTATGTTCTTGGAGGCATTAATGAACGGACACGGTTTCTTCTTGGAAGAGTTCTTTTTTAAAGAGACTGAGTTTTTTTTTGTTACACCAACCTTCTCTTTTATTTCCCTTTGTGACGAAAGAATCCCTCTCTTTCATATATATATACTTCTCCCTTCCTTAATACTTTCCTTATTCTTCTTCTCCCCTCCCTTGCCTTGTAAAAACCCACCACTCATCGCAGAAACTATGCCAAGACTGCCCTACAAGAACTCATCTGGGCCTGAGATTGTCGAGCAGCTAAAGGTGTCTAGTGCCGACAGTTGGTTTATTCGCCGTGATCAAGATCAATGTGCCAAAGATCAACGGTCATCGAATGGTGTCGCTCGATTGAACCAGCGATCTTCACCGGGAGTACGGACGAAAGCAGATAAGCGAAATACCAGACGATATACGTTTCATTCGAGCAACCACCTGCGGTCAGAACGGACAGCGGGGCTAGTTCGGCGACTGTCGACGGATATGGACCCTTCAAAACGCCAAAAATATGTGCTGGTCACGGGTGGCGCTGGATATATTGGAAGCCATACTGTGGTGGAACTTTTGTCAGCTGGCTATGCAATTGTTGTAATGGATAATATGTGTAATTCGCACTTGGGCAAGTAGCATGGGTTAATGCGCTGGTGGTGATAGGAACTACGCAAAACGTTTTGAATTAACAGATCTGAACGACATAAATATAGAGGCTTTACGGCGGGTGGAGCGATTATCAGGACGACCTGTACAATTCTTTAAAGGCGATGTCACCTGTGTATCTGATCTGCAGCGAGTGTTCTCATTGTACAACTTTTGGGCTGTTATCCACTTTGCTGCCATCAAGGTAGGGTATATTCTTCAGTGGTTTTGTTTGGGGTGCACGATTAGGCAGGCGTTACATCGAGGTCCGAAGCTTAAAAGAAGAAGAACCTAACCAACCCAAATCTTCGCCTTATCCCAGGCAGTCGGACAGTCGACACGCATACCCTTGGATTACTACTACAACAACGTGACCGGCTCGCTGCTGTTACTGAGAGTGATGAAGGAATTTAATGTCAAGAACATAGTGTTTTCATCAAGCGCAACTGTATACGGCGAGCCGGACAAGTGTCCTGTCGATGAGACGGCACGCGTGGGCCCAGTGACGAACCCGTACGGACGGACCAAACTATTTGTGGAAGAGATGTTGCGCGATTTGTGTGCCTCTGACCCCGACTGGAACGCGTGTTTGTTACGATATTTTAATCCTGTGGGAGCTCATCCGTCGGGCCTGATAGGTGAGCATCCGCAGGGCATTCCGAACAACCTGATGCCGTATGTCATTCGTGTGCTGCAAGGCCGCTCTCCATATGTGCATATATATGGCAGTGACTACGATACGGTGGATGGCACGGGCGTGCGAGACTACATCCACGTGTGTGATTTGGCAACCGGCCACGTTGCTGCATTGAAAAAGCTGGATACCAAGCCTGGATGCGTCGCTTACAACTTGGGGACAGGCGTTGGCTTATCCGTCATGGAAATTGTCAAGACCATGGAAAAGGCCACACAGAAAAAGATACCCTACAAGATCGAAGACCGGCGGCCTGGCGACATTGCAACTTGTACTGCAGACGCATCCTTAGCAAACCGTGAGCTGGGCTGGTATCCAACGCGTGGCGTTGAAGAAATGTGCGAGGATATGTGGCGCTGGACACGCAAGAATCCTATGGGCTATGACGGCGAGATCCTTGTGTCGGATGAAGATGATGATAGTAGCTAGTGATGGCTGACGACGATGCTGACCCTGTACTCCTTGCCTTTTCTTTCGTTTGTGATCTGTTTTCCTTGTCCTCCTGCGCCGTTTCTCCATCCCGCATACATGTATATCCTCTCTCTCTTTCCTTCTCCTTCAAACAACCTCCTTAAACTCCTTTCGATTATCTCATTCTCTATTAATTATTGGCCTCCGTTTAGTACATCCTAATACTTTGCATAAAAATTACACGACTGCATTTTCTGTTTTTACCTTTCCAAATCAGTCTTTGAGCATAAATGATTGCGGAGTAAATCACACTTGCTGTGGTCCATGTAGTTGCGCTTATACTTCTCCTTAATACCATCGTGAAAAGCATGACAGACACAGATGCTCTTAAACGGTTTTGGGAATTAGCCAATGAATTGACAACTCGACACGATGCAAATAACGAGCTTACGGCAGACATTTTTAAACAGATTGCTGATCTAAAAGTATAGCCACTCGACAAAAGAAAAATAAGAAACCCGTGTTCCTGATCTGCTTTAATCTTATTTTGGTTGTTCGACTATACTGCTTCTTAGCAACGAACAGAAGGCAAATCTCAGGATCAAGGTAACTCAACTGTTATACTTAGAATTAGGTGGCAATTGGCTAAATATATGTCTGTACAACAAAAAAGAGCAGGGATTCCTGTCAGCGATCGATTCTTCTACTACGGATGCACAACCTTTGAACCAATTTGAAGTAGACAATGCGACTGCGACGCTCGGCTCTCAATACAACACTTTACTTCAAAAATATCAGCGAACTATCAGTCGAAACCAGCAGTTGGAAAAGGATTGTGGTGAGCTACAGGCGCTGGTGCAAGAATATGAGAGCAACTTGTCAAAAGTAGCAGAGAAATTACGGACGCATACGGTATGTTGAATCATTACCCAGCAAGGAGGATTATAAGGAGATATAGAGATAAACTTACACGCTCAATCATGTGTACAATCAAAAGGTGTCTACGACAGAAGGGTATATTCGTTTACGGAAAGAATACGAGGCACTGTTGGATGCCGAAAAGGTAAATTGTGACCTAGAAAATTAGATATGGTTATTACCTAGCGATGAAGGGAAAATTGATAGAGGTTCTCACTATGACGGAAAAATAAAGGGAACGACAGCAGAACTGATGATAGAAAACATGACACTACGCCAACATCTTCACCAAATTGCATCCATGTTAAGGACAGCCTATGACTCGCCCGAAGGAGACGAACATGCAGCACAGTTCGCACAGCTCACCATAGAGAACCAAGGCTTGCGGGAAATGTTACAAATCTCACAAGTATCAAAGACAGGGGACAGTACAGCATCAACAGATCCAGCAGCGCCTGTTTCGATCAAACAAGAACAGCATGCAGATGACTATAGGACTTACTTTTATTAATAATCCTTAATTCTTATCCTTATTCTTACTGTTACTACCTACTACCACTACTACCACTACTATTCTTCCCATCTGAACTTTTCTCCTTCCTTGGCATGACATTCCCACCACCGAACGGCGCTCATCACACGCATCTTCCAATTCGCACTCCCGCTCACGATATCCTTGCCATTCAAACATTCCCTGATGGTATCCTCGGGCGCTTCTTCGCCTGCGTCATATTCGCTCTTGTATTTCGGCAATAAACCCTCTTTGACTTTGGTCAACTCGACGATTTCTTCATTTGTCATGGATTGTTCAAACATGCCAAACACCGTCCATATACGGCCTTTTTTCAGTAGCCATGGTTGCATCACGAATCTGTAGGGCCGGCCCACAAATAAAAGTCGTGCTTCGATGGATGGTAAACGATTGCCCAGACCCAGCCCGACGCGACACGATGAGTACACCTTGCGTTCGACTTTTTGTCGTTTAGTCGGGGATGGTTTCTTCTCTAGGTAAAATAGGCTTTTATCAGACCAGCATTGTCCAGACCATGGTGCTTTTGTGAGGCTTTTCAGATCCTTATGCTTGCAGACGCGAAGAATTTCGTCGACGAGTAAGCTCGGACCTTCTATCACGGAGCCAGTCGATTGATTGAGTACAGCTCGAATCAGCATCCCGCCGGCACTGTCATGGTCAGGGTTCCCAACCGTGATATCCACACCTTTGCGCGATCCTCCTCGAAACGAGTCAGACATGCCTGCCATATGAAAAAACTTTACAATTTTTTTGTGCAATATTTTTGTGTCAATAACAATAAGCAATTAACTAAGGAAGGGGATGAATTTATGCCCACGACAACATACATACCCAATAGCCAGCTCGTTTTTGGCGTGGATGACCGTGACAATAAGGGTCTGCGTGTCCATGGTTTGGTGCGGTCAAGTAAGCTTCGACTTCAAGCATTGTGTAGCGTTTACCGCCCATGACAAGATCGTAATCTTCCAACATTGATCGCGCTATTCGGCCCAAGTGGCCTTCATAATGAGTTCGTGTCACTTCTGCTGATGTGCTGTCACTAAGTGGAAGATCAAATAGTGTCGCAATCGGATTGCCTTCTTGCTTTACCATTAGGCACAGAGAGATGGAGTGGGATAACAAAAATGACAAGAAAAAAGAGAAGAGAAGTGAATAATGACAGTTATGGCGGTTGGTGGTATACCCATGTCTTCTTTTGATGTGCTGCGGTGGATAGAAGATCACTTTCAACCGCTGCGCCTCATTCTGTGAATTTTCTGTTTCGATATACTCTTACTATTGACATCTGCGATCCTAGCATTTTTTGACCAATAACTGCATATTTGTATCGTTTTCCTGTGTTATGCTCTAAAAAATACCTACTACAGCCTGCAAAAGGATGTGTCTGTGATCTCCTCGTTGATCATGCAACAACTAGTATTTGCTTGTCTATGACATGTTTATAGTTCTCTATACCGCAGACTCTTTTTTTATGACAAGCATCTGGTTTTAGTATAATTGCCTTTGTGCTAAAATGAGACAATATCAGGAAGCTCTTTTTCATTTTTAAAGAAGCAGGTCTACAACAACTATGAACGAACCCTGTGTAACAAAGCGTTAAAGCGGCGATGAAACGCCCAGTGCATGACCAGTGACCAAAGCTTTGACGGCAAACAGATATTTGACGTTCCACCACTGCCAATATGTAAAGGACGAAGCGATTTGTAATATAGTATAGTAGCGAAGAATGATGAAATGGTTTCATGGTTTCCTTGAAGTTTAGGCTATTGTCAGAACTCTGCTTAACCCGGTGTTATCAGCTCAGAACAATTAGTAATAGAATAAACACCTCTGTCAAATATTTTACCTGAAGTCATCTCGTTTACCATCGCTTGAGTTGGGCAGCCATCATGATTCGTATATGTAGTATAGCACAGCAGGTCAGTCATTATTGCTAACGTTATTAGAGCAAATTTAAAAAATGTGTAGTTTTATAACAAAGAGGTGTATAAATTACCATGATGAGCGGAAACAGTATGACGACAGTAAGTAATAAAAATATCACAACGGCAGTTAATGTAGCACGGTTATTCATCTTAATAAGCTCCCTTGCCATCATAGGATCGATAACCTATTACATGGTAGCCAAAAAACAGAAAGGCGACATAAACAATCCTAGCAGCACTCTTAAACAAATGCTGTTCGTGCAGTGTCTGATGGCAACAATGATCTCCAGTCGCCAATCAAGCAAGGAACTGAATTAGTTCAAGTAGATACACACACATGGATCCTTCTTTCTAAAAGACGGCTACAGAGACATAAATAACAGAAAATCGAGAAGACTTTCGCTACATAGGTCTTTTTAATACCATGGAATCGCAATTTCAAGTAGAACCAGCAAGCATATCTTTGAATGACATTGAGCAATGTGTTCTTGGCGATCCGTAACGAAATACCAGATCACGGTACATTCAAGCTGATACGTATTCCCGCCATATCCATTCAAGTATATAAATCACTAGCATCAAGTATCTTTGTAGGTGCTCTTACTTATGCCCAGTTTATTTTCAGGATACAGCTTAGCCGAAAGCCCAATGCTAATCACGCTTCTTCAATATTTGCAGGGCCCCTGCACAACTGAAATAACACTGGATGGCAAGCAACTATTTACAGTGAACATTAATTTCGTAGAGCCACAAGGAGACTTACTTGATCTATATGGTATGGCGGTTATACTAGAGTCACTGCTTCATCATCAAACAAAACTAGTCATCTGCCGTACTTTGGTTCTCTTGGCAACCTATGAGGTCTTCCTAAGTCTGATACCTCTTCGGTAAGCTATATCTCTACAGCCCTCATTAACCAGCTTCATGACATAAGGGAATATCTAAAACGGGTCTCCATACGTTGGCAGACACACAGGTAGCTACAACTTCAGTGGTCAGAAGGACAAACTCGATTACTATCTCGGCTCGCAGACCCTGCTTCAATTCTCAAAGCAGAACTACTCAAAGCGGCAGATAGTTAATAGTGTAATAATTACACTTTTTCAAGATACTTACAGCTTACTTTACCGTAGTGATCAATTCAGAAGAAACGAAAACTATCGTTGGCAATGGGACAGTAAAGTCCTTAGTCAATTCTGGTCATCCTGTGCCACCGTTCGTTATACGTACAGGGCGGCATCTGCAGGCACGTACAAATAAAAGTATCAGCCCTACATACGGATCTTTGGCGATCCGATTGTCGATCAAGACTGGAACAGCTGGACAGCACCCGAAGTTGCCACTCAGTAAGCTGTTTAAGGCATTATAGATTTTACGCTTTCCTGTTTAGATTTGTATCTACTTGAAATACATCCGGACATAATAAATTGTTTTAGCTATCAATCTTAGAATATTTATTACACGGACAGAGATTCACTCATCGTTTCGTTCCCTTTCACCTTTTTGGACAAGACAGCAAAAAACTTAGCTTTAGTCATGCCGTTATAGCCCACAAAGTCGGCAACATACACTGGGTTACTGAGCTAGACATTTAGAAGAAGTATACACGGTGCTGCAATTAAATTGGAAAGCAGGCTTACTAAAGCCGGACAACAAAATCCGAAATAAAAAAAGTTTTCGGATATATTACCCGTGTACAGGCCACACGGAAGAGATACCCGAAGACGCGGTTTTAGGCAAAACCAAGATCATGCCCAAAAAAAGCGGTTACAAAATGCATTAAGCTTCATTACCCCAGAAAGCGATCCATCAAATCAAAGGAAAAAACTCGGATCCACTTTCCAATTAAACACAAGCCAGACGGGCTGCTCTCAAGCCGTCCGTACATTCATTCTGACAGTCTAGATTACTTTTTAAATTGGGAAGATGGTGACTGAATGTGTTGTCACCTTTTTTCTCTACAGTAATTTACTTCTTCCATCTCTTCTCATAAAAAATCATGCAACAAATTCAAGCTTAACTTTCGGATACAACCATCTCTTCTTCCGAAAAAAAAAATTACATAGAAATGAATGCCCACTACAAGAATACGAGAATCCTTTCTTTATAATAAGAGGAATGTGTATTCGCATGGTAGTTTTGACAAACCTAAACTAAATAGCGAGAGAGTAACAAAGAGAGAGAGTGTGTATATGTGAAGGGTAGATGTGAGGTATAATTGTGCTGTCCAAGCACGATGTACATGATACGTGCTCTTTATTTGGCCGGATTGATTTTTCCGTAACGCCCGCTTGGTTTTGTGATGGATGTGATGGATGTGTATGCCGAGATAGGTGTTTTTTGATTTGACAGCTCGGAATATGCGGGATGCCAAATGTGCACCATGGTGAGCGACAATACTCGTAAAAGTAATTTTGGGATTGCTACTATGATACTACTACTACTTGCTAAGTTTCCCTGGATCAATAAATTCTGCCTCTTGCATTGGACTAGGCGGCAACGGTGACCTGAGTGCCTCTTCAATAAACTGTTTACTGTCTTCAGTAGGTCCAGGTGTAAGCGGGAACGGTGTAGCAAATGCATTGATGCTTTGCTGCTGTAGTTGCTGCTGCTGTTGTTGATAATGCTATGTATATAACCATGCATCTGCTGGTAAGTGCTGGAACTACCATTATTATTCTTGGTCATGAAAAAAAGACAACTGCCGCCAAAAACGGTACATCTACCTTATTCTGAACGTCTGTCAGTTTGTGGATTCCTTCTTGGAGCTCTTGCTGATTCTTTTTCAGGTCTTCATAACCTTGCCACAAGCTTGAAAAGTTGTCTTGTAGCACATGAAACTGGTCAAGCAGCTTTTGTTGATCCGCTTGTATTTTTTGGACGGAAACATGAATGTTACCCGTGTCCCGTCTGAGCATTTCCGAGTTGGCAGCTTTCCGTTTAATCTCGGATAATTTGCCCTGTCGATCGCGTAGAAATTGCGGATGCATGAACTCCCATATTTCGCTCTGGTCTGTTCCGTGTTTACCCCGGGATGCCTTGTTTATTTTCCGGAATCCGTACCTATTACATATCATTACGCGTGATACATATATCAGTACATGATAACACTTGTATATGATGTGTGATTTGTTTTTCTGCATACATATTTAGCTGACGGACAAAACTCGAAAAGTTCCCGTGCTTAAAATACTCGGGCAAAACTTGTTTTGAAAAGTTCTTGGAGCTGTAGATGAAGAAAGATTCACCAGTGGGGCTCCAGGATATCAAATCTTGGTGTGATTGATCATTGACCATACTATCATATGTTTATATGTGAATACATCTAAAGAAGACGCTTTCTTTTCCAAGTCCATGGCAAAAAGAAATATTTGTGTTTACCTATACAACTTTTTGATGAATGTACTGACGCCATTTTTCTTTGATTTTGTTCCTGACTTTGATTCTTGTGGCTGCGAAGTCATGTCACCAAACAAGGGTGGTGGCGTATCTGCCATGGTCGTGTCTTTCGGTGAAATCGAAATAAGTGCGGGTGTGATGGGCGAAGAGAGCGTTGGAGACAGTGGCGTTGAGGATTCAGCAGATGACCAGTTGTCGCCATAACAAGGCGGGTCGGCGATTGGAAACGGTTTACTGTTGTCACTGCTACTACCATGCGCGTCCATGATAGTAGGACCAGTTGCTGCTGATGGTGTTGTGGTATTTTGCATCCCGTATCAGACGTACAGATAACTTTTTGTGTGAGAAGGAAGGAAGAGACGATAAAAAGGTTCATCTGAAATTTTTCATGGCATCGTTTACATGGGGGTTGTTGTTATCGTCGGTTAGGTGATGTGGTCTGTGCAAAGGCATTGGCCCGATTTCGTGACCAACCACCCTAGTAAATCAGCGGGACAATGCATTAACACAGCTTTGAACAGCCTCCCATGATAGCAGTTCATAGAAATAAAGTAAAAAGGACCGTATTCACAGTTCAATGACGGTGAATAATTCATGCAACGAACCAAACCATAGTCTTCTCCGTCGTTGGAGGCAGTAGAACGGCTTATCCGTTCAATTGAGACGCTATGCGTTTTCATGCCGGTACTTCTACCACGGAATGTCAACGCTACGTAAGAAAGAGAGACTAAGCCCTGTCCATGTAGTGTAAAGCATGGTACCCCCACCCCCACAAATCTTATTCTTATCCTTTTGATCCAATCACCCAACATATGCAGATCATTTTTCGCTGCCAAGTTCAATTCCAGTTCCGCATACTTCGTTCTCGATAATTAATACAGCAGTTTGCCACCCAATATATACTTCTCTCTTATTTATCAACACCATAACACCTTGTAAGATGCAATGGCGCCCTATCACGCTACTATTATGCGGCACTGGTATCATTTATTTAGCCAGCCTAATTCAGGACAGTCCATACCCACACCCAGTCAAAACATACACAACCGATGCAACTCGATGGCGAGGGAAAGAAGCGCCCGATGACGTCGTACTTTCGACCATTGGTGATCATCTTTACCTCACTGCTCTTCGTTTTGAGATCGCACATTCAGGGCAGGAAGGTCTAACTCATGGGACTGGTGCTTTGAAAACAGGCATCATTGGTAAATAATAGGTTTTGGTCAGCCAAAGTTGGCATTAGACTCTCTAGTCAGAAGTATTCTGTTCCGCTACACGTTTATGCTGATTTTATTTTCGCGACGTAAATGTTTCAGGAAGTATCACTCAGTTACGAAGGCCACTTCGAGTATTCATGCAGGATCATGTAAACAAGTCAAAAGGGTCAGAAGATGGTATGTAGAACGTAAGGAAAGGAAAATTCGTGTATGTGCAAGAGAGAGGACTGTGTGTGTGTGTGTCAAAATAAAATAAAAAGAGCAAAACTGATACCGTTTATAATTAGGATGGGTACGGATGTTTGAACATAGACTACCCGGTGCAATATCCAAAGTGTCAATAGCGACACCAAGTGAGAGTGGACCTGATGACATACAGTTTGGTATCTTATATCATGTGATTGAGGATGAAACCAGCAAACACTATGTGCGGATATACTATGCAACGGATGACAACCCGGCATTTCAATACAAGGATATCTTAATGCCTGGTACAACCTGGATCAGTGCATTTAGTTTAGAGAGAAACGAGATTTTATATTCTCGGTAAGAAGTCATTTGGATGAAAAGGAAAGGAATCAAAGGGTGAACAGCGATACTAACATTTCTTGCCGTCTCGTCGTCATGCATGAATTTCGCTTTTCCCTTTTTTCAGCGACCCAGATACTTATAGATTCCGCACTGTTACATTACCACCAGATCTGACATCGCCACCTCATTCAAATGATGCACAAAAGATCGTAGTAACTGAAAGTATACCGGGCGATCCTATTCGAGGTAAGTATGATAAATTAGGGAAATTGAAAATTAAATAGCTATATCACTAATGCACCAAAACACAGAATTTCATCAGCCACGAAACACCGAAGATCATGAATTAGCACTATCTAGGATATATTCATCTTCGTAAGTCCTTTTTTTGATATTGTAAAGGAGGATAAGGATGGGTAAGGATAGAAGTTCGAGAAGATGGATATAAAAGTATTCTGAATGCTAACCGGGAAAAACACTTAGACCGGATACGTATCGCGTCGTAACAGTGGACATCCACAGAACAGATTATGCATTTCACTGCAATTTCACTTTGGTCGATAACGTAACTACTATTACACAATTATCTGAATTGCGTGGAGAACGTTCAGAACCTGAATGGACTATTTGGCAGCATCAGGGTTTTGAGGTAACTGGAATACGATGTGTATCAAACATTTATATTGTATATTAAAGGGAAGACTTAATGCGCATTATTTATTTGATAGCAACAAGTTTATGCCGAAGAACAAGTTGACTACATAGGATTTGCTGACATTTCCCAAATTCAGCAAGAGCGGACGCGACTCAGTATGCCACACCCTATGTTTGGTAATAACTCATGAAAGACACCCCCACCAACCTGTCGTTCAGGAAGTTTTTAAGAAATATGCACAAAGCAGAATCTTCTTACTGACAGCTGATTAATTTAGCACGATCCAACGATGGTAAAGCTATTGTTTTCCCATTTGTCCAAACGCGATTTCTGACACTCGATTTCCTCGATCAACGAGTTCATAACGAGAACGGCGAGTTTCCAGAACTCTATGACTGGCTACACAACGATGTGCAAGGCCCATACGATGCTACGATTGAGGGAATCCATATAAACGAAAAGGGAAATATGTTGGCTGTGTGGACCGATTATAAAACAATCTATATTTATAAACGCGGGTCAGCCAACACGCATCAAACGCCACGGAAAAAGCCGTCGCTGGTTGATAGGATTGATATCTGGCTGGATGTGGGGATTCCTGAAAGCGAGGATGAAATAAACCATGAACGTCATGATAAGGCATCGGCAATACCTTGGAAATTACGGATGGCAATCACACCTCAAGAGGGTGAAATTCATTCACGGGTATGAGGATATTTTCTTGTCGTGTTTTCCGTTGTAGGTGAAATTATAGAGGGCAGCTAACGTGTTTGTTTGTTTATAGCCGATAAGTAGCGTGAAATTTTGGAACGTAACAAGTAATGGCCGGCAGAACAACTATCTATGTACGTTGTTAGAGTATTGTAATGGCAGTAGCTTGGCATTGAAACTAACGACGTGTGCCATTCGTACTGTTACTAGTGGTGGCATTGAAAGGCGGTGGGGTGAACTCGTATCTGGTAGACGAAGCAGAAGAGTATCAAGAAGGCGACTTTGTGTCATATGTAAAAACAAGCTGGAACATGGTCACGGCCATGGTTATGATTATTGGAGCATTTGTACTTAATGAATATCGCAACCACGCATAGCAACATAGTATATACACTTTTTCTATACATTTTCCATACACACACACCACACGCACATAATAATACCATCCTTTCTATATACATTGCATCATCCATCCATCAAAGATCACGCATGTGTAATTTTATTGCATATTATCTTCTTTATAATCCACCACGTTTCTTTTGGTCTTCAGCCATCTTTCTGAACATCTCCATAGTGGCATTCTCTTTAGCCTTGTGTTGAGCCATTCGTTCTTGTATCGGACCATATCTTTCTTCTTGTCGTTGTTGACGGCGCTGCTGTCGTGCTTCTTCTCGACGCTTCTCGGCTGCCAACTTTGCTTTAAATTCATCACGACCACCTCCATATAAGTCAGAATCGTCCAGCTCTACATCTAAATCCCGTTCCCGTTTGTGATAGGCGTTCTGGGCACGCCTTTTAGCAAGTTGAGCTTCTCGACCCGTCTCCTTTGGCGCCACTTCATCGAGATGTTCTTCTCGTCTACTTTTTACGCGTTTGACTTCTGATTTTCTTTCAGCTCTGCGTTCATTGCGTTCTCGTTCGTGTCTTTCCTCGAAATCTAACGATAAAACAGTCTTTTCTAAGCGTCGCGTCTTCCTTCTTTTTTTCTTGAAAAAGGACGTGGTGATTTTTAATCATCACTTACCGACTTGGTCAAATCGTCGTGTCGAGGAAGAAGACGAGGATGGCATTGCAGGACCCACATTTCTCCGCTTTCCTTTTCCAGAATTGGTCAGTGTATCCACGTTGTCACGGATCCTATCTATTTCATGCTGATCCAGTTGTTTCGCGAAAGACCAACGATAACCAGTTGTCTCGCTTGATGATAATTGAGCAGAGTTGATTCCTTTATAATATTTTTCTATAGATAAATGTATTGGAAGAGATAAAGCACATGTGCATTATATGAGTCACTGTACAATTAAAAATGTAAGATACATAGTGCTACAACCACACTGTTTTTACCATCGAGATCGTGTCGATTCCAAGCCTTGACGAACTTTTTAAAATAATGACGCGCATCGTCTGCATCGAGATCACCAAAGTACCGATCCTTTTCTTCGCGTAGCCATAGACGGAATTCAGTAGCTTTTTCAAAATAATCGTCGCTTGAAATGGCTGTGGCAGAAAAATGAGTTTTGCTTGCAGTTGCATACAATGTAGGTTCTAGATTCATATATCTTTCTTCTTACGTTCAATCGTGTCTTTAATTGCGTCGCTCAAGTCATTGTTCTTCTGTTTTGACTTTTTGTGTTTACGTTTGGAATCATCGTCAGAATCTCTGCGGGAATGTTTTCTTGAGCTCATAGCTGGAAGATTGTTATATTTGTAAAGTTAAAGAGCGAAGCAGCGAGTCCCCCGATACCAAGAAAGATCATCTTTTATGCATAGCGAACACACTCAAAGAGATGCCCTTGATATTTTTTTTCAACAGATTGTTGTCCTTTCCCTTCCTTCTCGTGCATAGCTACACAATTTGTTGTGCTATGTGTGTTATATTTTCAATGCATTCATACAGGTTCTTCAGAAGTTCACTACTGGCACTATACTAGGAGTGAGAAAACTCAGTATACAATAAGAAGCAACATCATCTTTTCTACAGACAAGCATGTTTAAAAAACACTCGATATTGTTATAGACGGTAGAGTAACAGCCAGACTGATTGTTTATAGTCTTTCCGTTCGGATATGTTTTAACGCTACGTAAGCTTATTCCAAATCCCAAGTGTCACCCCAAACACAACCGAATTAAAAGGAACTGGAAAATTTTAAACAAGTTGACCGTTCTCTTTTCCCTATTACAGTATGCCTAAAATCACGCACTGCATTTTCGATATGGTACTGTTCTCTTCCATATAAATTCATATAAAATTGATACCAAAGAAAAAGAAAAAAAGGGAGTGGAGTAACTCGCCCTTTCTACCTTCGTATTCAAACCTTACGCGTTCTTTATGTAAAAAAAATATAAAGGACGGGCTCTTACTAGACACGGAACGTGTCTATACCGAAGTGACCCAAGAACTTCTCGACAAGTACGCCGACGGTGTCAAATTCACATGGGATGTGAAAAGCAAGCTCATGGGCCGTACAGGCACGGAATCCGCCAGCATGGTTGTCGATCACTACAAATTACCAATGTCTGTGCAGGAATACATGGACAAAAGCTCGGTCATGCACGAGGAACGGTTCCCGCTTGTGAAACCTTTGCCCGGTGTTGAACGATTAATTCGCCATTTGCACGCCAAGGGTGTTCCCATGGCCGTCGCCACATCGTCTACTCGTTCGAAATTCGAATTGAAAACGTCGCTTAATGATGAACTGTTTTCATTGTTTGATTATATCGTGTGTGGTGACGATGCAGGCATTGAACGTGGTAAACCAGCTCCTGATATCTTTTTGGCCGCACAGCAGCGACTTGGTAACCCGCCTGCAGAAAATTGTCTGGTGTTTGAGGATGCTACAAACGGTGTTCAGGCTGCCCTGAATGCTAAAATGCATGTATGTTTTTCTTTTATGATAACCTAGCATCCCCCAAGTAACTGATGGAACGATATACGCATATTCTACGCTGATAGGTTGTTTGGATCCCTGATGCCAACTTGTTGAAGATCTCGGGCGATCCAGATTCTCACGGCGCAGCTGCTGTGCTCGAGTCCATGACTGATTTTGAGCCCGAGGTAACCATGGGAACATTTGGATACGAGTAACAATAAGCTCACAACATCATGCTTAACACTATACTACTAGGCGTTTGAATTGCCTGTATTTGACACGACCGGACATCAAGAGACGATCAAGGACAAGGATATTACTGCACCACAAGATAGATACTAGGGGCACTTTTTATTTTTTAATGACTAGTCATATATTTATCTTTTTTTAAATCAAAAAGAGCGAAATAGGAAGAGAGGGTGAGAGAGAGAGATAGAGAGCATGATGAGGGAGAGAAAAGAGACAATAACAAAGTGGATGGAAAGAAATAAAGGCGTATGTGTGCGAGTCAGTGTGTTTCTGTTGAGTGTGTGGTTGTTGGTTGATTTGATTGCGGTTTAATAAATCGTCTAGAAGTTGATGGCAGTGCCGAAGCTGGCAAGCATACATGCCTCCTTGAAGGCTTCACTCAAGGTAGGATGGGCGTGGCAGGTACGGCCAACATCCTCACCAGAAGCACCATATTCCAGAGCGAGGCCAGCCTCAGCAATCATTTCACCAGCGTTGGGGCCAATGATGTGGACACCCAACATGCGGTCAGTCTCAGCATCGACAAGAACCTTGACCATACCATCGGTATCATCGTTGGTGCGTGCACGCGAGTTGGCGACGAAGGGGTAGCTGCCGACCTTGTACTTGATGCCAGCCTCCTTCAATTCCTGCTCGTTCTTGCCAACCCAGGCGACTTCAGGGTGGGTGTAGATGACGGAGGGAATGACATCGTAGTTGACGTGGCCGTGGCCGGTGGCGATCATTTCAGAGACGGCGAAACCTTCGTCTTCGGCCTTGTGGGCCAACATAGGGCCAAAGGTGGCATCACCAATGCAGCGGACGTTGGGGACGTTGGTCTTGAACTCGTTATCGATGACAACGCGGCCACGGTTGTCCAATTCGACGCCAATGTTCTCCAAGCCAAGGCCGGTGGTGTATGGGCGACGGCCGATGGAGACAAGAACGACATCGGCATCAAGCTATTTAATTTATAGATGAGTACAAAAAATATCTTAAAGGATGATATATTTTCCCACGGGTATTTTTGGAAATACTTACAGTCTCTTCCTTGCCACCCTTGGCAGCGTCAATCTCAACCTTGACGCCATCACCTTCAACGCGAGCACCGTTGACCTTGGTGCCCATCTTGAACTTAAGACCCTGCTTAGAAAGCAACTTGTGGAAGGTCTTGGCCAACTCAGCGTCCATACCGGCACCGATGGCGTTCAGGTATTCGACCACGGTGACCTCAGTACCAAGACGCGACCAGACCGAGCCCAACTCGAGACCAATGACACCAGCACCAATGACAACCATCTTCTTGGGAACCTGGGGAAGCTCAAGAGCACCGGTCGAAGAGACAATCTTCTTTTCGTCAAACTCAATGCCGGGGATGGGGGTGGCTTCCGAACCGGTGGCAATGATGACGTTCTTGGCCTTGACGGTCGACTGGTTGCCGTCCAAGCCGGCAACTTCAATTTCGTTGGCAGTCAAGAACTTGCCAGTGCCCTTGACGTAGTCGACACCATACTTCTTGAACAAGAACTCGACACCACGGGTAAGACCAGTGACGGCCTTAACACGGGCCTTGTGCATGCCGTCGATGTTAAGCTTGACATCGCCAACTAATCATACACACCGTTGCTTCGTCAGTAACCCTTCCTTCTTCCCCGCCTATGTCTTTACTTTTCTCTTTCTATATCATAGATGCGGTACCTTCGATACCACGGCTCTTAAGACCGTGCTTGGTTTCGTGGTAGATGTGCGAGTTGTTCAACATGGCCTTGGAGGGGATACAGCCAACATTCAAGCAGGTACCACCAAGCGAGCCACGCTTTTCGATACAGGCAACCTAATAAATCATAATTTAGTTATTAATTATGCGTCCTTCCCTTTCTATGCGCGCTTGATTTTACCTTGAGACCCTGCTGAGCAGCCTTGATGGCGGCAGGATAACCACCAGGACCACCACCAATGACAACGACATCATACTCGGTGTCTGAAGATTCATTTTGTTTCATTCGTAAGCTTTCGAAGAATAAAACCCCAACATTCCGTGCAGCATGCTATCCTCTATTCCTTTCGAGTAACACATATGAAACCAAAGCGCCCGTAACTCTTACCTGCGGGGGTGCTGTACATGCGGAAGAAGCTGGTTGCGACGGGAGCGCGAACAGTCTTGACAGCGGCATTGCGGACAGCAATCTATATATACACACAATTGCACGGTATACAGCATTTAAATATACATGATGTACAGGACGCGTCTTTTTTCTCAGACATATCAGAAACAAAGTATAGGGAGAGGTAATTTACGTTTGCCAATGGAGCCTTGGTAGTGACCAATCGGAACATGGTGGTTTATGAAGGTGGAAGGGGAGAAAGTGAAGTAAGAAGTGGAAGAAGAAAAAACAACCAACCGGGAAATCTTGGGAGAAGGCAGGCCGGAAACAAGGGTCAGTCAGACGGGCAATCTTTCCTCAACAAACGTCACACGGGGTATCTCCGCCACTGTCACCCCCAACCCTCATATATATTTCGACCCGGTTCGTTCCTTTTGGTAATGGTTTCGGATCATAGAAAAAAACGTTTTTTCAAAGAGCTTATAGCATATACTTCTTCACACACACACACACACGCGGATTTTCTGACGATGATAGGGCTATAAGCCCGCTCATTCCCGTTCATAACTATCTCCTGTTTATTGTCAATCATGGTGCTTCCCAACAACAATATGCGGATGTGTTCGGGTGACTCCGAATATCGTTTTCATTTATTCAACAAGTTGGCGATAAAAGTCAGGGCGACCTGCTTGCACTGTTGGTGTTGCTTGACGGTACTCTTCTATAGGGAGCCATCCGATATAATTCAAACCGCCAAAGCCGTTCACGGTATACACAGCTTTCACTCGCAATACATAGAAATTGAAATCATGGAAGCCCCTATCGTTCATGCGTTAGTTTTTATAAAGTCACTTGCACATACAACCCGACTTGGAGAAAATAACACGTACGACCATGCCTTTGTGTCTGGATGCTTGTCATAATAGCAGGTCATGGCATTTTGATGCTATCCATGTTTCATTTTCTCGTTAGGAAATCTATGCATTGTTATAGCGTGGTAATAGATTCTGCGAGAAAAGAATAAACTCACTTTGCGCCTCGGCAGCGGCTCGATAGAACCGAACAACGTGAGCCGAGGTAGCTCCACAAGCGACGAGCCATTTCCCATTTTCGGATTGTCGTACACTTTTAGTGAGCGTACAGTAAATGCGACGTGATCAGGATCATGGCGCATATTACGCACACTCATCTATTATGCAGATGAATATGAGCAATCACGCTTTTTTGTCCACTCTTGTTATTTACACACTTGCCTGCAGATCTGACATGTAAAGCAACAAGTCACCAGGTTGGTCGGTGCAGTCGCCACTATAGTATTCCATGATGCCGAAAGGATATCCCTCTTGTACACAAGATAGCATGAGCAACCATGTGCCCCAAGAAAGCGGTGTTCTTTTGGTTAGGTGTATCTACTACTAAGCACTACCTTCGAACATGGGTTCCTGCATTTTAGTGAGGAAGGTACCGACACCTATGATATAACAAACGAAGATACATGTCTTTATCTAGCACCATCCAATCACCCCTTTCTGTGCGTTCTTTGAAGCATAAAGAGATATGGAGGAGAGGCCGTACCGGCATCGCTTACGACTTGACGTGCAAAGCGAGCTGCTTCGCTTACAGTCTGGGATGCCATGGCAACAGGCGTCATTGTTGCTGCCAAGGAAACGAGCAGTAGCAGTAACATGGTGATTCGTGTCATGGTGACGAAAGATTTTTGCAAGCACACAGAAAAAAGGAGTGAAAGGGAAGAAAGAAAGAAAATGTGCGAAAGAAAGAAGCAAAGAAATAAGCGGGTGTAACGCGGCGGTGTGTGATTGTTATCAGATTTCTGCATTAAAATAATAATTGTGGGTTGGGTATCTAGAACATGGAGCGCAAGAGAGAGTGTGTGTATGGATTGTTGATGTTCGTCATTATACATCATCAAGTGTATTGCGATATCGGCGTTGGTAAAGCCGCTGCCTGCATAGTTCTTGCAGTAGCGGCAGTGGTTGTCGTCGTCACAGAAGCGTCCTTCTCCTCCTCTCTCGGCGCTGCTTTTCTATTGTTTCGTCGAAGCTGATATTCGTCACGCTAAGTTGTTTTTTTTTAAGTTCGGGTACGCATGTTAGTAAAGACAGTTCTACTGAACATCGGAAAACCCAATCCGATCCCTCTAATAAACAATCACCCAAAGAACGGCGGTATTACCATTTTGAGATAGGCCGCACTGGCACTCCTCCCAGGCGTGATCTTCTCCATCCGCCTCCGTGCCGACAACTTGAGGATGTAACTAAATTGAGCATGGATTTGAGGGTAAATGTTCTTGACCCCCAGCAGTTCGACGAGTGATCGCAATGCAGTGTTGCTTCGCCGTCGAAAAAATTGCTCTTGCGACATAGCCCCGACGCGTCGGCTGGTAGCGAACGGATGAAACTGGGGTCGGGTTTCCTTTTCGCGTTGAAACACAATGTCGGCGCGTTCCTGCAAGTTGATCGCCATGGATCGAAACGAACTAGTTCACCCACACCCCAAACCGCCAACCACGCGATAGAATGTTACGTTACCAATAGTTAAACAAAGAAGAGTTGTTTGTTTTTCCTTTGAGAGAGACGTTCTGGAACCTAGAGGAGAGAAAGAGAGAGAGGGTGGGGGGGGGGCTGCTGCTCACCTGACTAGAAAAGGCCAGCATGATATCAAAAAGACCCGGTCGGTCATGAGCATCATGAGCGAATAGAAGCGAGCCTCGCCCCTTGCTTGTGCATCGCGTAGCTTGAACATGTAGCTCATCACATAGCCGTTTTCATCGTCGCCAAACAACACTGGTCCTTCTCGGCCGGGACAAAATTCGGTCGTCAAACTGGGGAAACGTATTTCCATGTATTTTTAGATAGTCGTTTTTTGAAACAAGAGAGAATGCTTACCTGCGGACACATGCCAAACGAACTGCCTTGTACAAAGCAAGTTGCTGTGGTGCTCTGGTGCCAATGTATTCTACGGACGGATCTTCCTCGTCAATGGTCACCATACGTTTTGCTTCGACGACACCTCCTTCATCCTTGACAACAAAAGGCATTTGCGCAAGACAGGCGGGACAAGAGCTGGGCTGTGTAGTCGACGATGTTGATGCTGTATTGGATTGGTAGGATTTAGATATCGGAATAGTAGTAGTAGTAGGAGGAGGAGGAGGAGGAGGCGCGCATTTTCGTAATGACGCGCGCGGGGATGTTGTTGTCGTTGTTGCTGTCATGCTGGGATTATTACTAGCAGCGTTATTGTTGAAGGCACTATTATTGCTCGTTGGGGGTGGGGTCGGAGGATCTGCTGCAGAAGACGACGTGGAAAAAACCGAATCCGCTTTTTGTGCTGCTGCTGCTGCTGCTGGTACTGCTGGTACTGCTGGTGCCGTCTTTTCCGACGTGGACGGCGACACAATGTTCGTTGACTTGTAATCGTCGGTTGTTGTTGCACTACTGCCGTTACTGCCAACACCGCCGTTGCTACCGTTAGCGCTTATAACCGACGACGACGACGAATTTTTTTGGTGAATGGCCTGCGTACAGAACACGACACGGGGCCCATGAATCTCGCAAAAGTGTAAGAGCGCAATGAGGGCATTCATGAGGGGTTGTTGGGATTGAACTGTCTTTTGATAGGGCTGCGAGGAGGAAGAGGGTAGCAAACGAGATAAGTACAGGAAGAAGGGGAGAAAAGGTACGGAAGAAAAGAAAAAGTGAAGGGTCGCTTTTTGGGCTGGCACAGAGGAGCCTGCTTGAAAAAAAAGCGAAGCACTTTTCTTTTCCTTGCTCTTTGGCGTACCTAGCGTCAAGGCAAGAAAAAAAGAAAAGAAGTCAAAAAGAGAGAGCAGAAGGGTTTCGTGCGTTAAAAAGAGGGAGAATAAGGATATGCGATCACGCGCTTCCCAAAAAAGCCCGCTCCGTCAAACGTCGACTGTTGTTCCGTTGCATCAGTACTTCTTTGACGACCTATCCTCGGTATTTATTAGATATGCGTGGTGGGGTGCTGCTACGTCAAGCTGCATCAGCAGGGCGAGTGTTGTTTGACAAGCAGGTAATGCCCAGTATAATACTACCACTACGGTATAGCAGTGGACTGCGTTGTATGTATAGTAGCGACAGCTGCTCTGCTCTGGATGAAACGATGGTGATACTGCTGTTGTTAATGATGACGATGATGTGTGGTTTAGCACACGTTTGGGCAAAAAGGCAAAAGTAAGAAAACAAAATTGCTGAAAAAGGAACAGCGGTTCATCGTTCATTGGTTACTGTGTTTATATAGCATTCATCTTCGCGCATCGCACCCACAGCACGTAACAATATGCATATTGCTGTTTTTGTTACTTTTGTGCTGATCACCATCCTTGTTTGACAGTTGTTTGTAACAGTCAGTCAGAGAAGGGCCGCCCGGGGGGGAGTGTTGTGTCCTATTCAATACTGATACAATGCTGTCATTCTCATTTCAGGGCGAAACGACATGTGCTGTGTGTCAAACCCGGGTGACACTGTAGAACCAATCAATGGGCCGCACCCACCTGTCTCCATAAGCCATTGCTGTTGGTGTGTGTACACAGCCTTGGAAATAGAATTCCCCGCTTTGCGTATTCTTTTTCTACTATCTAAACATCCTCTACAACTGCTATGTACTGCTACTGTACTGATACTGTACATGTTAGCTCTGTAGTCGTATAAAAAGCAGTGACACAGCATCAACTGGAAAAAAAAAGTGGGCGAGACGCATCAACAAGAACGAGCACTCCTCTGCCAAACTGTTGGTAATACACAGTATCACCCAAACCTTATCGCGTGGAAGCAAATTAAAATTATCGTTACCTATTTCTGGACCCTCGAAAAAGACTTGGCACTCAAGATGTGCAGTAGTAGCTTAAACTCATAAAGCAGTAGCATGCTCAATAATGATTAGCAGTAATCCAATGGTGCTGTATAACACACCACGTAAAGAAACTATAGGATTGTCCTAGTTCTTGCTACGCCAAAAATATAATGTATAAAACATGTACGTCTACCTCATATGTGTTGTGCTGTAATACAATTACTCTTTTTTATAATGACGTAGTCTGAAAAAAGAACTCAATGCGCTTTAAAACCGCGTAGCGCATGATTTTTGGCTTCTGTGCTCAGAACGGCGAATACAAAAGTTTGTACCTGGGTGACATGATTCACGAGGCACAATTTGGTGCGAAGCAGTGCTAAATCAACATGTTTCTTTCTCCATGACGTGATTCAAAACGTCTTGCAGAGTAAGCAAGTAGCTTAGTAGTTATATCAGTAAAAGGTGCTGTTGGAAGTTCATATTTCTCAACTTTACGATTGTATGGACTATGTGGTATAGTAAGAAGATTGAGTTTCGCCTTCCGAGCATCCGCATTGTGGACGACTGGAGCTACGTTGCTGTCAAATCTTGAAAGCTACACAACATATGCAACGACCGTTTTGCTACATCCCCGAAACGAAAAATGTGTTCTGCTGTCTTTTAACAATCTTTGTCATCTTCTGATGACTTCTGACGTTTTAATGGACATTTTTACAGCTGCCTTTAAATAAGACATGTCTATCCAAATCGATATGGATAACGACCCAAAACCCTAGAACATGCGTTAGTTCCACATTTGGTTTGGATAACCCAAGAAAATTGGATCGGATACCACTATCAATGATTCATCCCAAGCATATTCTGCGAAACGAGGGAACTAGGATCGATCAAGTCCCAGTTGACATAATGTACGTGGAACGCATAATATCTCGTTATGGACTTGGATAATTTGTCAGCAAACAAATTCAAATAATTTTAAAGGAGAATCGAAGAACAAGATTTTCATCTTATTTCTGATATCCCATCATCTCTATTACTGTATATTGTATACAATATGATCATTAGCAGTGAATGTTTAGCCTGCTAACTGTCCTATTCAGTACAAATCGGTAATTTTCTGGTTATAATTTTTACAAAGTTGGAAATAGCAAATTCACCACCCAGATTGGCCAGTAATAACTCTTATAAAAGAGTCGTCGAATTCCACCATTCTTTGCTAATTGCTCACCAGAAGTAGCATATAACAGCCCATATTGTTGACAGCGTCATGTATAACTGATGAATATCTCCTCATGTAGATTCAATCTTACTCATATGTAAATTCGAAACTGACCCTGATCACTACTACATCTTTATCAGGGCATGTTACAGTAGCTCACAATGCTATATTCTACGAATGGCCAAAAATTACGGTCGTCAACACAAGGACAGACTTTGTGGTGCTGTAAGACGACCAGTTGCTGCTCTTTATACTCACATCAGCTATATCCGCGCTTGCAAAGGTATTGTTACTACTACTTGTATCATTGTGTTTCTGACACTTCCATGGAAACTCGGATGTATTTTAATAGTTTCATTATCATACAACAAACATCCCTGCTGTTCATAGTAATTATTGATAGCTTTGACACTTACATTACTGAAAAGGCCCACTACCTCCGGCTATATCATCACTAGGAGCAATCGTTTGAGCCACTGCCTATCCACAGCAACAGCGACCAAAGCAAACCTATTCGGCTATAAAAAAAACTTCAGCACTATTGCAAAGCTCGAGGAAAAACCTGTGCAGTTGTGGAACACCGCCTTGCGGCATCCAAAACTAAGCGCTAGAACATTGCAGAATGAGCTGATTGAGGAGGAGGAAATAATATGTTTGTCGATTATAGATTTGGACAAAAAGTAAGCACGGTGCAATAATAGCAACTGCAGTATCCAGATACTAATGGAAAAAAGGAACCAGGGGAGGACCACACTAGCCCAGGGGGCACGACTGAAAGATCTGCGGATCACAGTTGGAAATCTGTACCACGTAGCATACGGCAAGTATAGCAGTGGTACGAAGCATAGTGGTAAAGCTGCTATCTAGCGTATGGAGTATAGCTCACACGATCGAAAGTGTATACTATGTATATAAGCCAATCTTATCCAAGAAACAGACTGCGATGCATCCCTTCCCTGTGTAGCTCACGCATTTTTTACAGTACCCCAAGAAGATTATTTGTTTTGATTGATCTGACGAGAAAGCCGCTGGCTACTCGTATTTTGCTTGTTTTGGGATCGTTTCTCGTCTTGTATATGTCTTTCTCTGTATATTGCTAACATCACCTACCGCTAGCGAACATGTATTTGCTTTCCTTCTGTCTTCTACTTCAACGTGTCCTTCTCCCAATTCCGAAAACAGTATTCATGTTGTATTTTCTTTCTGTGGTGAACCACATTAATACACTGCTTAAGATATCAACAATATGATATTCGGTTAAACATTATAGCACACACGTATGAACACTACGGCATTTCGGCTAAACACTATTGAATAAAATCTCTCACTCAGATGATCCACCTTACGTGAACAGGACAATGAACCTATCAACAGGTACCTCGGCCATTACATCAGCTAACGCCGGTTTCAAAGATGTGCCCGATTAACATAGCGACTTCAATACATAGAAGCTCTGATACGTCCTTGATCCATCCTCTATCACATAGTTTATCCATTAGTCGGGTGAATTGATATCGCCGTCTTAATAGCTAGAATATAAAAGAGCTTTATCTTTTGTTGGAATAAAACATCATCTCAAAGATACTTAATCTTGTCCCTTATTATCTTTATTAAAGCTCTATCATCACACTTTCACTTATAAAGGCTGATGTAAAGACGGTCATAGAGCATATAGCATTTTTGTTTTATCAAGTTATGGCTTGAGCTATACCATCATATGACAAAAAAAACTTTTTAAGAGTTCATTATCTTATGATAGCATCTACAGATCGCTTAAAAAATGACTGCTGCCGCGATCCGTCCTCGATTCCTGTCTCCTCCCTACATCCCATACAGTAACAAAAACCTCTCCTTCAAAACTAGGATTGGCCTTCTTTCAGTATCAGGATCTCCATCTCCTCTAGATATATAATGAGATCCTCTTCCAGGCAACAACTGTACTTTTGACGTGATGTACACCAGCTGCCGCCGCTCGGACCGAATACAAAGGAGCGTTGCTAAGCGCGTTTTGTATATCTACTACCTACTGTCAGGAGCATTAGCCACATTCTGATACATTGTAAAGCACTCAACATGCTGTACTGAGCATCCAATAACATAAATATGTACATGCGAAGAAAAGAACAGAAAAAAAAGGGTGCATTATTAAGCTATACAGCATTCCGAAACCAAAATGAGCAGCTGCTCGTGAAAATCCGTCCAATAAGTGTGAGACAAGTTCACTACTCTGCATATGGAGCGTGCCTTGACCGTGTTCCCCTTTGCCACTTTAAAAGAAAAATAAACCACTTCTTTTTTATTGAACAATGCGCCAAATTGCCATTTGGCTTTTGCTCCTCGTTATATTACTGGTTGTAGAAGCTGGCAAAGATTACTATAACATTCTCGATGTGCCACGCGACGCGCCAAAAAACCAGATCAAAAAGCATTACAAAAAGTTGTCGCGAGTATATCATCCAGACAAGAATCCCGGAAACAAGGATGCAGAGGCTAAATTCATGGAGCTGTCTTCAGGTATTGTCATATATGAAAGAGGCATATAATGTACATCGCAGTCCAGATTAGCTTATACGTCAAAATTAGCTTATGAGGTCTTGATGGACGATGAGAAACGAGGCATCTACGATCGGTACGGCGAAGAAGGCCTTGAACAACACAAGAATGGTGGTGGTGGTGGCGGTTTTCATAATCCATTTGATATGTTTGCTCAATTCTTTGGTGGCGGTGGATTCGGTAGGAAAAATTCTACTCTACATATCTTTCTATGTCTTTCACTTTTGGATTACTTACCTAATTCATTTATGAAAATGACACATGACATACTTGTGACATATGAAATTATGATTAGGCGGAGGACGAGCTCAGGCACAAGAGCGAAGAGGACCAGATTTGCAGGTTGAACTGGAGGTATCTTTGGAGGATCTTTACAATGGCGCAACGATCGAAGTAGATATTTCCAAACAAACAGTATGCGATCATTGTCATGGTAGCGGCGCTCGTCGATCCGAGGATATTCAAACATGTCCTGCCTGTCAGGGACGGGGAGTGACCGTCACCCGAGTACAGCTGGGTCCTGGTATGGTACAACAATTCCAGCAGACATGTCATCAATGCGGTGGTAAGGGCAAAACGATCCGCGCTGTCTGCCCTGCTTGTAGCGGTCGTAAAGTACTGCGAGGCAACGAACAATACACGTTAACGATAGAAAAAGGCATGCGGGATGGTCAGACGACTGTAAGTGGTTTTTGTATATGTAATGTACACGTGGCGATATAAGAGCATCCACCGGATCGCAACCAGGATGTAGTGTGTTTTTCTAATCAAAACAACGACACCGGCAATTTATGTATCATAAACGTAGGTGTTGGAACAAGAGGCCGATGAATATCCAGATGCTATCCCAGGCGACGTCATCTTCACTATTTCGACAGTGCCACATCCAACTTTTGATCGACAGGGCAACAATTTATACACTACGCAACAAATAACGCTTATCGAGGCTCTTGTTGGATTTGAAAAGACGTTAAAGCAATTGGATGAGTCGGTGATCACGTTGAAGCGGGAAGGAATAACACAATATGGATTCGTGCAGACGGTCAAGGGTGCTGGAATGCCGCATTTCGACAACCCGAAACAGCATGGAGATCTCTTCGTAGAATACAAGGTTGTATTCCCGACTAGCATTGACAAGCAAACAGTAGAACGTAAGTGTGCATAGTCAAACCTGGAGGAGAGAGGTAGTGGAAAGATGAATTTAGCCTTCGGCCGCAGTTATTAACTTTCTATCCAAACAATACTTAGTACTGAAACAAGGTGCGCATTTTCCAGCTACCGGAGTGGTTCATGAAGAGTTGTAGATTGTGATGATTACATAGACATTTTTTACTTTTCGTTATTACATATACTCCTTTTTTTCATTGTTAGTCTTTGAGGGACAGCAATTGCATTCTGTACAATGACCTGAATAAAATAAAAAAAACCAAACGAAAACTCGGGCTGGCTGGATGGTTGCATACAAGGGGTGTTCATCTCCATGCTATGTGGCGGCTATAGCGTAATGATGTTTATGTCGGGATCGGTCACATTACTCTCTAGGCTTTTTTTGCATGACACGTGTGAGCTACTGCTGCTGTTGATGAATGCAAGAGGGCGGACAGAAAAAAGTGCCATTTGTGTATTAGGAAACTGATTTGTTTGGAAACTGAAATGGATATTGCCACCCTAGTGAATTTCCAACCTGAATAGCAATATTTTTATCACTTTTTTTCTGGATATGATATCGCACATGTCTCATAATATAAACACACTCAAATTAGATCAAACAGAAATGGTCCCTTTCCTGGAAAAAAAATGGCAGAAGGCAGTTCAGAGGTGGGTTGAAACTAGTGGCGTCGTCGTGTGGACGTGGTTGTCGGGAGCAATCCCGTCAGTCAGCAGTGTGCTTACACGCAGCAGCACAAATGTCATAGGAGCAACTGTTGCTTTTTCAATGTAACAATCAAGGTAACAACCTAAGTTCACACGTCTTTATTTACATACATGCTATCAGCAAGTGAAGACAGCGTCAGTTATTGGGCTTCATCATGTGGGTATCTCTTATATCTGAGCAATACTCTTATTGTACAAAAGCAGCCCTTGCTAGTGTAAGACGGGTGCCACTCGCATCATTGTCATCGTCACCAACCACGAGCCATAGTTACACACTCATCATCATGACAAATACTTAAAAGTCATTTACCTTTTTGAAAAAGCAGAGAGCACTTTTCCTCTTTGCGCGCGCGTGTGGTGCGTGCTTCAACTGCTATAAGGCTTAGTGTTAGATTGTAACAAGCTTCTAACCCCTCTCTAGTGATCGTCTGTTTTCTTTTTCCTCTTTTTACTTCTCTTATCGTCCCCGCTGTACTGCACTACTACATAAACGCATACACACTCAAACTAAAAACACTCATACAATAGGAGAAAGAGCAAAAAACTTTATAAAAATGGCATTCTATCAACCGGCGAATGTGTTTTCTACACCAGCGCCTATGTCAATGCTTCCTCCTCCGGCCGCAGTACAGCCATATACACCCACTCCACCCATGGGCATATCGGCATTTGCTCCCTCTTCTGTTGATCCATTAATGATGCAACAACCTGGTGGTTTTCCGCCACCACCACCACTCCCCCCACCAGGAGGTACCATCGAAAATCAGTCAACGAAAAGGAAAATGTTTCTTCTTGCCATATTGTGCTTTGTTTCTTACCGTCATTTTATCAGGCACGCCAATGGACATGATGATGGCACCACAGCCGCCACCACTGTACCCTTTACAACCACCACATTTTGTACCAGGCTTTATAGGGCAGCAACTAAGCTGTTGGCGGGAATGTGTCGGCTGGTAAGCCCTTAATAACTTCAGCACATATTCAAGTATTGTCTGGAGACAAAAAAGACAGTTGTAGCTAACAATACACGTTGTTTTCTAGCCTAGCAATAGCACTATGTTGGTGCTTTCTGTGTGACGATTACGAGCCTGAACAGGTGTACCAATAGCATGATGCAAATAGCGTACTTTTCATTGTATTATTATTTTGTTTAAATATCATTAGGTGTAGATTTAGTAGATCATAAGGTTTCCATATGTAAAAAGATTGTATACATAAACACATTTCATCATATCACACTCACATTAGGACGGGTATATTATGGGTGATGAAGAAATGTGGAAATACCCCGTGATCTGCAGCCGGGTAAATTTATTTACAAAATATGCATGATAAACAGGAGATCGACGTGCAGGTAGGAAAATGCCCGATGAAACGGTAGTAACAAGCAGGATGCCGATGACATCTGACATCTTTGATGTATTTTAATAAGTACGAGCTTTTCGTGCTCCATAATGTTCTTCTGAAATTCACTCTTCCAGTATGTAGCATTGCATAAATCAAAAGTTGAAGAAGACAGGAGAACTATACATCAACACTGCCAGATACACACCATCGATCAGAATTAAAGATTCGTTACTTTAAAAATGTTATTGTATATATTTTCCACTACTGCTATTCTTTGTATCGTCACAACTACTGCAGCTAATGCTCAAAAAAAATTGTACTGCCGCCCAATATTCAAGCAGTGTTACATACATACATCGTTATTATTTGTCTGTGGTTGATATGATTTGCTCTTACACGAATGGTGTGTAGAAATCAGGTACAATTTGTAGCCGTTGTTACGTCGTTGAAAAAAAAGCGGGAGCCATCGGGAACGACCATCGTTGTGTTCTTCCGAGTAATATAAAGAGAGGAGGGGAGCGTGCGCTGCTGTTACACTACAAACAAGAGCAATCGCATATTGGCATTAAATATACTAGTAATTCGAGTGTGGTGGCACAAGAGGAAACTTTAAGGATCTAGCACATTTTTTGCCAAACACGCTTCGGTCACTTTGTAAAGCTCTGCCACGCAATGAACAGCAGCTTTAGCAACGAGTAAGGGTAGTACTGTCGCCGACAACAGATGGTTAGTCACGTTGCTCTATTGCATCTGAAAGCATTGAATACTCAGCTTACACTAGTGGAAGGCATTTAGCCAACAGAGTTGCATCCGGTGAAGAGCTCAGGCCAAGGTAGGCTGCGTCATTATCAAAAACGAGCAGTTGGCACTGAATACATAGCTATATAAATATACAGCTGCATATTGCAAAATAAATGACGATGACATTATGTTTTGGTTGCTATTTATGTCCAACCCATTTGTGGTCATCAGCATATGTTATTATTAATATAATGATGCAAGTAACTAAAAGATTTGGGTATGAAGCAAAGAAGATTATGCTATGTAGTAACAATTCAACAGGAAGTGAATTTTGGTAATCAATGAATATGCACAAGTCTCTTTAAATGTTTTACAGATTATCGTGCTGATTACATTTTTTATTAAAGCATAACAAAATTCTGCTTGTGAATAGCGATTGACAAAACAAAAGTATTATACATAAAAATAGTTTCCGTTTTCTGGCGATATACTCATCCTTGTCGTTGAGCCAAAATGGAAAGAGATAGTGAGAATAACCGTTAGAACCAGCTCGTCTTACTCTGGTGCTTGCTTTGATAACCACCGCCGGCACTAGAAGAAGCATAGAATGAAGGTCCATAGCTACATACATAAATATCATTTGTTATGGGTAGACAGGCAGCGAAAAGCATGTGCACATCAGTATTTTTAATGTAAAAGGTTAGGCAGTATTATAAAAGTAAGCAAAAGAACAGTCAGCAATGCATACTCGTGATATTCATGTCGATTACGACCTTGTTGATAATAGTCATTGTTGTTTTTATATCGCCTGTAATCTCGAGACGCGCCACCACTACGCACACCACCGCGATTGCCATGACGACCATAGTTATTTGCTTCTCGCAGCATGCTTTCCAGCCATTGTGGAACTTCTTGCTTGGCTTCTTTGAGCAATTCCACAAGTTCTCGCGCAATGTTCTTGTTTCCTCGGTTGAAAAAAGCTGTTGCCAGGCCGACATTGCCTACACGACCCGTACGGCCAATCCGATGCACGTAGTCGTCAATATCTGTTGGCAGATCGAACGAAATGACATGTGTCACGTTTGGAATGTCAAGGCCTCGAGCCGCTACTGCAGTTGCTACCATGATCGGTGCTCGCCCTGTTCGAAAAGCGTTCAATGCCATTTCTCGCTCTCGTTGAGTACGATCGCCATGGATAGATGTAGTTGGAAAGTTGCTTCGTAACAAATAATCAGATAACGTATCTGCCATACGTTTCGTTTCAACGAAGATCAGTGTCAATCCGCGTGTGGAATCAGCAGTCAAAATATCGAGCAAAACTGATCGCTTCTCGTCGTCTTCGACGTATCTTTTTTGTATTTTTTTTTAGTTATAATATATAACAAAACATAGCAATTAACAACTAATAACATTCAAAAATTAAGCAAATATCTCTATATCAATAACACCTACTCAATGCGCTGGGTAATGTTTTCAGATGTTGCGCCAACTCGGCCGACCGATAGGAATATATAGTCATTCAGAAAATCTCGAGCAAGCATTTGGATATCGCGTGGGAACGTAGCAGAGAACATTAGTGTCTGGCGGTTTCCAGCTTCAGGCATGTCTTCTCCCTGAACTATTCTTCTGATCTGTGGTTCAAAGCCCATGTCTAACATTTTGGATGAATACGGTACACATTAGTGGGTACGCGAGAGCATTCGACTACTACCTTCAAAAGGATAATCAAATACGAACCTAGCATCCGATCAGCTTCATCCAAAACTAAAAAACGAATGTTCGCTAATGAGACACGTCCGCGTTCGATAAGATCAACAAGTCGACCAGGTGTTGCCACTAGCACATCACAACCACGATCAATCTCCCTGAGTTGATGCCCGATATCTGTGCCTCCATACACCACGCATGGCCGTACATAAGATCGATAGGTGAACTTGCGAGCCTCCGAATATATTTGTGATGTCAGCTCACGCGTTGGTGCAAGAATCAATGCTTCTGGATATGCTTTTGAAGCGCGATATCCTCCACGGAAGCTAGCTTGTGGAGGTAATGGTGGTAGAGACGGCCCATTACTAAATAGGTCTGATAAAATTGGGAGCAAAAACCCGGCCGTTTTACCAGATCCTACAGTATCATAAACATCCAATAAAACATCATCCCGTACATGTACAGAATACATCATACCATTTAATCAAAAGCCAAAGTTTTCTACTCGTAGTAGATACACATACACGTATATTCACAAGCTCTTTTCATGCCGCCCCTTCCCAGCTAAATCACGACTTTTCCCCCTCTGTTTTCCACAGCTATTATGATAATACCTGTCTGTGCGCAAGCCATCAAGTCACGGTGTGCCATTACGATGGGTATCGAGTACTTTTGTACTGGCGTTGGCGATGTGTAGCGCGCGAGTTCCACGTTGGTCACGAGATGGCTGTCAAGTGGCGGACTAGTAAACTACCAGTCCAATGTTCGTTCCAAATTAGTGTGATCTCTCTCGTACACATATACTATAGAGTCACCAAATTCTGGGTATAAACCAGTAGTGTACCTTTTCAATAAAGTCAGGCACGTCGTCACCGGACGCTTCGACAGGAATATTATCATATTTGTTGAAATTGATGCCTGTGTGTGCTTGGTCCATATCATCTGGCAAGCCGAATAGCTCTCTCTCCAACCGGATACTGCGTTGGCCAATATGATGTGTGTTATTTCTCCAATGTCCTCTTCCTTCTTCATATCGTCCACCACCACCCGCCCCTCTTCGTTTGTAGTATCCACCATATGACCCACGATCATCGAATGGTGATGCAGAGCGAAAATAGCTGTTGCTACGGCCCGAGCCACCAAAATCTGAGGACCCGTGCTCCTTCCACCTATACCATATACGCACATAGATATACAGTAGCAAATAAGTGAGTGCTATACGAAAAAAGGAAAATAAATCTGGTCATTTTTTCTCTGTTTCTCTCTGATATACTAGAACCTTGGTCTATAGGGTGGCTGTTGCTGTTGCTGGTCAAAATCATTATAGTTGCTTCTTCTTGTGGAGTTCCAGCCGTCGTTGTTCGTCGCAAACCCACCATCACTGTTTCTTGACGGTGTTGAGTTGGGTACTGCTAGACCACCAGCAGAGGTTGCTGTGGCTGCCGCCGTTGCACGCTGGTGTGGTGGAACATACCGTGCACTAGGCCGGAACTCTCTTGCTGTGTCTCGCCTATTGCTGCTGCTACTGTTGTTATTGCTGCTGTTGCCGCTTCTTTCTGCAAAGCTCATCCTGCCTAACATAAGTAGGGGTGACATATGTTTTTATGTATGTGAGTCTAACGATAGCGTTCCACCTCTTCACTCGCATATAACAAACTTTGGTAAGTTTTTGAATCGTTTCCGTCATTGCTCATTTCAAAGTGTAGTCAACTGTCACTATACAGGCTCGCGAGAAAGAGAAAATATAGAGGAGGGAAAGGAAAGAAAGACTACTGTGTCTCACGACTGGCATAATGGGAAAAAAAGACTTCTACTGCTGGTCTAGCTTATTCACTTGGTCATTTGACTCAGTAGTTCCATATGCATGAAATTTCTACGATGATAATCCGGACATCGGGCAAGTGTATGGCACCATGCTTTAAATAGTGCTTTCAAACATACACACACTCCAACATTCCAAGATGCGCCTATCGCCAATTAACTCGATTAAATGAGTAATAATATGGTAGTATAGTGATAGATTGGTTGTATTGCATTATATGTACATAGTGGTTGTTTACATGTCTTTGTACTTCATAAGAAAACAGGTTATTTTGGCATCCCATTTTCGGTACTTGCGATGAGTTGTGCCAGTTTTTCTCGTGATCCACTTATCGAGCTTAATGCCTCGTCGGCTCGTTCCAACAGGTCCGGAATATGTTTCGTTTCCGCCAGAAATGCGCGTATGCAACTGAGAGCCTTTTCCATATGTTCCTTTGATTCGACATTCGCACTGTTGTTTTTAAATATGGTCTTAAGCTCTTCCAGTTCAACTTTTTGGGATAACGGGGCAGCTGTCCATGACTCTAAGACGTTTGGAAAAAGAGAAGTGGAGAGTTTTACTTATTATTCTTTTCTGCCATTACCATGGATAAGTCACTCAGTGAAAATGCAAAAAGGTAAAATCGTTACCACGAATGTCGGGTGAGAGTTGAATGTTTTGTGAATTAATAAAGTCGTCTACATCAGGAAAGCTACTTTGTGTATCGTCATCTCGAATGCTTTTTGCAAGATCGCCGAAACCGAGTGCTGCATCATTTGCTGTCATGATATAAAGTATGAAGGAAAAAGAAAGAGTGCATGGCTCTTGCAGAATATCCGATCATTTGCCACAATGTATTTGAATGCCGCGATATCTCTGCCACTTTCTATTCATTATATAAGAAATTTGAGGGTACTGATTCATGGGAACATACAGTACACTAGTGGGAGATTTGTAAGATATAGATTGCATTTCTTCATTCTCTGTGCCTGTTTGCGATATATTTTTTCTTCAAAAGCAATTGTAAATATGGTACATTTTGGAGTGGAAAAGAAAAGGTTGGGCCATCAAACTACTATTTAGGTTGAACTGCCTTCGTTATTATTCTAACTTTTTGGAAGCGTCCTATATGCAATAAGCAACGAAAATCAGTACTCAACATTATTTGCTATGTTTTTCTCGTGGAGATATGGATGATATACATACCGATTTAGGTCCAATGGTAAAGCTCATCTTTGAAAAGATCATGCTTGTCAAAAACAGGACAAAAACAGCAGCCGTTGCAACCAAAGGTTTTTGGAATAAGCGCACAGTTGAATATTGGTATGTGATCTATATTGTTCCACTATATCAGCAACAGAGAAGATATAACGATGTTCAGCTCACATGGTAAAGTACAAACCTGGATGGGCTGCTCGTGTTCGCGAACGACATTGTGCTTTTCAAGAATGACAAGGTATCGGCCCGTTGAATCGAAGTTAGTGTAGTAAGTCTTGTGCTCAATCGAGTCGACATTAAAGGGTGTATGAACTTGAACATTACTGAACAAATTCAAAGAGTTTGTATTAGCACATATACACTTTCATCTTCATTGCTCATTCTCTCGATTTCCATAATAATTTGCTATCCATAACTATTTCAAAATGCAGAAAAAGTAACACTTTACGTTGCGCCTTCAGGTAATACAATGCGAACAACAGCCTTGTCAATGGACATGTCATAGACGTTATCAACGAAATTGACATTGAGGATATATTCATCCTTTTCCTGTGAATAGCGATCAAAGTTGGCGAGATCTACGTTGTATCCATGGAACCAGGTGTAGTTCCAGCCACCAAACAAGGGATATCGTGGCGTGATTTGCAGGACTGAAGACTCGATTTCGTTACGGAAGTGAGAGGTCGACACATTACCAATATCATCACGATAATAAACGTCGCGTGCTTGAGCAGGGAGACGGAAGGTCAGGTCTTTCAAAACATTGGTTTGACCATGGACCATTCGAGTAAGTTGATAGGTAGCACGGCTGAACTGAGCATCAAGCCTACAGAAAAATTTAAGTTTACTTGGCATAAACATGTAATTACAAGAAGAGATTCCCTAAAAACACTTACTCTGCTCCAGAATGATGCAGCTTGTAATTCTCTTCAACAGCCAAATTTCCTCCCCAGTGAGAGACTTGTAAATCACGTACAAGCTCAGTAACGGTCAAAAGAGGTTTGGTGTACTCATAATGAACGCGCAAGCGATCGTAGGTTTCGGGCATTACCGAGTGGAAAGGACCGTATACAATCTTGTTTCCGTTATGCTGAACGTGGTCGCCGCCTGTGTACGACTGTACCACTTGGGTGGGCAATCTACATGATCATCGTTTAAGGCTCGGTGTTCTTTCCCTTTCCACTTCATCTTTTTGACACTCTCGAACTGAAATAGAACATACTGTAAAGTGGTCTTGATTTCATCGCTGAAGTAAGGCGAGTACAGGTAAATATTGTCTTTGTAAACGACGAATTGACGAGCGACTTGTGGAATTTTAGCAGGCAAGGGAGTCAAAGCGTGGCTATACGCGATCTTGACGCCAAAGCGAACCTCAGCGTCTGGCTTAACAGGATCATCAAACGTAATCTTGTACAATTGCACTTCTCTATAGAAACGTGGATGAGTATTAAATCGCAATGCTGAAGCGACAAGCCAAACTCATCATAACATGTGTGTAGTACGTACTTTTCCGAGTCGAAGCCGGCTTGTTCAATGGTCAAGGCTGTCTTTGGCTCCTGACGCAAGAATGCCGTGATGCTAGCTACATGTTCTTCAGTCTGCCGAGGAACAGTGAAAATATATTCGCTTTTAGGTGTAGTATCAATGTTCTTGGCGCGAATGCCAATATCTTCTTGAACAACATTGGCACGAAGGTCGACGACACGAATAACTCGCGTGTTCCTGAATTCAGGTGCGATCGGAATCGCGGTTTTGGAAATTGTCTCGGTTTCTCTTGCACCAGTACCCCAAGCTACACTAACGCAGCTGATAATGATGGTGAGCAATGCGCATAAAGAGTTGATGCGCATTGACGTTTTCATGGTACGTGTGTGGTGCCACTCTTGTAATAAGTAAAGAAGAGAGCTTCAATGCAAAAATTGAGCTAATGTGGAAATATCGAAAAGCCGCCAATGAAAAATCACCAAGTCTAGAAGGGAGCGCTTGTGGAGCATGCCGAGCGGAACAAGAAATGCCATACACTGCTGTTAACTGAACGTAACACCCAGTGAATATTTTACTGCTTAGTTTACCGTCAAAACAATAGTAAATCTGCATAATATGCTGTCCATAAAGAGGGTATGGGGATCTGTACGAAAGTTATGTGAAGGATCCTCAATGTATTTTTCATATATAGGCAGAGCTCTGTTACATCAAGTGATATACCAGCTTAGCGTTTTGGATAAAAGACTCAAGAGTTATCAGATGAAGTTATAAGTGCGATATACGCGTTTTATTTTTTATTAAGGTATAAAAGGTGTCAGACATTTGCCACATATGATATCAATCTTTTGACATAAACTTTTCTTGTTTAGCTGTCGTTAATTGTCATTTGCCTTGAGAGTTTTCCAATATTAAAAGAATCCTCTCAAACAGCTATCTTTCCAACCCAAAATCATATGCTCTCATACAAAAACACGTATCACCACATCATTCTGATTAGAAGTCTTACTTGGCTTGACCTTTTTAAAGAGATAAAGTTACAGTATGCGGAAGAGCCTGAACAGAAAAGCGAAATTTAGGATAATCTTCGAAATTCATCGGACGCCGGCTAATGGAAAGGCGAACACTCAAATACTCTGACATAGTAATCATCGCAATCGGTTTTTGAAGAGTGCTAAAAACAAAATTCAATGTATTCGACAAGATGTTTACTTAACTATATCATGACTCATGTAATATTCGCTCACATTGATTTTATATCAGTAAACGCCGTTAAAATAATTATCACGGACCCTTTAAATATAATCATATTATAGAAACTGTTATACTTGCCATTTTTGCATGAACAAGATCGAATATTGTTTTGTTATTATTTTTATTTGCAACTAATAGCCGTCGTAGTCAGCATTGCTGCTATCGCTCTCGCTCTCCAGCTCCGAGTCGTTCGTGTCACTTTCTTCCTCGTCTTCCTCTTTATCATCATCCGTCAGTGCGTCGGAGCACGGCGACACGGCATCATCTTCATGGCGAACCCAATTCACCCTGCCAGATCACTTCGCACCACGTAAAATTGGAACGTTGGTTCCTAAAGCGAGCTTGTTTACTTTGTTGATTGCTGATTTGCAATCGTAAAACAAGGCTTGTTGTTCTGTTGCGGGCAACGCCACATAATCTCTGACAGCTGCACTCTCGAGTTTCAAGTCGTTGAGAGACATGTAGCTGCCTTGTCCAACGTCGATTTTAACTCGTGCTGCGTTGAAAAGGACAACAAAGAAACCAAACTTCCAAGCGCTCTTCTAAAGCTGGTCGAACTTATTGACCGCATGTTCTGGTTGGCGGCTAATCGTTTGATGGATGACCTTGATTGCCTTTCGGACTTGCACTTCAACGGCCTTACCATCCATTTTGAAGGCGTTTCGCCACTCCTTCGCCTTCTTAACCCAGTGGTTATGCTTCTTCCTGTTGTTTCTGTCGTCTTTTATTGGCATAGTAGTTGTCTCTTGCACGCATACGACGTTCTTCTTTTTCCTCCTCTTTTTCTTCCTCTGATTTTTCAGACTTGCGGCCCACCGTTAAACACAAGCAACAACTTTAAGTATGGTAGGAAGGGAATGTGAGGATGAGCTGGAGAGAAGTTGAGTGTCTGTTGGAGATGCTGATGTCATGACGTGTCAAAAGTAGCTGCATATTTAGAACAGCCTGCTCATGATCTTTCTTCTTTTCTTTCTACTTCAGGTTCCGCTTTATGCATCGTGTCCGGCGGGCAAGTAACAGATAGTAAGGATAAGCAAAAGGGGACTTGAACATTGGTAGGTGGGTAGGATGGCCTGGGTGCTTGGGATGACGTGCCAAGGGTGTGCAGTGTGCGCAGCAGCGTGACGGGAAAGGGTTCCTGACCATGACGTGTGCATTATGGCAGTCTCTTCTTTCTCTCCTCCTCTTTCTTCTCTTATTCTTCAGAATTGGTCGTGCCCTTCTTGCTTTTCCTCTCTCTAACTCAGGGCTCTCTTCCTCCAACTCAAGGATGTCATGATAGTAAGTATAGCTGGAAAGGATTTTGTGCTTGTGTTTGTCTTTGCGTGTTTGAAGAACCAGGAAGATGTCTGCCGTGACATGTCAAAAAGTGTATGCAGCTGCTCATAGATGTTTTCTTTTTTCTAATAGAGGATGGCTCTGCGGTGATGTGTTTGGACTTGGTATGGCTTAGACCCCATCTCTCCCTGTCTATAACTTTGCTGTAAAACGACAAAACAAATGTAAGTATAGCTGGATCCAGCTTGGGATGGAGGAGGATGATAGTGACGTGTCAAAAAATAAAGATAGCACAGTGTGTGCAACCCTCTATTGATCTTTTCTTTTTCCAGCTAGAAGAAGTGTTTCTGTCTTGGCTGCGATTCTCTGCTCTGCTCTGGCCGTGTGTTCGGTTCTCCTGTGTCTCATCGTAGAAGTATGGGTAAGTATAGCACGATAGAATTTTGTGTGTGTGTGTGGTTTAACAGTTTCCCATTAACTATTCGTCTCTTTTATTTCTTGGAATGGCGATAGTGCACAGACACATCCACGCTAGTCAAGATTGATGCTCTACTGCCATCTCGCTCCTAGAATCCAACCTGTCAAGTAGTCCATCGGCTGTGGTCAAGATCTATCCATTCATCTGGACGGTGGCGTGTGCGTTTTGCTTTGACTTGGACCTGAGGAAGTCTTTAAAAGCCTCATATTCTTATTGCTTCTTTGTATAATTTATCCCCCTACTCTCCCCTCCCCCTTTGCTTTTCTCTCGCAGTTCCTAGTAGCCTCTGTCTCGACCCATCTTCGGATGTTGCATCGTTTCACGCGAACGGCTGTTTTTTTTTGCTCAGGCTGCCTCCGGGCGTAAGTCCTGCTTCATTTTTAATCTCCCAGAGCCCACGGGTAAAAAGTGCGGCCGAGGTCCCCCATGAGTTTGGGGAATGCTTTGCGTAAGTATTTACTTTCTCTCTCTCACTCTCCGTGCGTAGGTGGAATTATATGAAAAGAGCGCAGGTTCCTTTTTTAGATTTTTCAGCTACCCTTTAAAAATTAGATATCTGACCAGTCAATTCCCTATTTCCATAATAAAAGTTGTTGGGAAATGATAGTGAGCGATGATATTATAAAAGAGGTTGTTATAGTGATTATCCATACATTAAGATCATTAACTTCGACTTCTGTTTCTCTAGCAGCGATGAATCAGCTAAGCTATACAATATGGTACCAATATTGGCTGTTCTTTGCTGAGTGTAAAAGTCAAGAGCAATAGTCAAGGTGAGTCTTCTGTTGAGAGACGACATGTAGCGTGTCATGGCAACAAATCCGTTGAGGAAAGACCAGAGCCGTTCAAGATGCTCACCATCCTGTATTCCCCACCCTTCCTTCAAGCGAGGACGGTAGTGGATCTGGTACCGTGGGGCATGTCCGGTGATGTGGAAAATACCGACAGCAATAGGGACATCCTTTATACAATCCAACGATTCCTGATAACGAGACATGAATATCTCAGCATTTGATCTAATACTAAAGTGATTTATTCGAATTTTGCAGCCGACGTCGTACATGATGCGAATGTTCGATCCGTATAATGGCATCTCAGTTACTTTTTTCAAGCAACTGAGGACGTAGGTGAATCTGACAATTAATAGATTAGAGAGCTGCACTCTGAATAATGTCGCCATAACATTAAGATTGACTTACTGTTCACCAGGCGTTGTAATGTCTGTAATGGCCAGAGGAAGGCCATGGCCACAAGTGCATGCAAATGCACCATTTTGATCTAGATGATCGGTACGCCCGCGTCCCTTTTCGAGAGCTTGCCACGTGCTACAGCCATCAGTTGCCTAAACACAGATAACAATACACTTTAAGCTGGAACTGAAAGAATGATGCTTCTTGTCATCTGATAAGTAAAAACTTACTGCGTTACGATTTTGGACGACTTGGTTATCTTTGACCCAATACCAATCCACTTCTTCTTCATCAGTAAATGCGACGTCTTTTGGGTCCTTCGTTTTCGCAAAGCGTCGTAGTTGCATGTTGCCGTCTGCAGCGACAATTTTGGGACCAGACTAGTAGAATGTATATGATTGCCAGCTCAATATATTGACACGACAGTACTACAGCTTCAACACAATACAAATTTACCATATACATGCATGCCGGACATGCTCTTTGTAGGTCAGATCCGTCTCTAAGGTCCTTTTCTAAGCTGAGCATTAGTCTCCCATACATTGGGAGTGCTTCACTAAGTCGCTGCTTAAAAGTGGCAGGTATCGGTAGCTTGATGGAAAACAGAATAAGTTTAAGTTGATTAATGTATCTTTCGTCTAAATATACCTTGTAGCGATACTCTGCGCGGGCCCAGTTGGCAATCGCATGAGCAGAAGCGCGACAAAGATAGTGCATGTTGTGCATACTACGCATTTGCTCGACATGTATGGCGTGATTCGGCTCAGATGGTGTCAGAGGGAAGGGGTAGCGACGCATCAAAACCACGGGCAATGAGTGGTCTAGGCACTCGCTGCAGTATTGGATTCTGGCAACTCGAATACCTGGATCAGATCACGTCTTTTAGCACATAATTCTGTTATCGTCATAGTTTATTCGTTGTATACCCACCACATTTGTAAATGCAAGTGAAAGCCTTCTCTTTTTTCTTTGTCTCAGGGCAAGGGCAAAGAAGAAGATCCTCGATAGGACCCAAAGCCTGAGGCTTCTTGGGTTCCTCGATGCCATAACTCTGCTTATATGCTGCAAGAAGGGAAGGGAGAATGGCTGCCCAGTTACGGTAGCGGTTGCCTGCTCTTCTTCTTTTATTAGCAGCAATAGTTTCCTGATCGCGCAAGATTAAACGTTTTGATGATGGCTGTCGAAGCGGTGGTGGGACATTCGGCGTGCCTCCAGGATTCAAGGCTGCGCCATTCTAACAGTTCTTTTCGCGCCAGTTCTGCTGTAGCTGGAAAAAGATACTTTTGGCTTGCTGCCGAAATCTGGTGCTCGTTTGGGTGGCATGTTTATTCGTAATTATGAGAATGGAGAAGAGGAGTGAAGACACGTTTTTACTGGAGCTACTGTTATGCGACTGCTACAATGGAAAGCAGGTCATGTATTTTTATGCTCCGAGGTTTTGCGGTTTTGCGGTTTTGCGGTTCGACTAAAAAAGACTGTCAACCGCAATCTATAGGGCGACTTTAAGCTCTGCTGAATCGGTATTACTAGGATGGTTCCTTGCCCCTTATTATGCAGATTCGCCCTCTGACATGTTGATCTGCCAGTTTACGTGCTACGTCTTGCCCTTTGCATCATTGGAGATACGTACAAGTGGAGAACGTGATGGTCCTGATGCAATGCATACCAATGAATACAATGAGCCACTTTGGAGCAGCCAAATAGTAGAAGGGGAGCCATCTAAATTTGAAAACGACAAAGTAAAAAAGAATACATGATAATTAATAAACTTCAGCATTTCAAAAGGCCCAGAAACGGCAAGCATCAACGTTCTCAGATTCAAGGATCTATCTTTTAATATCTATGCAAAACAGTAAGTAGCGCAACTATGCACATCCCAGTGCTAGGTGGAGCTTGCATAAGCCATAAGCAGAATTTATTGAATACAAGAAAAATGCAAAATGGAGAAAAAAACAAAAAGGGCGATAATTAAGAGTAGATGCTATATGTTGTACTATGTAAAAAAAAGAGGAGAAGAACAGAAGAAACGGATGAAAGTTGATGTTAGACTCGTTCGATCGGATTTGATAATGTGGGAGGAGGTCTTTCTGGAATATTTTTACAGTTGTCCATCGAGATGTTGTTGTTTGGTTTAGATATGGTTTCGTCGGTTTCAGATGCTGTTACTGATGGTAGAGGCGCTTCTTTCTTCAGGGCACCTGGAAGCCATCGTGGATTGGGCGTATGGGCGTTCTTTCGCATTCTGCGGATATAGAAAACAAGCGCACCAGCACACAAAAGGAACCCAGCAACTCCTAAACTGGCTCCAAGGGCAACGGCTGTCGTATTATCGTCAGACTGATTAGGATTGGAAATCACGGTAGGATCATATGGAAGCCCGCTGTTGTCACCTCCGCCACCATTATTGCCACCATCACCATCCGGCATATGTGGCATCGTAAATTTACAATTGGGTTGCTGTGCGTTGGCAAATTGCTGGATAACCGGTAAACTATCGATCCATTGCCATTTTGACATGTCCAAAACCCCGATATCGTCAGCAAACTCGCCTGTATGTTCGTCTTTATAACCTATTTATACACGACTCAGAGTCAGTTCTCTCTTTTGATACTATCCTTGTCATGTTTTCTTCTTTGTTATTGTTGTTTACCCATTAGAATAACCATATATTTATCGTAGGTTACAGCTTGATGACCGGACCGTGCTGAAGGCGGAACACCGGAAACGTCAGGATGGGACCACTGCAAAGTACATGTGTCTAGTAAAAAGACGTCTTGAGTGCTCTGACCCGTGAGCGCATCCTGTCCACCGAACACTATAATAGAGTGTCCATCTGGTGCTATTATCCTCGAGATATACGTGAGTTCATCATATACAGCTGGATGTGTATAAATTAACAAATCCAAAAGTCCGTATAGTAGTACCTAATGCAGCCGAGAATCCCACTCTTCCATCAGGTGTATCACCAATGGTGGCCATAGTAACTGCCTTTCGTTCATCCGTGTCGAAAACTAATAGCCATAGAAATTACATGTTAACAAAGTTCGGTTGCGAACACCTTGTCTCAATTGCCATAGCTTATTTTCTTCTTTTTTCACTTTACCAAGCACACTCTGAAAGTCAGCTGGATTGGTGACCCAGGTATCACCTGAAGCATTGACCACCGCCGTTTTCCCGCCGAGGATAAATAACTGGTTTTCGCTATTTGATACACATGCCGTTTAGTAAGATAATCTTAATATTTATACTTTTATAACAAGAGGGAAAAAAATCACTGCCTTACACTAAGCTCGAAGTATGACCGTAACGTGCGGGTCGTTGTCCCCAAGCATATCGTACCGGAGGCCAGTCCCATGTTTGCGTTCGTGCATCGTAACTGTAAAAATCATTGTACTAGAGATATGCACCCACGCACCCAGTGCAAACCCACATCAGTAAAGCTTGCATCATGAGGGACGTTGCTTCCCTATTTCCCATCACTCACATAAGCATGTTCTCCGGTCTCTTCCTTTGCTTTAGTGGCACGACCACCATAGAACCAAGCAATCCCAGACGTGGGGTCCACCGTAGCTGACATTTGTGCTCGGGATTCAGGAAGCGGCCCTGAAATATTTACAGCTATTGTTTTCAAACCATACAGTGTTTCATATCAATATACATGTCAGAGAGGGTGCGGAGAAGGAGGAAAACAGATGCTTGTTTTGGATATCACAACAAACACATTCATTGTGTTTACGCTTACGTACGGGCGTTGCTCCAGGTATTGGATGAAGTATTGTAAAATACCATGTTGTCCATATCCGCTGTGCCTCCATCACCAGCTTGGACATATATTTGGCCTTCAAGGCCAGCAAATGCTATTCCGTCAGCATACGGTTCGGTAGCAACCTCTGAGCTTGTCTCTTGTGGGTCCCAGGCCGGACATTGGATGTCCAAGCCCTGGGATAAATCCAGAGTCCATATAGTGGATTCATCCTGCAATATAAAAGATAATATGGTAAACGGAAACAAGCTCTCTCGTCGTTTTTGTTGCGGTCGATCTTTTATGGTGTATGTCTAGTGCGTTTACGTAGTATACGTTTCGTACCATATTGCCTCCCGTCAAGTATATTCGCTGTTGAATGAGGATTGCGGAGAAGTCAGAATAGTTGTTGGGAATGGACTCGGCTGGTGGATTGCATTGTTGCACATTACTGTCCTGAGCTCGACCGGGAGTTGCAATAATGAGGAATAAGAAACATAGCCATGCTAGATGACTCTGCCATGCATTGGGCAGGAGCATTAAGTCCCTTTGTTGTTGCAATGCTGCCAAAAAGAAACGGAAAAGCCGTATGTGTAGTTTTTTGTGCCTGCGTTATGTACTACTGTATGATATTTATAGGTTGGAAAATAAGGAGCTCGTTTTAGGCCAACAGTGGCTATTCAATGCCTTTAAAAGGATCGGAGGTTCCGGCATCCCGTTTTCCGTTGTGCCGTCTTCATCGGGTTGTTTGTTTCTCTCTCCCACAAAGATTACTGTTTGTTCACTGTACACCCTTTATACGTAACAATGTTCTCATCGCCCTTTGTGTCCTCTCATGTCTGTCTCTTTTTTCTCACACACATGTAACGTACGAATCACGACTTTCGACGTCACAAAAGCTAGGAATGAAGTTCGGGTTCTGTTTTCATAAATGTCTAATGCTGTTGTTGCGTAGATATAAAAATAGTGAATGCGACTTTTGCTATCCTCTGCTAAATCTTTTGTGTCTCTGGATAGTGTACCCCACAATTAACCGATATACAAAACTTGATAAAGAAAGACTAATGCTGTCCGCTGGAGCAAGACTGGCTGCACCACTGGAATGGACGGTATTAAAAGTATGCACTTTTCCTATTGAATTTACATTTGTGTAACACGCTCCGTCTTTACTATATTGTTTAGCCGTAATGGGAAAAGCTCATAGTTGCGTGTTTTGCATTAACCACCTGTGGCGAAAGTTTGTCACTTGTAATGTATTGTGTACAAGGCTTATGTTAGTATGGTAATTGTATGCTTTCATTCTCTTCCATACTATCTGTATGTTCAGCCTCTGTGCACGTTCTAATGACATATCCTGCTGAGCAGCAGATGGTGTATGATAACAACAAAAGTCAGTAGTCTCTTTGTGATTTTTTCTGCTCTTGTAAAGCACGTTTTGGTCGTCCAATGACTTTTTACCATAATGAGGCTCCGGTTATGGGGTTTTGTACACATTGGGCTGCTTTCTGCGCGACTTGGCCTCTTGCAATAGATCCTAAATGTCTTGCATCCGACAAGAAAGCCGTTCATCCTAAGTAAACCGGAATATATTATTCATATGAGCTTAGTTACGTCGCTTAGTGATATTATGGGCTTTGTTTTACACCTGGCTTGAATAGGGTCGTGGTAGTATATCATAATTGATTGTTTGGTTTATAATGTATGCAGTTGCTACTTACAAGATATCAAATGAGATGATTTATCACATAAAGCATCTCTCGTAGTAATCTGCAAATCTACAAGGCGACTTTTCAACTGCATCTTTGACTATTTATTACAGGAAGTAACAAAGATACTTAATGAGTAACGATCTCTGTCTGTAAGTATGATAGTGGTGAATTCTTGGTCGCCTCGGATAGCTTGCCATATGCAATTTGAATGTTCACTTGGGCATGCTTTCTGTATTGCGAGAATTTCTGACGTTTGTTATGCTTCTCCTTTTTTTCTTCTTCTAAAGCTTTTGTAAGCTCCTGGACCTCGGTATCTTGTATTTATCGATGTTGGTACAGTATTACTGTATTCTCTTGAGTTTCAGCATGGTCAGCCTGAACCACGTAAAGCAAAAAGAAGATTAACGCACTTTGATTTGACAACTGATTCTAAGGTACAATACAATGACCCCGTTTTCTATACCATATGGCTATGATAGAGTTAATCTAGTGACGATATACCTTAACGTTGGCCTTTTGTTGCTGCTGCTTCTGCTTAATCATCGGCGGTGTTCTGCTGCTGAATGTCAGGCGTTGCTGCCTGTTTATAATTATTTCTGCGTGTAACTTGTGGTTTCCATCTCCACACGCGTCGACCTCACTTTTCTTCGATATACAATATCTTTAGCTGCTGTTCCGTTTCTGTTTTTTCCATTCTTTCCTTTTCCAGCTCCTCTTCCAGCACATCGACGCGATTTCTGAAAGTAGAACTGTTGTCCATTTCCTTCGTAAAAAGATTGCTCGTCCTCGCCAATAACGCCTTGGCTCCCGCCAGTTGCTGCTTGCTATTGAGCGATTTCTGGGACGCCCCTTCACACTCCTGATATGCGCGTATTCAGACGAAGTGTTAGCTCTTGCTCGTCTAGTCCATTAGGTGACAAACCAATCGTTTGAGCAATAAGCGCTTTACAAATTACTGTTATCGCTGATGTTGTGTTCGGTAAACTTTTCTCTTTTTGCGTTTCTAATGTTGGCGGTTTTATTTTCGTCACTGACCAAAGTCGACGTTTCTGCCACAATATATTTTGGTTGTCTTGGATTAGTTTCGCGATCTCCTGTCGTGCGGTGTCAAGTTGCGTGGCCCTCAGCGAAATGGCGCTGTAACGTTTGGAGCTGTGAAATCACTATGCAGCTGCACTCTTTGAAGGATCTGTGCAGTATCACTTGACACCAAAAGTGGTGGCTATTGTTGTTGTTGGAGCCTGTCGTCACATTGTACGTTTTGCGTTGGATTTATGCTGTACTTATGCGTACTTGAGCCTATATGCATGAGTGTGTATAAAGAGAGAAAATAGGAGTGATGTGCAAAAAGGAAAGAGAGGAACACCTGGTCCGATCAGTAGTTTGACAGGTGCGCCGATAGAAAACGAAAAATACGACTGTGTACTGTGCATTTTCCCTCCCATTTATTTACCCAAGAAAAACTGTTCCTTCCCTTTTTCTAACCAACTTGAAGTGTAAAGAAGTGGGCTTCGTATAATCACATTTCTGGTACTTGTGGTTTATGTACATATCTTATTCTTGTCAAGAAGTACTGTTATTGTATGCCACACACGAGCAGGTTCAGCTAGGAAAGATTGATTCTCATTATTATATATAATGTTTACTTCCCTCTTTAACTACAAATGAATATGTAATGAAGTATAATAGTACACTGCAGGCTTTGGTGCTGCTGATGCTGATGCTGCTTGCGAGATAGCATGAATTACAGGAAATATAGCGTACTTTAGTTTTCAGAAAGCATACTGATTTAGAACTAGACTGTACGTTACATTGCATAGCCTAATGTACGGCTATCATATAAGCAACATAAAGTTTGTTAATTGCAACGAGTAAAGATTCGCAGAATGTCACTGGGCTGAGCGGAGCTTTGCCAGAATAAGCACGCTCGATAGCATTAGACAGTGGTTCGTTTAAAGCTAATCACGAATAAAGCTAACTATAACACAGGAGTGCTTTCGATCAATCCAGCTTTTGGTATGGCCTCAGAAAGATTTGATCTTTCTCAAAGTTCGCCCTTTACAATAATAGTACATAGGCTGCGCTATCACTAGTTGAGCGAATAAAGCGCATACAAACTAATCAAGACAAAAGAAGCATGATATTCCATGTCTAAATATGTGTCTCAAAAACGGAATTCATGTAGTGGTAAAGACATTTTTCTACTTGTGTTCTATCAACGTATACATGATAAAGAAATTGAAAATCTTCAGGTCGTTGTATGATACTTGAGGATCAAATATCAAAGTTTATAGCTTCTGAGAAGAGTTGCACATATGTGTCACGATCGCATTTTCCAGATCGCAGTCAATGTTGTATGATAGTAAATACATTGGTAAAAAGCATGCAGCGTGTCAATTTATTATTCTGACGTTGGTTGCTACTATATTAATAAATAATAGATAAAATAAGGAACACAAGGTCACCTCATATTTACCCTGCTTGTATCTCTCGGAAAGATCAAGGGTAAAAAGATGGAGGTATACGATCAATTGCCCTGAAAATGGCAAAGCTTCATATGATACGCCCACCTGGCAATATGAAACATACAGAAATTTGTATTAAAATTTTAGTGCATTAGCTCTTCTCTTCTTAAGTTTATGTAGTAGTAAGAGGATAAATGAAGCTCAATGAAGCACCACCATTCCATGTATTAGAAAAGTGAAATAAAAATGGTTAGAGCCATTTTTTTATCTCATATTTAATAACATAACAGAAATGATGTAGTGTGAAAAAAAGAAAAGGCAAACAATGGTGCCATCAGCATGTTGATATTGATGCAGCGAGGGCGATCTTCACCTTATATTGTGCTCTAGTAGTGAGGAGAAGGCGTTGATGAATGACTCTCGGCACCACACCAATAAAGTTGAGGCGGGTTGTTGTCCCCTTCTGGTCTGAAGAAAAGGGGTTGTAGATTACCATCCATCTTTTTCTTCTTTCTTTCTTTCTCTCCTTTCATCTATTTTTGCTTACGATTTTACTCTTTTCTTCTGTTTCAGGAGTGTAATTTAATAAATCAAGCTATGAAGTTATCGACCGTCTTACGCTATGCCATCACTATTTTCTTCATCCTACATTGTGTAGAAGCACAGTTATTAGGCATCGGTGGTGGAGGTAAAGAGCAGCACAGTAGCGATTCAGCATCACCTTCGCAACATCAACCGGCAACTTCATCGGCAGCTCCTGCACCTACTAATAGCGACAAGAATCCAGCACCCAGTATAAGCGCTACTCCTACCGCAAGTCAACAACCACATCAAAGCAATAAGCCAACGCCTCCCGCACAGCAAACAGACTCAGAATCATCACCTTCTGATGGAAGCACACCAACAAAGGGCAGTGGAAACGGAAGTGGTGATGGTACCGGAAGCAATGGACAGGCTGCAGAGGACACCAGTAATGGTACTACAGGGCCAAATTCATCATCATCATCATCTGGCCAAGAGCAACAGCAGCAATCTCCAGGAAGTGGAGATGGTAATAACATGAATAAAACTGCGGTTATTGCTGGATCCGTAGCAGGTGGCATCGGTAAGTGCTGGAATGTGTGAGTTGGTGAGTTGGCTGATCGGTGGGGTGATCTGATCATAACCCGCATATGTATTTCTACGCTAAATTCATTAATAAAATCTATGTATCAAGTTTGTATGGCTCTCTTGGCAGGGTGCATCGCCTGTATGTGTCGACGCGGAGGGTACACACGCCGAGAACGACGACGGAATAAGGATGAGTACACAGCACAGCCTGAAGACTTTTCAATGGACATGAGCGAAACTGGTGCTGGAGGAAGTGCTTATGCACGTCGGTTTGTACCTCCTACAGGTCCAACAAGTGGAGGTTACATGAATTTACAAGACCAATCACAACAACAGCAGCAACAACAACAACAACAGCAACACCACGATGTACAGTACTACCACGATCCACAGCAACACGATGTACAGTATTACCAAGACCCACAGCAGCAACAACAGCACCATCCTGGCGCACAATACTACCATGCCCAGCTCAGCCAACCGCCCCCTGCAACGGTCTGGACTTCAGGAGCAGCAAAACCAGATGCTGTCGAGTATAAACCTAACGAAGTTTAAAGAACTCCTTGTTCATTTTCTCATTCCGCCCGCTACCTATTTTTGTGTTTGCGTGTGCAATTTATTATTATATATACTCATATACTATTAGCAAACCAATCCCCCACTATTCATATTTACATAGCATCCATTTCATTTCTTTTGAATACGTGTCATCCATTGTCACCATCAATATTACTTTATTTCTCTACGTTGCATCGCTAGTTTCACTAGTATCATTGCTATCATTGTCTTCTTCTGGGCTGCTTGCATTCGCTGCATTACCCATATCTACATCCTTTAATACAAGTACGAGAGGGACATGATCACTAGCTCCATATGCTATTTGACGGATCTCACTTTCAACGACTTTGTCCATAAGATCAGGGGTCACCACAAAATAATCCAGTCGCCAACCGATCAACTTGCTGCGGCACTGGAATCGATACGAGTAATAAGTATAATGCCCTTCTGTTTCAGGATGAAAATGGCGCCAAGTGTCGATCAACCCGGGCAAATCGTTTCCGTCCGTAGATGTAGCAAGTACTCTGTCAAAGTCTGCACGCTCTTCCACTGTAAATCCTGCGGATCTACACACACGCACATGCACACCATGGATTTTGTATTGATCAATCATCGTCTTGTATTCACTTATCTTGAGAGACGGCAAAAGGAAAAAATAAGACCGGGTTACTACTGGATACTAACCTTGTATTGGTATCAGGCCGTGCAATATCTTTACGCGTATGTGCCACGTTCAAATCACTAATCGATGATCCATGAAAGTTGAGGTTATTCATTTGCACTTTCCATTTTTTAATATGATCAGCGTATGAGTGCGCATACCAACAATAGAAAAGAAGCTTACCCAGCCCAGATCACAGCACGCCCTTCTTTTTGAAGGGAGCGCAAGAATTTTTCCATGTGTTGATTAAATACTTTACGTCGCTCAAGATTTTTGAGTTTGTCACCAGAGTTAGGAACATAGCAAGCAACTAGCGTGAAAGCTGGGAAATACAAGGTAATAACGCGTCCACGCGAGCCTTCATCATAGTCTGGCAAGCCTCTTTCCACCTTTTCTGGCTTATACTTGGAGAACACAGCCACGCCAGCTATACGTGGAGATAAAGTGATATTTAGGAGGGAAGCGAAAAAAGAAGTCGAAAGAGATTAAACGCGTGTCTTACAAAGACCAAAAGAAACTATGGACTTACAATAACCCTTTTTATCATCAAAGGCCCAATAACGATACTTATAGACCTTGTCGTCGACAGCAGTTGACACAGGCTGATTCACCTTTGTTTCTTGTAAGAAGATAATATCCGCATTCTCGGCTGCAACGTAATTTTTAAAGCCTTTTTTGATACTGCTGTTCAAACCGCCGACATTGAACGATGCCAGCTTGATCGATCCTTCGGGTGCTTTTGGAAATGTCATGTCCTCAGGAAGCGTTACGTTTCTAGGAAGCGTGGGATCAAAAGGTTCCCAAGTTTTCTTCTTTTTTGCAGGCTTGACGGGTGCATTAGAATTCTTTCTCTTTGGTGGCATTGTGGTTATGGCAACGGTAGGAAGACGGAGAAAGTGTGGTTGTGATGGCTTTCGCACTAGGCGTGTCAAACTCCAATAAAGTAGCGGAGTCCTAGTGTACATCCTTTTTTATATTTTTTTGCCAGCAGAAAGAGAGAGGGAATTTACCTTTCCACTCTTTTGGCTTCCCTTAAATATGGCATCTCGTTCGAATCAGCACCGACCTACTGTACAAGCAAGACGTTATCGAGCTGGTCAAGTGCCAGAAAATTACGTCGATGACCTTTCAGACAGTGAAGAAGAGGAGGAACAACAACAACAGCTAGAACAAGAAAAGAAACGACAGCAAGAATTACAACGTGAATCCAAACGAAAGCACCAACAACAGCAACAACAATTACAGTTTGCACAAAAAGAAGTTGTTACTGGTCTCGAACAAGTTGAAATTTCAGAAAAAGATGCAGCATCCGATCGACGTTTACGACGATTACGGCAAGCACAGCAACAGGAATCGGTAGCAGTAGAACGAGACGATTCGGGTCGACGAAGGAGACGCTTTGTCCAAGAAGAAGAAACAGAAACACAGAAAGAAGAGGAAGAAGAGGTCGAGGAAGAAGAAAGAGCGAGAGAACGATTACGCATGAAGCAAAAGGCTTTACAGTTACAACAGCAACGAGAAGAGGAAGAGGAGGAGGAAGAAGAAGAAGAGGAAGAAGAGGTACCTCAATAATATATACGAAAGCTAACTCCTCTAGAATGTTAGATCGTCTAAACCTTTCAAATTTGAACGATTTTGTTAGAGCTCAAGCGAGTATGAAACAGATAGTGAAGAAAGCGAAGACGAAATCCAAAAAATGCCCAAACCTATGTTTATACCAAAGTATAAAGATTTTTTTCTCCCTTATTTAAATGTACTCTTTAGTATTCATTCGCAAGTGATTGACCTAGCGAATTTTCTTTCTAACTATCTAGAGCACATCGAGAAACAGTACTTCAGCAGGAACAGCGACAACGAGAAGAAGAAGAACGTGAACAAAAATACCAAGAAGAACTCGAAAAACGAAAATTACAGTCGCACAATATGCTTGCAGACGAATTAAAGCGCGAAAAGGAAGCAGGTAAGAGCCATTTGTCTCTCCCTTTTTTTAGTCATAATATCCTAAACACTCGACTCATTTTTTTGTCGTTTTTTATCATTGCAGCGTTGGAAAAGGACTTGTCTACTCAAGATGATACTGTGGATGATACGGATTATGGAGATCAGGCCGAATTCGATGCCTGGAAAGTCCGTGAACTCAAGCGTATCAAACGAGACCGAGAGAAGCGCATTGCGTATGTATTTTATACTGTGATCACATGTCTTAAAAAAAGCTCTTTATGCTAACAACCAACCTATTATAGTCGCGAACGTGAGCAGGAGGAGATTGAGCGTAGAAGAGAACTGCCAGAAGATGTACGGTTACAGATGGACATGGAGGAGGCCGAGAAGACACGACAGAAGGATCGTGGACAGCATACATACCTGCAAAAATATTATCATAAGGGTGCTTTCTATCAGGTATCGTATATTACTGAAAGATGAGAACGGGTGATCATCAGGGCATTATATACATATAACCCCCCCGCCCCCCAATAATGAACATGGATACTAAGCTTTTTTTTGGTTAATTTTTGTTATAGGATGAGGGAAGTGATGTCTTGAAACGCGATTATTCTGCACCTACAATAGATGAAGTACGAAACAAAGAAATATTACCCAAGGTTATGCAAGTCAAGAATTTTGGTTTGGCAGGTCGTACCAAATGGACCCATTTGACAGCCGAAGACACGTCTTCACGAGATGATCCTTGGAACAATCCAGGTGCATCAAAACGACGGAAACGAAACCATGAGTAAACTCGGAATAGTAGTAGCTCTTTTTTTTTTTGAAGAAAAAAAAAAGAATAAATAGTGTTGAGTGTGCGTGGGCTCGTGTAGCTCTGTTGAACACCAGTAGTTGTCGATTTGGGTGTGGCTGCCCATGTCATCTGTTGCGCACGCGGGTTCGTTTACTAACATTCATAGGAATACATGATTCATCTACATATTCTAGAACAGCATTTACCATTAAAAGCGTTATCCATCTATGCTATACTATTCTTTCAAGTGAAAAAAAGAGCTGTAACATACATCCAAAGAAACACTTTGTAAATCATACATTACAGTATACACCTAAAGTATACAAGTTATCAATCTTTGATTAAAGGCAAAATTGAGCTTAGTATGTGAGCTAAAATGTATGCAATTCATATATATTTTGCGGTGCTTCTTGTTTTGTGGCGTATACTATGTGCAGAAACTTCGTGTGTATGTGTGTGTGTGGTGGTAGGTAGGGAGAGGACCTTGTTGGATTTGGTATGTTGTATATAGATATATTTGTTTGGTGTGTGACGTATATATAGATAAAGTGAGTGTGGGAGATGGATAATATATCTACCAAAATGCTTGTTCTGCTGCGACCTCCTTCTGTTTACTAGTACTAGAATCATTATTGTTACTGTTGCAATTAGATATTGTCGTTACAGTATCCAATGTTGGCGGCGCTGCCATGGCTTGAGATGCCCCAACAAATGCAGCGGTGGGAGATGCACCATATTTTGGCGAATTGGATATATTTTTAGTAACAGAGGCGGTCGATGTGGATGGGGACGGAGCGACGGGTGGTGATGCGTTATTTACGATAGGTTGCAAAGTGAGATGGTTGCTTCCGTGTTGTTCATGTTCGTCGACTGAAACAGCAGCAGCAGCAGTGAGTGGACTTTTTATAGACCCATTGAGACTTGAAGTGCGTTGGTGGTTAGGACCCTTCGAATGATGACTCGTGGTTGAAGAAGTGGTACTAGCAGGAGCAGGCGCAGAAGACACAGTTTGTTGTTCAGGAGTGATACGGTGCCGTAATAGCCGCGATCTTCGTTTGCTCTTGTTGTTGCTGTTAGTCGCTTCTGTTGGATCGCCACCTGGTTGGTTTGCGTATGATGATATTGATAATACAGACATGGATGTTGGACCGGATGATATGGAGGTGGTAAGGATGGCTTGAATGAAATAGTGAATATTGGGAAGCGTGTAACGGAGATCAATGACAATTAAGCCGTAGGCATTCATTAACTAAAGATACATCAATTTGAAGGCCTACTTAGTATATTTTTCCTCCACACACATATATATATACACACACACACACACCAAAACATCTGTTACTATCAGTGCTAGCGCATTCAAGAACGACGGTTCTTACCTGTTCAATGTTCTTATTGAGTAAAAACACACCGAATTCGAATCGGTAGCGATCGACGCCTTTTGCATAAAGTGGAAACCTGGCGATCATTTTGTTGAGTAAGTATACACGCAAAACTGACAGATAATTGTGGATGATAGAGATACATACTCTGTGGGCCCGCTAATCGACGATACGGGATCCTTGATGGAAGCTCTGGAACCCATGGGCCGAATAGGATATCTCAAAGGAATATCAAGGTAAAATGCCAACATGGAAACAAGATGTGCCGTAAATCCTAATGCGGTTGCGATCGACTCGTCGTTACATCCGGTGTAAACGGAATTGGGTAGGTATATGTCCCGTATACAAAACTGATGCATATCATCGAACGACTTGTTTTTTTATATATAATCAACCAAGGAAATATATGCGATACCCAAAGAGGGAAATGGGAAATAGTAGCAGAATTCAAAAGAAAGGATTTGTTTTTTTCTTACCTGTTCAATGGGGTATATGGAAAATAAATCGGCTACAAGCTCCTTTTTGCGACGATTCAATTGATGGAAAAGGCGTTCGTGTGTTTGTATACTGCGTTCAAGTAATTGTTCATTATCCGCCAAGTCCTCTTTTTCGGCTTCAAGACACTCGTGGGACTTGCTTAGTTCAGATTTGCGCTTAGCTAGCAAATCTCGTAGATGGGCTATCCGTTGGCGTCCTAAAGATTATACGATAATTAACACCAAGAGGGTAATTTAGTATTGTTGTATTATATTTACCTTTGCGAATACCAATTTTTTCTTTGACAAGCTCAGCTTCTATCCCTTCCAATTTACATTGTCGTTGGTCACGTTCCCGTGCCTGTCATCAAGAATGAGTTAAGATCTGTTCACAAAGTAACGGATATATAATAGGACAATAGGGGTCCTTTCTATCAAGTTCTTACCAGACGAAACCGATTATCTTCTTTGATTAAAATATCACTTATATTTTGTCGTACTTGTTCGGCAGACTTTTGGGTATCGAATATACATTGTTTTAAGGTATTAACCCTAGAAGTTTGAAAAGTTAATGGCTTTTGTTATCATGCATCAGGTCTCCCTTTTACCCCGAGCATTCGATGAGAACATACTTGAGAAGGTTGTCTAGACTATACGATCGCTTAGACTAATAAAGAAATATATGTATCAATGAGATGTTCGACACACGTATCATATATACATAAGCCACTAATGTAAAAGAATTGCAGGAGGTCTTTTACTTTGTTGACCGAATGCTCAGTATCGATGCTTGCTTGATCATTCTCTCCGTATGGATCAATCAAACTCGATCTTTTGCTTTGTATAATTAGTTTTGACTAATGGGAAAAATAAAGAAGCAGTTTCAAGTCAGTGTAAGGCGAAACAAAAGAGACTGCATATACGTCTGCATCAAACATGCATAAGGAGAAAAAGACAACTTTACCACAATATCTGGCGCAGTGTAGAACCCATCCTCAAACTCGAGTAAAAGCGTGTTCTCCGTAAATGAAGAGGGTGGATCTTGCAGCTAGAACATTTTACAAGTTTATGCCAATTAACTTTACCTTTCCAGTAGAATAACAGCAGACGCAATAAATTTAAAAGAAATAAAAGATTTCATGTATACCGTCTTGCCAACAAATGCTAATGCATTTAAATCGACCTGCCACTCGAGCAAAAGCTGATACTCTTCAGTCGGTTGCGACGGTCGTCTCAGTTTCATCGCCGCCGTCGTTGAAGCTGAAGAAGTATGGTGATGATGATGATCTTCCGAAGCAGAAGGACGCACTGCTGTTGCTGATTCGGGAAACGAGTGGCGCGCCCACAAACGGATCACAATCTCTGTCTGTACGCCATCATACCACGACGACCATTGCGACGAGTCCAATGCCCGGAACGACGGGTTAACGGTATTGGGTATTGTCTCACTTTTGAAAAATGCAGCTTCGTCGGTACTCAAATGGAGCGTCAAGTTGACATCCAATAACCCACGCTCAACGTCCCGATCACGCGAATACTGGCGTTGTGGCTGCTTTAAAACGTGTTGTCGTGCTGCTGGTCGTTTTAAACGGGATGTTTTGTATGCACTTTTGGTGAGTGACGAATCTTCCACAGTCGTGCTGTTGGATGAGCGAAGTGATGACGCGCTTTCTGAGCGTCGCATATCCGCAGTGTGATGGTGGTGGTTGTGGTGCTGCTGCTGGTTTAAAAGTGTGCTGGAAACAGTCGTTACAGGATGCGGTGCTTCTAAACTAGGCGAGTGAGCTGCAGCCGGGTAATCTGTTGTAGGGGACGATCCCGTACGTCTGTGTAAAACAGTTGATTTAGACCGTTGTTGCTGAGGGGGGTGCTGATCCCATGGCTGCGATGGAGAAGGAGATGACGCTCGAGACGTTACTGCACTACTGCTTAAACTCGACCCTCGACTGTTGATATAAAAGCCCGAGAGACCCAGCATGTCGCCGTTTTCAGCCGTCGTTTTACTATTGACTTCATGGTCACCATTACCACACCATACGATGTTTCGGCCGACAATGGTCTGCATGTGTCGTATACGACGCTATCATTGGTATGATAGTAAGTAAACCCTTATGCTCTTTTTCAAATCGTTTTCCAAGTTATAGGAATCTTTTTTTTTTGCTACTTTATATTAAACTATATATATATCGTTCAATACGATACCTGTCTCGGACTAGCTATTGGCCTGCTTTCAGTCATTGGTATAACATGCGCCAGATCTTCTTTTAAATTTGTCAAAGGAAAAGTGTTAGAAAAAAAAAAGAAGGGCCAAGTGTCGATGCAGTAAAAGGAAAGGTTTCGGAACGCGAATACGGTCTGCGCTTTTCTTGTGTAATGTCAAGTATGAATTCGAGCATCGAGAAAGCAGCGGGGTGGGGTTTTGATTTTTTCATTTCACTGCTATGCAACTTGCTATTTTCATATACTGAAACGGTTGCCCTCCTCTTTGGGTTCTATGATAGGATTGAGGCGGTTGTATTACTTATTACTTATTGCAAGCAAGAAAGGGGCCACTGCTGATATCAATCATCATAGTACATAGTTATATTTGTTGCTAATAGTCACCAGCGGGACAACGACAAAAATCAGCGTGCTCTATGAAAGGTGCACATATCATAGGATACACTATACGAAAAAAAAGTAGCTTTGAAGGATATGTATGTGCGCTATCGTTGAAACCCGGGAGTTCAATTGTTTATGGAGAAGGAGACACGATAGGCGATGATACATTACTTGTAAGAAGACATCATGTTTCAGTTATTGTTGACAAGCAGTTGTTTATTGAACTTCACATTCTGTATATATCGCTTGTGATATAAATGGCAATCTCATTATATGCTTGAGACATAGGGGTACACTGATTAAACCATACACTAGCTCAAACTGCTATCCTACTCTGTATACAGTTAATGCCATAGGAAAAGAAAGACATGCAGTGATATATATTGGAGCTGTGTCATGCAGTCACATGCTTCTTGTATAGCTGTATCACTTTTACAAGTGCCTCAATGAACCTAGCAGAATGTCCGTGTATGTGCACTATTAGGAAATAAAGTGGAAATGCAAAAAAGATGTGCCCCAGACGAGTTTCACGATACAGAGTCGTACAGAAGAAGCACATGTCGTGGCTGCTGTTGCCACACAGTTTCTCGGATTTACCAGGTCAGGGAAACAGCGATTTTAGTGAAAGCTTTATACATACTTACATAAACCAGCAGTTACATATATATTACCAGAACGAAAGTTCCCGTTCTCATCTCCTCCTATAATAGATAAAGTAACTTCCTATCAAAGTTGCAGATCCTCTCTATAAACAGAATACATATGCAAAGATGTGGAGTGTATTGTAGCTTTGAATGAGAATGTGTGCATTTGTGTCATAGCACACGCATCGAACCCTTCCGTTGTGTTGTTATGCACTGTACAGCAGCAAAAAGAGCTAGAATTGCACCCAACAGAAAAAAGGATACTGTAGCAAATAGGAGGAGGAACGATAGAAAGAAATAAGGTTTAAATCGAGTCGACGTGAACATAGTATCCTCATTTTGATCAATGACCCGAGCCGTATTCCGCGCACACCCTTCATGCTGACGACCGAAGCGTTGTTAACGAATGCCTGGGGACGATAATGCGCACTAAGAACAACAACGATGTCCCGACGCCCACGGGTACATGTAAGAAAGCCTTGTTGATCCGGGTCCCTTTTGTTGCCTGTGAGTTTGTACGATGACTCGCGTGCGCAGAAAACGGCACCAATCCTATTTTCTTATTAGAGGTGCGTGATGTGGTTGTACCATGTCAAGTGGATCGTTCGATTAAAACAAAATCATTATAACTGAATGTACTACTACCAAGTTGCTGATAGATAGAAACAACATCTCCATCACCAAGAGCACGATAAGCTCGATTGTAGCTACTATTTCCTTAGCCATGAGCGTTGTATGGCGGTAATGGGAGGCAGGGAGAGGAAAGGGATGAGATAGCAGTGATACCTCTTCTGGAGATTTCTCGCACCATTCCGGGTTGTATGCAATGGCCTAATAGCGTAAGCGTGCTTGATCTGTTACCCAAAAAATGCCTTTTTGAGAGGACGCTACCGTGTACACGCGTAGTACGACCCAAAGAAAGAGAAAGAGCATGAAAACGCGATAAAATACCTGAGAAAGACAAATGAACGTAAAATAGCAAAATTGATATACGTGTTGACCCCGGATGCTGCACCATACACACACACACACACACACACAAAACAGACGTGCATGCTGTACGGCAGCAATTGACAAGCGACTGGCTTGACCGAAAGCCGAGAACAGAAAAGCGAGAGGGAGTGCGTGTGTGTGCAAATAAAAAAAGAAAAAGAAAAGGGCGGGTGATTGAAAATAATCGACACGCGCTCTCTCCAATCTGACCACTTTCTTTCGCTCTACCTCTCTCTCTCTCTCTCTCTGTGTGTGTGTCTATCGTACACTACGCACACTAAACCCACCCTTTTTATCTCTCTCGCTCACTCTCTCAGCCTTCTTTACCCCCTCAACAACAAGAAAAAGAAATCTCATTATACAACACACTCCAGCAAACAACAATGGCGCAAGACGAGAGGATCGCCTACTACGCAACGCTTTGTGAACAGCTTTACAACCCAAAGTCATCTGCTGAGCGTGACCAGGTCCAAAAGATGCTCGAATACAGCTTCCCCACATTTGCCGGCGAAGCAGGAAGTGGCATTGCTGCACCACAGCAACAGCCGCCTCCACCGGGCTTGGAGAACGCTCCCACGTTTGCCATTGTCACGCCTACCGACACGGCATCCGCCCTACGTGTCCTTTTAGAAAATTCACCCAATCCTCTTGTCCAGACATTCTGTCTTTCTCGTCTCAAGCAGCTCATCCTTGCTCAGTTTACCATATTCGAAAGCGGCACAAAACTCCAGCTTCGTAAGCTCTTTTTCTTCATTCTCTTTCATATAAAGACAAACCTTCCCAAAAAAAAAAAAAAAAACTTTGTTGTTTCGGGTTTGTATTACTAACTGAATGTCAGGTACGTTTCTATTGGAGTATTGCTTTATGCATCCCGATCTCCAACCATTTGTGATTGCGCAGCTGGCTGGCGTGTTGGCTTCACTGACGCGGTTAGGGTGGGCGGACATGGTGGAGTATCGCAACATCCACAAGGATATCCAACAATTCTTGCAGGTAAATGTTGGAACAAACATAACGGGTATCTTATTCCCAGGGTGTGAGGTGTGCTGTAATATGAGCTGACGTGGCAACAACAACTCTGTTTTCTTTTTCACCCATCCAGGCAACCATGGATCATCGGATTGTCGGCCTACAAATGCTTGCTGTTCTTATCCAGGATATTCAAACCTCGGGCACAAACACGCCAGTCAGATCAGCACAGTTCAGAAAGGCTGGTAAAGGATTTCCCCAATTTGCCTTTTCTTTTTTATTGTATAACTTGCTGTATACTCATCATTAGAAATATCTTTTTTATTTTTCGCGCGGGGGTTGTGGCCCGGTGGGGGATTGACGACTTGCAGCTGCGGCGTTTCGCGATTCGCAACTCTTTGACATCTTTGAAACATCCTTTGAGACGCTCTCTGGATTATTACAGCGAAATATACCATTCGATAAACGTCAGTTGAGCTCTTTTCTTCACTTATTATCCACATGGAATGTGTATACATATTTATTGACAATATCTCCATGCGAATTAACAATTATAGCTGGACAAGAAGAGCGACTAAAGGATGCAGTGATTGGTGTGCTTCTCAAATGTCTATCCTATGACTTTGCCGGTACAAATCTGGACGATGCTGGCGAAGACTTTGGCGTAGTGCAGGTAATAAGGATAACAATAGTAGTTGCAATGACTGTGTAAGTAAGAGCATGTTCTCTCATCATCCCTTTCTCTTTCCAGATTCCTGCTTCTTGGCGCTCAGTATTTGAAGATGAGAATTTTGTACCCACTCTGTTCAATGCGTATCGAGAATTACAGCCACCGCTATCATCAAAGGTAACATTACAAATTTGGGAGGGGAGATACCCAACACTTGTTTTCAAAGTAAAGAGATAAACGCTGGACTGACCGGAACTGCGTTGTAAACACAAAAAGGTGATGGAATGCTTAGTGTTGGTAGCATCCGTTCGAAAAGCATTATTCAGTGGTGACGCGGAACGATCCAAGTTTGTGCTGAGCATCATGCAGGGTGTGCGCGACATTATCTTTACGGGCCAGGGGATGAATGATACTAGCAATTACAACGAGTTCTGTCGTCTGTTGTACAGATTCCGAGCAACAGCACCATTGAATGAGATGGCTGAAAAACCAGGCTATGTCGACTGGATCTCTCTTATAGCCGACTTTTCGATCAAAGCAGTACAATCATGGAAGGTAAAGAAGAGAGAGAAAGGACGGAAATAGGTATTTGTAGTAGTGGTTGGTGGTAATAGTAACTTGCAATGCATTGTTTAAACGTTCTAGTGGGCTCCGGAAACAACACATTATTTACTCGCATTCTGGTCTCGAATCCTCCAAAGCATGACGCATTACCAGCAGCTCAATGACGTGCTGGTCCAAAAGATCAAAAGCATCACTGTAGAGGTATTCTATGGCTCTGTTAACCAAAGACAAACTATACTATAGATACTCACATCAACTTTTATGGATGAATTAGCTGTCACGTACTTATATTACCACAAATGTTGAGTCGGTACCAACACGGATGGAAGAGATGCTGGATGGTAAAGATCGACAAGGGAGTGGGAAAAAACAAAAGCTGCAGCGCAAGCTGTATAGAGTGGATTCAAGCGATTGACTTGAGCATTTATTCAATCTAGATCCGTTGGAGAGCGAAGAGGCACTGGTAGAAACATTGGTGATGCTCGGTCAGATTGCCCGTTGCAAGTATGAAGAATCAAGTACGGCGCTGGTTGCGATCTTTGATCCCATTGCAGTGCAATATCAGGTAAAAGATAGGGACCACTCATTGCTTTACGCGCTTTCTGTGCATGTAAGTTTTTTGCTAATATGTAACCTACTCTCAATTGGCGTCTTAGGAACTTATTACACAAGCAAGATCAGGCATGGCAGGCGGGGATTCGTTTAAAGAAGCACTCGAAGTGATTGAGACCAAGTTTGCGTGGCTAGTATACATATCTGCTGCTTTTATCGGCACTCGTCCGGTAAGAAAAATTAAGTGTGTGCGAAAGAGATACGTATCATGGTAGAGAGTATCTCTCCTTTGCTGATGACCGTCATTTTAGGCTTTCCTAAGCTCAGAAGAACTGGATGCGATCGACGGACAACTGACTACAAAGGTGCTTCAACTCATGGATGTAAACCAAGCCTTACAGAATCAGCATGGAAGTGCTTTCTTGAACCAAAAACTGGATATGGCCTTTGTTTACTTTTTCATGCAGTTCCGAAAAGCGTACATTGGCGAGACGAACGGCAAATCGGTAAGCTCCTTTTCTCTGGGGTTTGTTGTTACACTGCATCGTTCGAGTATGTATTAATGCTGATGTGCATAGGTATATACCAAACTAGCGGAACTGTTTGGAATCAGCGATCAAATCTTGATGCTTGATGTCATCATGCGAAAAATGTAAGGTGTCAAAAGTATCAGCTCTGCATACATTGGATAACCAAGTTGTTCATTGCTTTTATAAAGTGTAAGCAACCTGCAATGCTGGGGACATAGCGAGGTTGTAATAAGGAGAACATTAGAGCTGTTTAATGAGCTTGCAACCGGGTAAGAGTCATGAAAAAAGAAGGGGGGCACCACTAGAAGAAGCCATGTACTGTATACATGTCTATGCTCATTGATTACCAAAAAAAAAAAACCCAGGTACAGTGCAGTAAAGAACCTGCGCAAAATTGAAACCACGCGGCTGATTATGCAGAACCACATGTCGAGCGAATTTGCATTTTTCGAAAGTTCCAAGCACCAGCAGAACCGGATGCTGTACTACCAAGTGCTCTGCAAGGTGCTGTTCAGCGAAGACAACAACGAGCGGGAGTTCCATGCGTTCATGAAACCATTTGAGCTGCGACTGCAGCCGATCGAGACGTTGGACAGTGTGGAGGCGTTCCGGCAAGAGCCGGTCCGGCGGGCGCTTTCAGACATATTCCGTGATCTGCGCGGCTTCATCCAGCCTATCCAGAACCGCCGACACTATCTCATGTTCTTTGACTGGTTCTATCCTGACTACATGCCGATCCTGCTGCGCGCCCTCGAGGCTTGGTCGCCTGACCCGTCAGCCAACACGCTGCTCAAGTTCTTTGCCGACTTTTGCTTCAACCGCAGTCAGCGCCTCAACTTTCCGATCTCGTCGCCCAACAGCATCCTTGTCTTCCGCGACACAAGCCGAGTGATTTCCACGTATGGTAGACATATTTCTGAGCGGCAGGTGACGAATGAAAGTGACAAATACCCATTCAAGTAAGTCTTCATATCCGTGTGTCGAACTAGTGGTAGCAAAGGAGGGGGGCAGTTGCTAAGGTTGCACTCTTTTCCAGATACAAGGGCATATCCATCTGCTTCAACATCCTGTCGCGATGTCTCGGCGGGCGATACATCAACTTTGGCGTGTTTTGGCTATATCAAGATAAAGCGATCGACGAAGCGTTCCACATGATGTTCCAGCTGATGCTGAGCATCCCACTGAATGACCTCATGGTAATTGATCATAACAGTAACAGATTGTGGATGACTCCCCACCCCCACCCACACACCCAAAGCACACTCCCTCCGTATTCAACAGTGAGATTGCTCTAGGGATTCCCAAAATTGGCACGCGCCTTTGTCACCTTGCTGGACGACTTTACCCAAGAACAGCTTACAGCACTTCCTACGCTTGAGCCGAGCACGTTCCTATACCTCATGCAAGCATGTGAGCTTGCGGTCGAGTCCACCGAAAGCTTTATCCTGTCGCATGCCAGTGCGGCAATCAACAACATCTGTACATTTGTAGCTCAGGAGACGGAGAAAAACGAAATACGCAAATCGATCAACAGCGTCGTGGGCAGCGGTGGTGAAGAGTCACCCTCTGCTACTGCTGCTGCTGCTGCTGCCGGTGCCTCTTCTGAACGCCGACGCTCGTCCAACAGTTCAAAGCAAGCACCTGCAACACATTGGCTGATGACGTATTTGGCGCAATTCCCTAACATTCTTCCGTCGCTGCTCGTCACGATCCTCAACCTCGTGTTGTTTGATGATACGCAGGACCAATGGACGTTATCACGGCCTCTCTATGTGCTGATGCTATTACAAAAGGAGGTAAACAAAGAATCTTTGCTGAGTGTTCTGGAAGGTTGCTAAAGAATCAAGGTGTGTGTGTGTGTGTGTATTTGTTAGTATGCGGTTGAATACACGAGCCAGGTTATCAGTCAGCAATTACCGGAACGTCGGGAATTTGTTGCCAAGGTCAGAACTGTTTTGTGTGACGGAAGCAAGGGTGAATCCCAAAAAGAGAGAGGTGATTCCAATGGGTTGTTGTTGAAAGAGGGAGACAAACTTAAAAAAAGGTTTTTACAAATATAGGCACTGAATACCATGACCGAGGGCATCGATTGGACCCTTGCAGTCAAAGATCGTGAGCGATTTTCACAAAACGTCTCTGCATTCCGTCGGGAGTTGAACATGAGCAACGTTGTGCTGGTGCCAGTTCCCCTGAATCGATCCATGATCACGAGTCCAACAGCAGCACAAGTGGCAGCAGCAGCACAAGCAGCAGCAATGGCAGCAGGGAGTTCTGTTAATGCGCCTGTGATTGCCTCCTACTGAAAATATATAAGCGTGGGGAGTCTAAACCAAAAAGAATAAAAATCCAAAAACAAAAAAAAAAAAAAAGCACAATAAAGCTGCGTAACTACATTGAGTCGGAAGCAGTGTTCCGCTTATGTGGTTGTGTAACGTTACTTTTTTTTTTTTTTTTTGGCTTGGTTGCTAAGGGGGAGGGAGTTACATGCATATGTTCCCGAGTAACCAGTACCCTCCCCCCCCCCAAAGAAATTCTTTTCGTGCTAAGGTTTGTTTTTCCAAAGCAAAAACACACACTAGACTATTTTTGGTGATCACCGATAATTTGTGCTACTACGCATCCTTCAAGTAGGTGTACACTGATTACCACAACAGCAAAACATTAAAGTTACTACAAAATGATTATATATGTGCATGTTTATACAGAAAAAAATTAATTCTCTCTTCTCTCTCTCTTTCTTTTGGGGAAGAGCGTCATGTACAATTTAATAAAAAAAAAGGAGGGTAGAAGGGGTAGAAGGGGTGGTGGGGGGGGAGAGAAAGCAAACGGTTTTCTTCTTTTTGTTAAGCAGCTGATGGCGAGGATGTCTGCTGTTTGTGATCCACATCGTCAACAATGGGAGGAGGCCCACTGACTGCTTTGGGTGAATACGAGTCACGATGGATCGGCGATTTCTTGCCCACCGAATCGCTGCCACTGCTGCTACTACTGCTACTACTGCTACTGCTGCTGACACCGTTGGCTGCTGCTGCTGTTGCTGCTCCTCGTTGTGGGTCTTCGTTCGTTCCGCTACTGTGATGGTGATGGTGGTGTGCTGCTTGTGGATGGTGCTGATGGTGCTGATGATGATGTTGGTGAGGAAGAGGGGCAGCATGGTGCTGCTGCTGCTGCTGATGATGATGATGATGATGATGGTGATTTGAAAGAGGAGGAGGCGGAGGAGGTCCCCCACCAGCCTGTGGTGGAGGCGGAGGAAGCGTAGCAGCACCAGAAGATGGCGTCAGTGGTCCTTGTTGATGATGATGTTGATGATGATGTTGTTGTTGTGGTGGTGGTGGCAGTGATTGTTGATGATGATGATGATGTTGTTGTTGTTGTTGTTGTTGAGAAGTAGACGGGTGATGGTGATGGTGCGGATGAGGCGGTGATCGAGGTTCACTGGGTGATTGAGACGACTCATAATCCACAATCATTTGGGTGGACATCATGTTGGGCGAAGGCTGCTGACGACGCGGTCTTTTATCGGCTTCATGCGGATGCTGAAGATCCATGCTTGCCGACGCAGGACGCTTCTCTGGCACCTTTTGCGCAAGACTGATCAACGTACCTGCAGCATTCTCATCGCTTCTTCGGGCTGCTGGGTTTTCTGGAAAAGAAGGACGTCGCATAGGGTCACGCGGTGACGATGCTCTTAATGGTGGTGAATGTGTTGCTGCTGCTGCTGCTGCATGAGAAGGAGGAGGCGGCAACGTATGACCATTGCTACTAGGTCCAGGGGCAGCAGGATGGTTGTTGTTGTTGTTGTTGTTGTTGTTGTTATGCAACGGCTTTTTGTCTTCGGGATAGCCATAGTACGAAGACGAAGCATTGCTGCTACGCGACGGCGGGCGCATGGGTCTTGGCGATGGATGTGGCACTGGGGACCGAGCCATGGCAGGAGAAGCATCGTGTGGTGCTGCTGGTGGTTTCGATGGGCGCGAGGCATAGGGCGGTGGCGGGAGTGCAGGTCGATCTAAAATCGGCGGGTTCATTTGCACTCGCTCACCAGGCGTTGGTGCCCGTCCCAGTCCCCCAATGTCGGGAATCCGTACTTCTTCACCGCGTCCGTGTGATCCATGCGGCACAGGCGATCGTGCACGCTCGTTTGGCATTGGTAGATCCCGTGGAGGAGGCCATTGATCCTGGATAAAACATTGTTAGTAAAAAAGGAGTTTGTCCAGACTATGTAATTCCTCTAGTCATTACCACAGTGCTTCGTCGGTGCTGCTGCTCATAGGGTCTTGGCGTGCTTCCGGGATATCCAGTCGAAGGTGGAGGAGGAGGAGGACCGCCTTGGAGTGGAGCACCGACCAAAGGTGGCGGTGGAGGGTATTGGGCAGATTGGGATGGAGACGGAGGAGGAGGAGGATGATGGTGCGGGCCATTTTGGGAATATTGGTAAGGGTTGTTCACATCCTGAGGCACAGGGGTTGTAACAGATGCTCCATTGGCATTGCCGTTGCCTGCTGCTGCTGCTGCTGCTTGTGCTGAGCCTCCGTTGCCATTGCTAGTGCCGTTCGAGCTTGGTAGACCATGTGTCTTGCGCAACAGCTCCAGTCGCTGACGAATATGAGGGTTGTTTGGATCCAGCTCACTGGCACGCTGATACGCGTCCAATGCATCCTGGATCTGGTTGTTGCAGGACTCGTAGAGAGTGCCGAGATCGTACCACACTTCGCTGATGTAAGGGTTCAGACGGATGGCGCGGCTGTACGCATCCAATGCGTCGCGGTACTGGTTGATTTGGTAGTACAGGACACCGATCGAGCACCAGAAGGTCGGGTTGCGTGCATCGCGATAGACCGCCTGCTGATACGCTTCGTAGGCCTTGTTGTAGTTTTGTTCGGCCATGTAGCAGCGACCTAGCAGGTACCAGGACTGGGCGTCGTTGCTGTCGGCCTTGAGCGAGCGCGTCAGGTAGTTGACGGCCATGCTTTGGTTGGAGAAGGACGTGTTCTGTTGGTGGTACAGCCAGCCCAGTTGCTGCAGTACTTTGGCATGGTCGGGATTTTCACTCAGGACACGTTCATAGGCTTCCTTTGCGTTTTCGTACTAATGTGTTGAATACATCATTAGACATTCTATTTGTTGTTTGCAGTAAGCACTGCTACTACTACTACTACTACTACTAGTAGTACATCCTCCTCCCCCAAAAACCTCCTTTTTCCCCATGCATGTGCACTGGCCTGGACCTCTCGTTTTATCTTTTGAATTCAAAAAGAAGCTATTCTCTCTCTCTAGACAGTACATGCAATGCTTACCTCCTTTTGCTGCTCATACACATGGCCGGTTTGGAACCAAATGTCAATTTCGGTCAAAGGTCGAGGAGGATTTTGCAAAATGTACCGGAAACACTGCCACACAGAGCCCACCACAAGAATAATGAAAAAAAAAGAGTTTAGTATACATGTTCACGTTCAGTGATGAAGAAGAAGGACGATGATGACACTGTACACACCTGCAAACTGAGATCGTATTTCTGCTGCTGCTTGTAAATGATGCCCAAACGGAAATAGATTTCGTTTGCCTTTTCAAAATGCGGGTCCATTTTCATCACTGCCGAGAACGCCTCTTCTGCATGTTCAATGGAGCCATAGCGATCATACAGAATGCCGATGCCGTACCAAAGTTTTGGATCCTAGACATGCATGCTATTGTATGAGTAACCAACTATTGTGTGACGAAACCTACAAAACGACACCTACCTTTGGATTGGGCAGATGATAAAGCGCCTGCTGATATGCATGATATGCATCTTGTAAATTGTCCATCATCAGATAACAATGGCCCAATGCACTCCACGTTTCGCCATTATTTTCCTGAATCGCCAGTATGCGCTTAAAGTAATCTACAGCCTTAATAAAGACACAACACAGACAGACAGAGGGAGAAATCAGCACTGTTGCTCTTTGTCATTGTGACCACACGCATCAGAATTACCTTGCCAAACTGTTCACGGCCTCTGCAAAGAGATGCAATGTGGGAAAGGGCATTGATGGAGTAGGGATTGTGTCGCAGAGCATATTCGTAACAGCCCATGGCACGCTCCCAGTCTGACATCAACTCCGCCAAGCTGCCTATTAGACATAAGAAAAAAAAGAAATAAGTGTGGCGTCCCTTACACAAAGCAGCAGCACAAAGAGAGACTAAGCCAAATGCAGATTTTGGACACAAGATTAAAGTGTAATCCGGTCGTTACACATGCACTAACAACAGCAGCACCAGCAGCAGCAGCAGCAGCAACAACAGAAACAGTCCAAACAAAATAAAAGTGTTTGTGTGCTATGCCTTGGCTTGTCGTTGCTGCTGCTGCTGCTGCTGCTGTTGTTGTTAGCACATAGTAAGTAGTCAAATAGCAGTACTGCTAACTGGCTACTGACCACTTTCTTCTTCCTCCCCACCACCACCATCCCCCCCAAAAAAAAAACTTTTTTTTTTTCCTTCTCCTCCTCCCCCTTTCCCAGCCTTCGCCCTTGATCCTTCCAGCATACATAGTAGATGTGTATATACGCACATTGAGGGGGGGGAACATATCCTTTTTTCTACGCTATTTACAAGTCTAATCCCCACCCCCCCAACAAGCAGCAGACACACGCCCCCTTCTCTCTCTCTCTCTCTCTCTCTTCATCTCCCCCACCCCCCCCCCAATCTGAAAGGATAACGAAAATGATGATGACACGCCTCTCTTCTTCTGCTACAAGTTCTTATACGATCAGAATACAATACGCACCCAATGTAAGCCATGCCTGCTCGTTGACAGCCGTTAGCTTCTGGACAACTACGGGCTGCTGCTGCTGTTGCTGCTGATGTAGTTGTTGGGGTGTCGGTGGTTGTTGTTGTTGTTGTTGTTGTTGTTGCTGTTGTTGTTGTTGCGGTGTAGGTTGCGTGGTGGATGGAGGTGCTGGCGCTGCAGACATGTTGATTGCGACAGATGAATGAGATTCGAGATGACCCACTTGTTATACCTTTTGCTGAAGAGTGGAGGTGGTGGTGGTTATGGTAGCAGTAGAGTTGGAGAGAGACGAAGAAGAAGAAGAAGAAGAAGTGGTAGAAAGAGAGAAAGGCAAGCGGTGATGAAGTGAGAAAAAAAAAAAGTGGAAAAAGGAGAGAGAGAGAGAAAGAAGCAAAGAGAACGGGGAGAAAAGGGAAAAAAAAGAAAAAGAAACTGTTGAGTGAGTTCTTCTGTGTGTGTGTGTGATGTGGTCTTTGTTCGCCGCGCATTGGGGGTACACACACACACACACACACTGTGATTCTATGATGGTGGTGGTGATGATGAGTACGCTTATTATCACAGTCTCCATCCACAGGTATATAGTCTTTTTTTTCTTTTTCGGCTCAGTAACACTTGTGTAACCCGTCTTGGCTTGTTTTTTATTTTATTTTATGCAGGCTATTGTAAAAAAAAAAAATGATCAATCGTCATTGGAACACGTGAGATGCAAAGGGTAAACTAAAATACATACTTCGTTGGGTACATATTATTACATGAGCGCGGATTTCCGCTCTCCTCGTTTACTACTTTTTTACTTTGTGTGGCAGCACCATTCATTCCTTTTCCCGTTCTTCTTCTTCTTCTTCTTCAAAGCCGTCAATGATTCTTCATAAGAGCGAAAGAGAGAGAGAGAGAGAAGGAGAGGGGCCAGGTCCACGGCTTAGATGAGGAATGGGTGGGGGGAGCCTCGTTTTGAAAAAAAAAAAAAAAAAAAAACGCTATCTTCAACCGATCGCCGCAAAACAATATGTCATTTGGGAAGAAGGAAGAAAGAGAGAGCCCTTGTAATGATCTCTACAAACCCCTCTCCCCCCCCCATCATACTGCGTCTGTGGTTCTCCCTCCCCCCCCCGGGACATTCTCTCCCCCCAACAAAACTAGTTTTTTTTTTTTTTTTTGCGGACCATGCGTTCGCTCGCGGATATTGCCTAGTTTGGTTACACCGAGCCAAAAAAAAAAAAAAAGAAGGGGAGAGAAAAGGGGGGGACAGTTACACGCTGCAATCGGGGTGGGACGATCTTACGCAAGACTCACATCCAAACTGTTTTTTCTCACACACACACATACACACACACTTTTTGCTTGAGCCATGTCACTAGACCCCACGGTACAGACTTTTCTTCTTCTTGTTCTTCTTCCCTTCCCTTCCCTGGGCCCCCCCCGTCCCCCAAGCCCTCCAAAGTTGGGTTATCCCTATTTTAGTTTGGCTTTTGTGGCATTCAACTTCTCTTATCATCTATCCCCATTCAAAGAAACTTTTTAAATGCCAGTGCACGTTGTTGTTGTTTTCTTCTTCTTTTTGGTTGGTTTGTTTCGGAGCCGCTTCCGGATCACAAAAAAAAAAGAGCGATCAGGTGGGCAGATAGAGACAGGAAGAGGGGGGGAAAGGGGGAGTGAGCTAAATAAGCAACTCTTCCTCTCGAGTTGCTTAGCAACACATTTTGTTGTGTCTATGACAACAATTTATTTTTTTATTCTGTTCCTACGCTACTCGTATCGGCTTGTCAAAGAAAGAGGAAAAGGTTTACCCACCTTTGCGCTAATAACTGCCACATGAAAAAGAAGGTCTATATAACACTCAGAAACATCAGATCTCCCCAACTGGAAGCCCGCCCATTTTTTCTTTTTTTTTTTCAAGCGGCATATGATGATCCAACATGCAGCAGCAGCAGCAGCAGCACAGGTGTTTTTGCTTTCCATCCCCCCTCCCACCAATTGAATTCAGAACCTCTGTATAATATAACGTCGTATGTACAACAGTCAACCTACGTTTGTTTCCATGTAATCTATTGCGACCGAACCGTTGGATGGTACGCACTATGTACAATGTGCAACCAGAGAACATGAAAAGAAAGGGGGCCATCCTATTTATTAATAAAGGACAGTGTCAATGTTTGTGTAACAAGGGTCAGGTACGACATTCATCCACAATGAGAAAAGTAGTTTTTTTACAAGGGGAGAAAAGGGAGGACTTTTTATAATATGTGCGAGTATGCATGAACCTATTGCACCAACAACACGCACGAAAAGAAAAGGAACTGTAAATCATGTACCATCATCCAAGAAGATAATCTGGCTTTTTGTTATTACAATCATCATTACTCCCCATAGATGTCGTGGTTCTCTCCCTCTCCTAAGCACCCCATTCCTCCCCGCATAAATACATCAAACAACTTTCCCTCGACCCCTAGTAGTAGTAAAAAGAATAGGAACTCGGCGATTGTTTTTTTTTTTGAGTGAGTGCAGGCTGCCATGCACCTGAATACACTGTGCATGTAAAAAAAATTATATGCCTCCGTGCAGTGATGTTACACTGGGGGAGATCCAACCGTCAAAGTGAAAAAAAAGGGCCATTTTTTATGGGGTTAGGGGGGATAAAGTTGGTAATGAAAGGCGCAGGGTGGGGAGAGAGAGAGAGAGAGAGTATAATGGTTTAAACAGGGGATTCCTGTCTAACACTAATACAGAAAACAGCAAAGGCCGATCCTCCCTTATTTCTATTCAAGATTACATTTAATAATATGCCTATTATACATTTACTGTAGTACTTGTCTAAGAATAACGTTTAGATATAGTCAATCCACTACAATGATTCGACAAGCAGATAACGTTTTTGTAGAGATTAAGGTAACTTTTACCATCCTGCTACATCTATCAAGTTTACATTCCACCTGCTTGGGATCGCCCACATCACTGAGATAGATATCCTGAATTAAAAAGAGACTACATATCAGCAGTTCATCAACTAGGTGATTTTTTATATGCACAAAGACCAGTTGACGTTGTTTTTTTCGCTCTGGAAAAATGCTCAGGCACATACAACAAGGGGAAACAATAGGGACAGCATTGGAGAAAAGGAAATAACCAGTATCTATTAGGATCCAGGAACACACACAAAGGATTACATCATCACTATTTTTTAGTTTCTTCTTGTCGTGCAGCTCACATACAATGGTGTTGATGATGATGACGATGGTGAATTCATGCCAAGTCGTGAAAGTAACTGCAGGATGATGATGTAGACAAGAATAGAAAAAAAGTATCTTTACTATTGCTCATGCTTTAAAAGAGCGAGGACACGAACACTATTATAGTCAGCATCCTACTGCGTATGTGTCCACTCTTTTTTGTAAAAACGAACTGTACATACATCCATTTACTGTATACACAAAAGAGGATGATGGGTTATTCAATAGAGTATCTACTATGAAGCGTCGTCTCACTCCTGCTGCTGTATGTAGCACTGGTAAAAGCATATGCAATACCATCATACAGTCCTGACAGTTAGTCTTACTAATAACATATTGGCGATCTATCAACTCATCTTTCTTCCTTTCCAGCCAAACCCATTTTCGGATTCATCAAATTTAGCATATTCATAATCATATGGAGTTTGTTGTAGCCCAGCGATTTTAAATTGTCCCAAAATAAGACGTAAATGATTGCGGACCTTTTATTTCCTGGGTGCTGGGCTTCTGTTTTTAATAAACAAGTTGTATAGTTGGTTTTCAAAAGGATGGCCAGTTCAGCAACGATTAAATCGGCCTTTTCCAACATTCCACCTTTGACAAAGGCTTTGGTTACCACGCTTATTGTACTATCGTGTGTTAGTTACATTTACACGTATCGATTGCGACTTGATGCAGATGACCCTGACACCGTACCGTTCCTGGGATGTCCATTCATTGGCATTCTTCCTGGTTTGTAAGCATCAGAAATCACATGTTCTCTCTCTCTCTCTATTTCATAAAGTTTTCTTAAAGAGAAGAATCAACTTATTCTGTTTCAAACATTTTATAGAGCATTATACACACCTTGGACGTTTCTATCAGGCGCTTTTTATGAAGATAACGTCTTTTCGGTAAGAAAAAGGAATCTCTCAAGTAGCTCGCCCATACACACATGTTACAACTGAAACCATGACTAAACTACATTATATATTTTTATATACCAGCTTTTAGGAAGCTCAGCCGTATTATTATTCTGTGGAAAATATTTGGAACGCGCATGGGGTAGTCGTGAACTGTTCAAATATGTCCTTCTTACCGCCACTGTATCCAACATTGTCACATGGATTGGCATTATTGCGACGTTTTACATGTCTGGTGACAGCGACTTTCTGTAAGTTTTTCTTTCAAAGGAGGAGAACACATTTCGCACTATAATAATGATCTGATGCGGTGCAATAAATTGTACAGGTATCATATCCAGATCAATGGCATGGCTGGTGTATTTTCCGCATTTCTTGTTGCATTCAAGCACCTTATCCCAGAACACAGAGTTTCGCTTCTCGGCAATGTCGTGACGATTCGCGTCAAGGTATGGAAAAAGATCGGAGGGATTCCTGTAGCTGGATTAGTAGTAGTAGTAGTAGTAGTAGTAGTGGTAGTAGTGGTGGTGGTGGTGGTGGTGGTGGTGCATGAGACTGGATAGATGTAAAGCGAATGATAGGAGGTAGAGTCTAATACTATTGATCGGTATCGTAGAACTTGATTGGTGTAGCAACAGCAGCAAGTATAGCTTCCCTGGTCTTGTTCCAAGCTATTGTGTTTTACAATTTGGTGAACATCGGCTGGGTCATTGGATGGATCTACATACGATTCTTCAAGTATCAGGATGGTATCAAGGGTGATCACAGCGAGGCATTTGCACTGGTGACGTTTTTCCCCGAGTTTCTACAGTAAGTGATGCCCAACGTGTCGCTCCCTGCTAGGGATGAAGAAATACCCATGCTCATTCACAACTCTCTCTCTCTCTACTAGTCCTGTTATTGGATTTGTTGCCAACAATGTGTATGCCATCTTTGTCAAATTGGGTGTCTGCACACCAGCACCGCGCAACTATTCGTATGACCTTGAAAGCCAGACTGGCGTTCGATCCATGCCTTCGCCTTTACCAGGCAGTGCTCGTGCTGAAGCAGAAAGACGAAGGTACCTAATAGACATGAAAGAACTGTTGGAGGCAGATAAGAGAGAGAGAGAGAGAGAGAGAGAGACTTGCGCCGGCTCTCACTGTAATATGGGGCGGATGATCCGGTGTCTATGCAAGGACGGGAAAAGGAAGGGAAAAAGAGAGAATAGGAGTGTAGGTTTGTTTGTTTGCATGCAAGGTCTTGTAACGCTGTACAATCTATCAAACAGGGCACTTGCATTGAAGGCATTGGATATGCGACTCTCTACGAAGGCAGCTGCAGCTGCAACACCCTCGTCAAGCTCCTCCTCCTCCTCCTCCTCCCCTGCCAATATTAACAGCCCTGTCATTTCTACTGATAATGCAGCATCCAGTTCCACTGCAGCTCCACGAGCATCCGATAATACCACCGTTCTGTTTGAGGCCGAAGAAATGGCAACAGTTGCTGCTGCACCATCCACCACCTCACCTGCAGCTGCCGCTCCTTCTTCTTCGTCGTTGGCGGATGACAAGCTTCCAGCCGAAGAAGCAAAACGTGATTAAGTGTTTGGGGTTTAGTAAAACTTTGTAGATAATAAAAGGATATTTTCTGTCTTGCTGTACACACACACACACACACGCACATTCACTCACTCACACTCACTCACTCACTCACACTCACAGAGCCGACTAGACGAAAGACATGTGTTATTCTCTTCTTCTTTTTGTGCTCCCTGCACACCTCAGTTTCCTCCCTTCTTTTATGTCTTTGCCATCTCTCCAATTCTCAACCAACCTCCCCCCACAGCAAAAATGACGCGCAAGTTTTTTGGGCAACGTACAGAATCGAAAGTTTAAAGGCTGTTCATTAACCCCTCCTTATACCCGGGTCAACAAACCATATAATGTTTTAATACAACATTGAACTCTAAAAGAAAGGTTTCTCCAGTCTGCAGGAGGGAAAGGGCGAACGCCAATCGTCGTTTCTCCCCAAAATATTCCACCCCCACGCCCACCCCCCCACAAAAGGTAAGAGTCTCTCCAACAAAGGAAATGCCGATGTCTGTGCTACGGAAATACCAACTGCTCAGCAGGTCAAAAGTTTATTTTCTCTGTTTATGTCACAAAGAGCAAAGATACACACGCGTATATAAACAAATCAGAGTTACAAAAAAAGCGTGTTAAGAGAGAGAGAGAGAAAGAGAAAGAGGTACTGATGATAATTATAGTAGTAGTAGGGCTGTCAAGTAGTTTCAAAATTATCAATCCGACTCTGCAGGATCATTGAGGTCGCAGCGTTCTGGATGCTTCACGCACCACAGGGGCTGGAGAGGCTGAGCGTCAATACCACGAGCCACAAGACGATAGTTCCAATCCATGATACGAGGCTGCAAGTCACGAACGCTTCGACGATTGCCATCCTGATTGTAGCTGCCAGACCACCACACCTCAGCAGCGGCACTACTGCGAGGCCACAGCTTGCTGTCGAGCACAGTAGGACCGCCTTGTTCATTCCACATGGCAACCTCACCACCAATAATCTTGCCAGGAGAGTCGTCAGGGATACCGTAGGTCATATCAAACGAGTACATGCGTTGCCATGTCTATTGAAAAATTCAGGGAGTTGTCAATATGCCTTTTGCCCTTTGTCATGTCTCTGGGCGATAAATGAGAGAGACAAAACTTACGTGGTAAGGAGCACACCACGATCCACCAGTACCACCGTAGTTGAAAGTATCGTCAGGAGTTGCTTGCTGCGTGGGGCTAATGTAGCGAGGATCATTACCGACCCAGCCGCCATTGCCACAGTCCAAGTAAAAGTAATCCGAGTTGGAGACGATGACGTCGTGACCGATGCTCTATATTGTATAGGTTATGACGACTTTATATAAAAACGGCTGTTGTTCTTCTTGTTGTTTTTTTTACCCCATTCCTTGACTTACAGTATAGTTTTGCGGGGGTGCTGTCCAGACTTGAACGACCACATTCTCAGGCAGGCTGCCACCGTCACGAATCGGGTCTTCCCATACCACAGGTCGCTTACCGAGATCCTTGGCAACATAGTCCACCAGCTTATTTGTCCACTCAAACCAAAGTTCAAAGGTTGTCATGTTGTGTTCCTTGGTATAGTTGACAATATCCTCACTCAGCTCATAGCAAGCAGTGCTGATCTCATCACCGCCGGTGTGGTAAAATGAATCCGGGAATGCTTCGGTGCCTTCCTTGACCAAGTCCTTGACCAAGTTCCATGCATCCTCGTTGATCAGATCGATCTGGCCTGCTGGCGGTTGGGCGGCATACTTTGCCCAAAACTCTTCATAGCCAATAATGTAGTCCGGGTAAGTCTCAGCAATCACACCCGTGTGGGCAGGCATATCGATCTCCAGCACGACGCGAATACCGAGTGACTCGGCATGGTCAAGGACTCGTTGGACATCCCTGGGACCATAAATTTCAGAAGCACTGTAGGCGCCGTTCTTGGAGAGCTCCGGGTGTGACTTTGACACAAGAGGCCAGGATTGTGCGTCGGTGGCGTGCCAGTGGAACGCATTCATTTTGTTGTACGACATGGCATCCAAAAGACGCAACAGATCGTCCACTGGGAAATAATTGCGCGATGTGTCGAACGAAACACCACGGTGAGGGTATGAAGGAGCATCCGTGATTGACACCGTGTGTGCCACCAACTTATCGTCGTCCCCAGCTATCACCAGCTGTGAAAAGGTTTCAAGGCCACGTAGAGCACCTACCCAGGTTTCGGCCGTCAAGGTTGCCTTACCACCGCTTGCAGGCACGTCCAGGGAATAGGACTCATCCACGCCATAGTCCAGCTTGACCGAATTGTCCTTGACGGAAATGTCCAGACTCGTCAATGGGTTGTCCGACGATGCCAGCGTCTCCTCTTCATAGGGGACTTGGACAGGCACCCAGCGCTCCTTGAAAATCAGATCGGCATAGCGTCTGGCGGCGCTGCGCACATGCTTGTTGTCACCGCCAGCGCGGATGGTGAAGCGTTTGCTCAGGGGAGCAGCATGGCCGGTCCATTCTACAGACTGAGGAATAGGTAGAAGCCATGTCTTGGCCTGTGCAGTGGTGGCAGCCAGAAGCAAAGATGAAGCGGCAGCGAGTGAAGTGAACTTCATAATAGAGAGTAAGAAAGAAGAGAGAAAAGGGGGGAGGGTGTTTAGAGGAGTGGGCGAAGAAGATTCAAGTGAAGAAGAAGGGTTTATAAAGGCGAGGCGGAGTCGGTTATTGCGAACTTTTGTTAAAGGAAAATTTGGGCTTATATTTATACACGTACAAACACATACACTCACTCACTCACTCACTCACTCACTCACTCACAGGATACCCCACTCACGTAGAGTGAGAAAAAGGGTCGTCTTTGATAAGCAGCTGGCAAAAACCCTGAAAGGGTGCATCGCACTTTTTTTTTCCCTGGTGTTACATGGGTCTTGATGGTTGTACAAGGCCGGGCGCGCGCACTCTCACAAATACTGTTGTAGTCGATGCCTTTAGTTATTGCGCATTGTATTCGGGGCCGAATGGGCTTCTTGCTTGTTCCATTGTAGAACATTGCTATCTATTGCGCACTCGGATCAGTCAGTTCCCCGGACCACGCTTAAGTAACATTGATGATAAAGGGTCAAGAAGAGAAGATGGATCCCCGACTTGGGGACCCTTTTTTCCCTTGAGCAAAAGTATCTTATGTGAACCCTGATTTTTTCACACACACACACACACATACACACTCGAACCTTTTTGAAACCTTGTACTCTTCATTCCTACCTATCACTGATATATAATTATACTATCATTGTCTTTGGAAAACAGCAAAAAGGAAAGACGAGAAACGAAAAAGAGTGGTCATGCGGATTGTTTGTACGTATCACCTATGGGAAATTCGAACCCTGGAATAAGACCCTTTTCCCATCGCTCTATATCACACATGTAAATTTGCTACTCACATTCCTGTTTTTTTTTATTGATACATACTCCTCCGCTTATCCGGATAACCACATCAGGATCTTGTTACAGTGGTACATGAGGATATATGGTTTACTCGCCGCTGCCCCTGTGTTTACTCTTGTAAATCATAGGTTGTGTAATTTTACTGGTTCGTTTTCTTTCGATCATGTTGATTATGCGTGTAATAGAAATAATATGTGGCTGTAAAGCTCGAAAATGCCAAGATTGGGAGGAATGGGTGACAAGAAGAACGAGTTTTTTCTCTTTCTTGTTTTTCCACCTGTAGAACTGACATAATCAGCAATCAAAAGTGATCTCGGTGTATAACACATCGTTTTAAATTTACAACTAATTATCATTGTCACTTATTTTCCCACTTGAGGTTTGTGTATTATATTTTGGAAAGAACCCTGCTTAAAAACAACTATTCAACAAGCTTAATAATATCGCTGCCTGAATTATGATCCATTGCACATGTAAGAAGATGCTATCATCCTCAATACCGTCAAAAACCGTTAACTAAAACGCTTTTTTACTTGGCAGACAGCCCGAATTTGGGAGGGAATAAGTCAGCTGGAACTCTTACTGTTGTTTCTGCTTCTTTACCGGCACGCATTCGATCTATATGATCACAGCATACACGTAGTACCTCATCGATTCTGGTAATTATTCGCTCCGGTTGAGCACCTATCACAACACCAATGTGACACAACTTTGTGAAGGGTCAGATTTTCGGATTTGTCATCGTTTAGAGAACCCTTCTTTTTTATTGTCGATTCCCTATGCGGTATATACACACTAGTTCTTAATTCTTAGAGATCCTTTACCCACTAAACCCAAACGGGCCCACCACGTCATATCGTAGGTGTGAAATGCCTCACAGGGACGATTCATCACAGTAAAACACGATCCCTACAAACACCCCTTATTGCATGCCACTACCCGGGGGTGGGTCTGCTGCCGCTCATTGGCTAACTGTTGTGGTGGGACGCAGTAAAAAGCGGCTGATAAGAAGAAATCATGGAAACGATCATGATATACTCGAATGAAAATGGCATATTGTACTACCTGCATATGTTGAGCCGTCGCTTGCCGTCGTGTATATGTGTCCTAAGTGCCGCGGTTTTCCAGGTTCGGCTTGCCCTTTCGAATTTGCATCATTGCCAGTTTCTTTCATACATTGTAGCCAAGTCTACCATTTTTTCCCTTTGCGCTTGTCAACATCTCCAATAGAAGTAAAACAAGCTGAAATATGTAAATGGAATTAAAAAAAGACAAACGGTTTTAATGACGGTACGATTATAAAAGCAAACTAATTACATTAATATGAGAGTTATAGAGTGTATGTGCAGTATACAAGATTATCCATAAAAAATATTTAAGGGCAGAAGACAAGTTCGTAGGTATCGGCCTTGCACATGTAGGTCGAAGTAGTGTCATCGTAAGCATACGAGTAAGCATCGGGACAAGCGTCCTTGACAGCCTTGGAATATTGGTTAGGGCTGCAAGTGCTTGGCAGATTGTGTGCGCCAGCGCAGCAGAATTCATCGGTACCGTAAGCAGAGCATGCAGACTTGCAGCCAACGACCTGACCATCGCTACCGTAGACCTTCATTTCATCCTCGGGGCACGAAGGAACGGTACCACAGGCAGGAGCACCGCAACGGTATTGATCATCGCTGTCCTTGTTACCATTGACAGGGTAGAACTTGATGGGCAAGTTGAAGCCGTCGACAAAGGACAGATCGTAGTAGTCATAGCCAGCATGACCCTTGAAAGTAATCTCGGCCAAAGAAGCAGGAGCGGCAGCACCAGCAATAGCAGAGCAGGCATCACCATCACAGTCGGAACGAGCCCAGAAACGACCTTGCCAGTCACTGGGAAGATCGTAGTTCTTTTGAGTACCTTGGCTGATGACCTGGACGTTGGCTTGGCTTTCACCGTTGGTGAGTTGGCCAACGTGGAGATCGGAACCACATTGGTTCTTGACAGTGACTTGAGCACCACCGGAGGGAGCAGCTGCGGCAAGACCAGCAAGAGCAGCGAGAGAAAGAGCCTTGATAGAAGTGTACATGATGATGGCGTTGAATAAAGGAAAACGGAGGAAAGAGTTTTCTGTAAAGATCGTCAAAGAGATTGTTTACAGAATTCCCTATTTATACAGTTTTCATGGATGTGCCTGGATTTTTGTTTTGTGGGCCTTTCGTCGCATCCTCCGCTGGGCTTACGACAGAGTGTCGGTTGTTTCAATTTCATCATGTTTCATTGCTTTGTTTCATTTTCATACGTCTGTTATCAATAATTCAACAAAAATTCAAGGCACCAGGAACAAACGTAAAAGGAGCACTTGCATTTTCGTTCTTTCTTTAAGCTTTTTTTTTTCCAAGATCTGCAGAACTATGCTACATTGACGCTATTTTTGTTATGCCGACATGCATCAAAGTTCATGCTTTTTTGTTCTCTCTCATTGTTTGAATCACCACATTTAGCACCATTTTTTTGATATTCCGAAATGCCTGGGATCCTAAGTTACCCGATCAACGGATTCTCAAGTTGTGTTTGAAGCAAGAAGCAGCGCATCGTCTTACGCCAAGCTGTTGTTCTTCTCCGTAACCGGGGAGTTCGGAGCAAACAGTTCCTATACAAAGGCTTGTTTTTTCGTCAGTAGTAAGCTCCATATCAAACCAGTGTAGCTCGTATTACTTTTCATGAAACAATGTACATACCAGGTGCGTAATGTAATAGAAAAAAAATTAGTGGTATTAGACAATGATATTTTTGTTTTCGTTTACCACCCACGTTTTCAGGAGATCTACGTCATTTGTCTTGTATTGAAAAAATGAGCTGTCAAAAAGTCAGGTACACTAAATTTGTTTGACTGAGTAACAAAACTTTATTAACCCAAATATGGTGGTTTTGGTTTACGATGGCCGCTGGTTTTCCCCCATTACTAGAGCTCGCGGATGAGGGACTTTTATGAAAACGGCAGAATATGTACACCGATTGCCAAAGGTCTAGATTACAAAGTCGTTTTTAAGCAGCAGCAGTAGTAGTAGTAAAAAAGTGCAGATAAGCTTTTTTTGGGTTATACCTTTGAGTACAAGAGACTACAGCTTGATCAGAATTGGATGCAAAATAACCACAGTTTCAGCGCGGGACAACCTTCTGCCTAGGCCCTTGAATGAGGCAACCATGCAGTTGTGGCTCCTATAAATGTATTGCTGTGGCAACAATTGATTGACTGGTAGCAAAAGGCCATTATGCGTAGCAAAACGTGTATTGCTAAGCAGTAGAGAATAAAAAGAAAGGCTATGTCAAAAGCAGCATACTTTCGGCAATTAACTTATCCGTTAATCAGGTTTCCTTTTATTATGTTTTGTAAACCGTCTACGGTGTACAAGGCATAGTTTACACCCAAAGAATTAGGATGGAGAAGTATTAACCGATGCAACAGTAACAAAAGGCATGCTAAAGGAAAACAGCATCATTTGAATTCAAATAGCGGTGAAAGGCTTCCCTGGCGTAGGTTGCAACCTATAAGAATATTACAATAAAAGACGATAAGCAATCTATACAAAGTTTCGCATCCGATAAACCCTAGCCGGTACTTTTGTCATTCAAATTATCATGATTCAGTATATATGATACATACCAGTTATCTTTAGGGTAGTTTGCGGTGCCTTCGATCACGTGGTAAGTGTAAATGTAACGAGATTTCTCGGAAAAGTTGGGTGCTGACTTGTGCACCACGCTGCCATGGATCAAAACAAGTGTGCCAGCCTTGACTTCCTTTAAGACATACTTGGACTCATCGACGTTGAGTGTTTCATCACCAATGAAGGTTGTTCCCGTTCCTTTGGAATTGCGCACAAATCGACGAGTAATGGGTGTATCTAAGTATTTCCACACATATGACCAATAGCGTCATCATCATTTTAGGTTGGCAAGTATATTGTAATTAAGCTTCTCTTGGACTATTGCAGCCCTACCTTTGTGCGACCCCGGGATGAACCACAGACAACCGTTCTTCTCTGTGCAATCTTCCAAAGCAAACCAAAACCCAACAGCCGACAATGGCTCAGTGTACAGAAAGCTGGAGTCCTGATGGGAAGGAACTAAAATTTGTGTTGTGGGAAAGTGTGGAGGATAAAAACAAAATTGAGTTTCTGAGTATGTTTACAGAAGAAGAGAGATTTCCCACTTGGCATGGCTTATTCCTGTTTACCTGGACCACCAATATAAGGTTGCTGGAAAAGAAGAGGCAAGAAAACGATTTTTAGTACAATGCGACATTGATAGCGGCTTTGTGACATGTCTGTATCTTTCTTCCTTTGTAAAGATTGTCCTCTTAAATTATCTCCCGCCCGAGATATACAATAGAAGTAACGATGCTTGCCTTGAAAATTAACATGGATTGTAATACCCGCGGGTCCTTGAACTTTAAATCTCGTGTCATGCCCGACATCTTATCATTCAATGATATGGACCGGAAGCTTGGATCCAATTCGTGTAGTCCTAGCACGTAATAGTAGGGAATACACAACACGTTGAGCAGGTGGGTTCCATTAGAACGTATTATCATCGTCTATGCTGTATACCGTGGCCAATTTTGTTGATGGCGCGTTCCTTGGGAATCTTGAGGTTCCCTTCCGCATCAAAAGCGCCCTCCTCAAAGAAGTATCGAATTTTATCACCAGACGTGAGAAAGTAGTCGTCCCCGACATGCTCCTTGTCTTGACCTGTTCCCGTCGAGAAACGCGTAAGCGGGTGTCCTTCCAAAGACATTTCTTCTAACAGCGTCTCTGCCCGTGACTTGAGCTCGTCTGCCTTTTCCTTGGAAAAATAGTCCTCAATCACAAGGAATCTACATTTGACAAAGTGAAAGAGCGTTGGGAAAGAAGACAGTTACTGAATTCAACTTGCACACACGGAACCCGAAATGAGCTTACCCATCGCGATCAAACTATTAGAAACAGCAAGATTTAAAGTTCATAAGTTCTTCTGTGGTCTACTTGCTTTGAGCTACTGCCTTGATATTAACTTACTTGTTCGAGCTGCTCTGCGGTTAATACAGCCATAATAAATTTTATGCAAATAAGGGAAACTCTGCCTTTTCTCGTGCACACACACTTTTTTGAACAGTGGAAGCGAATGCAGACAAGGTTCAAACCCCGACAATGCTATCTCTTCCCGGCCTGCGGTGCACGGCTATTAACCAAGATAAAGCCCTGAGCTCAAGAAAAAAATTTTATGCAGTATATTCTTCTTTCTTGGTCGCACAAATTTCCCCGTGATCCATCATGAGCGAAAGCAACGAGTAACTATCATAGCTACACAATCAACAACAAACTCCGCATTTAATAACATCAAACCTGGTTTATGTATATTATACTCATAAAGAAGAAGAAACGTATCATAATCGTCATATTAACAAACGTGAGAGTTGAAGCGGTTGACAGAATAGGTACATATTAGCGCAAAAGAAACATCTAGAAGTGAGGCATACAATTGGAAAATAAAACATTATGTATATGACGTGTGAAAAAAGGGGTGATTACATGGAAAACATTTGTCTGCAAAATATGGAAGTATGTGAGTGTATGTATTGTGTGAGTGCGTGAGTTAATGTACTTAGTGAGAGGTGCAAAGGGGGGAGCGTAGAGAAAGGGAAAGCGAATCGAATGTAAGAACGAAAAAACACTATGTACAAAAGTGAACATGCTAACGGTGGTGGTGGTGGTGGCACAAGCAGGTTCGCCGATCACCCAAATCCCGAAAACTCCCGCCTCCATAGCCCCTCTTAGTCGTCATAGTCTGCGGTGATGCTTCTGATTCAAACTACTGACCTAGCGACGAGACTTGCGGCGTCTTGAAGACTTGATAACTGAGTGGCCACCCCTGTTACGCTTCTTGATCACATCTGTCTTGAGGCTCAGTGGACGCACAATGCCATGGAGTTTCAGGAACAGCCCACATGCATTGCAGAGAGGCTGGCCCTCTGGATTACGCCTCCACAATGGAGTGTTCGTGGTTTCGCAATTCGTGCATCGGACATCGCTATTATTGGTCAAGTCTGGCGTGCTTTGTGGTGAAAGTGACTTTTGCGACGCATGATTGGCTGAGCTTTTGCGTGCTGTCTTTTTGGTAGTTACAGTAGTAGACCTAGAGGACGATGATGGTTTGCTGATTTTACGCACGTGCCGCCGTGAAAGATGTTGTTGTGGTTGTTTGCCGAGCGACCAATCAGAATCGCTGTCGTTGTCATCCTCTTCCTCGTCTTCTTCCTCGCCCAAAATATCGTCTTTTTCGTCGTCATCGTCTACTTCATCATCATCGTCGTTGTCGTCGTCAAAGAGTGTTGTAGTGGTAATGGCAGTGTTATGCCGGTGTTGCTTTGGTATTTCAACGAGTTCGTGCTCTTCAAAGCTGCTATTAAGCGGGGTGGTGGGCTTGTTGTCGTCGATACTACTGGTAACAGACTCGGGTGGGGAAGACCATGATGGTGACATGGATGCGTCCATACTGTTGTGATGACTGCTGATAGGTAACATTTCGTGTGGCGCGATGGATGTCGGCTCTTCCATGAAAAATGTCGAGCTGGGCGTAGTAGTGCATGTAGTCATCAATGCATCGCATGCCAGGGGAGAAAGGGTCTGGAGCGGGTGGATGTGTGAGAAGTGGACTGCCTCTCGTTGGTGCTGGTGCTGGTGCTGATGCTGGTGCTGATGCTGCTCTTGGTGATGCTGATGTTGATGAAGTGGTTGTGGCTGTGGTTGTTGCTCTGGGTACAAGGGTGGAGAGTTTGAAAATAACGGTGGTGGTGACTGGTTGCTTGGCATCATCCAATCTTGTTCCTTTTGTAAACTCCAGCTATAAAGGGTGGCATCCAGCTGATAGTCCGGGGTGGTAGGAAAAGAAGTGCCATCAAAAGGACCCATCGTTGACAAATCCGCTGTACTCGTTGTCATCATGTCCAAAAGGGCCTGGTCGAACGATCCGTCGAGACAAAAGTCGAATGGAGAGACAGGAGCAGCAGCACCCGCCATTGCGATGGCAGTCTGTTGTAGTGGTTGGTTAGGCGCGCTACTAGGTGGGGCCATGAAAGGCTGGTGAGGATGTCGTTGGTATGAATACATTGTGCGTGCTGTACGTATGCGAGCTAGAATAGCAGACAGAAGCGGTTGGTTGAGAAGGATAGAGAGAGAGAGAGAGAGAGAGAAAGAAACGCGCAAGGGGGACAAGGGACCAGCCGGCTTTTAATCCTCTGCATCAACTGACGAGCGGATCATTGACAATCGTTACGAGAGGAAGGCTCTGTGTCACCTACAAGTCTTTTTTCTCTTTTTTTCCGGATGGGAGACGAGAAAACACCATTATAGCCAGTCTCTCCCTAGCCCATACTGCTTCTCATTTGAATCATGTCTATGGCGCCATCGCCACTAAGACTCTCGATTCTCAGTTTATGGGCTCATCTGTTACTGTGGCTACTGGTAAGAGAAACAAGGTGCAAAGGAAGCTAGGGGCTGGCGGCAGGAGGAATCATATGCTTTGGTACCGAGGGTAGTGATAATAGTACTTTTTTTTTATATTGTGGACTGCTTAGAGTACTGTTGAGGAGTGCAAGATAAGAAATGCACAACACATAATTTGTTGAATTGTATAACAACTTGTATCAGCGCCAGAAAAGCGTTTTGGTGGCTCGATAAGGCAATCGCTTATGATAGCAGCTTTTCCCTCACTTCATGCTCTTTTCTCCCGAGGACCGAAAGAGATACCCTTATCACTGGAAAAGTCATGCGCTGGTATCCAAAATAGTCACAGTAAAATAAACCTATTAGTATTGTGAGATACGACGATGCAGCCCTTTTCTCACTTGTTTGGCCTAGTACTCGCTCATAGCACGCGTAACGTCGGTCGATCATTTTCCTGTTAGTAGCATGTTGAAAAAGACAACAGCAACGATCCCCAATTCATAACTAAGCCGTTTTTGCCCCACGTGCGATCATAAGAATGATGTAACAACACCTTTGCCACAGGGTCCCCACGCTGTGGTTGAGTTGTATTCCATCCTTGTTGGATGATGAAGAAGAAGAAGATAGTCACGACTTCTTTACCTACCCAACCCTCACATGGCTCATACCCGCTCTTTTTTTTTACCACGACTGTCAAAGCGGATTGGTGTTTGTGTTTCGGGGCTGAAGCAACGTAGATTGGGCGGGCTAAAATTTGCAAGGTTTAAGAGAGATAGAAAATCCTAAAATGGAAAATCATTCGCCAATAAAGCCCTTTGATTGGCTAACATCGGGCTCCTCCGGGTTACAGTGAAGAAGAGATATGCGTGTGCTTAAGAACGACGTTGATCCGCTTTTTCGGGTTAATGCATGCTGGACGGCGATCTCTTTCTCTTTTTACTATAGTCTCTTTTATACTAATATAAAAAATATTACCACGGGTGATACGCAGGCGAATATTAAGAGTTTTACATAATCATCAACAACAATAGATTACAACCCGCTCATTTCTACAAAAGTTTGTCTATCGCTAATGACCATATCTAGGAGCACCAACCCTATTCATCAAGGGCGTCACAGTCGACACCTCTTTCGCACTTTTCATACTTTGCGAAGACTCTTTTTTCCTATTTCGCTTACAATATTGCCGCCGAATATGATGCGCTGTAGCCATCAACCAAGTGAATACCAGGGTAAGCACGTCATATGCTTTATTGATTTGCTCTTTTAGAGCTATTATATAAACAGAGGCAAAAAAAAAACAAACGAAAACGTACCTCATCTTCTTCTTCAGTATTGTTCGGTAAAGAGCTATACACGGATGCTTGATGCTGTATAGTAATGCGGGGTCATGCTCGTCAATACACGGATTACAACTATGCCTTCGATACCATAACAACGACCTCATATTTGCGCAGGAAGATAACGTCATTTCGGTTCCTGCTAGGCTGATGACGATGTCGATGATGATCAGCTATTGTTCCTGAGCTTCATTCTCTTGCGGTTATTGAATCGGAGAACGCTGGTGTTGCAAGTGAAGTGCTGCGCGAGCACACGCGTGAGTTTCGACAACAGCTTCCCGAGGCACATCATATTTCATAATGCTATGCTTAACTTGATTCAAAGACCAAGAAATGCTGTTATTCTCTGCTAATCGAAATTATCAATTAAGCAAAGCTATTCAAGCCTGAAATACAGTCTTCTTTTCCTGTTTTTCCGTACGCAGCTAGTGTTTTTTAAAGTAAATGGTTGTGTTTTGTGCAACCTCGTTCTTACAATTTCATGTTACATACGTAGATGCTGAGCAGTGCTCTGTGTGTGTAGTAGCGCTCTTGTATATGTATCTGTCACAAGCAAGGTTGTTTCCGATGTCACCTTCATTTCCTGGTTTTCTTCTTGCGTAGGGACTATAACAATGCTCAGCAGCAGTAATACAATACTATGTACGCGGATGTAGTACAAAGCGCACTGTCCGAAAGTTTAAAAGAAGCCCATGTCGCTTTTTTCTTTTTTAGTCATAGCCTCTTTCCACACACACGTATCCCCGAAAATTAAAGAAGATGGACCCAATCACTATTGCCGTGATCGTATTGATCGTATTTGCTTCCATAATCTTTGGGATCCTGAGACAACGTTCAAAGAATGCGGAAAAGAATCGAGAAAGGGAGCTACGGGAATCACAAGAACGCATAAGAAGAAATGGTAAGCAGATGTACTAATGTCTTTTGCATATACGTAAAGTGATTGTCCTTATGCTTAAGATTGATATTAATATATGCAAATCAAATAGCAAGCCAAAGACACAGAAATCATGAAGTGTCATCAACGTATCAATCCAATAGCGGGAATACCAATGGCAACCAAATAACAATAACAACAACAACAGGTCCAGAACATACAATTGTCCAAATTGAGGCACCACCGCCGGCATACGGTAGCAAAATTATTGGCCCTTCTCCACCCAATTATCCTCCTCCACCAACTTACCAAGACGGTTGGAGAGAGCCATCAACAACAGCAACATCATCAATGGCACCACAGCCTTAGTTCTCGTCACTACGATCTAGAGACAAGGCTCCTATAGACAATCAAGAAGCTGATGTACATAAATACCCATCTTACATATATTTTGATAGTATGACCCCTTACCCTCCAATATACAATTGTACATTATTAGCAGTAAACACAATTTAACACATGCACGAACGTCAAATTTATACTTTCTACGTTCTTCAGGAGCAGCAGACAAGTTTGTTTTTCTACATAGCAGCCATGATTTATTAGCACATCCCCTCTTATTAAAATGACTTGATTTCAATCACAATCATACCTTTCCATTTAAGAACGGCATAAAAGGGTAATTCATCCATGCCGGCCGACTTTGCAAAACGTTCGTTGCAATCAAAATCATTAGGTTTGGTCATTATCCAGTAGAAGCATTTTGGTATCACAAATTTGGTGCATAGAACAGTGTCCCAAAGTAGCAAAAGTGCCATTCCTTTTACACATTTTTTGGTGAAAAAAAAAAGAAGAACACTGCTCACAATAATTAATTTCCAAGTTCTAAACTGAATTCTGAACATCATGAAAGGTTGCCTTGCTTTTCTTAAAAAAAGGCCCAAATCAATGCAGAGTTGTGTAGGGTGGATCATACTACTTGCATTCCTTCTTCTCGGCTATTGATATCATGCATGTTCGCAAAGGTGATGATACACGGTACAAATGATATAGCACGGTGATTACCACAATTTTACTACTCATCGTCTACTTGCTTATCAGCAACAGCTGTAACACGTATTATGGCTTCATAAACAATCCTATAAACTACGCAATGGTACACACTTTATTAAAACAAGTTAAGTACAGTATAAAAAAAGCAAAAGTGGACAAATTTGGAATAATCTAGTTGAAAGCTTGCTGATTAGCTGTGGAATTATCGACAGACGTTTCGTAGAGAAAGGCTTTAGCTTTTCTTCAAATGTCAATTACCCTTTGTAGGACTCCTGCTGTGACTCTACACGAAGAAGGTCAGTTGGCTCATAAACACATAATGTAGTATCGAGTATTGTCCATGTGTGTGTTTAGATATGCTTATAGGGAACAAAATGCTCCAAGCGGAGACAGCGTGGATTAGGCAATCGAAACAAGCATAGTGTTTGTTGCACTAAATCACCTAACAGAATTACACATTCAACGGGGTCACGCGCACCATGCATGACATGCAAAAGCACAGAAAAAGGCGTACCTGACATCACAATTCTTCTTCTCTCTCTTTCCTTTTCATACTTTATCCTTCACCCACTTGCAATGACTTCACGAATGTCATCGCAAAGCCCTCTGCGGCTCTTATCCATAGGCTTTCTTATCGGTGTCCTTTGCACATTTCTCATGTCTTGTGCACTAACAGGCACCGATCACTCTGGCGCACATGCTCATTGGGGCTCCTTAGTCCGTCGTCAAGCTGCAGATACTGGCATTCTCAAGCTTGGCAATCCAGGTAAAAGCATATACAGTATGGGCGGATGCAAAATTGAATTCTGTACTCTTTGTTTAATGCGGTAAAACGGGGGGCGGATAAACTGGATTTGTAGGACCAGTTGTGGACTTGTTACAGCGTGAGGAGTATGTTGCTTCATACGATCGTCGCAATCGTCTTCCTCATTGGGTTGGTGAACATCTCACGGCGCAATCGCTTCAAGCGGGCGAGAACGTCGATCGCGACAGGTCCAATTTTAAGGAGGACAAGGATATTCCGGCCATTTTCCGAGCTCGCCTGAGCGACTATACTCGCAGCGGTTATGATCGTGGTCATATGGCGCCTGCAGCCGACGCTGTTTACTCTCAGGACGCCATGGACCAAACGTTTTTCTTAACTAACATGTCCCCTCAAGTCGGCATCGGGTTCAACCGCCATTGTAAGTGCTCTGTTGTCCTTTACTTTTGAAATATCACGTTTTGGTTCAATGACATTGACAAGAAAAAAACATAGACTGGGCGTACCTCGAAGGCTTTGTTCGCGATTTAACAAATAATTATACCGACGTTTATGTCTACACTGGACCTTTGTTCCTCCCTCGTAATAATGACACGGGCTATATTGACATTGATCAAGAAACCGCGCCCACCAACGCCAATAATCCAGGCTACTTCATGGAATACCCGCTTCTCGGCAAGATACCTAATGTAGCAGTTCCTACCCATTTCTTCAAGATCGTGCTTGTGTCTTCTGGTAGCGATTCCGACTATTTGTTGGGCGTGTTTGTATTGCCAAACCAATCCATCAATAGCAAGACCCCGTTGACCGACTTCCAAGTACAACTGAGCTCAGTCGAACGAGTATCTGGGCTACAGTTTTTCAGCGAAATGGATCGCAACTCTTTTGGAGAACTTTGTTCAAGTTACACTTGCGAGTTATAGATTTTTGCTGCTGTTTTTTTTTTGTCTATACCTTACTTTTTGCTTACCAAGCTAAACCCTTTTTTGAATTGACCTGGGCCCAGAATTAATAACATGATGGTGGTGGTTGCTGGAGTCTTCAACATTTTACGCCACTCCTGAATATAAATATTTATCACAGACATTTATGTTTAAAAAGACAATGCGTCATTCTACAGCAATTGTGCAGGTATGATGCCTCTCTCCTATTCTATGAGATCTTATAGAGAGCTGCAGCTTGTTTATTCCTTGGATTAAGAAAAAGTTGTGTTACTGTTCTAGTGTTTCTGAATAATCAACAATCCAACGGTACTTTCGGCGATTGTTATAGTTGATTTCTGCATGGACAGCCTGTTGGTAACTCGGTGCACATATATACATTATAACATAAGAAACAATAGCTTACATCCTGCTAAGTTTACTCACTGCTGCAATGGCTTTAACAACGGCAGTTTTGACATCTTATCAAACAAGATAATAGGGAACCGTACACTAATTGGGCTCATTGTGCATTCCAAAATCATTACCGCATATTCATTGAAGCCTTATTAGATATCATCAAGGACAAGCATCTAGTTGTAGTAACAACATAAAGCAAGTTTATCGTTACCATGGAATATGAATTACTTGTGATCGGTCCTTGTACTGAAGCGCATTAGCGATACAGGACAACTTGTGGAAACTCCGCAAAAAAATGAATTAAAGCTGGTTGGGTGCTATGTGTGCGCGGCGAAAAAGCACGTTCTTTACAACACCCCATTAAGGTTATGGCATCGGAGGCAGTTAGACAGGCCATCATTGACAGTTTGTTCTCGCCGGATTCCGGGGGTATGTGACCATATTGTCCGCAAGAACTCGAATAGTGTATGAGCGATTGCGCTGTTAACTGAATGCATACCTACACATATATTATTAAAGGCGCCGCTGAAAAGCTGCTCATCCATCTCAAAGTCTTTGAAGATGTAAAGCAAACCGACCCGAGTGCAAAAAACAACGGTGCCAAAGGACCTCAGATTGTCGGCAAACCTAGATATCTCTGCTTAACTCGTACGTTTTTGTCAGTTACTATATGTACCAAATTTGTAGTTGATATATGCTTCCTAACAATATGTTAATTAATAGAAAAACGTAACAAGATTCGCTTATACAAAACAAAGCGAAACCAGAACGGTGCTTTTACAATTGGCAAGTCATGGTCTCTTGATGATATCAAGCAGATCGAAGCAATTGATGTAAGAAGGGGAGGAAATGGCGGTTTAACCACAGATAATTTTATGCTCATATCTTTTAAACATGCAAACAGGCCAATCAATTTTCGATGATGCTGAACAAGACATACGTCTGGGCTGTTGAAAGACCACGAGACAAGCTTGTATTCATGGCTCACATTGTGGATGTATGTTAGTTTTCAAGTATGGATAGCTGAGAAGGTATATTCGAGCTAAATTAGGGGTAATTCAGGCCTGTCAACGCTTTCTCGGAAAATCACCCCGTCTTATTAACGTGGATGAAAGTTACTTACTACGATGTAAGAAATGCAATTTGCTTTTATGTTTTGCTCTCATCTTTCTGTCTACTGACACACTTGAAATCTATTTGATCATGGAAAAGATCTCGCCAACCCTATCGCAGTATCGCCCTCCACTAACTCACCACAATCAGCCGTCCCGCCATCACCTTCTACTGCAACACCGACCATGTCGACGACCTCCTCACCTCCCCTGCCACCATCCGCTACTTTATCACAAACTTTAACGCAGCCTGAAAGTGATCCTCGCTCTTATCCTTCTCCTCCACCCAACATGTCCCCTGAGCGACCCAAGCACTCGCCCCTGTCACAACCAGCACCAACTTTGCCTGTTGCAAGTCGCCCGGCACCATCGCCACCTGCAGCACCCGCACCAAGGACTCCTCAACGCGCCGTCGAAATATCCCCTTCAACGAACATACAACCTGGTACATACACCATCAAACTTATTACCATAACTTTGCACGCCACCCTATTAACTCGGGGTTCTTTTTCATTCAATGTACGTAGAGCAACACGTTCAGCCAATACAGCGCTACCCTCCACCCACTGATCCTAAAGAGAAAGAGCGAGAAGAACGCCGTGAGCGTGAGCGTGCCCGAGAAATAAAACGTGAACGGGAGAAAAGAGAAAAGCAAGCTCAACAAGAAAAGGGTAAAGACACGATTTCCTGCTAGCAAAGTCGATGATACAGATTGCCTTCTTACACTAAATTTGCTTCTATTGTATACGATATTAGAGAAAATGCGCAAAGTGGCAGAGATGCAGGAAAAAATGGCGGAAAAGGCTTCGTTGATGAATGTCGAAGAATTATTGGCCGATTTCAATTGGAAAACGAGTGGAAACGCAGCAGCACTCGAAAAAAGATTATTGGGCGAACTGCATGCTTTGGAAGCTGTAAGTTATTATATACCTCCAAAGGAAAAAGAGACTATGATTTAATAATTTTCGATTTCCTTTGCTGCATAGGCCAATGTGCATGCCATAATCCAGTCCGACGAACGCGTGCGCTCAGTTATTGATCAGATCGATGCTGCATTGCATGAACTTGATAGCATGGATAGCTGGTTACTGCTTTATAGCGCAGAACTTAATGTAAGCTAGTGCTTTCTATAGTTGCTGTTAAAAGGGTATCTAACCGCTTATGTGTGTTGTCAACAGAGTATGGGTGATGATATCCGAGAAATCGAATCACAGAACCGTGGCCTGCAGATTCTAGCACAGAACCAACATAGCCTTGTTCGTGAGCTCGATGATCTATTGGTAAGTTATCCTTTTTCTATAACGAAATAATTCCATGTTGAGTAATTTGCCAGTAGGAAAAAAAAAGCTAATATCTTGCCACTTTATAGAACGCTATTACAATACCCCGGTCATGCCTCGACAGTCTCAAATTCGATCCAATGGACACCGCAGAAAACGTCGAGCAGATCCAATCCTCCGCCGAAAAAGTACAGCAGGTCCTGAAAATCAAGCTGGGCGATGGAATGCAGAATATGAAAGCCGTTCAAGAGCGAATGGCAGTGTATAATTCGCATAGCAACAATTTTAGTGCGCGCATTTTTGATTTCATGAAAAGCCAGTTTGACAAGCAGGTAAAAAAGAGTCTTGATATGTCACGTATATCCCATAACCTACCATACTGAAAAAGAAGCATATCTTCTCATGGGTTATTAGGCAGAGAATCAGAAAGCTGTCAGTTCCCGCACACCATCAAACCCACGCAAGCCCCAACAGACATTGGTCGCAATGCCCCATACCGTTATTGAGAACAATCTTATCAAGTATCAAGGGTTTTCGCTATGGGAGAAGGAAATGGAGCCACGTATGTACAGCGAATTGCAACGATATTATGCTCAAACCATGGCGCCATTGTACGAGCAGGATACTCGCGAACTGATCGAGAGTGTGCGACCGCATTATACTACGCTGCGTAACCGTGGTCTGGACGAGCTAGAATATATTTTCAAGCCTGAAGAATCTCGACCCGTGCGAGCGTTAGCGTATGGTGCTAATTTACGGAGCGAAGACTCACGAACGAACCGATATCGTCAAATGCTGCGTGGATCAGTCGAAGGCGTTATTGGCGGCGGTGCCGCTAGTATCGATGGCGATGAACGTGCCGCAGATGATGTATGTTTGAAAAAAAATGTGGATCAAAATGTTTGAGACTGGGACTGTCCTAACGCTTTTATTCCTTGATTGACAGGCTTTCGCACAGTTGATGGCCCAAGGTACAATGCTAGTGACTCGGGAACAGAATTTTATGTGCGATCTATTCCAGTACTCTCAGGGCGCACCGAAATCATTTTTGGAACGAGGCCACGTTTATGCACAAGTGCCTAACACCAACGAATTATGCGGTCGTCGAGAAAAACCACGCGACATTAAAATGTCAAAGAAGATCATGTAAGCCACACACCTTACATCTCTCTGACTCTCTGTTTACGAAACGTAAAAAAAATAACCAATGTATTGCTCTATAGTGACTGGATGGAAATAATCTTTGAAACGCTCGAACCAAGTATTGTCAGTTTATTGGAATATGGTGTAAAGAGTGATCCTACACAAACGGCTAGTATGCTGGCATCGGTCGAGTTCCAAAACGACAAATGGTTGGGTTCCGATCAAGACTTTTTGTTACGATTATGCAGCTCGCTGATGCAGCGGCTGACTCGTATGTTTGAGCGGTTCGTATCTGATCAGCTCAAAATCATTGAAGATACCAAAGTGAGCACAAAGAAGCGTCGAGGCATTCTGCCCTTTTTCCGAACATTTCCGGTAAGCACTTTGCAAAAAGAACTTCTGATGGATGGGATGAGTAAGGGAGAAAAAGATAGAACGAGGTGCTAACGTACGCATGTCAAAACATGAAACAAAAATCAGTTATTTGCCTTGCGACTCGAAGTGGCCGCAGCCAATGTCGAACCTGACTCGCAGACTCGGCAAACGGTGAATGATGCTTATGAAAAGATCATTAACGCTATGATGTCCAGTTTGGACTCAATTGCTCGCGAAACGGATCAGACAGGTGACGATAAAGAGCAACTGAATGCGAATATTATGTATATCGGTAAGATTCATCATCCTTCCTTTTATCTCTGGCACGAGCTATCGCCTTTTCACTTTATAAAGATTAAACTAATCAGCAATAATGGTGCCTAGAAAATATGCATCACTTCCACCACGAACTTCGATCCAACAAACTTCATGTCCTGGAGAAATGGATCAAATACGCCAAAAGCCACTATGATACCAGTCTCAATGCATATATTAAGGTTGTAATCCGTCGCCCCTTAGGCAAGCTTCTAGAGTTCTTTGAGGGCGTAGATAACCTGATGCACACGAGTACACCCGAAGAAGTCCAGTTCCACATGAACTACAACAAGACTCAGCTGCGTAAAGTGATTGCCATGTATCCAGCCAAAGAGGTAATATACTGTACACTTTGCGATGCAACCCTTGTTTACTAACAGCAACAATTGTGTGTATAGATTAAGAAATCATTAGAGCAACTGTACAAGCGTGTCGACAAACACTTTTCTGAAGAAGAAGGCTTGCTGCAAGTCGTATGGCGTGGCATCCAGGAAGAATTCATACAGCAGCACGAAAAGATGGAGAACCTCATTCAAAAATGCTATCCAGACACTCGGCTCCATCTTGAATTCTCCATTGATGATCTTCTTTCGATGATGAGCGAGTTAGCTCGCAAGGTGCACTTGTAAAGAACAGAGAAGACGAGAACTATATCCCATATATAACAATAATAGTAGCATAAAAAATAGCGTTGATAACGTTTGGTTCATCAAGAAATCATTTGCAATACGCGGGACGAAGCAAACCATCCCACACAGTAGGATCCGCCTCCAGCAGTACCCTCTCATGCCCTTTTTTTTAACTTTGCTATATAGACTTATGAGGAATATTTTATCAACCGCAGCCCTCTTCATTGTGAACAGTAATTATTTACGTTACTGGTTTTATGTGACCGTGAGAATAATGCGTACACATGCCTCTGCGCCCGCTGACACACTATTTAGGTGTAGGCTTTATATATCATTTCGTTCAAAGCATACTGATAGCAAGTTTTATAAAAACAATGTTGAACCCGTATCTGTCCCTGTGCCTTACACTGCCGAGCACCAGGTCTACCGGAGTCCATTTTAATCTCGGTTTCCATTAGAAAAGAAAAATCCATCTCGGCTGGCAAAACATTAGCTCATCAACTTTTAGCATAATATCTTTGGCCGGGAAACCATCGGCAAAATCCAAACATAGGGAAGAAGAGAAAAAGAGTAGAAAATATAAAGAACGGTTTTCAACAATGATTGCAGAGAACCTGGTGTCTTGATAAACTCGCTCTCCTCAATCTCCCTTTTTTTGGAGATTGCCAAAAGTGAAGTAAAGAATCTTTGCCACTAGCGAAAAAAAACAACACTTAAAGGAAAAACGAGGCACCGCTCCAGACTGTTTTTGCCTTTTTGGGGAATTACCGAATTGCCGCAACTGAGTCGAAAGTAATATGTTTCACAAGGAACAAAAACGAATGTGGGAAGATGAAGATTAAAGAGAACCTTGATTTCCTAAAACCCCACCACCGCATGTTTGGAACTGTCAGAAACAAACGCTCGTTCCATCTTTCAGAATGTGAGCGTTACTTTCCTCATTGATCCGGCAATTCGGCCTGGCACGGTCGTTCGATTTTATTATTGATATCATCTTTCAGATGAAACAACGCGACTGTATCGATCATCAAAACGATAAGTCACGCATCCTGATCATTGACTGCATTCGAGGTTCTTTTTTGTATGCATAAACAGCTTTATGTTACATGCTCTAATTTTATCTTTAACAGAGCGAAAAAGGCAACACAAATGGGAGGAAAACATCAGAGTGCTTGTATGTACTATAACAATTATCGTTTACCGCGGACGCTTCATTCTGTTGTTGCTGCCGGCAGTTCAACGCAGCCGTGACACATGTGTCAATATAGTAATGTATTTTAGAGAAAGATATACAGACATGGATTACAGGATGAATAGGTAATAACTTGAACTTCTTTTTGATGAGTGACCTATGGAGTCATTTCACTTATTAAGAGATATAGCGTTATATACTTTGGCGATTACGCTCGAGGTATTCTTTCGCTCTTAATCGTCATTCATGTATTCAAGCGAGCGTAATTTTCGCTTTCGTTGCTGCTGATGTTATGCTGGTGGTGATAGCATAGCTGGCACTTCATGAGACTTTGCTTGTTCCTGTTGACGTTCTACGTGTGGATTTATGTTCAATTGGAGGCGTCACAAGTTCGTTCATAGCACAAGATGACGATGATGATGACAGCGCACGGGTGTAGGTTGATATGACATGGTAGCTGACTCCTTCTGTCTTGTTTGACTCGTAGTTGATCAAAGGATTGTGTGTATGTATTAAGTATTCGCTAATATTAGGCAAAATCAGAAAGCATAAAACATCATCAAGGTATTTTAACAGTACAGTTCGGATATGCGGCGGTAAAACTTTCCGCTTTAATGCGAACCAGATGGCATAAATGTCTTGATCATTAGCTTGACAAAAGCTTCAGGTTGATCGGCATGCACTATATAATTAATATACAGGTTAGAAAACATAGTGTCATAACGATCAGTTACATAATTTTTGGGCTCTCTGAGATCTTTATGTGCTGTTACTTGTTGAGAGAAATGGCCATTATTAATTAAATTGTCGGTGTGCTGTGAGGGCGGGAAAAGGAAGCGATAGATTGATTTCTTCTTCTCCCAATTCCATACACCTTATTAATATAGCCACTTTAAACTCAAAAATATAATTACGAACATGCACATACACACGCACACTCACATCGTTCCCAGTACGCAGAAATGAAAGAAAACTTACCCCAGTGACCGGCACCTTCGATTGTTTCCAATGTCGAATTAGGAAACATGGCACGAATGGTATCACGGTACACCAAAAATTTCTGTCGGTATGGACTGTCGCCACCTGCTATGAAAAGCGTGGGCTTTGCAAATGTGCCCTGTGTATCGAAGGCTGCAATATCATCCAATGACTTTCCAAGCGTTTCATAGTTGGCCTTGATGGAATAAGAGCCGGTCGCCTCGTTGCGTCGAAGATTCGTTAGCAAAAAAGATCGAACGCCTTGGTTTGGCTCATATTGCTCAAGGATTTTGCTGGCAGTAGCTAGTCGATCTGGACGTCGCTCTTTAATTGCTCTAAATGCTTCCACGTACTTGCCGAATCGCAAAACGTAAGAGAGAGGTACAGGAGGCATATCGATTACCACCAAATGAGAAATTGCTGTAGGTGACTGTAAGGCGCATGCCATAGAAGCTTTTCCACCCCTGAATTTAATTTGGTTACTACTTCTACAAGAGCCCTTTTCATTTTATGCAACCCTGTTATTCTTATATTTACATGGAATGGCCGACAAGAACAGGTTGTTCAAGACCTTGATCGGCAATGAACTGAGTTAAATCATTGGCCATGCTGTCAAAAGTGTGTACGTCGCTACGGCAACTGTCACCATGGTTACGCAGATCCTTTTACATTCCACACCAAAACCGGATTAGAAACGAGAAGATTGCAGTAACTCATAATCAACTGTAATCCAGTAAACTTACAACTGTGTAAACATCTCGGGACAGTCGCGTGCTGAATACTTTCGCTAGCGTCCTCCAGTTTTGCTTCGATCCAAACAGCCCATGCGAAATGATTAGTGGAGGGCCCGCGTGGGATTTAGCGGCAGTAGCATACTTCTCAAATGCAAGCGAGACAATTCTTTTGCTCATGATACAATCAAACAGAAACTTTATGTATAATATATATATATATATATATAGGGCAGAACGGAAAACGAAACGAAAACAAACTCATAATTTACAATGCGTGTTGCAGAGCGCGAGTGGGAGTGGGAGGAGATGGAAAAAATGACATATTGTGAAGGACGAGGGGGCGAAAAGAAAGAAACATATGTATATATAAAAGGTAATACTACTACAACACATGAAGGAAAAACGGCATATACAGACTGTTGCGACAACAATAACAACCAACCAACCAGCAACAAGAAGATGAGAACGTGAGAAGAAGAAGAGAGATAAGAGAAATGCGTGCAAACAAGATCGGAAAACAGGAAAAAGGGTATCCAGAACATTAAGCTTTTGGTTTCTTGACTACTTTCTTTGACGGTGATCGGGTGGATGGCAGTTCTTTCCACACAAAGCATGAGTTGCCAGCAAGCTGAGTTTTGGGTTTGCGGCCACGCTTCTTACGGGGCATCTGCAAGACGGTGTCCATGTTGGAGCTCGAAAAGGCCGCCATCATTTCATGCTGATCCGTCTTTGCTTCAGGCACTTGGTTTTGCTCGGGTGGTTGCTGAACAGTCCATGTGACCGGTGCTAAGAAGGTAAAGCCGCCATCGTTGACAGGCTCACGGTTGGTTGGGGGACGACCTCGACGGCGTTTTAATATGGGTTGGCCTGTCGTTGGCGAGATGAGGATCTGAGCAGTTGGCTGTTGCTGTTGCTGTTGCTGCTGCTGTTGCTGCTGCTGTTGCTGCTGCTGCTGCTCGGGCTGCTGTCGTTGTTGTTCGGCTGGTTGTTGATTTCGTTGCGACGGTAAAGGGTGTGGCTGTGGTCGATGTGGAGGCATTTGGTAAAATTGTGGTCGTTGTAGTTGTGGAGGAGATGGCTTTGGATACGCGTGAGACGGAGGTGGAGAGGGAATGGATGATGATGATGATCCGGGAGGAGACGGTGGCGTTGTCACATTGTTGTTGTCTGTGCTCCATGGCGCTACAATGGGTGTTCCCGACAATTTGCGCACGGGAGGATCAAATCCTTGGAGCGGCGGAAGCTCGTCCAAGCGTGGTGAAAGTGAGACACATGAGTTGGTTGGAGACAGTGCCGGCGTACAAGCGCTGGTGGGTGGAGAAGGCGGCGAAAACTGAAAAGAAGGTGGGCGCTGCGATGAGTGAAGCGTGTCGTCGTTGAGCAGATTCGAGATAGAAGGAAGCGTAGTCATAAGAAGTTGCTTGCTGCTGTATGATTGTGAGGAAAAGTAGAATGGGAAAAAGAAAGTTAAAAAAAGAAGCGAGCCAAGGGGAGGCAAAGGCCTATAAATTTATACCAAATATGACGAAAAATGCGTTTTCCAGGAAAGCGCTACGAAAGAACGTTAAGAAACAAATGAATTTCAGAACCCGTTTCTAACTTTTCCTGTGCTTCCTGAGTCCGGCTTTGGACATTCGAAGATCTGTAAGGAAAGAGTGGAAGTGGAGAGGGCACGTGTCCTGCGAAACCGATTTTGTTAATCAGCCATACCAGCAGATAGAGCTCCGCTGGCTAACCGGCCTTTATTGGAGCACAAATCGAACACTGCACAGGTTTCTAAATCCAATATGAGGCTCTATTGCGCGATCTCGCATTCTAATCCGAAACAAGCAAAAAAATACGGCCCGAACGGCTGCAACTTTCCGGTTTTTATTGATTTTTAGTTCTTTTTTAGACATCCGTTTTGCCTAAATCATCCATTATACTAAGCGCGCACACACGCACACACACGCACACACACCACACACTTGAAGCGTCCTATTGTTCTTTTTTACTTTGCATTGCATTATTGCGTAACGTATACCGCCAACACTTGTTATGCTACTTGGAGTCCGCGCTTCTGACTAAAATTATAGCATATGTCATAAAACAGTTCTTGAAGCGCTCGGTGGGACTTTGAATTCTACTTGATCCGTATCAGGAGCCAGTGATCAAGTATGCGATCCACACCGACGACCAGCTTATCTAATTACAGAGCCAAATACCAAGTGCCTTAGTGCTTATAGCCACCGTATCTAAAAGATAATAAAAAATCATGTGTATAAACGAGTGGCATCTTGCGATTATTGTACCACATATTAACATACGATATTTGAAAAAGTTTAGGTTAAAATAGCATCAAGTTTTATAGGTTTCTTTTAAGCATTAGTGACATATTATTTGGATTATCTACACATTTTTGATACTTTCAAAGAAAACTTCAAAGTGTTATTATTTTTACATCTATCGAAAGTAATAAGAAAGTAAAAGACGTCCATTCAAGAATCTTTAACGTTCGTAGCAATAGGAAAACCCAACAAACTGTTAGTGAAATGGTAACGATTTTGTGACCGGAGAATAGGGAGAGAACTTTATCAACATTGAGGAAAGGTGCTACTACCGAAAATCTGAAAGGGGTTGAGTTCTAGAATGTTGACTGGTCCTCTTCCGCCTCAATCGTTGAAATCAATGAAACGCGATGTTATATAACAAATCACTATACATAAGTTTTCAAAAAACTGAAAAAGCTTACAATATGGAATACTTCAAAACCTATGAGATGGAGTCAAAACCTATGAGATGGAGAACCACAGCACTAGAAAAAAGACCAAGTTCTTACAATGACAATTCACTTTGTTTTTGAACTCGACGTCTTAAATAAAATGGCATATCAACTCACTTGATGAGTTGCCCTCGAGACAACTATATGGATTTCCTAGAAGATTCATATGGTTTATGATGAGTCGTCATAGGTCGAACAATCTGGCGCGATGTTTGCAATAATGTCGCCGCAAGTGCAACAACAGCAAAGCTTTTTAGACGTTGCTCAAACGTACCAAGCGCATCTGTAATAAAAGTTGCTTTACAAAGCATTCAGCGTTTACATAACAATATGAACATTTTATATTCTAGTAAGAAATTGGAAAAAATTGATATACTATATGTCGAGAAAAGACAAGTCTGGCATCAGCTCACGACAATACAGCCTGTAACTCGCGGCGATGCTTCTGATCCTCTCTGGTGCTCGTCTCGATTTGCTTATGCCATATCTGCCGCGATGTGTGCCATTGAATGGAAACATCCTAGATGGAAGCTACATAGACTACTGCGAGCGTATTAAGTAAAGAATGAAAGTGCAGTTGCTTAACAATAGAGCATTCGCATGACATGCGAAGCGTGATGTCGCTGACGATGTATTGGAAACATGCAATAATTGAGCTAATCATACGCTTGCACGGCGTTCCATACAATCGGATAACGGACTTCTGGACCTTCCGGTCTAATTACTATCCTTTGCACAATCGCGAGGCTTTGTGATGTCGGACAGAAGTAATTGGACGGTTGGCTGAAGAAGCAACCGACACGTTTGAATAAATGGATGACCAAGAGCTCATATCGACTATAAACAACCATAGATTACTTCAATGCACAAATGACAATGTAGTTGATTATTCGGAAATTCGCGCAAGCTCTACATCTTCACGATTAGTCCCAAAATAACAATTACTGGTAGCAGCAACTTGCTTGCTTGGTTGTAAGCACTTTCCATTTATTCGCTTCTGTACTAAGCACAGCATCTTTTTCCATCCATCTATATACCATAAACGGGCACTAAACTCTTTCTTCACATTGCTTTTGTCAATTCTAAGAAGAGGAGGCAACGCTTTAGTTCTTCAATCAATCATATAGTTTCTTTCTTAAAAATCTGGATCTAAGTAGCAACAGACTGTGTGCTTATTTGACATTTAAACAATTAAAAAAAGTTTTTTATTTTGAAAGATTTGAAACAAAGCCAATCAAAAATATAACGCATATTGGAAAAAATTGCAACGCAAAGTAAAGAGCAATAGTGAAATCGTATGGACCGGAATATGTAACAATCACAGAAGAGAAAATGCACGCTGCTTTCCTTTTCGGGCTACCATGATCTCGCTACTGCCTTGCCACTGGTAAACATTCTTAAGCACGATCCACGCCCGTTTCGCTGTTGATACATGGGCCCGTCGAGGATATCCTTGTGCATTTATCAGTTCGTTGCCAATAGCAATATACACAGCACACGCCGCCCGCACACCGCCTTGACAGTCGAATGGTAAGCGATCGATGCCTCGTCGTGCTCGACCTGCCAACACCTCCGCGCGACGAATCAGTCTCAAAGCCAATGAACGCAATTTGGTTTGACCCAATGTGTCAGCACGCCCGGTCGTCATTGCCTTGCTTTCTGCTTCCGATAACCAATCGCGGGGCAAGTAGCATCGACGGAGCTGCTGGCTGTCCGTAACGATATCGCGTGCGATATTGATGTATTGCAACACCAGCCCCATGTCTCGAGCCCGCTCGATAGTCCATTGTTCCGGATATTCCAGCATGACTCGTGTGCACATTTCACCCACGCTGCTTGCGACACAGGCCGAGTAGTATTCCAAATCCGCAGCGTTTTTGACAGTTGCCCGATCCAGATCAAAAGCATAACCATCGAGCAATTCGTTGACAGCGTCGACTTGAAGCTTGGGTCGCAGTCTTGCAAATGCACGGAGCGAGGCAATACATGAGGCAGGCAAGTCATAGAGGGACCAGTCCATCGTGGGAGTCTTGGTAGCAAACATGTCATGTATGCAGCGGCGCACCGTAGCAAGCTGGGTCTTGCGCTGTTCGACGGAGGACACCTCGTCATCAGCGAGATCATCCGTGGCACGGCAAAAACCGTAGAGGACGCCAAGATCTTGACGAATATGTGTGGGAAATACGGCCGACGCAGTGTAGAATGAAAATGAAGCCTGCTTCAAGATGCGCCAAGTCGTATGCAAATCGCGGAAGGTTTCTGCATGTAGTGCCTGATCCGGCAGGCAAAAGGCGCGAGTCAAATTCAAGAGCAGCGTCAGATTTGAGGAGAAACCAGTTGCCATGCCACTGTCACTGTTGCTGTGGAGATGGAGAACGGCTTGTGCACGGTCGATAGCGCAGGTTGCAAATACAAGTACCACATTAATTATAAGAAAGAACATAAATTCCTCAACAGGGAGGCTCGGAACGACCATGACGCCGGTACTTGTTCGAAGAGAAATGTGCCATGTGCCAGCAGCGATGGCAACCTTATCAACCCAGCAAAGATAGATTGTGGGTACAGCGATGGAAAAGAGAACAGCCTTGTAGCGACGGCAGATGTATTCACCTCCACCGAACCACAAAAGTGCAAGAACAGGACATGCGTACCACAAGATGCAGGAACCATAGAACAGGCGAGTGTCCGGCACAGCCGTATTCTATATCGAACAAAGAAAAATGATGATCCCAATTAATACACGTTGTAAGATTATAAGTGAATTGGTGAGGCGGAAGGGGGGGAGTACAACTATAACAAAGTCGAGGGGCTGTCTTACCCATGCACGCAAACCAACTGACAAAAACGCAGCGACCGGCAAGTATCGGATACACATGGACTTGTAAACAGAGGCATCAGGCTTGATGAAGGTGCTTGGAAGGTGCCACCGCATAACCAGGTTGGTGAAGGCAACGGTCATCAAAGACATGATCAAAAAGAACATATATTCCTCCAAAGGAACATAGCCGATGACAGCAGTGACACAGGATGGGCAGTACCACCAGGCACGATGGTAGACAATGTAGTTATCCCAAAGCGATGCGGTTGTCAACGCCATGATGCAGAGAAAAGAATACTTGAAAGTGTCTTGCGGGGAGTGGAATGGGCGGAGAAGAGCAAACAGTATACCGAGAACCGGGAGTGTGTAGTAGAGATGAACTTCCATATAAGTGAGCATGATGGGCAATAACAGAAAATTTATAAATTAGAAAACTTTTAAGAACGAGGAATATAAGTGAGGTGAGAGAGTGGTTGTGCTTTGATGATGTCTTTTTTTTCTTTCATTGTATGGACCCGTTTTATATCTTTTTCGCATCTTCTGTGCTATCTCTTATTCTCGCTTCATCGTCAAGAAGCTCGTTTCGCACACTCTGTCTGTTATGCCCGACAACACTCTCCAAAGAAGGAGAAAGTGTGATCGTCCTTTTGCCTAAAATGGGTCAAAACCGAGCTAAGCGTAAAGGAGTACCCGTCGGCTGCATAATTCATAATGAATTTTGTTTTGTATCGTGCTTCATCACGCTGCACTGTGAGATACCCCTTACAGCTGCAAGAAGACGAACGGACGCGTCGACAACAGCACCTCTACGAAATATTTTTAAGGTCAGGATGTGTTCCGGGCGGTGGATGCTCTGGGTATATATTGACAACGTCCAAGCGAAATCAAAAAAACACTCCCCTTAAACTTCTTCCCACATGTCCCATCAAGAGAAGCAAAAACACATCATCGTTATCGGCGCTGGCGCAGGCGGTACTGCTGCTGCGGCTCGTCTGGCTCGCGAAGGCTTCAAGGTGACCGTGGTGGAAAAGAACGACTTTAATGGCGGTCGATGCTCGCTTATTCATCATGAAGGCTACCGCTTCGATCAAGGACCGTCGCTATATCTGATGCCCAAGCTATTCAAGGATACATTTGCCGACTTGGACGAGCGCATTCAAGACCATCTGAACTTATTGCGGTGCGAAAATAACTACAAGGTCCATTTTGACGATGGTGACAAGATCCACTTGAGCTCTGACTTGACACGGATGAAGCCCGAAATGGAGCGTATTGAAGGTGTCGACGGTTTTGGCCGGTTTCTTGACTTTTTGGGTGAGACGCACGAGCATTATGAACGCGGTACACTCATTGCCATCAAGCGCAACTTTGAGTCTATCTGGGATATGATCCGTATCAAGTATGCACCTGAAATCTTTAAGCTCCATCTATTTGACCGCATCTATGCACGCGCATCCAAGTATTTCAAAACCAAGAAAATGCGCATGGCCTTTACTTTCCAAACGATGTATATGGGGTAAGCTTACATCATGCATACTTTCATTGTTCTTGAAAATTTCCTCTCTTTATGGTTTTTCACTTGCTTACTAGCCAATGACGTTTGATCCCCCCCCCTTAAATAGAATGTCACCATATCACGCCCCTGCTGTATACAGTTTGCTCCAGTACACTGAGTTTGCGGAAGGCATATGGTATCCAGAAGGCGGTTTCAACATGGTCGTCCAAAAGTTGGAGAAGATTGCCAGAGACAAGTATGGCGCCACGTTCCGCTACGACTCCCCAGTGGCCAAGATCAACACCGAAAGCAATCAAGCAACGGGTGTTACCTTGGAATCCGGAGAAGTGATCCAAGCTGACGCAGTAGTATGTAATGCAGATCTGGTCTATGCGTACCACAAGCTCCTCCCGCCCTGTCGCTGGACACAAAACACTTTGGCTAGCAAGAAGCTCACATCGTCATCGATTTCGTTCTATTGGTCCATGGATCGCAAGGTTTCTGAGCTCGACGTGCACAATATCTTTTTAGCCGAAGCCTATCGTGAGAGCTTTGACGAGATCTTTGACGATCACACCTTGCCATCCGAGCCGTCGTTCTATGTCAATGTTCCCTCGCGCATTGATCCCAGTGCTGCACCAGAGGGCAAAGATTCTATTATTGTCCTGGTGCCTATCGGCCACATGCGCGGTATAAACCCAACGGAAGACTATGAAGCACTTGTTGACCGCGCGAGAACCATGGTGCTCGATGTGCTTCGCCGGCGACTTGGCCTTGACCACTTGCAAGACTGGATTGTCAACGAGATTGTCAACGACCCTGCAGTATGGCAGAAAAAGTTCAACTTGTGGCGCGGTTCCATCTTGGGCTTATCACACGATGTCCTCCAAGTGCTGTGGTTCCGTCCTTCTACAAAGGACTCGACTGGCCGGTTCAACAATTTGTTCTTTGTGGGTGCTTCGACGCATCCAGGCACAGGTGTTCCGATCGTACTTGCCGGCAGTAAATTGACATCGGACCAAGTATGCAAGCATTTCAACAAGACACCCAAGCCCTCGCAATTGAAGGAAGTGGCGCACGTGTATGAGCCTGAGCGTGTCGCTGCTGCATCGTACTGGTACTCTTTGCTCTCATTGTTCATTCTGGTGTTTGCGTTTTTCGTCAGCTTCCCGTCTGAGCAACTGGGGCACCCCACTGCGGCTGCGTTCATAAATTCATGCTTGCCGGTCCAATTCCGTGTAGCCGTCTACGAATAAACACCCGCCATGATCGTTTTGAAAACAACAAACTAATTTAGGATCACACAAAAACAATCGCGATCTAGCTATCTATTATTAAACAAAATAAAAGTCATCTTTATTTCTATTGCTTAAACTTTTCTCTTCTCGATTGTCTTTTTCTATTGTATCTACTGGAATATCTAAATTTGGCTTATAAAATGAACACTACTACTACTACTACTGCCGCCACCGCCACCCACAACACCTATTACATGTTGGATGATGATGAAACCTTGCTGATTCCAAGGACACCTCCTCCCCCGTATTCAAAGCGCGCGGCTACATTGCATGCAAAACCCACATTCTGGAGTCCTCGCACGCCCCCACAACAAGACGGCTGGCTGACAATGAGGGGTACCCGACTTGTAAAATCCATTGCAAGACAAGCCGCCTCCCGCCATACAACGAGTAGCACGACTGAATACAATGCTACGAGAACTACTGCACCCATGGATACGGAGCATATTGCGGGGACCATTACTATGGCTACGCGAACGACTACCACTACGGCACCCTCCTCGCAACAGCGACGAAGAGATTTTAGCATACTTACACCGCGGCTAGGCCATGTTACGCATCATCATCATCATCGCGATAATAGCAAGTGTACGATCATGTAATATTAGTAGTAAATGATATTATGTGTTGTTAATAAACGCTATGTACTTTCCATTAATTAAGTCCTGACATCGTCCGCTGTGTGTATAAACATGCGCGTGGTCGCTATTGCGTATGAGTATTATATGTGGTGTATGTATGTAGTATGCTCCATCCAAACACGGTGGACCCGAGGGTCTATGTATGGGCAGATAAAAAACGCAGAGTGCATGGGGCAAAATTTCCCATTCCTAAGAAGAAAAGGGGTGCCTATATCCTCCAATAATGGTTAATATCACCCAAATTTGACAGAGTTTGCTTCCCCCATTTTTTTATCCTAACGGTCCAATCCATAATGCGCGGGCTTGTACGCAAGCACGTATAAGCGCATATCAATATAAAACATAATCTATGTATTTTTTCTTCTTTTTCCCTTCTTTTCATTCACTAGTTAAAACCACCAACATACCTGTTTTCTTTTTCTTGTTTAAATCATGGATCCTATATACGAGCCAGGTAAGAAGACTTTAAAGAAGTTAATCTAATTAGGTTCATGTCTTGTACGGTGCTTCTCTTACACAAGTCATTCTTATAGCATTGACAGATTACATCCGCACTGCCGTTATTGGTGACGGCGAAGAACGCTTGTTTATAAACAGCCAGCCATCATCGCATAACAGCACAACTCCAGGAACACCCACAAGTGCCACATTTTTTAGCAACAGTCCAAACACCTGCAGACCTCAGCAGCTACAACAATCGCAAATAGCTCGCCCAATGATGACCCCGCCACTTGTTCAATATTCGCTTTTCCCAGCACCTTCTTCATGGGATTGCTTTGGTCCCCGTAAGTCGGTATCAAGCAGCGAAGCATCTTGGCGTCGTCGCTGTGCGTACTGCTCATCCAGCACGGACCACCTGCAGCCGTGCGGCCACGCAGTTTGCCAGATTTGTATCGCCTCCCTTCCTTTTGCACTACGATCCGCATGCTCCATGTGTACAGACCAGCAGGTATCGTAATGATGAAAGAAAGCTCAACATTTGTGCGTTATTGTAATATGTGATCAGCTGATCCTAACTGATATTCTTAGCCACACACTCCAACCATTCCAGAGGCACCACCAGCCCGCCATCTCCTGGCACCTCCTCCATATTATCCATGCGCCAAATTGACTAATGTAAATACAAACATAGCAAAAGATCATCTATAAAACACGTGCACACGCACACGTAGATGACTCACATTACAGCAAAACCGTTTTCGCTATCGTTTCGGTTAGATCCCTTGGGACGTATCTCAAAACGACGTACGAAATTTTTTCGGTCACTGTAGACTCCCTTCGTTGTCTGTACAAGCGCAATCGATTCATATCATGATGGATCGCACGACAGGCAAGACGCTATCTGACGCCTACGTTGAATTCGCAACACAATTAGATCTCATCCGTGCTATTGAAACACGTCATCAAAAGCCTCTCAAGGGCCGTGTCGTAACAGTTACCGAATGTACGCAAGAAGAACTACTCACTGTCGTGTTTCCTAAATGGCGCGGCCAATTCTGTGGTGTATCGGCGATCCCACCTCCTTCCCAGGTTGTCAAATCTATGTCGACCGCTGCCGGCGGCGGTGGCACCCAATGCCCTCCTTTTGTCACCCGCGAAGAAATTAACGCGCTACTTGTCGTGTGCAAAAACTATAAGCTTCACTTTTCTCGAAAATGCGCAGAGCGCCCGTTCGAGAATATTGTCAGCGTAATCACAAAGTATCCATGGCATCAAGTACATTTGATTTCCACAATGCACCGCGATCATATCTATGAAATGCTCAAGTTATCTATTGGTGAGAAACAAAAAAAAAAAAAATAGAAAGAAAGGCTTATAGTCGGATGAGCGTTATCTATTCACTAACAGTTTTGTGGCACTGTTTTACAGAATCCTTAAAAGCACACCTTTCAAAGGACTATGTTCAAATCGATTCTTCGCTGTTGGAACGTGTAACACGTGCAGGAATCATGTGTCCAGCATTCACTGAACGGCAGAAAATGACGTTGCTACAGACCGCCAGAATTGAATGCACACCAGATCTTTTCCAATATCTTTTGCCAGTTGGTCCACCATCTCCTGCAGGACCTGTTCCTGAGCCATACTATCAAAAGGAGAGCTTCTTACAAAAAGTATAAACGCAACGCTATTGCCTCTTACAGCTCTAATTGATAGAGAACATGCTTAACACATCCAACAACACCTACAACTACAGCAATACAGCACACGCATGCACTCAAATGAATACTGTATACACACCAACTAGCATTTGTCCAATTTCCTTCATACTCTTATAATTTCTTTCATTTATTGTTTATGACAGTTTATAATATCATTTACAACGAAATCATTGTTATTTAATTAATTTTATTCTTTCCTGTCACTAACGAATAAAGTAATAACAAATCGAGTAGTAGTGTGCTTTACATATAAACACTAAACTACAAGAAGAAAAACCTGCATAACAGAAGCGTACTACAGCACATCAATCATAAAGATCACCCTTTTTCACACAACGTATAAGCGCTCCTCATTGTAGACCATAACTTTATAAGTAGAGACGCATGTTATACTTGAAGTTGAATTCCTAGTACGAAGTATTACTGAATAACCTTTCTATTGTTATATAATTGTCGTCGTCTACTGCGGTTCTCGTTTGGCAATACTAGAGCTTGTAAACTACTATGCTGTAATAGTAAGTCTAGTACAGTCCGCAAAGGTCGCATTCCAGGTTTGATATTGACTAGCATTTTTCGTAGTAGTTTCATCACGAAGTTAGAGCTAAATACTACGATTGTCTACAAAATAATAGTTAATAGCTGGAATTGGTGATTTTTGTGCAACATATGCAGCAGCTATACACAGCTTCTCTTGTAGATAACATGATATATAGCAATTAAGATCCTCTTCTGTCAGGTACTATTCTTAATCTTGGAGGGGGGAGGGGTGTGTGGACAAGACTTTTTAACACTACAACTATAGCATTAAGTTTTTGCATTTTTAATACCGATCATTGATCGCTATGGGGTGATAATCAATGAAACAGGGGGAACAGTAAACAGCGCGAAATGAGATTCCGTGGGCAGACAACGATGTTACGGGCTTCTATTAGTTTGAAATGATTGAGCGTCAAGTATTTTTCGGTGCCCTATGCTTTCACCTGGATTCAGGAGAAGGAGATCGTAAATGTCCCTGAAATTCCAAAGTTAACGGTCCAATAAGTCCTATTTTGGAAACCGATGCTACTGGCCATCGCCGATACCCCGTCCTTATCAACTATTGCACACAATGGCGCATACAATTAGAGTATAAGGAAGTAGTAAAGTAAGGATGATCCGTGCTTAAATACCACAGTTCACAACGCCATTGTTACAGAAATGGCTTTAAGTGTCTGTGTAGGTATATATAAGAGGGGTTTGGGGTAAGCCAAAGATAGAGAAAAGAAGTGAAAACTGTGGGTCAAACACACAGACTCCGTCAAAATATATATTGTTCATCACAACTTGTCCTATATTTTTCGTCCATATAATACAAAGTAAATTTGAAGCACAAAGAAACAGTCTATTGCTGGAGATTAACTTAGAAGTAACCGGGCAAGATATAATCGAGCTTTTTGACGGTTTCGGGGTTCTTCTTCTCCTGTGCAGTCATGCCCGAGAATTTCATCGAGCCCTTTAAATCGGGCTTCAAGGTATTGGAACGAACAGAGTTGTCCAACTCAGGAAGAACAGCCATTAACAATGTCTTTGCATTCGTCGAGTTGTTGACCATGTTCTGCATCACCGTTTCCACGTTGACAGCCTCTTCTTCTACACGCCAGCAGTCATAATCCGTCGCCATGCACACCATCTGGTAAGCCATCTCGCACTCACGAGCCAACTTGGCTTCTGGCAGCGCTGACATGTTGATAATGTCACCGCCCCAGCTACGATACATATGTGATTCAGCACGCGTCGAGAATGCGGGACCTTCCATGCAAACAGCCGTCTTGTTGCGGTGAATCTTGGCGCCAAATTCAAGCACGTGGCTCTGCTTGTGCACCAAATCGGCAATGCCTTCGTGAAAGGGGTCGGCAAACATGGCATGTGCAACAACACCATCACCAAAATATGTCGAGGGACGGAGGCCGCGCGTACGATCAATCAACTGGTCGGGCAAGACAAAGTCGCAGGGCGGAATCTCTTCGCGGAGCGAACCGACAGCCGAAAAGGCAAGAATGGCTTCAACACCAAGATGCTTCAGTGCAGCCATATTGGCGCGCTGTGGGACTTCAGTGGGCGTAAGATAATGACCACGACCATGGCGAGCAAGGAAAGCAATCTTGGTACCGCTGGGAAGCTTGGCAATAATAATCTTGTCGCTTGGGAAGCCCCATGGCTACAATGTGAAGTAAGAAATTTGTCGTTAAGCTTTCTCTTTTTTTTTTCTTCCTTTCAATGCATGTGCGTGTCGTTTTGTCGTGTGTGAATTCTAGACGAAGCTCGAGTGGAATACTTTACAGTTTCGGGATTAACCTCTTCGACGATTTCGAGGTTATCCAAATTGTATAAGCCAGAGCCGCCGATCACGGCAATTTTGACATCGTGAGTGGTTGACATGACGCTAGGAGAGTAAGAACAGAGGACTTTAACAAGAAGACCAGTATCAAAACTTTTTATTTGCGGTGCGTACGCACTGCTGAGTTTCGCTATCAATTGGAGGTACGCGGACCAAAAGCGTACCGAAAGTGATGCGATTTGCAAGCGAAGAGTATGCCATATCAACAATGATCATGTGGTAATCCAAAGAAATGGGACTGGCAATAACTTATGTGGTTTACTTTCAGACGGAACCGTATCGTCGCTTGAGTTGATCAAAATTAGTGTGAGAATACCTCGTCTCAATAAGAAGAGAAAGGCTGGGCGAGGATCTGGAATTTTAAGCACTGGAACTGTTACAGGACACTCATTAGCTTTTTGAAGGAAATATTGAATGGAATGGATCAATATTCACTTATGAAAGGACATTATCCAATAAGTAATAACGCGCCTATACACACATCAACTGTATTGCAAGATATATTTAATATCGTGGATATCAACGTGCATATCTTCATATTCTCCTGAGCTCAATCCAATAGAACAATTTTGGTCTGTTGCAAAGAGCAAGGTTAAACGTTACAACAAGAGACCTTGCTACAAGAATTCGTGAGATGCAATAATGTAAAACTAACAGGTTTCATTGGATTCGTTTCTCATTCACATAAATGCTTAGATAAGTGTCGTAAGAAGACAACTTATAAAACTCATATGCAATGATCCGATGACGGCTGTTATTATAATATATACAATAGGTAAGAAATTAATTGTCAGTATAAAGATAAGTAAAGTCTCTTTTTTTCTTTTATATTTATAGTTAACCATCATAATTTTACTCAAAATGGTTTTTATTAAACAGCTTTATTCAACACTCGTGATGTTGCTACTAAAAACAAGGGACATCTATATCAAAAATACGACATTTACTATAAATAATACGACTTCAAGTTTCAAAATGTGCGACAATATTTTCAGAAAATGCGACATTTATTTTGCTTTCCAAGCTACTTTGATTCATAACAACATATAACATTAATTCTTTTCGGTTGCGACATGTCCTTATGTTTGGAAGCTCGAGCACGAACCTGTACAGAGAATCTGCACCTGTATCGGGTAATGAATGGGCAGATAAACTTTATCTTGTATTAATTCGTAACTTTATCCTGTTGAAATGCAGGTATATGTCTGCAAGTTTAAATACTGCGCTTGTGCGTTAAATTAGGAGTAATCTTAGGATACACGATAGCATATCTTTACTTGGATCAAAGTGTTCTAAATAAGTAGTCGATTGAATGAGAAGCTGGGTATCCCAAGATTTTATATTTTTTTGCTTATTCTTTTTGTGTTGCCTTACTAAGGTACTAATTACAAGTATGCTTTTATTAAAGTGGGGTTGGCCTGTTATTTTTGAGTTTGACATTTTCTATGATAATACTTTTGGTTGTCCAGGAATCCATTTACGTAGAACCTCCGGTATCTCCACCGTTCCATCCGGGCGTTGGAAAGTTTCCAAGAGTGCAATGATTACTCGCGGTACTGCAATCGCAGTGCCATTGAGTGTATGGCAGAAATTCACCCATTTCTCCTTGATATGCCAGGGTACACGTACGTCCTTTGGTCCAACTTGTTCCTTGAATTGTGATGAAAGATACCGGATGTCCAGTCGTCGCGTCTGATAATCCGTGCAATTGGATGTGGATGATATCTATAAGTTATAGTGCAAATGCAATCATTAATTGACTTAGTCGATTACTATCTTAAATGGCACAGAAGAGTAGTTACCTCGCCCCAGCTCCGTCGACCTGGCATCCATGCTTCTATATCATATTTACGGTAAGCACTTGCACCTAGCTCTTCAGTTGGCATGTCAAGGACCCTAATCAAAAGACGACATGAGCACTAGTATCGAGTAAAACACAAATGATCCCAGAGATAGACCACCACACACTAACCGGAAGCATAACCCGAGCTCAGTAAAGATATCCTCTTGCAACTTCCGTAGCTCCTCGAGTAAACCGTCACTTTGAGCCGGTGTAGTAACGGCAAAAAGTTCGACCTTGGAAAATTGATGTACGCGATACAATCCTCGCTCTTCTGCCGACCCATGGCCTGCTTCAGCACGGAACGCACGACCAAAACCAACAACCCGCTGCGGTAAAGACTCTTCTTTGAGCATTTTTTCAGCAAACATACCAGCAAGTGGGATTTCAGCGGTGCCTGTTAAACACAATTTGGGTGCCGAGGTATTGACCATACTGGCCGTAGTGACATCGTAAATCTGCGATGCTTCAGTCTTGCGTGGCTGAAAACCACATCCATATGCGATCGATGCGCGCACAACGTCCGGTGTAATTACTGCACCAAAGCCATGTTCCGTAGCCTTTTGCATGGCATACTGAATAAGCGCCATTTCAAGCCATGCACCGTTATTTTTCAGGTAGTAAAACTTGGATCCGCTCACTTTGGCTGCCTGGCCAAAGTCCACGAGATCAAGCTTTTCTGCCAAGGTAAGGTGATCCACAAGGCCATCCTCAAGGCGCTGTTTGCCTACAATCTTTAATACGTGTGCGTTTTCTTCTGGCCCTATTGGCGCGTCCGGATGGGTGTCGTTGGGAATCAATAGCGCGTGTGCAGACATGTCGGATTCAACATTCGAGAGTTCCTCTTCTAACGTACGGAGCTGTTCTTTGTACTGTCGTCCACGATCGATGAATTGTTGTCGTTCGTCTTTATTTTTTGCACTTCGAATTAGCTTGTTTGTTTCGTCGCGTTCCTGGGTCAATCGTTGCTTCTTGTCCAAGATCGTTTCGCGCACGCTATATAGTTGCTTCACTTTGTGAACAATGTCACTTTCGTACTTTCGCAACTGCATATTTTTTTCAATGGTCGCAGCATTGTCAACTAGGTGCCCGTAATTCAGTTGTGGTGGGATTTGGTGTGGTGCATCGTCTTCAATGTGGCCTGCTGTTTGAATCCATCGCACAGTCGTTGCTTTTTTAAGCGACTTTCTAATGGTAACAGGGGGTCGATACGATAAACAACGTCGAAGCATGGTTGAGATAGATAAAAAAGAGCAGCAATGACCGCCAGAAATAATGACAGTTTCTATCAGTCACCTCACTTTTCAAATTTTATTTTATGCCGCCTTCATGATCGACAGCAATTTTATATCAAGGCCGAAACAAGAACCTATTTTGGCTGCTTGAATATAAGTCTATGAAGAAATAGTAGTACATCGTATTTGAGAAAAAAAACTTAGTACACAGGTATATAGTTGCCTCTTGTCTGTCTGGAAAAATCTCCATCGTGCACAATGACCAAGTTGAACAAAACTTATTCGAGACCGAGCCAAAAAAGCAAAATTCTGCGTTGGTTGCCGAATAAAGTGTAGGATGAGAGTGAAAGGAGCGTAAAATAAGCGATTCAGATTCGGGATCATTTGAATAAAGTAATGGAAGTTACAGTGGATGATAACATACTAGAACTCCAACCTTGGGCAATTAGGTCACGCGGTGCTCGTCTGTTTTACCCGTAACTGATAACAATCGCGTATCATACAGAAGCAAGATCGCATTTACTGGAGGCTCAGCGAGCAGAAAAGCTCAAGATGACTACTTTTCAATAAAGGAAAAATCAAGATGTTGTACGCCACAAATGCTTTTGATCAAGGTGTCGAACGGTGATTTCAAAGAAGACAAGAGTGGTCATCGATGGCTGTTCGATAAAAGTACAGTACATGACTGATATCGGAACCTTTGGCAAGTAAGAGCCTTTTGAGTTAATATTCTGTCGTTGCTGTTGTTACTGATTGCTGTTAGCGTTGCTATTATTATTCGCTAGGTCGTCTTGCAGCCTGCATACATCATTAACAGTCATTTAAACAACAAACTGGCACTTCACATTATTCTTAAACTTTCGTGTCATAATTATATGTACAATACAGAAATATATTACGCAGAACACACCAACTTATATCCGCTCCGAGCTTCCTCGCGTACTAAGTAGAGTAAGTTTCCATGTTAATTCTTTACTAAAGGAGAAAATTTGATACTATCATTAAAGTTGGTGTAGCCGTTGTTGAATTATGCTTAGTAGATGGAGTAGTGTCTTGGGCATCATCTGATTCATGTAAGGCAACGGTCGACTGAAGATTTTCGTACAGCTTTGCACACTTTGCCATTTTGCCTATTTGCTTAAAGCATTAGCATCTCGCATGATTGCGACATACTGAAAATTTCGCCTCGTGCCATTTTTGGCTGTAACATCCGAAAGTACAGTACATACTACAACACTGCTACTCGTATTATCGTCGTCTGCGGCATTTTCCGCATCTTTATCACCCTTTTTGCCTGGAATGCACTTGGGGAGATACCTTCAAATGCGCCAGGCGCAATCTAGCAAAGAGCAGGTGCTGTTGCGTGGAATTAGCGTAAAGACTTCGTCAATGAGTCTTTAAATACTTGTTGATGAGGGCAGGTCGTTACATCGTGGACCACTTAGGGAAGCAATGGCTTCTTCATGGTCTCGTAGATAACTGAATCCATAAAAACACACTATAGCAGAAGGACACTAGTGCCTCGAGTGATCCGACCTATCAAAATACTTACGTCAAGCGAACAACATCACTGTTCGAAACGTTTGCCTTTTCTGCGCATACGTGTAAAAGACGCGACATGGGAAATCGCGAAGCTTTGAACTCGAGAGAATGTGACGATAAAGCGTAGAACATTAAGAGACTGCGACAACTGCATATATATACAAACTCTTTTGCTATGATATTGATATAACCAGTAGTGCCCCCGCTTTTTTCACTTATATAACATTTCCAACTAACAATAAAAATATGTATTTTTTATTCTTGAAACTTTTCAAATTGATGTGTATCATAGCAAGATAACCAGCAGTAGTGCACTTGAAATAGTTGAAATCTTATCATCTTTGTTATGATAAATATACATCTTATGCTTCTATGAAACAGCAAAGCAAGCACTTTTTTATCGACGGATGAGATACTGGTCAAATATAAGCGATAGGCAATAAATATCAACGGTCGCAAAAGTGTTCGTTTAAATTTTTCCATAATTATTTGACGTGAATGGCTTGTGTATGTATAGCAAAGTAGAAGAGAGTAAGTATACCAATAAACAATTCAGCGTGAAGAGGAAGCATAAGTACATCGGATGATGTTGTGGATGCCATTATTGCAGGTCTGCTATAACATTTTATTGTGTATACATTTTTAGTATCGTTCAACGACAACTACGAAAAATAGCAGTTGGCTGTTTTGAGCATTATTCATTATATCTGAATTTTGTTCTGGTTTTGCAACAGCTATATAGAAAAAAGTAATAAATTCCCTCATTCGCAGAGTATCGTTACGTGGTGGTTGCGCTTTATGTCGAAAGCTAGCACTTGCTTAGCATCACACATCTAATACCCAACACAACGCTTCATAGTCCTTCAAAGATGTGGTATGACAAAAACAACTATAAAAACCTGTAGAAAGATATAGTAGAAAGGTCGATTTTGCTGCTTGATTCTTGCTTATGCAGTTCAGTAAGTTTTTTTTTTTTTTGTAGGTGACCGTGGGTCAAGTGCAGTTCAGTAAGGCTATGTATAACGTCGAAAAAACATTGGGTGCCAGCTCCAGCATACACGGGAGGCGAGCCGCTTTAACCCCGCCAGACCTATGACGTACGCTCAGCGATTCGTAATTGAGCGAGAAATAGAGAGAGCGCGCGTCGCTTTGTTCAGCAAACCTCTATTGCGATCAGTTTGTCCTTTCCAACAAAACCTCAATCTCTTATACTTTTTTTCAGTTTTATAAACATAAAATCCGCTCAACATGTCACTGGAAGCGTCAATGATTGTGTAAGCTTCTTCTCAAATCACCATACAAAAACCAAAAGAAAAAGAAGGCCAGATATAAGCTTTCCTTCTCTCTTCCTTTCCTCAGTTTAACGTAACTCCACATTAAATTTATAGGATTGACAACTCAGAGTGGATGCGGAACGGCGATTATACGCCCAATCGACTCGCAGCGCAAAACGAAGCTGTCAATCTCATCTTTTCGTCAAAGACACAGGCCAACCGAGAAAGCACGGTCGGCTTGATGACCATGGCTGGCAAGAGCCCTGAAGTGTTGGTCACATTAACTTCGGATGTCGGTAAAATTCTGTCCGCACTACACGGCGTGAAAATCAGTAACAAGGCTGATTTCATGACGGGTATACAAATTGCACAGGTAATACTAATATTTTGTCGATGGTTTTGTCAGTTGCTTGGCTGGTAGAAACATATGTATTGATATGTCAAATTTATATAATGACCTCTAATTTGTACGCGTAATCTGCTTGATATTATGTTGTTGTATATGTGTAGCTTGCATTAAAACACAGACAAAACCGAAATCAACGTCAACGCATTGTGGTGTTTGTCGGTAGTCCAGTCGAGGCAGACGAAAGAACGCTTGTTAAATTGGCTAAGAAGATGAAGAAGAATAACGTTGCTGTAGACATTGTCAATTTCGGAGAGGAGGCAGAGAACACGGCCAAGTTGGAGGCATTTATTAACAATGTTAATAATAGTGATAACAGGTACTGCAAAGGCTATGGGTTGGGTTGGGTTGGGTGGAAAAAATAAGAAGGGAGGAGAATTTGTCACCGAAAGAAAGTAGTAGAATAGCTGAACCTTTCTTTCCATATTGCTTGACTTTCTGTTTAGTCACCTTGTCAGCATTCCTCCAGGACCTCATATTTTAAGCGACATGCTTATATCGACCCCGATTATAGCTGGTGAGGAAGGCGCACCCAGCGGATTTGGTGGTGGAGGCGGTGATTTCGAGTTTGGCGTTGATCCCAATTTGGACCCTGAACTTGCTTTGGTAAGGACATTTTAGAGAAAGCAAAGAAGTAGCCGGTTAACTAGTATGCTAAAAATCTCTTGTAATAAAATTTAGGCACTCCGTATTTCATTGGAAGAAGAAAAGGCCCGTCAAGAAGCCGAGGCAGCAAAGCAGGGTGGAGGCAGTAGTGGCAGTGGCGACAAATCAATGGGCGAATCTTCGTCATCACAAGCAGCACAAGTTAGCGGCGAAAGTATGGCCATTGACTCGAAAGCACCAGCAAGCGGAGAGCAGCAGAAGCATGAGGATATGAGCGCCGAGGATGCTGAATTGCAAGCTGCTCTTGCCATGTCGATGGGTGATAATAATAATGCCCAGGGTGGCGCTGTACCGGTATGTAGATGACCAGTCTCGTCAAATTTGTTCTAGTTATTATGTGATCTAATATGTATATTGCTCTTGACCTCTAGGACGAAGATGTAAACATGGACGATCTCAGTGAACAAGACCAGCTCCAGCGAGCATTGGAAATGTCAATGAACAATGATAGCGCTGAGGCAAACAACGAGATGCTGTCTGCAGTACTGAGCTCGTTACCCGGTGTGGACCAGAACGACGAGCGGATCCAGAAGGCATTGGAGGATCTTCAGGATAAGAAGGACAAGGAAGGCAAAAAGGATGACGATAAATAAAAGGAGAAATCTCATATCCATTTCCTTCTACCCTTTTCTTTATATACGACATGCGCATACTATATTACCCTCTACCTTCTTCACCTTCCAATCTCACGATCTAAATAAATAAAAAAAAAGAGAAAAAACGACATAGCAACTACTACTCTAAATAATTGTAATTTATCCTCTATATCGCAGTTTTTGCTTCGGGTAATTACGAGTCATACGGGCGGCAAAGGAAAATACTTGTAATACGGCAACAAAAACAAAAAAGCACGTGAATAGGATAACATCGCAGTGCCGCTGTGTTGCTTATATCGTTCAAAAGAATGCATACGAACCCCACGACTTATTGAAGCATGTACCAGCAACACTATGTGTACGACAGTCACCACATATACCACTTTTCCCAACAAAGATATCCAAGTCCAAGCACACAACAGCCAGTGTACCAAGCGCGCATTACGCGTCTAGTTTGTACAATATGAAAAAGGCGGGAATAATTTTTATTTTGGGTTTTTGGAAATAGTTTACTCGACAAACAAAAGAGAGCAGAACAGAGAGCAAATAATTTAATCCTTCTTGGAGAACTCGGAAGCGACGTCGCTGACCTTTTGGCGCAAGTCATCGGCCTTCTTGTCAATATCGCCTTGGGCCTTGAGCAAGTAAGGACGCAAGAAACGGGAGTACAAGACTTCGGCACCCTAATAATAACGACCAAAAAGTCAGACATAGCGTATAAACAAGGTTGTCGTGCATATGTGCAATGCGACCCCTCACGCAGCAGCAGTGCACATACGTTCAGTGCTGCTCGCTCACACGCACACACATATTGTGGTCAACATAAAAAAAGCACTGGGTACTTACTCGGAACTGAGGCAGTGCGAGCCAGAGGATGAAGACAGTCTTGAAGAGATAGTAGAAGGGGAACCAGTACAAGAGGACATCAGAGAAGAATTCAACGATCTGGACAAAGCCGATAACGGTCCAATAGGTCAACCATTGCTTGTCGTCGGCAACAGAGGCGGTTTCGATGGCCTTGAACGACGCGTAAGCTAGCCCACATGAAGGAGATTTTATCAGTTAAGTCTTATTTAATAAATGGCTCCTGAGACTGACTAGAGATACCATTTGATGTGCACCCCTTATCCTATTTCTTGCTTTAAAACGTAATACACGCAAAAGTCTCCCTTCTCTTGACCAACACGCACACAAAACGCCAAGTACAAAAAAAAAGATAATAAAAGGGGCAAAAGAGAACGAGAAACAAGAGCAGTAGAGAAGCAATGACGCGCCCTTATAAGAATAAGAAGACTACTGTACCTGGGTAAACCCACGAAATGGTGTTGGTCAAAAGCTGACCAGCCAAGTTGAAAAAGATCATGATGAAGACAAGAGCACCACCACCAAGAGCAACGTAGCTCTTGGGGACACCAGTTCGGCGTTCAATCTCGTTGGCGTACTTGTACTGACTAAGCTCGCCATCAAGACAAGCAAGACCGTCTCTGAACTTGGCTTGAATGCCTTCGACACTGTACAGATTGTTGGTGGTGGTCATTTTTCTGTCGTAGTAGAAAAAGTAAGGGAATAGGAGGAAGAAAAGAAAAGAAAAGAAAAAACAGGCTGTGTAGTGCGCACCGTAATCAACGCGGGAATAGTAGGTTGCACAGCACAAGTTTTAGTATTAAAAGTGCGTTCTATATACGCAGGCAGGTTGGTTTGTATTTTGGTAACGTCACCTTGAGTACTCTCCCTGATTTCCGCAAACGCGTAATTTTTCACTTGCTAGTGCATTTTAGGGTTACTTGTACCTTTTCTTTTACACACAGCACCGAGTGAATAAAACTTACTCAAGAATTATCACCGGCGACTTTACAGATGCCTTATCTGATAACGCAATAGCGGTCGTTTTGTCTCCAAGTTACCATCAATATCATGCACGTATGTTACTATCTCGGAGAGCGTGTCTTACTATTACTATTGCTGTTGTGGCTGGACGTGTCACTGTGTAACCGGAAAGAAGAAGAGTGCCGTGATAAAAGTCCCGCCGAGACAACAGGGTCTTTTTGTCACTCCAAAGCAATGCCATCACCACCCGCTTTAAACATTTGCATAGTTACTATGTATGACTTGTGCACATAGTAGATTAGCTGTGTTCATAAACAACGGCATGAAAAGAGAGGAAGATGAATCGGGGTTTCCGAAATAATGATTGAATATGTTTATAATTGTGTGAGCAAGCAAAGAGTATGGGAGATAAGTATTTACAGAAAGTTTACGAAGATGATGGCGTACGAAATGCAGATGGTCTTTTACTGTGAGGATGAGAGTGTGTGAAGGGGTAAGTGGTATATAGACAAAGCAAGGAAGAAACGGCGAATGCTCAAGGAATTAATGCAATAATGCGTTTTCGTCATCATCCAGCTCCCCGTCGTCGTCGTCGTCGTCGTCATCGTCGTCATCGTTTTCTGCAGCACCACCAAGCGCGTTATCGATTTTTGCTAGCGCTGCTAGCACGGGGGATGATGGAGATGATGCTGGAGATCTTGCTTGTTCAATTGACTTCACTTGTTGCACGTATTCAAAAAGAATACCCTTGTTGTTACTGCCCCTAATATCATCATCTTCTTCCTTTGCCACTCTGGATGCCAGCTCCGGGTGGGCTAATACTTGATCAATGGTAGGCCGCTCACGTGAGTTGATTTGCATTAGCCATTCAATAAAATCGCGCATTTTACGTGATGTTTTGGCCAATGCTTCTTCACAGCCCGAGAAATCTGCTAAGCGGAGCTCTTCCCAAGGTTCGCCAGTGTCGGGTAACACAATTCCAGTAGCCATCTCAAGTACAATCAGGCCAAGACTAATTTTACAACATGTTAGATATATCAATAATATTCCTTTCCTTTGTGTCATTTTGGCCGGACTCATTGCACATTTACCTGAATATATCAGCTGGTTTATGAAACTGATCTCGAAGTAAGTCCGGTGCCATGTATCGCCGATCGCCCTCACCCTTGACCCAATCGAGGTCCTAAAAATACGTTTTCATAGAACGGATTAGCTTATCAGCTACACGTATACATTATCTTACTAGACCTTAAACGAGAAAATGGCGAATGCTTACCACTGGTTCTCGCACAGATACGCCAAAGTCACCAATCTTAATTGATCCTGAGTCGCCAATCAATATATTAGATGGTTTGAGGTCCAAGTGTATAATGTTTGCATCGTGAATAGCTTTGACTCCCTAATATATAAGGTATCTTAAATACACGCTTGATCTTCCATAAAACTTCACCATACGAGAAGCAAAAAAAACTGTTCTTTTTTTACCTGCGCAATTTCACTCAAGATTGACCATACATCCAACTCGGGTATATGTCGATTGTTAAAGTCAATGTAATCTCCCAAACTAGACATATATTTCGATATTCTAGCTTTAATCAATTGAAAACTCCAAGCTTATCTCATATCTCATGATCAAAACTCGAAATTAACCTTACCTTCCATTTTCACAGAGCTCCATCTGTATGTAAAGGTTGCCTTCCTGCTCCCATGCATCCGTGAGTTCCACACAGTGTTTGCTACCGCTGACTGCTCGCATATGATCCACCTCGATAATCTGCTGCCATCTGATAGACGGATCAAACGGCAGTTGTTAGTGACACCATACAGTTTACTCGGCCGTTAAAAGAATATTAAACGCTACCTGTCATCATAACTACAGAACGCCAGCTTTGTCTTTTTAATAGCCCAGAGACGACCTGTGTCCATATGTTGTACTTTGAACACCTCCGCATATTCGCCCGATCCCATAATTTCCAATACAGTATATTTTGCTTCAAAGTAGGGCGTAATGGTCGTTTCATCGTCATACAACTCTTCCTCTTCTTCCTGCATGCAACTCGTCGCATTGTGCTCCTCGAAATACTCGCTTGTCAAGAACCGAGGTTGTGTGGTGAGATAAGCTGGCTTAATGCGCTGCCAACTGGATGGAGCATAGGTTCTGCGCAGCGACGAGGTAGGTAATGGCTCGGTTGTTTCATTATCTTCAACATTGCTGGTGGTAAAGAATTCGGTACATTCATCATCATATTGTTGTAATCGAGAAGGTGCATGATTCTTGTTCCTGAGAGGCGTGGCTGCTGCTGGTGGTTGTACTATCAATGCTTCTCCTACTGCTGCTGCTGCTTCTTCTAGCACTGGCGTTGCTTCCTCATCTCCCCATACGGCATCAAGCAAGCTTTTGCTGAACTGGAGCCGTTCCTCTTCATCAACTTCTGGCTCTTCAAACTGAGGAGCAATTTCACTGCTTTTAAGTTCGCTCAAAAGAGATCGTCGTGCATGCGTAAATACTTCTTCTTCGTCGTCATACCCGGGATAATCATTGTCATCATCGATACCATCGTCTAGCAAAAAGTTGTTCATGTTTCCTTCTACGAAGCCAGGATCATTATAGCCAGCGAGTGGAAAATCGTCCGAGTAGTCGTCAAGATTTTGCTCTTGCTCTTGCTGTTGTTGTTGTTTTTGTTTATGTCGTTGCTGCTGTGGCGATAGTAAAGATAACTGTTGATTATATAAATGGTGTCGTTGGGAAGGTGACGTTTTGTCGCGATCAACAACTTTGTAGTTGCGAGCACCTAAATGCCCACCACTTCCACTTCCAAGGGCAGGAGCCGGACTGCTGCTAAACACAAGGTCGCTGCTGTTACCAACGAAACTGCCAGTGCTTTTTATTCGTTCTTGCGTCATAATGTCGGGTTGGTCAAATAAGTTTGACGTTTCCAGCATGGCTGATCGTGAAGGTGTCAGCATTCTGCGCAGTAAATGAGGTGACGAAGGTGAAGCATTGTCGATGCGAGTTCGTTTGGCAGTAGAGCAATTATTGCTATCATGGTCATCGTCTATATCCTCCTGGCTTTGTAACGATCGCCTTGATGAAGTAGGTGTCATTGCAGCAGCAGAAGAAGAAAGTAGTTCGAACCGTAATGGTGATGATACATTGGTCATAGAGGACGTTGCCTTGTCGGCTTTCACCTGCGACATATTTTTGGGGGTTTTTCGTGTAATGAAGGTGAAGAGAGAGAAAGTGGAAGAAGGTTGGAAAAGCGTTACAACAAAGTTGACAGAGGCACAGGATAAACCTACCGGCATTTAAATCTCTTTGGACAGTTGAATCACCACCACCCAGTTGCCGCAGTAAGAACAGTAGTGTCAGTTCTCCACTTCCATCTTTCAATAATTTGAGTCTTAGAGTCTAGACTATGCTTATACGAAGCAATAAAAAATTATTGTGAAAGTAAAAGAGCCCACCATTATATAAAGGCGCTTAATGGTTAAAAAAAAAGATGCGTTTGTTTATAAAGTAAAAAGAAATTGTACATAAATAATGCAAATGTTACAGATTGCGTGCGAGTGTATATGCGTGTATATTGTTGTTGTGGTTTATCTGCTACCGATACGATTATGCTTCATCAGCTGTTTGTTTCTTCTTCTTGCCTCTTCGCTTTCGCAACTTTTTCACTTCTCCGTCGTTAGAATTCTTGTGATACTTCTTGGACGATGACGATGCCTCCGGGTCTACTTCCTGCAACTTGGCCTGTATGTGTTTGCTGAAATCCTTGTATTTCATATTTCGGTTTTTATTAAATATCCACCTCTCGTGCTGCAGTTTGCGTTCGTTGCGGTATCTACAATTTAGGTTCGATAAGACGTTAAGATACTCTTCTCGAAAATCCCCTACAGTCAGATATAACAGAGATCACTTACGGTGCCAGCATCTTCATGCCTACGTATTTGTTCAGCTCAACATCGTCAGCAAGCAAAATTTCCTCTGCAGACAAGCCAAAGTTCTCTGGTTCAGCTTTTCTGTATTTATAACGCGTGGGCAAATCACCACCAATGACATCTTCAAAATTAAGCGAGTAATATTCGTCCAGAAGCTCCTTGGTCTTTTGCTTCTTCTGTGCCTGTTCAACTTGGACATCGACACCGCGTTTCCGCTTGCTTCTGGTTGCTTCATATTCGTCACCACCAGGGAGGTAATCGGCATCCATCATGACGTCTTCATCCGACTGATGATCTTGAGCCTCATAAAATTGATCCCCTTCTTCATCTTCGTACATGGTCGTATCAATATCGTCGTTCCACGTTGGTTTGGCATCGTCTGCTAGTCCATTTTCATAGTAGTCTTCACCAAACATCTTTTCCATCTGCTCGTCGTATTTGGTCGGATCAAAGTCTCCTTCCAGATCCAAGTTATCCAGGCCCATGGCTATTTACACAGCATATAATATCATTTCGTAGTCAATAAAACAGCTACCTCAAACCATTTCCGGTAAATAGAAAAACATACCGTCGTTGCCAGTGATATCTCGAATTTCCTTCAATCGATCGTGGATTTCCTTCATCTTTTGATTACGAGCACGGCCAAGTTCTTCGTTCTTTTCACGGATCATGGTTTCTCTTTTGAGTTTCTTGCGCTCACGTTCTTTTTGACGCTTGTTCAGCTTCCTTCGTACAGATTCCTCAACGTTACGAGAGTGGGATACCAGTGATGCGCCTCCCCTAATGTGACAACAGTAAGCAAACATATCTTTCTTCCTAGTCCTTCCTGCTCTAGACAAAAGAGATATTTACTCTTCCTCAAAGCGAAAGTTATATTTGCTTTCGAAACGATCCACTTCATCGAGATGCTCTTCATCAACATCCTTGTCGAGACCGCCCTGTGTTCCTTGCTTTTTGTCACTCGGCTTTTCTACCCAACCACGGTTCAAAACATAGCTTTAAAGCCGAATTTAAGTTTAACATTAGGCAATCCATCTTTCTTTCTCGCAGCAAACTGTATCACTTACTCAATCAGAAATGCATCGTCTTTGCTGACGTTGGGGTTTTCCTTATAATTATCGTTCCAATCTTTGAAGGCTTTGGCAGTAGCTTCATCAGACTATAGTATAATAAGCGTGAGCCAACCATTTCGTGGTATAAAATCCACTCCCTTCGATACACCGCAACGTTTGGAAAAAAAACTTACCGCAATGTTCTGAAGCATGAAATTACGATACTTGGCATCTTCTTCCTCTTCTTCTTCTTTGGTCTTGATCCGCTTCTCTAACAAGCCGCCACCCAATCCTTCATCGTCATCATCAGACTCTTCTGAATCTACGGCCTTGACAGCGTTCAAGAACTCGTTCTTGATATCCCTCTGTTCTTGATAATGTGATCGAGGTCCATTATCTACTTGTTCTTCTTCTTCATTGACATAGCCACCATGTTCAAGCAATACTTCGCGCTCATAATCCTTGAGCGTATAGCTTTTCTTGTTGTCTCCTGCCTCCATTAGTTTTTTTTTTTTCAAGAAATTCTGTTTCGCAGTGGCCAAATCTTGTTCATTGAAAAACTTGTTGTTGGCATCGTACACACGGGGATCTTTGGTTTGAATAGCTGCAATTGTGCGTAGAATTTGAGAGTCGACGGCGGGTGTGAGCATAGCAGCGTTTTCGTCCTCCTCCTCGTCTTCACTTTCTTCTTCCTCTTCTTCGGATTCGGATTCGTCTCCGGATCCTTGGTCAGAACCTTATGGAATCAATAAAAAACCAAAGCGAACATTAGCAATTCTTCGGGACGTAGCATTTTATAATCTCGACTAGAGTTTTTTTGTCGTATATAAGAGAGTTTTTGTCTAGAATGTGATGTTGTACCTTCATGCTCACTCTCCTGCACTAAATTTATGTAAACAATAGTGATGAGTTAAACTGGCAAATCGTTGAGATACATGCTCTTTGTAAACAAGAGCTAAGCAACTTACGAATGGCAGGACGCTCATAGTCTGCGTCTTCGTCGGTTCTTTCGCGGATTTGCACCTGAATCTCTTCAGTATTCGACATGGTGTGTGCAGAAACTTTAAGTAAAAAAATCTTTTTTTAATGCACTTTTCCTTTCGGCCACGGCGTGGTGACTGTAGTACAGAAGATAAGGGCGCTAATCTATTGGCTACATGCAATATTTGTATTTCCGACGAGCACAGTGGTGATTTCCATCATTCCGGCCTCGGGCCTGAAGGCCTATGCCATTTGTCGATATGGCATTACTTATTTCTTTGGATCCAGTACATCAGGTTCAGCAGTAAGCGGTTAGCTTGCTCTATACATAATTTTTTTTTATATCTCCTTAACATCCGCCTTTTCCCCTCCCGCTTTCACACATCCGACGATAGAGCCACAATGCCAACAACCAGCAGCAACATTCTTGTTGTTTCATTGGTACCTGACTTATCAAAGCTTGTTTCCTGTTGCTTCAGCGACTTGTTTCCTTTCGCTAGAAACGGTATACTGATCAGCATCATTTGCTAGCCCATCTTCTCTACATGATGCAGCACCTGAGCTTGGACCTTGCAGGCGTCAATATATAACCTTGTTATTGATACCCACGACTTTTCAAATGCCTAAATAAGTGCGATTTCGCCGTCATTTTTTGTGGTAAAGAACACGCCAGTAGTGTCGCTTAATAAAGAAATAAAAGAAAAAATGATACATACTTGTTAAGCAAGGATATGCGCACTTAAATATCCATACAATGTTGCTACTGACTGTTAACCCCAAAGTCCTCCCATGGATATATGCTCCAACGTGTTGCCACATAGCGCACCAAATTTGTCGTCGGCACATCGTGAATCCTTCTCGAATACAGTAGTGTTTGCCTTGATAGCTTATGTTGACATTAATGACAACCGGCATCTGTCACAATTTTCATGGCAAGTACGTCAACTATCATCAACTTAGATCTACAGATTTGATAGCCCTAGACTAGATAGCTACCTTTTAAGCTCTACGGTCATTGAACATATACATGGCTAATCATGATAAGTCAGATAATTAAACCATAACGCCCCACCAATAAGTCTCCAACATCCTTTATCAAGCTTTATAGACATGACACTACTGCATTAAAAACCAATCTCAATAATCAGTCTTTTTTTTCTTTGCAACGATAAGCACGTTCATGCCGTCATATTTGTTTGTAAATATTAGAATTTCAGCATTGCGACGATGAGTTGTAGTAACAGAGAAGTTTCCACGCATCCTCATATTTACTCTTAGAAAACGGTGCCAGTGACATAACAATTGCAAATAAAACTATACCATAAAGAACATAGCAGATGCATATAATGCATGAGCGGACCAACCACATTCGAAGCCGAGAGCTAATTTGTTCCGAGGAACCAAAAGCGGGTGGGACTGTCGGACTCAGGGTCGAAACCAATGGACGACCTCCAAGCCTCCAAATCCTTCTTGACAAGTCACAACTGCCGAACTTTTTTTCTGAACTTTCGGCAGCCAGCAGTAGTATTCTTTCCTTGCTTCCACCAAGGCACCTTGTATTCCCCCTTTTCTATTATCTTGTATTAAAGAACCCTATTTTCTTATCATGACCAAGTACATTGTTGTTTCTGGGGGCGTAATCAGTGGTATTGGCAGTATGTATTATCTTTATCATTCTTTTGTATTTAGCTTGACTCCTTTTCAGTCTGTGTGTGTGTGTTATGAAAAGTGCAGTCTTTTGTTGTCAAGTTCTGTATTTAATTCCGGAATTACTTTAAACAGAGGGTGTCATTGCCTCGAGCACCGGTACCTTGCTTAAGAGCTTGGGTCTGCGTGTCACTGCCATCAAGATTGATCCCTACTTGAACATTGACGCCGGTCTTATGAGTCCTCTTGATCACGGTAAATTTTCTACCACCTTTTGTTTGTTGAGAACAATAGTTTCCATGACGATGTATTGTGTGTGTGTGTGTGTGTCTCATACATAAACTGTGATATCATCCAGGTGAGGTGTTCGTCTTGAACGATGGTGGTGAGGTCGATTTGGATTTGGGCAACTATGAACGTTTCTTGGACGTTGAGTTGAGCCGCATCAACAACATTACCACTGGCAAGATCTACAGCGAAGTGATTGAAAAGGAACGTCGTGGTGATTATTTGGGCAAGACCGTTCAAGTGGTTCCCCACGTGACCGATGCCATTCAAAACTGGGTTGAGCGCGTTGCTGCCATGCCCATCGATGACTCTGGCGAGCAGCCCGATGTGTGTATCATTGAATTGGGCGGTACTGTGGGTGACATTGAATCCGCTCCTTTCGTTGAGGCCATGCGTCAGTTCCAGTTCCGTGTCGGCCACGACAACTTTTGCTTGATTCACGTCTCGTTGGTGCCTGTCGTTGGCTCTGTCGGCGAACAGAAGACTAAGCCTACCCAGATGAGCGTCCGTGATCTTCGTGGCGCTGGTTTGTCGCCTGACTTGATTGCTTGCCGTTCCTCGACCCCGCTCGATGAAAGCGTTCGAGGCAAGATTTCCATGTTCTGTCATGTCGCTCCCGAGCAAGTCTTGGCCGTCCGCGATGTCTCATCTGTCTACCACGTCCCCGTGTTGCTCCGCGAGAACGGCGTCGTTGACTTTTTCCGCAAGCGTTTGAACTTGGACTCTATCAAGGTCTCTGACGACCGTCGTGCTGCTGGTGGAGAGCTCTGGAAGAAGTGGACCAACCTGACCGACAGCTACGAGCGTCTGTTCGATACCGTCAAGATTGCATTGGTAGGCAAGTATACCAACCTCCACGACTCGTACATTTCCGTGTACAAGGCTTTGGAGCACGCCAGTTTGTCATGCAACCGCAAGTTGGAGATCAAGTGGATTGAAGCCAGCGACTTGGAGGGAGAAACGCTAAAGACGAACCCTATCAAATACCACGAATCGTGGCAGAACTTGTGCTCTGCTGACGGCTTGATCGTTCCAGGTGGCTTCGGAAACCGCGGCATTGAAGGTATGGTGACAGCAGCCAAGTGGGCCCGTGAAAACAAGATCCCTTACTTGGGCATCTGCTTGGGCATGCAAATTTCCGTCATTGAATTTGCCAGACACGTGTGTGGCATGCATGAAGCCAACTCTGCCGAATTGGACCCCGACACCAAGACGCCCGTTGTCGTGTACATGCCTGAAATCTCCAAGACTCACATGGGCGGCACCATGCGTCTGGGCATTCGCCCCACCGTCTTCCAGCCCAACACTGAATCGTCCAAGGTTCGCAAGCTCTACAACGACCAACCTGCTGTCGACGAACGTCACCGTCACCGCTACGAAGTCAACCCTGAACACGTCTCCACTTTTGAATCGGCTGGTCTCAAGTTTATCGGTCGCGATGAGTCTGGTGAGCGTATGGAGATTGTCGAGTTGGATGACCATCCCTTCTTTGTTGGCTGCCAGTACCATCCCGAGTACTTGACCCGCCCTCTCAACCCCCATCCTCTTTTCCGTGGTCTTATTTCTGCTGCCATCGGTCAATTGTAAATACATATTATAATCAGGTTCTCTCTTCCCTAAAAGCGGTATTTCAGTACTAGTAGTAGGTTTTTTAATCATAGAAAAAGCATATTCTCTCTTTATCTTTTCATTTCCCTGCATTTCCTTTCCATCACACTCCCATTCTTCTCTTTGTTCATTTCTCTCCCACAGACAACAATCTCACAAAAGCTCTCTCTCTAATTCCAACACATTCTTAATAATGACTGCCTTATTAAAACAGAAAATATAATCATGCAAAGTCAACAGTGGAATGATAAGAGAGATACAGATATCGCTGCTGATGGGATGGTATCGATGAGGGTGCGTGTGTCTTATTTAATAAATGATCTGTCAAGGCTATTATTTCACAACGACTAAATGGATCCATGAAACCTAAATATCTACATAGAGTCTTATAGCACACATTGTTGAGCTTTAGCAATATCCAATACCCTCTGATTCACTTGGCCTTACGTTTGATTGCTTTTTAGTAGTGCGGGGTATAATTTAGGGCAACTGAATCTGAAAGACGAGGACACAGCCAAGTGAGGAGACAGCTGGACTTTTCTTGACAAGTCAACTCCAAAATAAATATGTGAGTACTTTTTTGAAACAAAGGATCGCACATTCAACTCTTTTTGTTGCCTTGCTCACATTGTTTAATTTACTAGGTCTGATTTCTGGGTCTCACAACAGCGACACTGGTGCAAATATTGTAAAAAGTTTATTGCGAACAACAAACCGGTAAAGAATCATTGATCCATTCACTGCACAAAAAGGTAGTTGCCGGTTTCTTACTAATGGTTCATGTTTTGGTTAGTCAATCGAAATCCACAATGGTGGTCGACAACACAAAGATGCAGTAGAGCGCTTCCTTCGAGACGTGTATAAGGATGGAAAGCAAAGGAAGGAAGACGAAGAGAAGAAGCTAAAGGAGCTCCAACGCATAGAAAAGGTCAGTTGTATGCTAATTAAGTTGCTGCTCAAAAGAAGTAACAACTTTGTAACGTCCTGAATGCATTATAGGCTGCTATGAGTTCTATGCAATCGCAAGGATTACCAAGCGGTAGCTATCAAGGATCAGACTTGTCAGCATCATCATCATCATCACAATATTCTGCAACACGCTACAAATCATCGCTATCACCATCCAAACCTTCCACGACATTCGTACCGCCACCGCCACCAGAATTAAAAGTGGATGAATCAAAACCTCCACCCAATCCGCATAATCTCCAAGGACGAGAAGAGTGGGCCATACCCAGTAACATTGCTACGCCCGGGCAATGGCAGACAGTGGCGCCAATAGAAGGGGAAAGAAAGAATGGATCCTTGGCAGACAAGGGCAACAGAGCAAACACGAAGAAGGCGACGATGACAACGCACGACAATGCACCTGAGTTCCAGGATGACGATGGCGCAGAGGACGATGAGGACTTGCGAAACTTTAAGATTCAAGAAAAGCAACTGCCGGTGGACGATGATGATGGTGGGGACAAAGAAACGAGCAACAAGAATGACGGTGGATCGCTGTTTAAAAAGCGTAAAGTGGGCGGCGGAGGACAAGGTGGTGGTAACAAAGCAAAGAGGAGAATCCGAACAAGGGAATGAAAATAGGAAAAGTGGCCGCGCTCTATTTTAGGTAGGCGATGAGGACCCGACTGGTTATCGTGCATTTGCTCTCCCTATTTTTTTTTTTTTTTTTGGTTTCCTTCTATTATCCACTGCGACCACCTACTTTTTTAATATCCCTTTTTCTTTTCTGTTCAAAACGACAATGGCCATCAGCAATGAAGATCTGCAAGGCTGGTTTCTAGTCATTGTTTCTTCTTTTGCTTGCATTTTGGGAGGTACTTCTGAGTTTAAGGAGCAACGCGATTAGGAGGAAAGAGAGAGAGAGAGAGAGAGAAAGAAAAAGAGATGGTGCTTCCAAAACGTAAATGACAGATTGAGTCCCATTGCAGGAAAAGTGAGTTTACTGAAAAACAAACAAAAACAACAGCTTCAGTTGTGTTTATAGACAAGTGCTGGTCGGCCACGGGACACCAATCTCCAATCCTTCAGAGCCGTGCGTTCCTATCGGCATCCATGGCTCTGGCGTCTGGCGTCTTGCTTTTTTCATCCCTTGCTGTGCTCCTGCCAGCATCACGCCAACGGCTAGGTTCTTCGTCATCGTATCTGGTGTATTTGTGTTTCTTTGGTGGAGCTCTTTTTACGTTGGCGTTAACAAAGTTGATACATGCTTTGACGCCCGATGCGATCCACGCATGCGGCGGGCCCCCGTCACCTGCTGCACCTGATGATGACGGCGAAAATGCGCACCTGCACCACGATTTGGAGCATGGTGACGATGGCGATAGCAATCAGCATGATATTGATCAGACAAGAAGGACTGCTTCCGGTTCCGCTGAAGAACACCATCGTCGTCATCCTGATGAAAATCAGCCTATCAAGTGCAATCTTCATCAGAACCAACACTATGGAACTACAACTACAGCCAATAATCATGGACATCGTCACCACGACCCTAATCAACACCACAGCGACACTCTTTTTAGAGAAGCACATTTTCGATTACATCCTCACCGTCATCAACAACAACATCACAATCACCACCACCACCACCACGATCAATACCATGAACATGATGACCAAACTAGTCGGGAAGACTACCAACATTTCTTACGCATGGGGATCCAGACTGCAGTTGCTATAGGCGTCCACAAGTTTCCAGGTAACAAGAAAATCAAGTAGTAATACCATTAGTAGTACTGTTGATATGATTGTTAAAATCCCGCGTTTCTCTCTATAAAGAGGGGTTGATCATGTTTGTATCCAACAGAGCATCGGCCAAGCTTGGATGGAGCATTACAGCGGCCATGTCGATCCATAACTTGACAGAAGGTTTCATGATTGCGTTACCTTTATACTTTGCACTTCGGTCACGCATGGCCGCATTCGGTTGGGCAGCGCTGCTAGGTGGACTGTCCCAGCCCATCGGTGCGGTGCTTGGACTTGTCCTAATGCGCAACATTGACCAGTCGCAAGAAGATGTTATGTTTGGCACCACGTTTGCGTTGGTCAGTGGCATGATGACACTCATTACTATACAGGTAATGATTTGCTTATATTTCTTTGTGATGATATCATGTATAATATATATATGTACATATAAAGTTGAGGGGGAGAGAGAGAGAGAGGCCCCCCTTTGAGAAAGTAGTGATAAAGTGCTCACCAGCGAAATGATAGAGCATGCTCCCTCAAGCCATCAAGGCGGATACCGATCATCGATATGTTCTTCCATTTTTCTTTCTTGGGATATTTTTTGTCGGTCTGACGGCCATCCTAAAGTCACTATAAACGAAGGCAGAACCACAATAAATCATTATGTATAAGAAATAAATGTAAGACCCGGTGCGTCGATGTGATGTTACCAGGAATGATAAGTGACCACACCACCACAGTTAGCGTACAATGGAATTTCTAGCTTCGGGTAACCGACAGCTGAGTGTGCATGTGACGCCACTGCTGGCTTGGCTAGGGTGTTTACTGGCACTGTGTACATTATGGCTGGTGGGTCTGTTTTGTTGCTATCGTCTGTCCAGTCTGTTCGCAGCCCCACCACGGATCGAGCGAAACTAAAAAAAAAATTGCTTGATTTCAATCCATTCAGTCTGTTTAATTGTTCCTTTTCTTAAGCCTTTTTCCTTTCCAATTTTATTTTCGTTTTGGCGTTTCTTTCCTCGGGTCAAACGCTCCTGTGCTCCCTTTTTTTTTTTACTATACATGCTTCAGTAAATTTTTACTTTACTTTTTTTCCCTCTCTTTCTCCCCGAAAACAAAAGAAGCCTGCACGCAGCAAGAACGAACGACGAACAGATACCACTACGTCCGCTATGCCACCTTTGATGGCTTATTTCACACGCAGGCAGCCTACTGCAAGCAGTAGTAGTAGTGGTAGTAGTAGGCAGCCGATGCCGCATACTAAACAACAACGACAACGACGACGACAACAGCAAGTGGGAGACTATGTGTTAATTCGGACGATCGGTCGCGGATCCTCTGGTACAGTACGCAATTGAAACCCAAACAACAGTAGTATACTACTCAACTACTCATAGCGCTGTCTCTATTACTGATAACCGCTGTATGACTGTCTTTTAGGACAAGTAAAACTTGCAAGACATATCATCACAGGCGAATACGTCGCCATCAAGATGATTGCACGCCGTCACCTGCTTTCATCGGTAGCCATTGCTCGAACTGTCGAACGCGAACTCGCCATCTTGCAGCTGATCCAACACCCGAACCTCATCATACTAAAGCACGTACTTCAGGATCCAACGTACGTCTACTTTATTACCGAATACGTGGATGGTGGAGAGCTGTATCATGTTCTCGCCGAACAAGGACGACTTGCCGAGACCGAGGCCCGAGGCCTCTTTATCCAGTTAGCAACGGCTGTCGCATGGTGTCACACTCACCACATCTGGTAATAAACGCAGCTTTACTAGTGGCAGTAGCCGTACCCCCAAAAGAAAATAACGTTCTTCCTTTCTCCTTCCACACACACACACTGCATAGTCACAGCCTTTCCTCACCCCTCCAGACCTCCACCTCCCTCCTTATTTTTTTATGAAGATACAAAGAACGAGCCGCTAATAGCGACTATTATGTAGCCATCGCGACCTGAAGCCTGAGAACATTCTGATTGATCGAGATAAAAAGAAGTTGAAGGTTGCTGATTTCGGCATGGCTACCATTCAACCCTCCGAGTGTTTACTCAAAACAAGCTGCGGGTATGTAGTGGCTTGTCCATGCTGCCATCACTATTCTTTGGGGGGGAGGGGAGGGGGAGGATGGGATGAGAGAAGAGAACTGAAGAGAACGAGAGACGTTATTGATTTCAATATGACCTTTTCATGCCTAGATCTCCGCACTACGCTAGTCCAGAGATAGTGACAGTACGTTTTTGTTGATGATCTCTCTCTCTCTCTCTCTGTTTTTAATTCAATCTCTACAAGCGTTTGTGTTTGTGCGTGTGTGTTTATGTTTGTGCGCCCCGTACTATGGTTTCTTTTTTGTTTAAACGAGTTGGCAAAATTTCCTTCTTAGGGCAAACCGTACTACGGACCACCGGTCGATGTCTGGTCGTGCGGCGTGATTCTGTACGTTCTGTTGACAGGCCGCTTTCCATTTGACGATGGCCATGTTCCTCGCTTACTTGCCAAGATTAAAGCCGGACGTCACCGAAAGCTGCCCGATTACTTGTCATCTTCTGTTAAAGACCTTATTCGATCCATGCTGACCGTTGATCCGAACAAACGAGTCACCGTAAGTGTTGCTTGTTTTTAAGGTGTTGTTGCCAGTAAACAGCACTTGATATGAAGAGACGATTAGGAGGAGCTCATGGATTCTAAATTGTCTTGCACATGAAATTACAATATCCCGCCCTGTTTATAAATGCTTTGCAATGTAGATGAACGATGTACTATGCCATCCATGGGTAACAACCTTAAGCAATGATAACGTCATACTACGGTGTCGTTACGATAGTGCTGCTCCTGCTGTCATGTTTCATCAACTAGAGAATCCGGTGATCACAAGCCCTGACAACCTTTACGGCACCGTTTGGGAAACACTCAAAGTGCTTTGGAGAAACATGCCGCGTGAAAATATTATTGCTGCACTCTTGTCTGACAAGTATGGATTACGTATATGCATGAAACAACGACCCGCATTTTGTGTGCTTATTATTTTTCCCTTGATGTACAATAGACCAAATGTTCAGAAGCTTACATTCTGGCTCCTGCAGAAACGTACAGAACGTTTGGCATGTGGCGAAGAATCGCAAGAGCAAGAACGACAGATTGTCGATCGGAACCATCAACAAATGCCGCGCGACAGCAACAGCAGCAGCAACAACAACAATATTACATTAGAGACAAACAAGGAGCTATTGAATCATCATTCCCTCCCTATACCTTTTCCGTCTTATCGCCGTATACCCTTATCGCTCTATGATAAGGTTAAATTGTGCTGCACGAATGATTACGATGGTTATGATGTCCTTTTCTTATGCCATTGCTTATCCAACTCGAGCACCATGTCATCATCGAATTACACCAGTGAAAAGAGCCAGAAGCAACACCAAAAACAGCAACAACAGAATCTAGTTCGCAGGTCAATGAATTTTTCTGCTTCCTATCATGATGAGGTCGAACTATCTCCTAGTACTGCGGTCGATTATCCACCGGATTTTGTAATGTTTGATGGTCAATCAACCAGGACAATGACAACAGACTCATCTTCCGTGTCGACACCTAGCGGCAATCACTGTTGCGACGAACTTGCTTCTGCTGTGTGTGGGTGGTTAGTAAACATGTTTCTGATATCGTGTCATGTAAAAGTTGAATCTCCTATCGCTTAATTAATGCATTTTGTATGTTCATTAAACAGTGACATTGATTCATATCAACAGCTACAGCAAAAAGAAGAACGATCAATTGCCAATGCCGCTCCTATCGGGAGCCATCATCTTCCCAGCAGCGCTATACGACAAAAGAGAGCATCAAGCATCATCAATAACACATTCTATGGCTCCAATATGTTCACCAATCACAGCACACGTCCCTCGCATCTCAAATCAACCACGGCAGAAGCGATTGTTTCGCATGTTATACCCGTTGCAGAACACCGTATGGCTATTACTAGCTTTCAATTGAAGAGTACACACCAGCAGCAGAAGCGGCAGCATAATAATACCGGACTATTCAAGCGACCTTTTCGACTAATTTGCAACTTGCATCAGGAATTGTTCCAGCCCTCATCACCATCATCATCATTTGAAAAAACGGTCGCCGCCGCTACTGCCACCACCATAGACGACCTCAAAACAACAGCAGCAACAATTAAATCCAAAAACATCTGCGCGCCACAAAGAGCGGAAAACAGATATTTGACGATGGTTAACAAGAAGCTTCATCGATGGCTTTTCTATACTCTAATGTGGTTAGATGAAAAAGTTCTATATGGGTGGGAAGTGTCGCAACAGAATCAGCAAAGCAACGAATATGATGTACACAAGGTATAGTATGATAAGCAATTCAAGAAGAAGCACACTTGCAGTAGTTGTCTTACTAATGATAAATACAATATTTCTCTAGATATACACCATAGACTGTGCTGCTGACCATGAAGGAGAAGCTGCGGGCAAGCTTCAGCAGTTGTTGAGCCAGGTATAAAAAATGACATATATAGTTACTACTCGGAAATGTCACACGCACATGCATACGCACAAAGAAGTGGTTGAATAAGTCAAAACTGATAAAGAATACACACACACACAGTATCTTGGTGGTGATTTAAACGGGCATCTATATCCTAGTGGACAAATAATATGGTCCGGATCTATGCTTGCCGCAAATCCAAGTAAGGACTATATAGTTTCTATTACTACCTTGTACACCAGTATATTAAGAAGCTTTCATTGTTAATCATACCCGGCTAACCACTTCATCATCGCCATCTGTAGCAGACTTTTTAACAAAGCAAGACCGACAACTTGAATTTCTCTGCAACATTACTATTCTAAAGAACACGTTTAATGACGACACTATTGCCACGACGGAAAGCAGCAGCCGCAGCACCAGCAACAACATGTACAGCTCCACTTTAAAAACCCTGGCACGGTTTCATTTCATTTTAATACAAGGTGTGTAGTCATTATGTGTCCTACACTCCTGAATCAACGGTGCAATTGGAAATAATCATTCATACCTCTTTTTTGGCGTTGTCTCACACATAGGAGAACCATACTTTATGAGATCTACTGTAAATACGCTTAACCAACTGTTTGAAAGCCACGAAACCCAAGCAAAACTCGTCTCTGAAGCAAATGGATGGCTGCTTTAAATTTCTTACATATAATATTCGTTTTTTCTTTCTATATTTCTGCTTCCTATCTCCACTTCATTTTCATTATCTGCTAACATATACTTACACAGCACTGGGGCGTACACATTATATATTCTACTTCCTTCTTATTTTCACATTTGTTAGCATATATACATATAGCATTCTCTTTAACTTCATCCATAATTCTCTGTCATAACTAATATAATAAGAAAACCCAGCAGAATATCACATACTGCAATTTCTGTCTTTCTTTTCATGCGTCGATAAATAACTGACTACATGTTGAATATTGCAAAGTATTGATCACATCAAGGCGTCGTGGAGGTATGTAATAAGGTTATCGCTTAGGCACTGTACTGCTTAAAATATATGTGCTCACAAGCAAGACCCACTGTCCGAAGTAATTGAATGGGCTGCAAAAAGCACATTCTGTAATAATGATGGCCGTATCTCAATATGCTTGCATGTGATACATAATTTGTTAGTCAAAGGTTTAGAGAATAACCTTGTATTATCTATCGTTATAAAGTATCCTTACAAGCAGACATCGCATATATAGTGAGTATTGGCTTTCTCTTTCTTCTTCATTTGGTCATGATCATCTTTAAATAGGGGCAGTCATACAAAAAAGCCACATGTGTGTATAATACGAACCATATTTGATATACTGTATGCAAAGTTGCATGAGAAAAACCACGACAGGAACATTGGCTTCTGTGTTCTGTATATCTACGACGGATAGAAAACCCAGTTTCTTGGTATATTTTGTGAAAGCCGTTGGCATCGTTGATAACTCAAATATTCGTATGAGGTGTGAGGAAGAACTATACGAAAAATAAGCAAAGCTCAAAATGACGATAACACGATAAGCCGTAGGTATTTAGTATATTATAGCAATTATATGCACACGACAATCATGCAGTTTCTCAATCCATCGCTACAAACCGCCGAGAATACCAGCACTGGCATGCATAGCGCGTAGTCCAACAGACAGACTCGTTGGCGTAAAACAGGAGTCATCCAAAACGATCAAGCTTCAATTTTTTGCATGACAGCTTTTTAGTCCAGCTTTCCAAGCCTATATCGGCATGACGTGTGTTTCCATTTTCAATCGCGGTAAACCAAAAGAGAAAAGTTTTTTTTTTGTTCTTCGATACATAATTTTTGTCTCTCTATCTTTTCAAATAGGGTCCTTTCCTCCTCTTTTCTCTCGCTTTTCTTTATTTTTGCTTTTTCTTCCACTCACTATAATACGAAATGGCCTCTCCTGCTGCTTCCCCCACTACATCTGCACCAAATAAGGATAATGGAGCACCCGTAGATACTCAGAATCCCGAACAGCAGCAGCAGCAGCAAGGAGGACAGTCTTCAACAACGACGCCACCCGTTCCCACCGGCTCGCTCTATGTTGGCGAATTAGATCCAACTGTAACAGAAGCCATGTTATTCGAAGTTTTCAACATGATTGGTCCCGTCGCTAGCATTCGAGTATGTCGCGACGCGATCACACGACGAAGCCTTGGCTATGCATATGTCAACTTTCACAGCAGCGACGATGGTAAACAAAGGGAGAAAAGTGATATGTTTGTTGTTTTCTGAAAGAAAAAGGTTCTTGCGCTTTTACGTGAAAGAGAGAAAGAGAAATGAGAGAACAAATTAAAGGACGGTCCATTGATAAAACGAATTTCGCTGTATCCTCCTCTCCCACTCCTTATATTTATGTACGAACGAACACGTCGAATCACGCAGCCGAACGTGCCATCGACTCGCTCAATTACAGCTTGATCAAGGGCCGACCTTGCCGTATCATGTGGTCCCAACGCGATCCTGCACTCCGTAAGACCGGCAATGGCAATATCTTTATCAAGAACCTCGATCCTACCATCGATAACAAGGCCCTTCACGATACTTTCTCGGCTTTCGGTCACATTTTGTCCTGCAAGATTGCTTTGGACGAGACCGGTCAGTCCAAGGGCTACGGCTTTGTACATTACGAAACAGAGGAAGCAGCTGATATGGCTATTCAAAAGGTCAACGGTATGCTTTTGAACGACAGAAAAGTGTAAGTGCTGGATGTGTGCTCGAGAGAGAGAATGTCTATTACGTGTAGGAAGGAAAAAAAAGTGGGTGCGGGGCGCCTGTGGCGCGTGCTAAAATGGGGATGGTTGGTAGTCTAACACTAACGTTTACATGAACACCAGTTTCGTTGGACACCACGTCTCTCGCAAGGAACGTCAAGCAAAGATGGACGAGATGAGAGCCAACTTCACCAACGTGTACGTCAAGAACATTGATGGTCTTGTCTCTGACGAAGAACTCGGTAGCCTTTTCCGCAAATACGGCACAGTTACCTCGGTTGCTATTGCCAAGGATGACCAAGGCGTGTCCCGCGGATTCGGTTTTGTCAACTTTGAGAACCACGAGGATGCCAGAAAGGCTGTGGAAGAACTGAACGATACCGACTTTAACGGCCGAACCCTGTATGTTTCGCGTGCCCAAAAGAAGAACGAGCGTGAGCAAGAGCTGCGACGACAGTACGAGCAAGCACGTATGGAGAAGCTCAGCAAATACCAAGGTGTTAACTTATACGTCAAGAACCTCGATGACGACATTGATGATGAGCGTCTCCGCCAAGAATTCGCCGTGTATGGTGTTATCACCAGCGCCAAGGTGATGCGTGACGACACCACCGGTGTCAGCCGTGGATTTGGCTTTGTATGCTTCTCGGAAGCTGATGAAGCAACCCGCGCTATTACTGAAGCAAACGGACGGATGTTGGGATCGAAGCCTATCTACGTGGCGCTCGCTCAGCGAAAGGATGTCCGTCGCGCACAGTTGGAGGCTCAAATGACCCACCGTAGCAACATGCGCATGGTAAGAATATTAATTTAGGCACCCGTCTATGTCTTGATGACTCACTCGCGCCAATCTCAAATAATACGTTAGGGTGTTCCTCCCGGCCCACCTCCAGCTGGTTATATGCAGCCTGGTATGTTCTATCCTCCTGGTCCTGGCGGCTTTGTCCCCGGTCCTGGCCAGGGCGGCCCACCCATGTTCCCTCAAGGCGGCATGATGCCTCCTCGTCCCCGCTGGCAGCAAGGACAGCCACCCATGCATCACCAAGGTGGTCGACCACAACACCAGCGTCCCCCACGCCAGCCCCGCAAGCACCACCACAACAACAATAATAACAACAACAACAACAGCAGCAGCAGCAATGTCAACAACAATAACAACACCAGTGCTCCTGCTGCCGCTGCTGCCGCACCCGAACAACAACCTGACGCCTTGACTGCCGAGACAATGGCTGCTGTCCCAGCCGAACAACAGAAACAGATGTTGGGAGAGCGCTTATACCCGCTCATGTAAGTTTTTGCTAACTGACCTAATTATTTACTACATGCATCGCCCAGAGGGAAAGAAATGATTAATGTGGGGTTTCTTTATCCATGATAGTCACCAAGCACAGCCCGAATACGCTGGCAAGATAACGGGTATGCTCCTGGAAATGGAAAATAATGAGCTTTTGCGTTTGTTGAACAACAAGGAAGCGTTGGATGAAAAAATCAGCGAAGCCATGGAGGTCCTCAAGCAGCACTTTGATAGTGCTCAAGAAGCCAGCGCTGCCTAGTGTATTAGCGCATCAATAAAACAAAAAGTATCCGATTTTAGCTGTAGTACCTGACGTATAAAGTTATGATTGCTGCTCTTTGTGTTCTCTTTATATTCGAGTTGGCTGCGTTATGTGCTGTCTCAAAAATGGCAAGAAAGGGTTGCTTCTGGAGACTATCATGGGTACATATGCTTACTACCTAGCGTTTGGTTTTTGTAACAGGTAATCTTAGGAGAAGAGTGATGTCGTGTTTTCTCAAGGACACTGATTTAGTTCGGTGTAGAGGAAGAGGTATATTAAAATCGTCATCTGTGATTATTCGTACCATTATTTGGTAGCGATGATTGGTGGCTGCGAAAAAAGGACAAACTACAGCAACAGCAACAACAGCGATAGTGATATTGATTCACCACAAACATATGACGGGGAAGAGCCTAGACAACGACGATGAAACGTAGGCGTAATCACTAGGCACGTGTTGGTGCCGTGGTGATGCACACATGTTGGCTTATTGTCCGATTTGAGGCGTGCATGATCTTATGTATTATCGCAGTAGAGTGGATATGTACGGCTAATAGTAAGAATGGAGATACAGTGACTGTCGGCCAACTGTTTGCGACTCATCGATCAAGTTTTACACGAATACTCCATTTAAAAGTTTTATCGATAGTAAGAAAAATTCTTGCTTAGCAACTTGCTTGGTGATCAAGTGCCCACAGTGCATTTGCTAAACACTAGAGGTACTTTTATCTTACGTGATGCTACGTAGTTTGACACTGATAGAAACACGTAGGCATGGAAGCTCATACCCTGACACAGCATTGTTGCGGAAGGATTGTATGTCGCTGATACTCAAGTTAACTTGTGACAAGGATGAAGGTTTTAAAAAAGGCGTACTCCAGCACTCATTCGATATAGGGTCCGCTAACTGTGTATTTGGTATTTTGAAGCATGTGATGGTAACTCTTGCTTTCACAACACGGTATGCGTTTGCTTGGACATGCATCAGGAAGAAAGGTCCAAGAAAAACGAGCAGAACGAAAAGCCGGCTCACGTAAATGTTCCTACTAGAATATACAACACACCTTGTTGCCATTTTAAACTTTCTTTCGTCACCTCGCGTCTGGGACCGTGGGATCAAAGCCACAGCAATCGGCAATAATGATGTATATACATAGTCCACAGAGATTGTGATTTGCGAGCATTCAAAAAAAAAGTCTTTTTTGTTTTTTTTTTGCCCGGCGGGTTCGTTCTCGTCTCACCCTTTTACTGGCCATTCTTTTTTATTTTTTTTTCTTTCCAGAGCAAAAGTTTACTCTTCATCATCTTCGGCTTCATCATTGGCAATGTTGAAGTAACGAAGCTCGAAGGTCTGCTTGTCAGTGGCAATGACGCGCAACCAGTCACGGATCTGGTTCTTCTTCAAGAACTTCTTGGTGAGGTACTTGAGGTAACGCTTGGAGAAAGCAATATTGGCCACAACGGTAATCTTGTTATCGGCGCTACGCGAGATCACGACGGATTCACCGAGGTTGTTGGTACGGCCCTCGACCTTGATGCGGTCATGGAGGAACTTTTCCTATTAAAGTGCACATACTTGTATTAGTTGCTCTGTGTTGCTTTCAACAAGGCAAATGTGATATTGAATTTCATGGACTTACAAAGGCAGCAGCATCAAAGATCTTGTCATTGGCGGGAGCCGAGCAGTCGATAACAAACTTGGACTTCTTTGTGACGGGAGTAGCCTTGACGGGAGCCATTTCGAATACACAACAAATATGGGGAGAGAGAGAGAGGGGGTGAGAAAAATTTTGTGGACGAGAAATTTTTTGTATCATTCATGACTGCTTTTCCCGGCTTTGGTGATGGCGACTTGCAGCAACCAATGAATGAAAAGGTGCTCTTCCAACAAGCTTGGACTATGTACACATCATCCAGCGTTCCTCACAGCAATTGACATATGCATTTTAGCGATAACCCGATGACTCCATTGACTATATCCACCAACTCCTTAAAGCTTATTACTGCTTGTGCAATAAGCACGAAACATGTCACTAAGCCAGAGCACGGAGGCGTCACTAATTTTTTCTGGACTCTAAATCTACGAAAAAGCTTAAAATCCTTGTACGATGCAACGTACCCGGAAGTACATTTGGAATAAGGAAAAAAAAAAAGGCAGGAACAGCAGCCACTCTTGCCTTGTGACGATCATTTCCTCCTCCACGGGATCTGACGGCTAGGCCACATGGATACGGAATGCACATACAACCATGCTGGATCTTTGGTAGTCTAGCAGCATCAGTATGACAAGTGAAATAGGACGACATGGTGTTTATTTGTATATGTTCTGGGACAACAGAAGATCTGTAAGCTAACGTCTACAGTAACGTGCATCAAAAGTCAAGTTATGCATTTGTGTGATCCGCTCAACCCAGCGAATGATAGAAAGGAGAGACACCCACGCGACCTTCTGCAGCAAGTAAGGATCCAGAAGGACGTTACACACGTAAAACAAATAATATAAAACTGACGGAACCCTATTCCTTTTGTAACAAAAAGGCTGCAGGCGTGCGGATCTGGTCATGGGGTGTGTATGTGATGGTGGGCACTCGTAGTATACACAGATCACCACGGCGTTCGCCTCCTTTTAGAGACCTTGCGCTGTCGAGCCTAAATAAGGTGGAGAACAAAAAGAGGGTTCATGCACTGACGGACTGACCGAATGACTGAAGGAAAGAAGGAAAGCATGACGTTTTCCCAATAAGACGGCAAGAAGCTCTGCACGCGCTTGTACGACTGGATGTATCGAAGCCAGGAATTAAAAGCTCGCATGCAAAAACGGACGTTCAAAAAGCCACTTTACTACTGTACTTGACTTGATAGCAACAGCAGTGATTATATAAAGGCAGCGAGGAGGGGGAACAGACAAACGACAACATCCCGGGTCATCAATTTCTCAGTTTTTTTTTTCTCCTCTTTCTTTCGTTTCGTTTCGCTTCGCTTCGCTACTTTTCTTCCTCGTTTTCAGCTTTCTCTACTGTATTTCTGTTTTTTTGGGATAAACAACAAACACAACGACAAGGATGGCTGGAAAAATCCATTGCTTGATCATTACTGGCATTCTGTTGCTGACCATGTGGTGCGTATTCCACAACGGTGCGGACTTGAGCGGCTGTAGTACGACAAGTACGGTTCAACGGATGCAGCAGCAACCGTCGCATGCTTGGCAAGGATGCTTGCGACTCGACAAACCACCTCTGAAACACGGCAATAAGGACAACGAGCACCCAGACAAAGAAGGAGAACAGTATCGCTACTTCTTGCACATCACTGATATGCACGTACGTTGTTGCTCTTCTTCACATATTTGTCACTTTTCCATTGGGAAGAAGAACCCAGCTGACATGTGTGTGTTAACATGCGCATATTCCCTTAGGTGGATCTGGGCTACACACCTGGAACTACGGTGAAGTCCGCATGTCATCGAAAGCGAGGCGAAACATTCCAACAGGAACAGCTACAAGAAACCCTTACAACAACAAGGCCAAGAAAACACCATCGCGTTGGACGGCTTGGCGCCCCATTCGAACACTGCGATGCGCCTCTTGAACTGGCACAGCAGACGATCGACTGGGTTGCACGACATTGGAAAGACAAGCTTGATTTCGTCATTTGGACAGGTGACAACTCGAGGTATGTTCAATAGCCTTTTATATCTAAGCTAGCATGGGACTACACGCACAACAGAGTGAGAGGCGTAATGTAACGTCATTTCACATTAAACTTATTCACAGACACGATTGGGATCGGAAAGAAAGCCGACGGCGGAACCAAATCCTCCAACTCAACCAGAAAGTGACCAGCCTCATAGCCGAGAGCTTGCCAAACACCCCCATCATTCCATGTCTGGGCAACAACGACGTCTATCCACACAACCGTATCGTTGATTACGACGAGATCCTGCCGTTCTTTGAAAACTTGTGGCGATCTTGGATCCCCAAATCGGAACGCAACAAATTCCTGCAAGGCGGTTATTTCATCACCGACATCGGAAAAAACATCCGCGTGGTCTCGCTCAACACCATGTTTTTCATCAAAAAGAACAAGTCAGTCAAGAGTTGTCGCAAGAACAATGGTCCTGCCAAAGACCACATACATTGGCTCGAACAAACGCTTGCCCAAGCTGAAAAGGATCACAAGCGCGTATTGATCATGGGCCATGTACCTCCCTCGCCTCGCGACTACCGGAATTCTTGTTTTACCGAGTACTTGCGTATCTCTGCCGACTACGGTCATGTCATTGCCGGTCATTTCTACGGCCATTTGAACATGGATCATTTCTTGCTCTATGACAGTCAACAGTTCATCGGCAACAGCAAGAAATCATCTCCAGCAACCACATTACTAGAAGCTGACGATGACGATGGCCAGTTGATCCATGTCACAAGGAACATTGAGCGATACGTCGACTGGCTCCGAGGCATGTATCAGTCCATTGAAGCCCCCAAAGACACTGAAGAAGAAGAAGATGAAGACACAACGCCGTCTCCAGGAGATAGTGACAACAACCTTGTGGCAATCCAGGTGTCGCCGTCTGTGCTACCGGTCTACTATCCAACTGTGCGCATTTATCGTTACACCGATTCATTTCAAAGTGGCAACTTGCTTGGTTATAGTCAATATTATGCAAACATCACCCGGTGGGAGCTTGAACATCCGCCCGAGGATCCTTTGGAATATGAACTCGAGTACACGACCGAAAATGATTACGACTTGGACAACTTGTCTCCTAAAAGCTTGTTCAAGTTTGCAAAATACATGATTGAAGGTGATAGCGATAATATGTGGAATGCTTACACCCGCAACATGTTCGTTCGAACGCAAAACGAAACGTTCCCAATCGACGACGACGACGACGACGATGACGATGATGACTACTAATGGACTGAGAAGATGTTTACACATGATTCATTTAACAAAAGTCTTCATATACCAGTACCACCAGCTTTGCTGTAAACTTATCAACACGCATTACTAAACGCTCAACAGACTTTTGCATACCCCACCTCACCCAACATCCATTTGTCCATTTTTACTCACATGCTTGTATATTACTTAGTGTATCTTATATTCTTTCCCTATCATCTACTAGAATCAGCCACCGCACCCAATATTATACACACTCTCGCTCACTGGCTAAACTAACTGCATGTACATGAATCTAGCAGCCACATCCCGAATACATATCATAATACAGATGCTATATTATAATCTTTTGTTCTTTTAAAGAGATGAATGAGATGTATAGGTGCGTGTATGTTGTGTGTCAAAGTGCAATGGTAATGAAGGGGAACTAGGCTTTGTGTGTGTTGTCAGGAATAAGGTTTAAGGTTATTTTTTTTTCTGCTGTCATGCCTTTTGCAGAACAAAGTTTAAAAGAGGCATGATCACGGAGGTAAGGGAAGAAGATGGTTGTCATTAGGGTGGGGACGAAATGTGGGGAAATAAGGGGGAAGTGGCTGGGGGTTAGGAAGGGAAGAGTCAAAGTGAGAGATCTTTAAAGCTCTGTATTCTGTAAAGCCGATATGAAATGTTTTTAAAAAAGATTGTAGTGAATTAGATATGTGTCTTCTCTAATTGTGAAACCAGCTCTTGTTCGGCCTTAGAATCGTCACCACGGGCCACTGGTTCCTTCTTTTCATTTGCCTCGGCCTTCTTGACCAGCTCGTCCTTGTCCTCTTCCTCATCCGACGACGTTTCATCCTCTTCATCCTCTTCCTCCTCGCTATCGACCTCCTCCATATCATCCAGATCGTCCAACGCATCCCCATGGGACCAAACGGCCAAAGCATCTATTAACGACTGAGCCTCGCGCATTTCAGGATCAAACTGGTTACCGTTCAGCTCCAAATGCTCCAAATCCTTCAAATGCGTTCGCACAGCTTCGGCCAATACCAAGATAGCATCGCCACGAATCTCATTGTACTGCAAGTTCAAACGCGTCAAGTTCTTGACGTGGCCATTGTTCAACGCACCGGCCAACGTAAGACCGCCTCTGTGCGACAATAAACAGTCGCCCACATTGAGCACCTGGAGCTTGGGCCAGCTGGAAATCGATTGTGACAAAGCCTTGGCTCCTTTGGCAGTGAATGTATTGTCTTGCAGATCGAGATGTTCCAAATGTTCACATGCGCGCAGTCCCGTAACGAGACGTTTGATACCCGTAGGACGGATGCCGTTCTGTGGCATGCGAACGACGCGTAGCGTTCCGTGTGCAGCAAATGCTGCGCCGAGCGAGGGTGCGCTGCCGTCTTCCAAACGGTTGCGGCCGCAAATAACTGTATGCAACGTCGATATACGGTTCTCGGCTTTGCACTTGTCAGCCCAAGCCTGCAATGCCTTGGCAATCATGGTACCACCACCAATACCAAGTCCATTGTTGTTCAGTCGTAAATGTTGAAGCGTTTTGGTGTTGGATAAAAAGTCAATCAATGGCTCGGCACCAGCAGGTCCAAAGGCATTGTCGCTCAGATCGAGTTCAATCAGTTGGGTTTCTTCAAAGGCATCGCATAGTGCCTTCAACGCCAAGGGAATCTCGGACAACAATCGACCCGTGAAAATGTCGGACAACAAAGCACGCTATACGTTATTTATTTTGGAGGAGATCAGTTTACGATTTTCTTGCTTTTTGCAACAACACAACAACATAAACACGCCAAGAAAGAAAATGAACAATTGTAAACGGATTAACTCAATACCTTGAGAGTGGGCCTGGTCTTGAGCGCAGCTGCCAACGATTGGGCAGCTTCAACACCGATCGTGTTACCGCTCAAGCAAATGACTTCGAGGGCGTCCATCTGGAGAATGGTGTCGACAAATTCTTGGACATCGTCCGAGGTGTTGAGCTTCAAACCTTTGCCAAAGATGGAGAACACAGTGTTGTTCTCGAAGGTGTATAGATTGATTGATTCGGCCATTGGCAAGGTGGGGAAAGAGATAAAACAAAAGTGGTGTGCGGGCGCTGTGTGCGTTAACATTCTGGGTTTCGATTTCCTGTACGCGTTAAACTAAAGCCTGACGAAGCCACACAAAAATTCATGTATAATTGACTTGGCAATAACTCGAAGGCCCCCGAGCACTGCTCTCTCTAGATGTAAAAAATCGTTCGTATGGCTCTATTACTATTCAAGAGTGAGGCAAAAAAAAGTAGGTGGGTATGACTCATAGCTACTAGGCGAATATGGATGTATATGGGCAATGCAAAAAATGTTGCTGTTGTTTTGTTGTCGTACACTTTTCATATACGAGGACGTAATGTATGTATAACTCAATACAAAAACAGCAGCAGCATATCGGTTACAGTAAAGATGATGTCTGGGCGCCGAGCCTTTACTGACTCAAACCTTCAAATCTCTCTTCTGCAATACATAAATGTCGCTTTCATGTCCTCCCTGATAATATCAGCATAAACCACTCGATCGATTGCCGGCTATTATTGGCATATATACAGGCAACAATCGACACGGATACGGATCATGTTTGGGCTTTGCCAAGGAGGCCCGATGATTTTCCTTATGCATCATGCTTTTAATTTCCAGCCTTCGGCTGTGGCGTAAGCTATATTATAATGCCGTTTTCTACCGAGCCTCCTACATGAGCTACTCATGTGTCGCACACGGCGTAATCAGTGGGAATACGCGTTGTATAAAAGGCTAAAATTCTCGCTTTAATACGTTTTGCTTCTTTCTTTTCCTCATCACACTTTCTCCGGCAATAATTCGACAGCGATACTACTACCATAAAACGGGAGAACGGCAAATACAACGAGTAATCTAAATAAGCAGGCCATCATAGCACAACATCGCACTATACTTCTTCTTCTCGAATCCCTGGACAAGCGCCAGCGGATCTTACAAAGCATACTGTATCTTGATCGACAAAAATCACAGCGAGCATGGTGTATTTTCTTCAACAACAAAGGCTTCCACAAGTAAGAAAAGAACCTCTGACGACAACCTGAAATGGTTACTGTTAGGGAGCTTTGATGAAATTGGATTATTGTCATACACATACAGTTTCCTGCATGGAGCTAATGCATGCAGGTGTAACGAATCAACTAGATAAATGCATTAACGACACCACTGTGTATACTCACTTAACCCATCATTATCTGACAGCCTATGCCTTGGGTGCCAGCGCAACACGGTTAAAAGAGATCTATGACATACATGCCTCATACGTGCGACCTTTACTTGCTCCCATCGACACAACAACGTTAACCCGAGAAACTTTTCAGCACGAGCTCGGTAATCTGAACGCCTACAAAACTATGTGATTAAACTTTTTCAAGGACGACATTGCAAACACTGGCATGATCGATACGATGCGGTATTGGGTGTTTGAGGACGAAATGTTATCAAGGACGGTTGGCGGTGCTTATCATCCATTGATCCATTTGGCCTATGAGGTCGAGTTTAATTTGCCTAACGTCGCTGCCGAACAAGCATTGGCAATGGCAGCTTGTACAGAAAACTTGCTTACACCATCGCTGACAGTAGCTCAGCAAGCTAAACAAGACGCGCCAGTGTCGCCATCGATATATCATCATCAGCCGCCACCATAGAGAAGAATAACAACAACGGGTCGAAGTGTATCGATGAAATTATTAACGCTATCCGTACAAACTTTTACTTTGACGATGCAATCGAATCTCCTGGCAAGAGAGATACAAACGAGGTATTTCGACGCAAAGTATTAGCAAACCCAGAGACTGTGACCAAACTACGAGAATATGCAACCCAGTGGCATTTTAAGGGTACTTGATCAACCAATGATCTGACAAATATGTGATATTTAACAAGACTTATAAACAACATATATAATAGGCGTTGAATCGAGTTAATAAGAACTGTATATCGCTTGCGTACTACTCCAGTCTGCCACGGGTGCTCGAAAACAAGACATCAAACTCGACTTTTTCGTGGCGCATGCGCTGACGTTTGCCCATGCAGCCTATACCATTATACCATACCTAAGCTCTAGCCAAGCAGAATCATAACTACAGGCACACTTTGCCGCAAGTCTGATGTACTATGTTGTACGCGGCCGTCCGGGTTTCCACAAGTTACAATCACAAGCAGTTACACCTGTTGCAGTAGCTAAATAATCCATAGCTTAATGTATTCAAACTTGCCCTTGCTGCTGATGTGGCGCACTGCATTAAGGTTGTTCGTGCAATTGCTTTGGCGCAAATAGTGTATGGAAGCCCACCATCATCATTGTCGCCGTTGGACGATGGTAGTTTGTTCCTCAAAGCAGCGCAGGTCACGGTGGATGTCACCGGTAAAAACCCAGTTGCTGCCTCGGCTTGGAACTTTCCGGGCGTTGGATTTGAAGAAACATGGGTCGATTAATAGAGTAATTACAGTGCTTACGCTTGTTACATAGCGAATTGAAGAAGTTACTGTATCTCTTTTTCTACACAAGGAGTTGCTTGTTGTAGTAGTTACAGAAACTTTTTTGGAGAAATTGATGTGGATATGACAAATCAATTAATCACCCAGTAGCCTATGGAAGATTCGAGAATTTGATTGGTAGACATGTAGAAGAAGCAAGCCTCGGGATTGGATCGGATGACTCGGCCGTGACGGCTAGCTCCTGTGGGTGGCGGGGCGAGGAAAGTTGCATTGACAAGTGATTTTATTTTTTTCCCTCCTAACACATACCACATCCCAACAACCATGACTGATCAAGCTGCTCCTGAACCTATCTTTGTCGATCTTCATGATAACTCCAAACCAGCCGAAATTGAGAGCTTATGCATGAAGTGCCATGAAATGGTAAGAGAGATTCTCTCTTCGCAATAACAGTTAAAGGAATGAAAACAAGTTCTTATATGTTTATAACGATTCGACGTACATACTATATAGGGCACAACACGCATGCTCTTTACCAAGATTCCCCATTTCAAGTAAGATAGTGTTGTCTTTCTTTTCAGTTGCACACTCCATGTCAAAACTTGACGTGAAACTAATCAAGAAAGTATTTTTAACAGGGAAATCATTATCATGGCATTCGAGTGTTCTCACTGTGGATTCCGTAACAATGAATTGCAAAGTGCAGGTGCATTCAACGAAAAGGGTCAGACAGTCAGCTGCCGTGTTGCTGGCAAAGAAGTAAGTTATAACTACCATTTCCCTTTTAAAAGAAAGAGGCGAGAAAGAAACTGACGAACTTGTGTAATTTGAAATATAAGGACTTGGACCGCCAACTTGTCAAATCCGACTTTGCATCTGTCAAGTTTGAAGAACTTGATCTCGAAATCCCACCTAGCCGACGACGCGGTCTATTGACGACGATCGAAGGTCTTATTGGCAATGCCATTGAAGATTTAGCCGCGGGCCAGCCCGTACGACAACACACGGATTCAGACGTTTACAACAAGATCGAAGCCATCATCCAGCAGTTGACAGCGTATCAAGAAGGCAAACAAGACTTTACATTGACCATTGATGATGCCTCGGGCAACTCGTATGTTGAAAACAAATGTCTTCCAGCACAAGATCCCAAACTCAACATTCGTTGGTACGCCCGAACGCCCGAACAAAACGAGTTTTTGGGTCTGTCTTCTGAACAACAACAACAACCAGAAGCTTCTGCTGCTGCTACAGGCGATGACGAAACACCCGAAGTGTTGTCATTTCCTGCTAATTGCTCCCACTGCAACGCTCCTAGTGAAACCAACATGCACGTCATGGATATTCCGCACTTTAAGGAGGTCGTCATTATGGCTACCAGCTGTCAACAATGTGGTTACAAGAGCAATGAAGTCAAGGCGGGTGGTCCTATCTCGGAACAGGGCAAGCGCATCACTCTTAAAATCACTGACTCTGAAGACTTGTCGCGTGATATCTTGAAGGTAAAAAAAAAAGCTGATTTTATCCCTCTGGAAATTGTGGGAAGAGTATTTTGTTAACTTTTCTGTTGATAGTCTGAAACCTGCGGTTTATCGATTCCTGAAATTGACTTGGAACTGACGCCAGGTACACTCGGTGGCCGATTTACCACAGTGGAAGGTCTGTTGAGACAAGTGCACGATGAATTACAAGAACGTGTTCCATTCATGCAAGGTGACTCGACTACGGACGAAAGCCGACGACGATGGAACGAATTCTTGGAGAAGTTGAGCGAGGTGGCAGATGGCAAGCGTATTCCGGTGACGTTGATTCTCAATGATCCCTTGTCCAACTCGTACCTCCAAAACTTGTACGCACCCGATGATGATCCGGAAATGACGATTGAAAGTTATGACCGTGATTGGGAGACCAATGAAGCCCTTGGCTTGAACGATATCAAGTTGGAGAATTATCAACAGCAAGAAGGAGAAGATCGTCAGCCGCATCAGGACGAGCAGGAGAGCAAAAAGAGAAGAGTTGATTAGTTGGATTGGTGGATTTTGTAATTAAAGAAAAAGTATTATTTAGAGTTTTTGCTAAACGTCACGAGCATAGGGTGTACACACTATAACATACACATGCTATTACTATACAACAGTAGCCAATACATATACATTCATTCATTTATTCTTTTTCTTGGCTTGTTTTAGAATTGCAATTGTTATTACTATCGTCATTGAAATACCATATCATTGTTGCTGCTGTCCCTGATACCATCATCATTGTCATAGTCGCTACCATCATCCATTATAAGCTGTTGCGCGAACGAAACACGTTGTTGAGGAGTGGCACGATGTCCGGCAATGCTCGCTGCATAAATGCGCATGTCTTGCCATGTTTGTTCCAACTGACTGCCACGCGCGGCCGTCGACTCGCGATATCCCTTCAAGCCATCAATCATGGATCGTGTGACGCCCTCTGCTTGGCTGTGTAATTTCGATATGGAAATTGATCGACGCAATGTTATTAACCCGATGCATGCAACCTGGAATATTTTCATGCGTGTGCAAACGTCAATGTGAAATACTATACCAAAGATCTTCAGTTGACTGCTGCATTGCATCTACAAGTGCTTGAACCAACTCTGTGATATCGATGCCATAATGAGAACTTTGAGGCCAAACGTTTGAATGATTTTCTTTTTCAAAGTGAACAAACCATTGACTTTGGTATTGATGGCTGGAACATCCATTGAAGATGGGTCGTCACTACAATTGATGATAGTAAACGAGCAACAGTTTTAATATAAACATTCATGTGTGGAGGCGTGGAGATCTTTACTCTTCAGGTGATGACGATGATCGGTCTTGATGAATGTGATCATCAACGTTGTTTGCGTCGCTGCCTTCTCCGTTCATGCAGTCAGTGTTGTTACTTTGATCTTGTACCACAGCTTTTATTGTATGCTGCTGCTGGAATAGACCAACAACGGTATTAGAAGTAGCAGTAGTTTTAATCGATGCCGACGATGAAGGCTGCGGTGGTGATGGTGGCATTGGTCTAAAAGAATCTGGGGAAGGTGATGACGATGACACTACTCCACCTACAACAGCAGCAGCAAGAATGGTATCTTCTTGGTCTTCAAGCATCTGCCATGCACGATCATCGTCCAGGACAAGTTGGTCATCACTGTCATCATGTGGTTGTTGTTGTTGTTGTTGCGCATTTTCTTCCTCAAAACAAGTGGTGGGCAATAACAAGGGTGGCGTCTTGGGCATGTTTTCTTTTGTATGTGCGGAAGGAAGAAGAGAAAAGCGGACAATTCGCTTCTTCTTTTTTTGTCTTCAAGTAATGACGACTGTACATTTCTCTGTAGTTTTTTAATGAAAAATATATATATAAAAGATTGAAGGGGTTAGAAACAAAAGGAAGGGGTATCTTTTTTTACTGCTATCTTGGATGGTGCTGTTTTCTTTTGTGTGTGATGTGTGCGTGTGTGTGGTATACAGAACAAAGGGAGGGATAAAGTATATATATGTGTGTAGATAGGATATATAAGAGAAGAAGAGAAGAGAGAGATATGTGCTATGTGATATATGATATATGATATACGATATATGGAAATGATATGAAATAGAAGGGGGACATGTTTGCTTAGTCTTGCTTTGCTTTGCTTTGCTTTGCTTTGCTTTGCTTGCTTGCATGTGTGTTTGTTTGCTTGCTTGTCTGTTTGCTGGTTTGTGTGTTTGTTGGGGCGTGGGTGGCTATAAAATGTTGGTGTTGTGTATAAGAAAGACTCTAGAATGATGTTGAGGAGGTGCCGCACCAGTCCAGTAGCGCCGTGTCACCCGACGGTGGCACAAAGTTGGTCGCAACAGGGTTGTTCGAGGCATGCGCTACACTTGTACCACCACTCTCTTGTTGCATGCTGCCGTCTTGTTGCTGTCCGAGGTCGTTGTTGTCGTAGCGGACTTCATGTGTACGCTCGTGCTTCCGCAGAGACCGCAGATGGTAGTATGCTTTGCCGCAGTTCTCGAAACCGCACAGGTAAGGTCGTACATTCGAATGGATCTTGCTATGTGTTGTAAGAGAGTCTGGCCGTGAAAATCGTTTGCCACAATCTTGTAAACGTCGTTAGATGATGATCGCAAATTGTGACACAGTGGAAGCTGATGAACTTACCAGGCTCTTTGCATTCAAAGGGCCGTTCTCCCGTATGTGTACGAAGATGATTATGCATCTTGTGTCGTTTGGTGAATGGCTTCTGGTTACGAGGACAGTTTTCCCAACCACAGTAATACAAGGCCTGAACGCACATACATGCATGGTTGTTAGTTTGGCTTGATGATATAGCAGCACACTATGTTTTACCTTGCCACTTCCAATGTGCTTATCCTTCACATGCACGATAAGTTCTTCCAGATTTCCCATCTCCAAATAACAGCTTTCCCATTTGCATTGATGGGTCTCTTCTTTTTCGTCTTGAGCTGCTCACATTTTAGTTTGTTGTTTAAGAATGACAGGACGCATTTCGTTAATTTAACAGTGAAAAAGAAAAGGCTAGGAAGTCATACTTACAGGTAGTAGCAGCAGTAGCGGAAGGAGGTTCATCAGCGCCAGGCTGCTGGTTCAATTTTTCCAAAAGAAGCATTTGTTGTTCTTGTTGGTGATGGTGGTGGTACTGGTGCTCAAGGAATACGACATCGCTATTGCTACCAGCAGATAGTATAGGACTGCACATGGACGACGAGGATGATATAGTGGTTGTCGTCGTTTCGGGCGAGCGCCATTTGCTTGTATCCAACACTGGACTTGCCGTCGATGAAGATGAGGGTGGTGTCATCTCGAGCTTACCCAACGATCGATGGCGTTTTGCTTTCAATAGTTTACGCACTTTGGCTTGCTCTTCGCTTGATTCTCGGCTACTACCGCCCATACTGCTTTTACCACCATTACCGCCGAAATTACTTGGTCTGCCACCAGATACAGTGTGTCGACGTGGCATGGTTCGGCGCGAAGGAGTGCTTGACTTTTTCGTAGCAGTGCTATTGCTAGTTTCTCGATGGCTATTGGGCTGGATTTCAGGGCTGCTCTTTGCAGTTATTGTGCTTCGTCGCCGAGAAACTGTTTTTATGTTGCTGCTGTGTTCTACAGCAGAAGTTGTTGCTGTTAAACAAGGAACGGCAACACCAGAGGTGGTGTGAAGGATCCCACTGTTGCTGTTATTGCTCTCGGCCATCATCAGCATGTCCATCATCGATTGTTGGTGTGACGCCGACTGTGGTGACACCATCGGCACCTGCTTTTATGTCAATGCCGAGAAAAAAAAAAGACCATGGTGAGTAGTCCAGTCAAACAAAAAATAAGAGAGGTAGCTATACCTTTGCGTTGGACGGCACGATAGGCGTATACGATGCAATCGTCCCTTGCGGTAACGCTGGTGCCTGTTGGTACATGGTATGCTGTTGTTGATGATGGTGGTACATGACTGGGATCATATTCGACCCGTCTTGTTGCTGGTGGTGGCTGTGAGGAGTCATTTGGAAACCTGGGTAATCCAACATCATGGGTGATGACAATGCCTCGGGCTGCTGCTGCTGCTGCTGTTGTTGTTGTTGTTGATGCAACATTGCAAATTGATCTCCAGCAGCAGTGGTGTTGGAGTACTGGAGCATAGAATAGTCCATAGGCGAGTTGGGTGAAGTGGCGGTTGTCGTTGTTTCACTCGGCGTGGTCGGGTTATACACGAAACCTTGCGTAAGTGGCGGAGCCACGCTTGTGGTAGAGGGCGTGGTCGTTGCTGTCGATGTAGAAGACATGAAAAACCCGCAGCTGTTATTGTTGGCTACTGTCGTTGCTGGATGGGCTTGGCTTTTAACAACAGGCGCAGGAGTGATATGCTCTGTCATATACCCGGAGGATGGCTGCTGCTGTTGCTTTAATGCGTTGTTGTGCAGAAAATGAGACGCGACACCTGCGTCCATGCCATGCGACGGCATGACGACTGGAGGAGGAGGAGGCTGTTGATGTTGTTGATGCTATGGTTGTTACATAGTAAAAGCATTAATATATTTCTCCCCTCTCCTTATTTCTTCTATGCAGTTATTACGGTTTTACCATGTGCGGATAATGATGATATTGTTGATGGAGTTGGTTGGTGGGAACGGGTGCTACGGACGATGCCATCATTTGATCGTGTTGCATTGGAAACGAGGCACTCGCATTGCTGCTGTCATCGCCAAGAGCATACATCATGGGCTCGTTCATCATGTCGCTGAAGCTGGTAGCCATGACAACTCTGATGTTACTATCGAGATAAACTTGTTGTTGGTGACGATGATGATGACCTTGTTGTTTCGGAGTCTCGGATCTATCGGAAGACGGAGAGGGAAGAGTTGAAGCCAAGGAAAGAGAGAGAGAGAGAGAGAGAGAGAGAGAAGAAAGAAAGAAAGAAAAAAGAAGGTTGTAAAAAAGAAAGAAAGGGGGTGGGGAGTACAAGCACGCGGAGTAAAAGAGAGAGATTCGAGGAAAAGAAAAAAGATAGCTCGAGTTATATGTCAACAAGGATCCGGAATTGACGCAAACTGAATGAGAGATTCGCAAATAAGTGAAGATCCGCCAAAAAAGAAAAGAGGGAGCGCGAGTGGATGTATGAGGAAAAAGAGACGAAGAGGACAGGGCAAGTAGTACGCGTTATTCTCGGCGTAAAAGTAAACAAAGAAAAAGAGAAGGAAAAGAGGAAAAGAGAAAAAGGCTTATTACAGTTGTGCGCAATTCACTGTTAGTAGCAGTATCAGCAAGCAAGCAGCCCCCAACTGTATGAATTGGATTCAATTATACAAGCAAGACACGCAGCAGTCCTTTTGTGTCGCTCCATTGCTCCATCGAGAACAAATTGCCTTTCCATTTTTGATGACAAAAGCAACCTACCCTCTCTCTCTCTCTCCCCCCCCCCTCTTCCGCCAGTTCGACTCTGTGATGTAATTATTGGTCACTTGTGCTGTCGTATGGCATATACGCCACCGTGTATTCCATCATCTTTAACACGTTTTTCTCCTTTTCTTATCAATGCCTTACTACATACACCCATCAAGCTTGTCGTTTTTCATACTGTACTTTCTCTTTTTCATGCCGATCCTTTTTTACAGCCACATCATGGTACTATTAGTGTTCCTCAACAGCCTCACTTTCAACAGCTACAGCTACAGCTACCCTTGATAGTGTCGGTGTATGTGTGTGTCACCCACACAAACACAAGTCCAGTTTGACAAATGCGGCAATTCGACTATTAACCATGATCAGAGAGGTAATTGTTTCTTCTTCCCCATCCCCCAAAATAAGAGGCCTGTGGCACTGTATCAAGTCCGCTTTTCTTCAGTTCACTCACTGTTGTTGCTGCATGTAGTACATACACAACATAAAGGGCACTGTAAAGTGGCATATATCATCATAAAATTAGATTAACTTTGATTATTTACAGTTGATTAAGTGATGCTCTATATAAGACCCTTCTTTCTCTTTTATCATCATCTCCTTCCAAAAATGCTCCTTTTCTTGCACAAGAATAGTTCTCCGGAGAAAATAATCACCATAATTAATCATAATTACTCAATAGTCCATGAATGAGCTAATTCCGTATCCACCCGTGCCTTCGCCGAACAACGTTTCACACAAACAGATCCCACATTGGGGAGGAATAACAAAAAAAATCGGTTGAAAATAATTCTAGAAGACCATGATCCTTATCATCTTTATGACTTGTGTCTTTCGTCCTCCCTCGTCGTTTTCGCTTGTTGCTTCCGAGGTTTAACAGATACCATGATCAATAGCTTTGATGGCGGTATGCGCTCATGATGACTTAATAAAGAGCCAACCATCATCATCTAAGTAATTTAATGGCTTTGGAACTACTATTAACAACGATAGCATCCTACTATTGCTCGCTACTGTATACTACATAAAATCCGTCAACGCAGCAGCAGATGCTGTAGCAATTATTCAGCCTATAGTCGACAGCCAGTGACTTATAATCTTTGTATCTTCTGCTGCGAGGAACAATGAGTTATTAATTTATCATTCATCTGTAAATGTGATATAGCATCTCGTCGTAACATGCAAAATAAGCTCAGCTCTTTCTCTACTAGTGCGGCTGATCTAACCTCCCTCACCTTTAATCCCATTATAATATTCACAATGAAAGTCTTTGTTCCTGCAGCGACCACTTACTTATAAGAGACTAGCAGTATTTCATGCGTAGTTATCATCATTACTGCTACCAACTTTCCTTTTCATGGATATAATGGAAGCACAAAATGTAAAGTTTTCTCCGAGTTTGGTAGATAAATGGTGGTTCAAGAAAAGGTTTGTTTTGTAGTAGTAGTAGTTCCTCTTATTTTTAGCTGCTTATTTTAGAACACAACAAGTATCGATATTTATACACATCTTCTCAGGGTATGATATACAATGATAGTGTGATGGCTTTTATAATGTTGATTTGTACATGTACATGTATATACAGTACCAGATTTTGTTTAAGAATAGATCTTTTAACCATGTAGTTTCACTTTTTAATTGGGTTTGCGATAATAGCTGTGTCCTGCAATCTTCTTTTCTCATGTTGCTTATTTTGAGTCGTGGATATCTGGTAACTGCTGGTACGCACCAGTAACACAAGATGAATATTCCATTAATATAGCATATACAAGGCAGCAGTCATCAACATTATCCAGACAAAAGCCGTCGTCAGCAATGCACTAAGCAATATCATACTCAATGGGATACTTAAAAAATGCATACTTTTTAGAGCAGTCCATGGATAGTAGTATAAATATTAACCCGACGAGAATGCGTTCGATCCGAAAGTTTTTAACCTGAAGGCCCTGATTATGATGCTTCATTGTGTAAGTACCTATAAACATGCCACATATGAGGACCCGCCGTCTACTTAAATGACGAATAACAGCAACATGAATCGTTCGTTCTGAAAAATATCTCATATACAGTAGTAGCATAGTAATCTTGCTAATTTATTACATTATTTGCCCGAAATTCATACTTGTTGACTTCACTCGTTTTAAGAATGTGAGCATGAAAGAATAAAGATACTTGAGGTATACAATAACAATTTACTAAAAGTACTTTTATTTGCTGGAAGACTTGGACTCGCAGATTCCAGTTTCAAAGACTTCCGGATAAAAGTTGCGCTATTCGTTTTCACAGCGATCTTGGTTTTGGTCGCAGATATTGCCCGAATGTTGACATGGCATAGCAGTCAGCAAACGTCTCGCATTGTATGCGAGACTCCTTGTCACTTGCACAGCCAACCCTTTTGACTCACTCGATCCATTCGCCTTGGACGGAAACGGCAATTGTGCCAAAATTGGACAAAGCAAAAAATGTCTACGGAGAAAGCTGAACCATGGCTATACTATGATAGCTGTACAAGCCAACAAAAAAATGCTATGACAATTTCAACTGACATCTGATGAATGCAAGCTAAATTAGAGAAAGGGTACTACCCTTTGGATCATTTTTTATATCTAACTAAAAACGTATTTCTTTGGAAGTCAAAACCGGGTATACTCTATAGCAGTAATACTTGAAGCGCAGAGAAAGCATAAATAAAGCTATAGGCATACGGAAAAAAGGGTTAAAAGAATGTGCCTATTTACCTTATAGCAATACTGTTTAATACTATATAAAGGAGAATGGCCGCTGTCACTACCGTTGTCGTCGTGCTGTAACGACATGTGTAACTCGAATGCAAAGCCCCCTCTGCCAGTGCGGCCGGATGTTGTTTGCTCCTTGCGCGAATATTATTAGGTGTGATCGATGATGAGGGGCTTGGGCTAATAAAGAGTTTGAAGTAGTGCTTATTACCATCCTTCCACTGGTAGTATGTCCGCGTCCAACATCTTATCAAAAGATTAACCACAACTTCATTACAACGCGACTCTGCTAGTGTTTCTTGAGCGAAAAAAAAGTGGCATGCTATTGAATGGAGAACGAAGAACTAAAATACTTTCATCCCTTTTGATGTGACATATACATACTGACAGTTATCAAATGGACTGAGTACTCCTATACACGCAAAGATTATACTACGACAATAATTCTGTATACATTTTGTGCTATGGATTTCTGTTCGTTCGTGATGTTTCCCCATAATATGTACTTCCAAGTTCTGTGAACACACGGCAGCGGACAATCTTTTTAAAGAGATACACTAAGCCTTGTCGGAAAAGACAAAACCAAGAACTCGTCATGTAAAGGTCTATACATATAAATCAATCTAGGTTTCTTTGTGAGCTCTACTGACCTTTAGAATTGATGTTGTTTGTATACACACAGAATGTGCTCATTATGTCATCAATGATATTAAATGCTATCAGTTACAATACTGTACCTCATCCATCGACTTTATACTACGTAAATTTATCTTTTCGCATATACTACTTATTAGCAGGGCCAAAAATAAAACAATTCATTTGCCCGTTTGGGGGAGAGGGGAGAATAATTTCTTTCCTTCAAGTCAAGCAGTAGTAATGTGATGATACATAACGATGACTGTATTGCGCCACATTATGCACATGCTTCCACAATGCTGACTGTGCTACGGGAATCTGATCGCAGTTTTACAACAAGCCTTATGTTTTAGTTGTGTCGTCACCTTTTTGGCGACGGGTTGGGACCTAATTTTATTAGGACCATTTTTCTAGACACAGGAACTTGATGTCACCTCTTCATCCAGATATAACTGATTAGAGTTGACTGTTGCACGACGGTACTAAACGATATACACACATGTGGATTTCTAGATTGTAATGTGTCGGCGCAGCATATTACTACCGTTATAATTATCATGCACAAAAAAAACCTTCGCGTGGACATACACCTGCTCTGTCACCAACTGACCATAAACGCTGCTATTGTTATTTTTATGCAAATCATGCAAATCGTTTGAGTCGCGTACATTTATGATAGAAGCAAAACCGCATCAATTATCTCGATGATCTTGCTGACTTTCTCTTCGTTTCTACGTTGTCACACTTTATAGAAGTGTTTTACACTTAATTTCTTTCCCTCTTCCACCCCACCACTCAAATCATCAATTGTCCGCAGTGGACGAGGCATACGACGGACTACATGTTTTATCTAGTGGGCCATCGTTGGGAGGAGAACAATATGAGCTCACATCTCGGTCAAATTTAATGGAACTGATCACCTTCTTACCCGCACAAAATATTGTCGTGATGAAGCGCAGCGGCAAAGTGTTCGCCGATGCTATATTATGTATTCTACTTGGGAAATAGAACTAGCGATGTCATTGTTATCACAAGAACAATTCAGTTGTATAACAAATCATTTGAAATTACTCCGGCACTTCTTCATCATGACTCCTTTTCTGTAGCGGGTTAAAATTGATACATAACACTGGTTGTTGGGTTGTATGTCTGTCGCAGACTGTATAATTTTCAAAAGTTAACAAGTCTTGCACACTACAAAGAAAGGTGAACGTACTGTATTTGAAATCTTCAAGCTTCATAGTCGCAGTGCCATTATCCAGAGATGACGCTTTGTTGGTGTGATGGCTCGCCATGCCTCCTATGTAATGCATATCCCATCAATATTCACTTTGATTCGCTGTGTTCGCGCGTCAACATGCATCTACATGTCTTTAAGGGGTTTGTCAACGGCAAACTGAGAAGCATACCGGAACAACGTGATGCATATGGCACGCTCAACATATGGCGTTTTTATCCGCTTTTACCGATCTTCAGCAAGTTGAATAAAAGATCTACAGTAAGGCAATAAATTTCATTGAAATTGAGTGTCAGACTGATTACTTTATAAACCGGACACTATGGTATAAAAGGCGCCAAAAAATATTATCTGCTTTTTTAGATAGACAAAAGCAAAGATCTGAACGTTCGAAAAACATTCCTCCATCTCAAAGTGTGCATCTTATTTTTGCATCATAATAGAAATGGCTGTGCAATTTACAAAAGAGGACAAGGAGTGGATGTATGATAAGGCTTTGGACATCATGCAAAAAAGCGATGGGTTTAATAGATCACCAGACAATAGATGATGATAATAGCTAAGAAAGATACACGACTATCAACGTTATTATTATACAAGGTGTTACTTGGTTTCTTTATCTGCTTTTTAAACTAGTACGTCAATGCTTCGTCTCGAGATCAAGTTCGGTTCTCTTCTTCATGCACATCGAAAAACAACGTCAGAAATCCAAGACTGTAATTAATTTAGTGCCTTCTGAAGCCTTTGAGAGCTTCTAAAGCAATAAATTACAAGCATGAATTTCTGATTAATAGTGTACTACTGAGTACTATGCGTTTCCCGCTTGATATTACACTTACATGTCAAAAGAAGCCGGTACATGATGAGGATAAGTTTGGGTAACTGTGAATACACCGCCACTGCGTAAACCCAACAGCTAATATAGCTTTTCTGAAAGATACGCATCTCATTGTATATTTAAGATCATATTTTGCGATAATGTTTCTTTTCTTTAACGCGTCAAAGATACTATAAATGCCCTGAATGCTATTAAAAGTTTTGTTCCAGCCGAATCTGCGCATCTTGTCAAGACAGCCATCACCCGCCCAACTACGTACCGACCAGATATCTATCAATATTTTAAAGCAAAAAGATAAAAAGTGATAAATATAGAAAGCACATAATATCGCCATTTGTTACTGTTACAAAAGCATGCTGCTGCTACATATTGATAGAATGCATAATACATAAGCATAACAACAAGGGCTCAATTAGTATAATCAAATGCTCCACGGATTCAGATTATGCTTTTCAGCAATCCAGTTCCAACTCTCCTTGTTCTGCTCCATGTAATCCTTCAATAGAAAAGTTCGTCTACAAACATCATCCCGGCTTCCCCACTCTTTTGCAACTAACAACAATTCAGTCATCAGAAAATACATCAAGGCCAAACTATTCATTAGCATATCATATGCAGTATGAACGTTAGTAAAAAAAATATTATGTGTGTATTGTACACATAAAAACATTTTTTTGTCTTGTCTCAATCACGCATACTCTGCCCTCTTGTGCCATAAGTCGCGTGTAAAAGTTTTGGAATTATCGGCCATGCTGAATCTCGAAATCGACTTTATTTGTTGCTGTATATCGTCCCGTGCGTTCCAGTGCTCTTTGCAGCCAGGAAACTCGAGATTCCTTCCCAACGCTCTATGTAGAGATCCATGTATTGCCAGCGTAACAGCAAAGTTCATGAAGCTGCCTATAGTAATGCCTGAGATAAAAAAAAAGGTTTATAACACTTTCTTGCTCGCTGCTAGGTACATACTTTTGCTGACGCCCATGATCATATTTGGACGTGAAATATCCCAACGCCAATTAGTATGCTCTAGACAAAACTATTTTGTCAGGTCTTCTTGTGGAAAGTGAGAGTTTGAGTCTTTATCCAAACGAGGCGCGTCGTCACCATGCTCAACAAATAGTGCCTAACCAAGAGACGAGGTCCATTCGCAGTACCATAGTACGTGTATCTGATTCTGTAGGACGAATGCTTGTAATGCAGGATAATGCAGGAGGGCTGACTGCAGCCACAGCTTCCAACGTTTTGGATAAAAGCTCCAAATTTACTTTCAGGAGTTTTTGTTCTGCAGGCTTGTCAAGATAGGTGTAATAGAACGCGTGGTACGCTTCTTTAACATCATGATCGATCACAATTTTGGCAAATTCTGTGACAGATCATTGAAGAGATAGATAGGTGAAAAGAAGACACGTGGGTCACTGAATTCTTTTGAGGTGAAGAGTACGGCGCGAGATGGCAATAATCTGACTCCATTCGCTTGTGCTGGTTTGAACAAATTGGGTTACCGAAGCAGTGCCGCTAATACCATTGGCACCAAACGCAAGTGCTGTTTCACCTCCTGTAGAAGTAGCTGACATATTTCTTGAAAGCATTATATTCTAATGTGATGTTTACATATACAAGTGACAAAGAAAGGAAGAAAAGAGTGTGCCATTCTTCCCAATACTGTATTGCTTACGAAAGGTTTTAAGGTTGCTGACATCAATAAATATGTATGTTAAAAGGAAATCAGCAATGCATTTTCCGCCCTACAATGATACTCTTCTCTATGTATGTAGGCTACTAATACCAAAGTATGATAAACCATAAGCAGGAGCGCAGCACTAATTCTGCATAAATCCGATTGCTTTTCCGAAAAGCATATGCCTTCATTTTTTCTTATGACATATCGCAGTTCATTTTCTGCCTTTTCATGCACCAGTAGCTGTTTTTAAGTCTAGTTATCCAGTTTGTTTAGTAACAGTAGTGCCGGTGGGTTTAGCTTTTGTATGTCACCGTTGTACCTTTTGGGGATTGAAATATGATAACATAAAAAAACCTCAGATCATCGTTTGGGTATTTTGAGACAATTACAGGGACTTGGGGAGGTCGTTTTAGGTGTCCAAGAGGCAACAAACGGCAATTTGTATCTTTCGGATGAACGATGTTTTAGGCAGCGACTGCTATGGTTGGAGAAGTAACAGAATTAATCAAGCGAAATTAAAGTGAGAGTGTGTGTAGCGTGTGCATAATACTCGCAAAAAAAAGAAGAGCAATATATTCACGCTGCATATAGTCTACAGTGGTGCAAAGAGTCGTCTAACGTTCAACAGCATCATAATTCATATTAGCATTCTGCTTCTTCGAGATAAAACTACAGATTAAGAAAATACGTAGATACAGAATGAAGCTCGCCGGCATTGATCGAGTCCCTCGGCTTAATATGCTTCTTCTGATTCTAATAGCCTTTCCAGAAGCTCATTTCAGAATTTAGTATTAAATTGAAGCGTATAACTTTTGTACCGTCTGAAAAACGTTTTAGGAAGACATGTTATTTCAAGAATAGACCTGCATTTTTTTAGAAAGATTCAGCCATTGCCTACTGCATGCATCACACATGAATACTCGTCCTTTTTCTTTAAAGCTTTTAGTCAGTGATCGCTCACAAGGAGTAACCTTATGTACTTTTGTCGTGGAAAATCGACACTTTTTCGCCGCCTCGTAATAGATCATTTTCTTCTGCACTGCGTAAAACTCTAATGCGTCATGCAAGGCGTAGAATGGAGTGGTACCGATACTGCACAATTATTGTGACCAAACTCAGCTATGGGTGCGAGGCGTTATATTTTTGTCCTTTTCATCCGCGAAATTTATTCTAGCGTGTCCTTCTTTTGCTTTACAATATCGCTTAAATCCACTCAAATTTTTTCACTACAACAATGCCACTCGAAGTGATTGGCGCTGGCTGTAGCCGAACCGGAACATATAGTCTATATTTGGCACTTGAAATACTGGGGTGAGTTGTATTTGGTAGTGTTAAAGTGAATTGAGACAAAAAATAACATCTTCCTTGAGTTTCTGCTTCATCCCTCTTCAACAACTAGATACAAAACACATCATGGATTTTCCTTGCTCACAGATCCATCCCAGGACCCAAATATATGGCTTGACGCTCACATGAACTCCACATCTCAAAACTGCTACAACAATAGCAATAAGGATGGCGATGACGAGGACAAATGGGAGAAAGTATATGGAAACTATACAGCTGCTTCAGATTGGCCGACAAGCTCGTTTTACAAACAACTGCTCAAGCAATACCCGGCAGCCAAAGTCATACTGACTGTACGACCAGCCGAAAGTTGGTATACATCCATTGAAAACACAGTGTTGAAATTGGTCCGTTGGAGGTTTATGCGCTATGTTTTGCCGCACCACCTGTGGCTCGTACAAGATTTATGGTGCAGAACATTTCTTAACGGTGCAGTAGCAGATTCAGAAGATAGTTCACCATTATTCGACCGTGACAATATGATTCGATGCTACAATCAACATATCGAAGAGGTGAAACAGACGATACCAGAGGATCAACTATTGATCATGTCTTTCGACGACGGTTGGGAGCCTCTTTGTAAATTCTTAGGGAAGGAGGTACCACCTAGCAATGTACCTTACCCCAATTCAAACGCGCGTCTCAATTTTTATGAGTTCTTTTGGCGTCCCATGCAAAAGGAATGGGGTAATACGCTTGGGATGCGCTGTTGGTGGGGACTGTGGCGCCTCTGCGAATACAAGAAGAGCAGGTTATCGTCGTCCTCACCCATCATTGTGTGTATTGTAGTAATTGTTGTATATGTTATCTCTCTGTTTTTGTATCATCAATTTTCAAGTCTCTAGGCTAAATTGCTACGGTTGCTACAGAGAGCATTAATTAAATTACATAGTAGATATTGTTAATATCATAACAGTAAAAACATAAATAACATCTTGTTAAGTGTATTAGATATTTCTCAAGTCGATTTGATGTAAATTAAATAGAGCAGACTTTGAATATGGCCCACCACGAATCAGCATCTCATGGACCCCTTGCACCAGTGTAATTTTATGCTTTGATTTGTGTTGCGGTTCGATTGGCGCTGAAGTTGTTATTCCCAAGCAGTAAAGTTTATACGCGTATCACACATCGACGCACCTTATTTTCCTCTTCTCGACTTTTACTTCTTGCTCTTCCAATGACACCACCTACTTGCTCGACATTCGCTGTACCCGTTGGCATACCCGTATATGGCGTTACGTTCACCCCAACTAACCAACTTCTTATTGGAGGCGGTGGTGGTCCAGGTCGCTCAGGTGTTCAGAACAAACTTGTAAGGATTCCTACTTGAGACCGAGAGAGAGAGAAAATAGTTTATTTGCTGTGGTCAAGTTACCTATTTCTCTTGCTTTACTAAATTTCGGTTAAATTAAATTAGGTGTCATATAAAGTTGAGCCACGCAGAAAAGATCTCGAAGAAGAAGCAGTGTACGATCTTTCTAACGATGAAGATGCGCCCATGTGTCTCGATGCTCATCCTACTGTAAGTTCATTATGTGTGTGTAATGAAAAAATTGCGCGTGTGTTTTGTCGTCTAAAAGGAACGCTCATGGTCATCATATTGTGACAGGAGAATGTGGTAGTGGCAGGCATCAATAGCACCGAGCAAAATATCAAGAAAGGCGAAAATAAAAACTGCCGAGTGTTTAAAGTTCTCGAGTCACAGTAAGTCAGTGATGAAGTAGCATTGTATGTATATTGTGCTTACCCAAGGATTATTATTATTATCGATATTAGGTTCGAATTGACGAAATCATTAGCTTCAATAACAAGCAAAAGTGCCGAGGACTATCAGGTAATAAAGGATCAGCTAATTACTAAATGATTTGAAAGTTGCTTTATGGGGAATCGGTAAGAAGGAAGTTTGCCTTCTACCAACATAGACTGACTGTATATGTTAGAAAGTAATCCGCTTCAATTCGGACGGCACCTTGTTTGCTACTGGCTCGTCCAATGGTCAAGTGCGTGTATACAGCTATCCAAGTTTGGAACCTGCTTGCGACGCAATCGAATCCTCGGGTGATGATGAGGTGATGGATGTGGATATTTCATTGGAAAAGGACAAGTTGACTTTTCTGTTGCGGGATGCTATCAAACTTGTCAATTTGCGCGGCCGCCATGCCGGCAAAGTCAAGCAAACGATCTCACCAGCAACGATTGACAACAAACAAAAATTCCAATTCCGTAGTTTCCGGTATAAAGAACTAATTAGGATTACATATTATGAATGCCATATTACTATGCATCAAATGTTGACATCCTTTTTTGCTTTTCGTTTTTTTAGATATGGTCGATTATACTGTAAAGATTTTGCCTATCTAGTGGCAAACAGTCCGAAGGGAGGATATGTTGTCAAGCTTGATGCATATACTCTGGAGCGTGTCCAGATGGTTAGAATCAGCAAAAAGCCAATCACAGCGTTCTGCATCAGGTAAGAAGAGGATGAGCCGATTAGTAGCATCCCCGAATAAATGAGTGATAATAATGGATTGCTGGAACAATAGTCAGGACGGTGGTGTCATTGCTGCAGCTTCATCCGATTACACTATTAGTTTATACGAGTCAAACTCTCTGCGCGTAAGGGACTTCAATGCATACATGAAATCTATGTCTTGTTCTTTATATTCCATCTGGCTCTTTAAAACAACGATGCAGTTCTATATTGATGATATCTTGTAATTGTTACCTGTATAGTTACTTTATCAGCTTAAGGAAGCCCATGGATTCGCGATAACCAGTATTGCCATCAGTCCTGATCGCCGTTTATTGGCAAGTGGCTCGGCCGACAACAGCTGTCGTATTATAACTTTACCAGAGCAGTTTTCAAACGGTAAGTCGATCTTTAAATAAGAGCAAATATGACATGTACAAGATGCCGCTTTTCTTCCCACTGATTCAAGTTATAACTTTTGATTACCTGTTTAGCTGTCGCAGCCATCAATCCCCTCAAGACTGTGTTATTAGCCGTTGTCACTGCTTTCTTGATTCTGCTCATCATACACTTCATCAGTTCTGGCACAAGCGAACAGACACTGTTGGATTCTATAAAGGGATCTCCGGCTATAACTACTACAACGGATATCCAAGCAACATCGACGATTTTGACTACTACTGCTGCTGCTAACATTGAGACAGGCACTATTACTGCAAGTGCAAATGATAACGACAATGGTGATAGCATCAATATGGATTCAACCACCCTTATTTACTCTGTTACTCATACAAAAGACGAACTTTAATAATCTCCCCCACTCACCTCAGCACGTTGTCCATTCTTTCCATCCCTCTTTTACCTAAAAGCAAGCAGCAGCCTACAATAGACGCTTTCTAATATTATTATTACTTTTGTCTAAAATAAAAAAAAGTTTACATCAAATAATGTATGATTGGAAGTCTTTACTATGCGCTGTGTGCATGTGTGTGGTACAAAAAGAAAATTCGCATGCATACAAACACCTCTTCTTTTCCTTTAAAATCAGACAACAATGAACAACACTCCCGCGGACACAGTGGAAGTACTAGACGACGAAAATCGATCAAAACTAGCGACACTAAAATCCATTGTGCAACAACAACAAACACTCATTCACGACAAGAAAGCAGCAGCACTACGCGACGCTGAAGTCAGTGTACGACAACGCGCAGGTACACACACACATCCTTTGATCCCTTAAAAATATCTGACCAAGCGATCGCATCTATAAAGTTTCTTATTTCAATTTTCCATCTGACGAAAAGATAATCAAAGAGCATTACGCGAGGAAATTGCGAAATATGAAAGTTACATTCACAAACATCAACAAAGTAAGAGAATAAGATCAAGCAGATCAACAGTTGGGACCATAACAAGATTCTTTCCAGAAACAAACCCTAACGTTGACTTGCTGAATAGAACAACCTAAAACGCGAGAACAAGTAAGACAACTCGAGCAGCAAGTTGAAGAATATCGAACCCAATACCAAAACAGTCAAGCAAAGAAAAGATCGATACAACAAACACGCGATCGTTTAGCAGCCACTGTTGAGCGGAAAAAAGCAGGCAAGCTCTTATTTTTGTAGATATGCATAAAAAGCATACACTAACTGTTTGATGGAACTCTGTAACAGATAAAGAAGCCCAGACAATAAAGGCGCGAAAACAGCTCGAGAAAGCTGAACTCCTAGCAAATACAGAAGCTCTACAGCTCAAAATTACTGGATTAGGTGGTAAGCTATTGTTGTTTTTCACCAATTGCTTTTTCTGGACCATTGCAACGTATCGAGCATTTTTACAAATAATGTTATGATCAACAATGTAGATTTTAAGAACAAGTTCGAGTTTAGATGTATCGATGAAAATCACCCAGAGAAAGAATATTCGTTTGTTCTCAGACTATCTGAGGATGGGATCTATTCAGGTAAAAAAAAAAAATTACGGTGTGACGAAAGGAAGGCAAGACGATTTCCCGGGGGGGGGGCGGGGGAAGGGGTGAAAGACGACTTGTGAAAAGATACTGATATATCCATCCGTAAAGTTACTGCTTGTGATCCACCAATCCGTAACCTCGACGAATTGGAGGCCCAGCTACGACAAGAAGGGGACCCATACTTGTTTCTGAAACGCATGCGGAATGCATTTAGTGAACATGCAGCGAGTAACGGTGATGCTGATACTATGAAGCTTTTATTATAATAGTAACGAGAGGAAAACAGTAGTATTAAAAGCAGTAGTAGTAGTTTTTATATATTAACTTAATCTCCATTGGCTGACACAACAGTTTCAGTATCATCGCTATTCAATTGCTGTTGTGGTTGGTCGCGACTATATTCATTGCACTCATCATCCTCATCCATATCGTCGTTGTTGCTACTGCTTTCATTTGGGATAGTGACAAGTTTTGGTGGGATCAGATTGTATGTTTGTGAAAGTAAGAGAAATCGAGCGTACAACGATGTTTCATTCTATAAGCATAAGAACCACCTCAATATCAGATAAGTGAACACGCAAACTTCTGTGGATCGAATACGAACTTACTTCAAACGATTGGTATATTTCGCGATGATGAAAATAAGCATGTGCAAATACTCGATAAAGACGTCGGGCGATAGATTGGAAATGTTTCAATGATGGTTCAGGGATCGATATCCTGACATGGCGAGGATGAGTATGAGTCCAGAAAAAAGAGACTTTCATAATATCGATTACTTTTAGCGACCAAAGTACTTAACTATTGCTCACCTGCTTGGAAAATATTTTGAGTTATTCAACAGCATAGCAGCGCCATCGAGAGTGTGTATAATATAATCAATCGCAGGGCACTAGAACAAGAAGCAAGTATGTTACATGCTACGCTCTTGCCAATCACCATTTAAATTTTAGTTGTTACCGATTGTGTGGATGGATGCGCGGCACAAAGATAGACCCAACCTTCAGCTTTCATTTCAGGGCAATTTTCCATAGTGCATTCGGGTTCCAAAGCAACCACTAAAAGTGACAGTTCTAAACACACTTGTCTAAACAACCAGTTTAGGAAGTTTCTAATGAGTAACAGTTCTACTAAATAAAACTTTGCATTCAAATCTGCTCTTCTAAGGCAGCGCTAATAAAAGGAATGAGAGACTATGGTTACAATACCTTAAATGTTCAAACTGCCAAACCTGGCTGTCAACAGTTTCAGGAAGGTCCACTATACGCTCGACATTACTTTTGTCTAATCGTATTGTCTGTTGAATATATTCGACAACGCCAAACGATGAGTCGAGTCCATCCAAGGATTCAACTGGCCATGCAAATGTAGACTAAAAATAAAAGTCCAAGTTACTTATATAGATCAATTGACAAGGGTGCTATAAAACGAGAGCAATCACTAACTTACTTCTAGACGAGTGCCTGGATACAGTCGGCGTAGGCTATTGTCCTGGGGAGCAGCTTGTAGTGTGTCACTCATATGATACGTGTATAAGGAAAAGAAAACCAAAAAGAAGGCGAAAGCAGTATAGGTAGTGGTTCGTCGTTGCACACAACGTAAACCTCCTTTCATGCAGTTCCGCCCCCCCTCCCAAGTTCGTCGTGACTCGTCGTGTCGCTTGATGTTTGGAGTTTATAATGATAAACCACCTCCTTTATTTACACTGATACGTAATGGATATTAAGTGCGACTTTCGTTTCTTAGGATACAGTATACAACGTATAGATCCATGAAAGTAACGATTGTGCTAACCTTTGACAGCAATAACTTCAGTGGTGTCTCTTCCGGAGGATAGCATGCTCCGAAGGGCTTGCTGAGACAAAAGAACGTTTTACATCTACGTTGCTCCGAAGTTGACGAATGCACGTAACCGTGATTTAATCGGACACTTCTCTGACCTGAACGCATCATTCTACAATATCTAAGCGCGATTAAACATAGAGGCTTGTCTTGCTATTTCTGCGGTTTAAGATCTCACGAACACCTACTACAATATCAAGTACATAATCCTCATAGATTTCACTACGAAATCTTCAATACATAAAGGCTTACATATAAGCACTATCAAACATCTACCGGGTTTAAACTATGTCTAGCTTTCCCTGGAGCCAGAGAAAAACAACCCTCATTTCATGGTAGAGCATATCATATAGCTTCCCTACTACTCATACACAAGTAGTGACTGTATATTAACCCGCTGAGATGTGGCATGGCTTCCATGTGGTCAACGATATCCACTATATCAATGTTTACCTTTATTTTCTAACGCGATTTCTAAGAATCTAAAGTTTATTGGAGTCATTCCTTTTTATCCGTTAATGCAACACCTTCAGTGAGATACAGCCATCATACTGCGCATCAAGTGCTCAACAAATGCAGCCTCATATCAGTAAGTTTTTTATTCTTGTCATCAATGCATAACTTAGCACCACAAATTTCATCAGATATGACGAGAAGAAAGAAGCAGTGATGACAATGAGGCAAAGTTTTTTATACATGTACGATCAATTACTAGAAATCTGATTTGTCTCTCTATAACAACTATTGCTCCGTAGTATAAGAGAGCCAGATAAAAAAAACATCATTCTTTTTAATCGATCATTGATACAGTAACGGGACAGGTTATATAAAAAGCAAGATACTAGGCTTATGTGAGGATGGCCTACCCACCTGCTGATTTTTTAAAGGTTACACAATTTCAACCTCCGGGCTGATGGCAGGCAGCACTTCAATCAATTTCGTCCCTGCCGCCTTTGGACCTTCCTTTCCGCCTCCAAAAAATGGTATGTGTCTATCATATCGTAGCTGAAGTTTGCAGGAAAGATATGGGGGTGGGAGCAATAAACGGTATCGAAACAACGACGACGAAAATACTGTACGATCAATGATTACGATATACGAATGGATGGATGGGATTGATGGATGGATGGATGCAAAAAAAAAAAACGATGTCGTCGACAAACCGGCCCGACCTTATTTTTTGCGACATTTCAGCCATTGCAGAAAATTGGCTTTTTCATGACACATCAACTCAACCTTCCACCTCAATTGAGCGAAGTTGCCGCCTTTCGTACCGTTCTTGCTCCTTCCTTGGCTGTTTTTCTCGGCACACTACTTTCGAGAAATTAGCGACCAAATGGCTAATATAAGTTATGACATTGTAGGGTATTGATCTTAAGCATCACCACGTCAAGAACACCAACCGGACGGCACCCAAGTCGGACAACGTCTACCAGCTTTTGTTGGTTAAGGTAATGAAGGAGAACAGCTGGATTGCGCATTTCCCTTGTTTTATAAGAGAATGTGTGCTCTACGGAGGAGGAAAGGCAAAAGAAGAATAAGAACTAAACGAAAGAATTGCCATGCTATCTTCAGTTGTACCGCTTCTTGGCTCGCCGTACCGATGCCAACTTCAACAAGGTTGTGTTGAAGCGTCTCTTTATGTCGCGTATGAACCGTCCTTCCGTCACTGTGTCGCGTTTGGTCAAGACTGCCCAGGAAGGCAAGACCACCGTTGTTGTCGGTACTGTCACTGACGACTCGCGTCTTCTTGAGGTCCCCAAGCTTTCGGTTGCTGCTCTCAAGTTCTCCAAGACTGCCAAGGCCCGCATCTTGAAGGCTGGTGGTGAAGTCTTGACTTTGGATCAGTTGGCTCTTCGTGCCCCTACTGGCTCCAACACCGTCTTGATCCGTGGTGCCAAGAACAGCCGTGAGTCTGTCAAGCACTTTGGTATGGGCCCCCACAAGAACAAGAAGCCCTTCGTCCGCTCCAAGGGTCGCAAGTTCGAGCGTGCTCGTGGCAAGCGTCAGAGCCGTGGTTTCAAGGTTTAAGCTTTCCCTTTTTCAACAAGCCCTTGTTTGGAAATCTCTTTCTTTACTGCCAATAAAAGAAAATGGGAAGACTCGACAAAAAAACTTTCGAATTGTGAATATCATTGTGTGCATGAGAGCAATGGGGATGTTTGACTTGATTATATAATTTATATTATAACATATACTTTGAGACTTTGTACACATCAACAGAAAGCAGCTACATGCTACTGCTAACAATCAATGATTCAATCAATCAATTAGAACAGAACAGAAGAAAAGTATGTTCAATAATCTATTTCTTGGACTTCTTCTTGGTGGGCTCGTCATCTAGTCTCCAGGAAAAGGAAGAGAATGATTCATTATCAGCATTTTATGAATGCCAAACAAAGACAGAAAGGACAACAACTTACCTTCTTCTTCTTCATCATCCTCAGAACCCAAGTCGATCTCGTCGGCATCCTCATCGTCTTCATCATCTTCACCTTGAAAGTATCTAAAATAAAATGAAAACGAGGGATCGCCCATTAGAATTCCCGAATTATCTCGTCATGTTGCACAAGAAGTAATGGTAGCTTACTCAAGAGCGCCAGGGAAAATGTCATCGCTGTAAAATGTACGCCACACAAGGAGAAAACAGTTTAGTTAGTAAGCCAAAAGCACACTATGCACCTCGATTTTTACTCACGCCAAAATACCGCCGATGGTGTTGTCGTTGCTGCCAAAGAACTCCAAGAACGACAAGTTGCTTTCATCATCCTCATCGGCCTTTCTCTTCTTGCTAGGCTCCTTGCCGGGATGGTATTCGATGGCGCTCTTGTTGATGACTTCATCCTCATCCTCATCATTGATCACGAATTCCTAAATATCACCCCGATTCTTCCGTGTTAATCATACTGTAAAAAAAAGCCATCTAGTCTTCCCAAAAACCCCATGTACAAGAAAAATTATGCCAGCATTGTTGTTACCTTGGTAAGGGTTTCGTTTTTGAAAACATCGTTCTTCTTGAAAGTCTATACCCATATAAAGAAAATTAAGCGTGTCAGAACCCAAATGTGATGTCCTCCTGCATAGTATTCGTTATTGGTAAAAAAGCAATAGTCAGGAAAACCACTTACAGCGACAACCTTGCGGTAGTCGGGACGAGCTTCATCGTATTCGACGTGGAAATCAGTCAAGTTCTCCACAGCTTCAATATCATTTTCGCTGGGGCTGAGGAACAGAGGGGTATTGCCAATCTGATATTTACAAAGGAAGAGAGATCGAGAAAGAGTTTGAGTGAGATTACGCGCTCTTTTATGGTTTCCTTTCAAAGATCCATTCGCGTTAATGAATAAAAAAGAGCGAGAGAGAGAAAAACTTACAGCCTGGGTCCAGAAGCCGGGGATCTTCTTAATAGTGTCGCGGCGCTTTTCCCAGATGGGGACCATAAGCTTACGAGTGTAAAGTTCGACTTGTCTGGCGGCCTTTTGGGCCTCCTCTTGAATGTTGGCAAATTCCTGGTTTATGACTTCTTCAGACATGATTTGAGAAAGGGTTTGTATGAGAAAGAGAGAAAAAACAATAAAGCTGGGTTCTTGAAGTAGCCGCGTTTTTATAACTTTCTTTTGTCGCGATTAAAAGCCTTCGTGACCGCGTAAAATGCATGATGGCGGGCTATTCTTTCGTGTACCCTTCTTTTTATTTCAGCTCCAACTTAATTATCTACTCTAAATTTCCATTAATGTCCTCCTCTCATTTTTGACAGGCTAGCTGCTGCTTGCTGTGGATAATCTTGCGCAAATCTAAAATTTTGTCTACACCATCAGTAATTTCCATCGACGCATCCTTCTGCTCGTAAAGCAAGTAAAGATGGAGCGTGGCTTTACCTGATTTGTGCTTTGGTTGCTTCAACGTAGGAAATAGCGTGCTCAATTTCAGTTTCCGTGCGCGCTAAATCGATCGCTGTTTCATAGTACTTTAATGCCTCTTCTGGTTTCCCTTGTTCCAGTAGGATTTGTGCCAAAGAAGCCACTGCAGCATCGCATGCAGGATCCACTAACAAAATAAAAAAAATTCTAAATATCGAGTATCATATCATCATCCATCATCAGATAACAACACAAAGTTATATCAATACCAACCTTGTAATGCGATTTTGCATAACCGAATAGCCTCATCTGGCTCACGCATGACTTGATATGTCAACATTGCCTTGTTGATATACGGTAAAGGACTGCTCTGATCCAGCGCAATTGCCTTTGTAAACATTTCCAATGCTTGTGGCAAGTTTTGCTGTTCTATCAAGAGTTCACCAAAGTAATTATGGACCTCGGACGATTGAGGAAATAGTTTTAATGCATCGTCTTGAAACGTGGACATGGCTGCTGCGATCCGTCCGAGCTTATATTGCGCTACACCAAGTTGGATATGTGCGTATACAAAGGAATCATCGAGGCTGATGCTTTTGCTGTAATCCTTGGCTGCATTCTCGTAGTTGCCGCTGATATAGTTGACTGATCATGTATAAGAAAAAAAAGTGTTGTGCCATGTTCACATCAAGCTCTCTGTATATTGCAATGGGAAACAGCAGTAGCTCTTGTGCTTATTCTATTACCTTGACCTCTAATATAATTGTACATGCGTAGAAACGGAACTCGGATTAATAAGGATGTAGGCATGATGTCTCTAATTACTGAAATTGCATACCGGTGATAGTAAATATCAGGATCAGTTGGATTAATAGCCAGAGCGTCTTCGAATTGCTTTATAGCAGCAGCCAGGTTACCTTAACCACATACATTAAAAAGATATTTATACGTACATATCGTTTTAAATAAATTGAAACCATTCGTTTTACCTTGCTCAATGTATATACTAGATCGTTTAATATAGCTCTGGATGTATTTGGGATCGATTTCGATTGATTTGTCAAAACATGCAAGTGCTTCTTTTGCATTGCCCATCAAAAACTTGAACGTGCCCTTGATATTCAATGCATGTGCTTGATAGGCAGGTGATAGACCAAGCTCAATAGCTTGATCACACGCTTTGTATGCTTTCTCATAGTTTCTGGATTTGATTGCTTCGCATGCCTCTACAAAACGGCTATCCCCTATGTTTTCACTAGACGCAACCGGTTCGGCTCGTGAAAGATCTAATGGAAAATATGGCCAGCATATACATTAATATAGCATAAAGCTATTGAATTGATGAATAACGAAAAAGTACCAGATCTATATGAGTCAAAATAAGCGCTGACAAAAGTGGATGATGGTAGCCGTGGTTGTTTGGTCTACGATCCAACATTTATACATTTGAGCATCTTTCTACAGTTATCCGACAAGTCATACTGCCTTTCTCTTTTCCCTGCCCTCTACAGCATTTTCTATTTATCCTGCCATAATACGTGGTGAATTGCTGCTCAAGTATATGTAGTACCTTCATTATTTCTGCAGCTTTCCTTTCAGAAACCTTTTTCATTAATCTTTCCATGGATCGTGCTGCTACCTCGTTGTTGAAGTTTTCCAGAATACAGACGCAAGTATAATCTAAACAACGGACAGCTCTTGAACACGATTTGCTGTGGATGTATTGTATGTTTGAACAAGGTGTAATCTGTGAGAAATATTTACCATAAAGAGCTGTTTCTAAATCCCCCCGCAGCTCCAGCGCATGTGCACGTCGATTCAATGCTTTAATATAGACCGGATTCAGTTGTAAGGCGCTATTACAGTCATCGAAAACCCGACCATTATCGCCAAGGTTTGCATAGCAAGCAGCTCGGTTTGAATAATAGATCGGGTCTGCTTTGAATTCGATGGCTTTGGTATAGAGCTGAGCTGCTTCTGTCCACTTCTTTTTGCCAAACATGCTATTCCCTCTGGACTTTAATGATTGTGCTGCTTCAGATCGTTGCTAGTAGTAAAAATCTTGGATTTAGTTTTTTTGTTGTGATGCATTGATATGATATTTCCACACCTACCGCTGCAACCCGCGTTTATTCAGACACTTACTGTGGGCGACAGTTTTGCAATGGTCTCGGCTGGCATATTCTCAAAATTACCCAGTACAGCTTAATGAGATAAAAGGCAACAACGTCTGTTAGAAAAAACTTACTACCACGATCTTGATTTCCATTGTCTTTTTCTTTTATTTTACCGGATTGGTTAATATCACTGCTTGTACCACGACCGCGTCTTCCGGAGGACTCCTCTTTGTCTGGTGTCTTTGGCGCCGAAGACGACGACGAAAGGTAATAAACGCCCGCGCCCGCAACAATTACGCTGGCACCAAGGACACAAAATAATTTCCAATCCTTGCTCTCAATGAAGCGCTTCACACGATCGCCTGCTGTTTCTCTCATATGCAAATAAAGAGCTCGCACGTTATGCAAAAAAAAAGAAGAGTAAGCTGGGTCTCTAACTCTTTTCCGGAGTTTTTGAGAATGGTACTTTGGTGCCGCCAAGAGAGAGCTTATAAAGAAAAAGGACCATTCTCTTTCTATTTAAAATTTCAAAACCACAAATGGCCGGTTTAAGAAGTAAGCGACTCGTTTTTCTGGATAAACAACAATTGCGAAGCTCGTTTATATGAGATTATTGCGAACTGCACTATCTTTCTTTTAAGCATAAAAGAGATAAACCTGGGATTAATGTCGTAATCTGTCTTTTACATGCTTTTTCTTACAGCGTAGGTTGTCACTTTCTTTGACTTTGATAAAGGACGAATTGGCTTCAGGAACTCACGGTTAATTATTATTGCTGTTATGGAAAAAACAAAGGATCATTGCCTTGGCATTTGTCTTGGCTATCGGCTTTTTGCTTGTGATATTATCCTGTGCTTTATACTAGTAAGTTTCTCAATAATAATAAACATGACTTTTCCCGAAATACTAAGATGCTTTCTCTTTTTCTAGCAATTGGTGGCCACTACTCGTAGGTAAGATATCTCTATAGCAAACGATACTCTATGTATAAAGAGAGATAGAGAGAGGATACGTTATTGATTTTGCGGGGAATGATAGTTGCGACCTACGTGCTTGCACCTTTACCAAACGCGCTATGCAGCCGGTGTGCTGGTCAAGACGATCTGATGTCCGAATATAACAGTGGCGTTATCGACGCTGGGCATTTTATTACCGGAATGTTTATAGTGACTGGATTCTGTAAGTTTGAATGGAAAGATAATAGAGACTGTGTACCTTGGGGTGGGTTTGGGAGGATTGTTCGGATCAAGTATGACACCCGAGGAAAAGAATCTCCTTTTTGATATTTAACGACATGCAATATAGGTCTTCCGTTCGTGCTTGCACATGCCGAAGTGGTAAAGTGCTCAATACTTGAGTTACATGCTTGGAGTATAAATCCAATACTAAACGATAATGTCGTATCCACGTAACTATATTAGATCACGATTCCAGCCATGGTGATGAGTATTTGTGGAGGTATCCTTGTATACGGCACAAGTAAGTTTTTTTCGTATAAAGAGCCTTATGTGTCTAGAGAAGGAAGTGGTGCACTAAGTCTACATGTGCAACCCTCTATTTTGTCTATAACAGTCATCACATACACCCACTTCTTTGCCGATCAAAGCGACGACTATTAAGATATCCAATCGATTTTTTGTACATAAAAGCTACTGTGTGCACCTCTCTCCTTCTTTTCTTGGCCGCACTTTTTCTTCACTAAATAGGTTACAAGTTAAGAGAAACGATTCTTTGGTTGTATGTGAGGATTATACCACACAGTTACTTTTTTATTGCTCTAGTAAAAACAACTATGAAGGAAGAGAACGGACATGATATTAAACTGATAAAAGTAAAGATAAAGAAACAGAGGAAAGATAATAGAGAGAGAGAGAGAAAGAACAGAAGGAACTGATTCAAGCGCTACTGTCGAGAACCAATACCAGCCAAAGATTGATGGGCCTGAGCCAATTGTGCTTCCAAGGCCTTGATACGATGCTCGTAGGATGCTTCTTTAGTGAGCAAGGTCGACTTTTCCGATTCCAGCACAGCCGCACGCAAGAGCAAGGTCGTGTTTGTCTTTTCCAGGTCGGCCACACGCTTCTCGAGTCCTTCCATTTTCATTGCCTTTCGCATCCGCGATCGTCGAGCTGCATCGGTGTTCTTCTGTCGTTTGACAGCAGCTTCATCCAAAGGAGACGACGATGACGAGTTAGCACTAAAATCCGAAGCCATATCAGCCGACTTGCGCTTGCGGGCAGAGAAGGTGGGCATGACAGAGATGACGGGGCTCGTTTGCTGCTGCTGCTGCTGCGGCGGCGAAGGGATGACTACAGGCTGTTGGTGTGCGAGAGCAGGTGCCTGGGTCACTGTCGCCAAGGCGGCCAGGGCAGTGTGCAGGTCGTCACCAGATGCAGTGGCTTCGGGCGCAGCAGTCATTGGGGCGGCAGTGTCTTGAGGCTGTTGCTGCTGCTGCTGATGCTGTTGCTGTTGAGGCACCTCAAACAAAGGAAAATTCAAGATGGCAGAGACATCCAAGTCGGCAAACCCGGTCTTCTCCAAGGCAACGTGTTCGGTGGTAGGCGAGGTCAAGAACATGTCTTGAGGTGTGGCGATTTCTGGGGTCGAGTGGACACTTTGCTGTCCGGTACCCATGGCAGCAGAGAACCATTCGGGAGAAGTAGCAAACCACTCTTGCTGTTGCTGCTGTTCTTGCTCCGTCATGGCTGTGGTCGGCTCAGCGCTGGTGAGCGACTGGAAAAATTGTTGGAAAAGCTGGTCGTTCATCTTTTGTTGTTCTGATTTTTGTTCTTGTTCTTGGGGGAGTAATACTGGTGACTTGGTAGTAGAAGTAGTAGTAGTAAAAGTAGAGATAACGGCTGTGGTCATGCTAGGATGATGCTTCTTGAGATCAACAAGGTTGCTGTTTTGGTTTTCGAGACTTATAAGTCTTTTTGGGAAGTTGACGAGTCGAGAGTTGACATTTCGGTAAACTGGAAAAGTAGGCCATGATGGGGGCAACTACACTAATGTGTTGGTGGGGGTAACGGATTGCTGGATAAATTGGTGGAAAACTATTGTTAAAATAATCGTACAGTTGTACGGTTGGCGCTTAAGCGGTGAAGGAGACCATGGTGGGATAATGGGGGAGAATACAGATATCACAACAGGGGTTCAGAAAAGAATAATATAGTAATAATAATAGAAGAGGTAGCGCGTATTTGGTTAATACAAATAGTTAATAGCGAGCAGGGTAATAGTTAATAGAATAGAGCAGGGAAGGTTTCCACCAAAAGAGTTAAGCAAAGAGAGAAAGAGAACAAAAATTTTTTTTTCGTGGGGTTCGATGCGAAATAACAAAGCGGCGACGGTACACAGAGATGACTCACTGACGGGGTATTACATCCAATCACATTGCAGGACGCGTTTTCCTCGCACACACACACACACACACACACACACACACACACATACGCATCTCCTTTTTCCCTTTCAGAAGAGGACTAACTCGTCAAACCTACATCGATGTCGTACTTGATCTTATCTTCTTCACATCCTCTCTTTTGCACCGGCAAATGTAACTTATGCACAGTCATCGCTGCTCAAGTGTGTTCCTGTGGATGTGCTGCTGCAGTGGAGTCTGGCTTAGTAAGTGGCTCAGAATGAAGTGGCGGCGACGGAACCGCTGAAGAGCACGTAACATCTCAGTCTGTAACAAGTACCGCGTTTTCGGCGTAACGCTATTTGGATGTTTTCAGGAACACAAAATACGATTACACAGGAAAGCGATCATCGATAACCCTTGCTTATCTTTGGTTCTTACATGCTCACTAGGCGTGCATTCGCTGCTACAGTAGTATCGATAAGGGCAAACGCTAACCCAAACTCACTGCTACGTCGAAGCTGATGTAATGATGGCCTTTGTTCTCGCCGCCGTGGAGTTTTGCCTGTAAGATTTCACACATTTCACAGCCTGTAAAACGATGGAGCCTATAGCCGCTGGTCTGTGCTACAACCGATCAACGCTGTCTGGCTTTTCTCTTTGATCATTATAATGTATTCTTGGCAGTATACGCATAATGGAAAACGATTTATTGTGGACTACATGCCAGCTAGAACAATAGGAGTGGTCGTGACAACAAGCCAAGATTAAATACGCTCGAAAATAAGAGGCTCTTTAGGGAAAAGTTTAAGTGAGCCCAACACACTGCGATCTTTGCCCCGGTCATAACCTGATTGTGTCGAGATGTTGTAACGCATCACAAGCTCTGCAATAAAAAGCTTGAATTCCATGATGACAAACTGGCGACCCCGGCAAGGATGCATAGCCCAGCCAAAGGAAAAATAGCCCTTCTGGGTGATCGTTTGGCTCGTCCATTGCTCGTTATTCTCATTGCTGCCCGCATAACGATACGGATCGTATTCGTCCAACAAGGAAGAAGAGGAAGGGAAGACAGTGTTTCCGGAGCAATAGAAGGATCCTTGTGGCCTTCTTCTTGAGCTACCGCGATCAAACTTCCTTTGGGAACGACCTTGCCGTTCGAAAACAGAACGTCTTGCACCACTCGATGGAAATTCATCAACGGATTACTGTGGTACCGGAGCGTTTCTCTTGCAAATGAGTCCAACAGACTAATTGAGCCAATGGTATCCGGAGTAATGTTATCCTCGCCCAACTTGAGTATTTCTTGGCGTAGTTCTTCGACAAGCCGAGGCCTGCATGCAAGCTCATGTAATGCAAAGCCGTTAAATTGTTTGCGAGCCAAGGACCCGCCAGTAAAAAGCTTGATAAACCGGAGCGCACAATCCACTGTGGACCGTTGTGAGCCGTCCGAATTGAGTTGATGCAAAAGTAGATTGAAATAGTTTCCTTCATTTGTTCTTCTTCTTGATTACTGCCGGACGAAAAACGTGTCTTGTCGATCTGAGGAACTATCATTGCCAATGCACTATATAGATCCGCTTCGGCTGATACAAAACGGCGAACTATTGAGTCAGCGATTCAGAACGGAAACGTGCGATACACTGCTGCCGCTCGCACAATCGTATTGTGTATATTCGAGAGAATCGGGCCGAGTTTCTTGTTATCGATGGATTGACTACCCACAAAGGCTGCACAGAAAGTACGGGCTTGCATCTTGCTGAGGAAGCTTTTAATGTCGACCTCTTTTCTAGCTCCACGTTCTTGCAACTGTAGTTCCTCATCCAAACATTGCTTGATCTCCTCTTTCACCCGAAGACTGAACTTCGTAACGCCTTTTTCGCAGTAGTTCTTTTGTGCAATCGTGTTGACTATACCCCCCGAAGAAAGCACGCTGTCAGTCCTTTCTGGCACGATATTAAAAGAGGGAGTAGGCTGTAAGATGAAAAGCATAGATCAATCTTGATACTTACAGGGAATCCGGTGGTGGCTAAGCTCGTCTGTTTTGCCATTATTATAATGGGACACGATGATACGTTGCATCGGAAACACATATTCCACCTCTTGATGAAGGCTGACGACATTCTCCGGCATCCGGAGAAGCTCAATAATCAGTTTACCGGTAACCACATAGATCTCTTGATTCACAGGCTGGCGAACGCGAAACAGGAGCCCATATTTGGCTTTGCATTGCCGTATGAAATGCAAAGAGTTTGACGCCATTTGCAAAGAATGCCCCAATAGTGGAAGTGCGCCGGGTACAACTGGCACAGTATCTTCTCGTTGCTCAGTAACAAAAACTGCTGCTCTTTTCCTCTTGCAGTCCTTGCTTTCATCACTCTCCATATCAGGAACCAAGCCAAGACTAGGATGCCAGACGATTGTAAAGCTAGTGCTGTATGGCTTGATAAAGCATTGGAATTGAACCCAAGAGGAGTAACCATGGTATCGGTCGTAGCATAATGTAGTGGCCGTTGAATTACTGAATTAATGAAGTCGATCATAATGTTTAGCGTCAGCAAGTACGACAGAAATAAGGAGAAAAGAAAAGATTACCAATTGATGTCAGCCTTAAAGACAGTATAAATAGCAAAACGGAGCAAAATCCTGCTCCTGGCATATATTTCGTTGAGAAAGGAGATACAGAAAAGCCAACTATTTGATGCATGATATGTGATGTGGAAGGTTACGTTTGATCGTACCGTATATCACATGCAGTTGCCCAATCTTCTGCATGAAAAATACTATCGCTCACCGGTACCAGAGTGTACAGAACAGCATTGCTGCATTTTGCCTTTTAGACACGATGTACGTAGTAAATAAGAATAGCGAAGTAGCAGGGCAAATACGAATAGGTACAGTCAGATGCTGCAATTATCTAGTTGATTTTGGATATAGTGGGATATATAGGTAGGGTCTTGCTGCATACCCGTCGTCCTGTTCTTGCGACCTGCATCATTAGATACTGTGATAGCTAGCTCTGCAAGAGTCGCTCAGCTAATCGGTAGCCATACTTCTGGTCGTTATTTTACAGTATTTCAATCCTTCATTCATCATTACTAATCCTCAGAAGCTACTCTACTATGTTCATGCCGGCGTCACAAAGTAGAAGGCAAGAAAATCATGTGTGCTCTTAAAAAGGTATCTTTCATGCACATGGCTTCGCCGCCTTTCAACATATAATATACAACGAATAGCCTTCTGCTTGCGTTCTGTCATAAGGAGGCGTCAAGTCTCACTAACTTATAATACAAAACACACATTATGTATATACCTTGAGTCAACAAGAGATATTCTATATAGCCGAGAATGGATGTGGAATTAATACTATATGTTTGATTGTGCCCCATCCAAACACGCTTGTAGATTACAACCTACTTTTGGATGAGCTTTTGGAGTGTTTGATTTTGTCATTCGCTACAAGAAAGTAGTAAGTTATTCTGCTTCAAAAATCTACTGGCCATGGTCAAAAAGTTGTGTTGCACATAAACGATTATATGTTCTCACGTTAATGATTTTTTGTGCGATTTTGTAAAGTCAGTGGGCTCAAGTCCATGTTTATGTGTTTTGCTAAAACAAGTGAAGGAAGCTGTCCCCAAGAAAAGAGCCAAAGCCCCGCTGTTGGACCAAATAAACCAGTCGCCACCTCAATATTAGATACACTGAACTGATGGGCGTCTTTGTGCGAGCGCCGAGCATCAGTGCTTTAACCAGCGAGCGTGCGTTGGGTTGAGCAATGGTGGATGCGACGCAGACGAGTGGCAGACTTAAACAGTGCAAACGCTTATTATCAATGTTTTCCATGGAAGTTTCAATGATAATTGAGTAGGTAAGCGCGGTGAATTAGGTCAACGTATGGCAACAGTAATCAGATAGCGAGTTTCATGCCATTGCTCACAACAGTGATGTATTAGAATGCCGTCAAAAGATACTGTTACAGCTTTGAACGAGCTCCCCTCTCCCACAACAAAGTGGGTCTGCGGGGAGACGAAGCTCCGTGGGGTTTGACACGCAGCGAAGCAGGGGTTCAAAAGACTGAAGGCGTGCAGGCGACAAAGGCGCAAAACTTTCGGAATCTCTCCTTGATGTGTAATCATATTACCATTTACTAGTTGAAGTGATAAGCTTACTACCGTTATAAAAAGTTATCAATGTATAAGTATCTCTTGAATTCAGGAGTAATACATATGCATTGCAAGATCATATCATGCATGCTGCTGCATTTCTGCTGTAGGATTGACTTACTGTAGTTACTGCTGAATATATTTATTTGGAGGGATGATGCAATATCTAAGTAGCACTGTCACAGAACTTCAATCCAATATGCAAAATGCGAACAGAGCACCAGGCGCATAATTTGTATCACCAACGGCGAATGCATCGAAGAAAAGCATAAATGCCGTTGATCATCAGGGTACATTTATAGCCACTTCCTTAATATACATACCTCCGTGACTGAGTCAGCCAGCCGCTTTAAAAAGTCGGCTTAATAAAATTTTGGAGATCGTCCCGAAGGAACATAGTGGCGTTCTGGACTTTGATGTCGTTGGTCGTTGGATGACTTTTTAAATAAACGCTCTAGACAGCTCCATGCATAATACAAATAAAACGTATACGTTTTTTACACCCTTTCTCTTTTAAATCGTTGTTTCTTTTCTGATTACAACGGACAAAAGCTTAAAACATAGTCATCAAGGCTGCACGAAAATTCACAACAGTGACAGAAGGAAAGATCGATCCTTTGATACTACTGCTAGTAAGCCATATGATCAGCTGATCTTGAAGCAGCTGGCGCGTAAAAAGGTCCATTACCTCGTTTTTTTCAGATGTCAAGGTATGAGTCCTTTTTACTGTTGACTTTCTCTTCTAAAAAAAGACCTCTTGTGATCGGGTGGGAAAAGATCAAAGAGGTGAAGACAATGATAAGCATGTGTTACATATAAGGAACGAAAAGGGTACGTAACATTCAAAAATGCATCAAATTTGCTTATAATTATACAGGTCCCGGAAATCGAAGAGTTCGAACATCATGGTCCCGGTCATCGAGCTGATCCCAAAAAGCGTTACTCTACAATAATGCCGAAAAGGTCGTTGAGCTGACACCACATATGGAAACTGAAGTGCATAAAGCCAATTACCTAAACTTACGAATCAGCAAAAGGACGGTTTGGCTCTTTTGATTACAGAACGTGGAGTGGTGTATTTTTTCTAAAGCAAGGTATCAATGTCTCCCAATTGATTGAGCTTGGAAAGCACCAGGGCAAGCAGCAGTACGCAACTTACAAGAGGGATACAAAACCGTCTATCACATACCTACTACTGCTGTTTCTACTTGTGACAAAACGAGTCTCTACATCATATTTTATAAAAAGTGTGCTCATAAAGTTGACGATCTATTGTTTCTATAAGCCCGTTGTAAGTAATATCACCGTGTAAATCACCCTACTTCAAGTGCTTTATATAGATTTTGACATTCTCATTATTTTGCTAAAAATTACAGTAACATCAAATGCTAATGTTTTTGTGTGTAAGCACATCAAGCTAACACAGGGTCTTCCTGAGGGTCTTCCTGAAGGTAACGAAAAATAATAATAATGTGCTCATTGTGATAGGGCATTGATTAATATTTGCCTTTTATAAATTCCAACGTACTTTAACCTTTGATAAGGCGCGTAAAAAAAGGGAGGGGGGATTGTCATGGCTATATACTTCTTGTCTTAATAGTAGTACTCACACGCAGCTTTAATATGTATCAAAATCAGCGCTTTACGAGACTTAGTCAACTTATTCTATGGTATGTTGTTGAGTATTATACAACATTTAATACTATAATAATAAACATGATCAGAAGCTACTAATGTTTGAAAGAAACTGCCCGCTAATTTAAAATAATTATTCATTCATCTGCTAATATACTACCCTTCCGCACTCGTATATGTACTATGAACAAGACTTTTGGCAGCATTCAGGGCATATATATTGTCTTTGACGCGTTGAAGGAAATGGCAATTTTCCCCAGAACATTAGTATAGTGAGACGTGTATTTTGCAGAAAAGCTACTTGACTGTAGTGTTTACGCAGTGGCGGTGCTCTCTAATACTCAAACGTATATCAATACTGTACCGGCTTCTTTGACATGCAAGTGTAATAGCAAATGAGTAATACATACTAGAAGTATACTGTTATTTTTTTAAGCGTGTTTGAAGAACGTCAACTCAATGGAATTTCTTGCTGCAGGGTCTTGGCTCCATTAAACCCAACTTACCCGTCGGAAATTGACGTTTGTATCTCAATGCTTTTTGAAACCTTCAAATGCTCTGGAATGCTCATAAACGCTTCCGAAGGCTTCCAAAGGCTTAAAAAGCATCAAGTCACATTATCAGATTTCCGATGCCCAAGCCATAATTAGTGAGTGGAGCAAGTTATTTGCACCAATTTACGCCATCGTCCTTCATCTGAATGCGATGGAGCATATGTCTTTTTTTTTATCCGGCTCAATATAGTTTATGGTCCTGTATAAAAATTCACCGAACACTTGATGCCTTCACCGGTGGGTCAAAAAACCCGCAACACGCGCTCCTTTACATCTATTTTGATAATACCTAGTAGACGACTGTAAATATACAACAAGTAGTGGGTAGCCTAGCTAGCTCTTTTACTACACACTAGAACAAAGCAAAAAGGCAACATAACGCGCTCGCTCATTTATACGGTGGTCTTTAACCGACGGTAAAAGATAACCCGAAATACGGATCGGAATGCAACCGCTGTCAAAAAGTTAAACACCGTCGTCGGCTTTGAACCAAAAGAAATAGATACCTAATACATATATCCCGGAGTAAACACCACAAAAGCAATGGACTATATGTGTTGCCGGGAGCGAAACAGATAGGCTATCATGGGGTATCTGTGAGTATAAAAAGTCTGTATAGTATGATGCGAACTGCTTAGTGCTCGCATGATTTATACATTCACCAAGAGGAAGCAGGACCCTTAAAGAGAAAGTATTACTATTCGCGGCAGGTGGGACAAAGCACTGTTCCCGTCCCTTTTCTCCAGCAGCTGGGAACAAACTGTTGACTGGTGCTAAATTATACAATCACCACTGGCAGTGTCGTTAAATATGACATACACCCTCTTTTTCTACCTTTTTCTTTCTATCTTTCCGTCTGTTCCCTGATTCATAGGAAAAACAAAATGGAATTGCCTCAGCTTAACATTTACACACAAAACGATCCCAAGCAGTTTCTTGCTTCAGAGGACTTGAAAGGCCAATATGACGGCACAATCGTCTTTTTCTCTGACAAGAAGGCTTTGACCACTGTCATTCCTGCCGCCCAAGTCTATGCTGATATGGACGAGCACTTTGGTGAATCCATTCAGCTCATTGTCGTTTCTGACAATCAAGGACCAAGCAAACGCGTTGTTGTTGCTCCTGTCGGTTCCATCAATAATGATTTCGACGATGTGCGTCGATTCAAAGGTATATATCCACATTCATGACTTTATGAAAAAAAAAAATATTGCATTTTTCTTTTGGGGGTTTGGTTCAGGAAATATACATACTAACATATACGTGTGTAAAACTTACGCTCGATGCCGTATGTGATTATACACGCGTTAAGATGCTGCTTTTGCTGCGGGTAAACGAGCATTGAAGGCTGGTGTGACAGCACCTATTGTTGTGTTTGCCGATACTCCTAAGGATTCGTCCAACTTGGGCTGGACGTTTGATGGCGAGGATGATTTCAAACATTATTTGGAAGTCACCATTCTTGGCTTGTTCGAGTCTGCATATGAACCCATCGATGTACGAGAACATGCTGAGCGTTCCAAGAAGCCCCTGCAGGTGTTCAAGCAGCTTGGATTCAGCACCCGTGACCAGGTCCAAGTGGAAAGCTTGATCCAAAAGGTTTCAGCCATCGAAATGGGACGTCGTGTCAGCAAAGGTGAGTTTGGGAACAGCCAAACCTATAATTAGGGCGTGATACTATGGGTTCACGCCGGTGTCTCTGTGTGATATTAGTGCGTGAGAAAGCAATGTTTAACGTGATCGACCTGACCTCTTGAATATGAATAAATTCTTCAGATATTGGCTCGCCGGATCCCGAACGCATGTCGCCTATTCAGGTTGTCAAGTATTTGCAGGACACCTTTGGCAAGGATCCCCGTATCAAGATGACCGTGATCGACGACATCGAAACAATCAAGAAAGAGTATCCTTTGGCTCATGCGGTCACCCGTGCTAGTTTGGCAGGTGCGTGGGAAAAATTATAGAGAAAATTTGCTGCTTATTGTATTTTATAATTCCCGCACTCACGCGTGCTGACTTGTATTAACTTCTCGGATACAGTATCGCGCCACCATCCGCGATTTGTCCTCTTTGAATATCAATCGCCCGATCAGAGCAAGGTCAAGGAAAAGTATGTTTGTGAATGAGAGTGGATGGCTCCTATGTCTTCCTGCTGCTGCTGCTGTTATGGTTTGTTGGTTTTAACATTTATTTTGTGTACATAGTCTTTACTTTGTTGGCAAGGGTGTGACCTATGATACGGGCGGTGCCGATATCAAGTGCAGTGGCCACATGCGAGGTAAACCATCGCGATAAGCGAACAAATTAAAGGAGGTGGCTAGATATAGAAATTGACTCCACGGAATGATAGGAATGTCGCGTGACAAGTGCGGTGCAGCAGCCGTGGCTGGATATTTCAAGACGATCAGCATGTTGCAGCCCGACAGAGTGAATGTCCGTGCTGGATTAGCCTTGGTTCGCAACTCTGTAGGATCCGATTCATATGTCAGTGATGAGGTTATCTATTCGCGTAATGGCACACGAGGTAAAGATATTACTAGATGCTTCTTAATCATTATGCCGCTGCCAAGCAAGTCATTCTTAAAATATTGCATATATCTAGTGCTGGTTGGAAACACAGACGCAGAAGGTCGCATGGTAATGACGGATTTGCTGTGCCAATTCAAGGAAGAAGCAGTAGCATCATCATCTAGCGCCCCTAACTTCCTGTTCACAGTGGCCACCTTGACGGGTCATGCGCTTCGTGCATACAACGGCTATGGTATTGCATTGGACAATGGGTTTGCACGACGACACAAGATGAGCCAGCGTATCTATGATGCGGGCCATGTGCTGGCGGATCCGTTTGAAATCTCAACCTTCCGTCGTGAAGATGTGGAGGTGGTCCAGCCAGGTCGGTCAAGCGAGGATGTGGTGCAGGCCAACGACCAACCAAGCACCATGACAAACCGTGGTCACCAGTACCCTGCTGGATTCATGTTGATTGCCTCGGGACTTGATAAGCATGGTCTCAAGGACAAGAAGCCGATCGGCTTTACGCATCTCGATGTTGCTGGCTCAGCTGAGGAAATGTCAGCAGTAGGATGGAGCATACCACGCGTTACAGGTTCGCCAGTGGCAGCTTTGACAGGTGCTTTTCTGCTCTAAGTGATTTATGATTTCTCTTTCTACCCCACACACATACGTACATAGTAGTAGTAGTAATTTCCATGTTTAAACGACACACAACAAAGCACGCTGGCTACTGTATGTCTATTGTCCGTTAGTCATGTATCAAACTTCCATCTGACATTGCTGGATATTCAGGGCTGACTAAAAACTCTCACGCTTTGTGGTTGGCATGTGCAACCTTTATTGTTGTTGGCTGTCACTTGGCAGTGCTATGGAGTTAAATTCTGTACTCTTCTACTTCTGTACGCAGTGCAGGGGAGTGGGGGGGAAAGAGAAAAGGGACTCTTCTTGTTATACACTAACGCGGTGTGCCCTTGATGAATAATCGTCGTCGCGGTCGTCGCGTGACTATCTGCCGTCTTGGATGACAATTGGGCCAGCCGGTAAGAAAGAAGCATTTATAAGAGCAACAAAAAAAAAAAGTTTTTATGGTAAAAACCCCGCAAAGCATACGACTCACAGTTAGCAAGGGCAGCTGTGATTGGCGGTGGTGGTGTCCATTCACATGAAACACGTGAAGGGGATCCCGGATATTTGCCTGTTTTGGCAAGTTTCAGGATTTGCCAGGCCGGCAGCTATTAGGTTTGCAGGAACAGGGAGCGAATAACTAACTGATCATCAAATCACTTGGGAGATGCCGCAACACTATCAGCTACAACAAGAGCCTTCTGCTACTAGGTGTACACGTTCACTGCCCTTGTTCCTGCCTCTTCTTCCTTGTCTTCCTCTTCTTCTTCTTCTTCTTCTTCTTCTAGATGGCGTCTCAACAACAGCTCGCATTGTTGCTGTTGGATTCTAAACTTTTTTATCTCTTCTTTTTCTACCCCCACCCCTGAACAGAGCCCTTTCTCCTCATATCCACACTCTAACCAGCCCTTCTTCTTGTCTCGTAGCAATCGGCTGTTTTTCAGCGAGGAGAGGATAAAAAATAAAGGCAAAGATAAAGTTGATGAACACCCGAGGTTGCGGAACTCGACCATTGGACAGTTCTCTCGGTCTCCGACACACTTCCGCCCATCTTTTACGCGACAACAAACCTCCACTTCTGTTTCCCCACCTGGCTTCTCTTTTTTCTTCTTTTTCTTTCTCCACTTTTTTCTTTCTTTCTCCTCTCCTCACCCTTTCCCTCGAACGAAAGCGCGTGCCATAGAAAATACAACTACGCCATGGCAACCAAAGAAGCACCCGCCTTGTCGGAACACTACCGCCAACTCTTTTACAAACATGCCTCGGTCGAAAAGGACAACGAACGTTACATGACACAGGACGACTTTCTCGCCGCCATTGCACCGGGCGAAGACTTTAAAAAGATCCAGAGGGAGCAGTATGGCTTGCTGTACAAGGTTGCAGACAAGTCCAACAAGGGCCTGGTCTCGTTCCAGGATTTCGTCATCTTTGAGAATCTCCTGTCCAAGCCCGATGCCGAGTACGAGATTGCGTTCCGACTGTTTGACGTGGATGGCACGGGCAAGATTACGTTTGATCAGTTCAAGGACGGGCTTTCGAGCAACATGCCCAAGGATGCGGTGGCGTTCGATTTCGACTGCGACTGGCTCAAGTTGTATATTGGAAAAAAGGAGGGGCATCATGAACTGAGCTACGAGGAGTTTTCCCAGTTGCTCAAGGGCTTGCAGGGAGAACGGCTGCGTCAAGAGTTCAAGCACTACGACACGCAGCAGTCCGGATACATTGAGCCAGAGCAGTTCCAGCGCATCATTCTGGACATCGCCAAGCACAAGCTGTCGGACCATGTCATTGACCATCTCCCCACACTCTGCAACCTGTATGCGGGAAGCGGCAACAAGATTACCTTTTCCAACGTCGTGGCGTTCCACAACGTCATCCGCAACATTGATATGGTTGAGGCCGTCATCAAGCGCGCTATCGACGAAAGCCCCACCAAGAAAATCACAAAGGCTGACTTTTTGAACCATGCCGCCCAGGCTTCGCGCTACACCGTCTTCACCCCCATGGAGGCTGACGTGATTTTCCATTTTGCGGGTGTGGATGGTGCCTCAGGCACATTGGGTCTTGAAGATTTCGGGAAAATCTTGGATCCCCGCTGGACGCATCCGGAACCCGAGCCTGCTGTTCCGGTCGCTGTCGCTGGTGCCTCCTCTAAAAAGAAGTCGAGTCTCATGTTTGAAATCATGGAGAACGCCTATGCGTTCGTCTTGGGCTCAATTGCCGGTGCTGTCGGTGCCACTGCTGTCTACCCCATCGATCTTGTCAAGACCCGCATGCAGAACCAGCGGTCCAAGGTCGTCGGTGAGTTGCTCTACAAGAACAGCTTCGATTGTTTCAAAAAAGTCATCAAGAACGAAGGCTTTGCCGGCTTGTATCGTGGTTTGGGTCCGCAGCTTGTGGTAAGTGCCCTGTCTTGTTGTTGGCGGTTCATGAAAGAAGCGATGACTATGTGGTAGACTAACTAGTAAGCTGATTGTATGCGTGTAGGGTGTCGCTCCCGAAAAAGCCATCAAGCTCACGGTCAATGACTTTGTGCGCAACAAACTGACGAACAAGGAAACGGGTGAAATCAAGTTCTATCACGAAATGATTGCTGGTGGTGCTGCTGGTGGTTCTCAAGTGGTAACGTATACAGGGGTGATACTCGCAGCCAACAAGAACTGGGTCAGCTGATGATGCTGGTTCTCTTTAGGTCTTTACCAATCCACTTGAAATCGTCAAGATCCGTCTCCAGATACAAGGCGAACAAGCCAAGAACAGCGGTGTCCCTCGCCGCTCTGCCATCTGGATCGTCAAGCACCTGGGCATTGTGGGTCTGTACAAGGGCGCCAGTGCATGTTTGCTTCGTGACGTCCCCTTTTCCGCCATCTATTTCCCTGCCTATGCTCACCTGAAGCGCGACATGTTCCACGAGGGCCCCAACCACAAACTGACCATTTCCGAACTACTGATGGCCGGTGCTATCGCCGGTATGCCTGCCGCCTACTTCACCACACCCGCCGATGTCATCAAGACGCGTTTGCAGGTCGAAGCACGGTCGGGTCAGACAACGTACACGGGTATTGCGGATGCTGCTAGCAAAATCTTCAAGGAAGAAGGCTTCAAGGCTTTCTTCAAGGGTGGCCCAGCCAGAATCTTCCGATCATCACCCCAGTTTGGTGTCACATTGACTGTATATGAAATCTTGCATCAGGCATTCCCTCTACCCGGTAGCCATGCCTCCACTACAACCACCACAGCTAGCAGCAGCAGCAGCAGCGGACCGGTGCCCGACCAGGAGAAGGGCTTTGGACCTCTTCGATCAAGAAACGCACTCAAGATGCTCTTAGACCTCGACTATAGATTTGGTGTGTACAAGGCTCCTCAACAGCAACAGCAACAACAACAACAACAACAACCTGCAAGCAAGGCGTAGATTACAATATATATTAGATATACCTGTTCATTCTTTTTTCTCTATTCTCTTTAACACTTTCATCCTCTCTTTTCTCCTCATTTTGGGTCTCGTTTCTCTTCTCCTTCTTCCTTTGCTATGTTGTAACTATTTCCTCTCTCTCTCTCTCCTGGATCTCCCTCTCTAACACTCAACCGTGCATGTATGCGTTTTTTTTTAAATTCAAAGCTTGTCAGATCTCTCGCGAAAACAACAACATCAATAATAGATTTTACACACAACACTTCTATTTTATTCAGTCTTTGCTTTTTCAGTCTTTTTGAATCCTTTCAATCCCTTGATCACTGCCATCAGCAACGGCACAGCAATGGGCACAAACAACGGCATGTATATGGCGTACTTGTGTTCGTCCGGGAAATAGAGCATCGACACCATGGTTGGGTTAAAGAAGGCCTCTTCTGCCAATTCAATCGCATGGATCGAATGCTGCAAGGCTGCATCATAGCCACCTGTCTGCAGCGCATGACAGCCAAGGTCAAGTGCATGCAGCGACTGCTGTACCTGCAGTGCGATATGATCCAGTACTACCATGTTGGGGATCTCGGATACGAGCTGTGCTAACGAACTCAATGTCGACGCGGCATTCACAATGTTTTCCACAGTCCGTCGGCGGATCACTGTATCTTTCTCCAACAATGTAATGCCCGTATGTGGCGAGGGCATAAATGTAACATTGAATTCTTGCGTCTACGAATATACGTTAGTAAGTTAGTTGCTCCACGCACATCCACCAAAAAAGTTAAATTAACACTTACTGTGGCAGAACTAAAGTCCTGGATGCCCAACAGCGTTCGTAGCTGTGAGACAAATATCCGCATCACAGGTTGCAGTCGTTTCTTATCCATCACATAATGGTGATCTTCTCCAAGGGTGTGTGGCGGTGGCGGATTCTTGATAACTACCCCACCCCAACCAGGGATCGAAAATGCATTACCTGGCAACGGTTGTCCTGCAGCAGAACCAAACCATAAGTTTTAGAGGAATTGCAGCTTGATAAAAGTAATACGATAAACGGACGAATAATGATAACCACACGGAACCAACCTTGTTTGTCATGGATCCATAAACGTTCGTCAGGAGACGGTACATACAAGATAAAGTTGATCGTCGCATGTGATGAGATAGTGGATGCTACAAATTTTCGAATTTTTAGCTTAACAATAATTCATATAACCTCTGTTCACATATACTTACCTAGATTCCAATCCGCTGAATTAATGAAATGTGGAAGGTTTTCAGGATTTAGATAATAGTAGCCTGCTTTGCCATCACGTTCCCGGAACTGCGGTTTCATGGATAGGGACGCGTAGTTCTGTACTTGGGAGTCAACCGTGAAGTTGGAAACCATTGAAAGCTCCCGAAGCAATGGATACACGTAACCTGGCGGATATTGTTAATACAAGGTATCCATAGCCGATTTACGAAAAGATCATCATTTACCTTTTACTGCTTCTTGAATATCCCAGTCCACAATTAACCGTGTTGGATCGTTATTCATCATGCTGAACGTTACTTGGTATCGAGGCGAATACTTTAGGGCACGCATGCTACTCATATCATTCTTTACATTGTACAGCGTTGATAAATACATAAGAGCATATACGTCTATTTCTACTTTTTACCATATAGGTTCTCTTTTATGATAATGTTTACTCACTCTGTCCCGAGTTTGATCTGCCCGACAAGCAATCCGATCCAACGTTTGATACTCGTCTCCAAATACCATCTTTGTCAATGTATATACAGCCTTTTCTACGTTGCCTATATAATTTCCTACATTTAGAACACCCCTATCAAATTAAAAGCAAAATATATACTTTACCAACTGACATATCTTCCATTTCAATCACACTGGTACGTGCATTGCCAACAGTAATATTGTAAGGGATGGATTGTTTTGTGGAGCTCATGGGTTGGTCAATAAAGATATGATAATGTCCAACAGGCGCGTCTCGGTCCTGTCTTGTCACCTCATTTTCTTCTGTTCCAGGAAATATATACGATTCTACGGTCAATATATGTATTCTTCTTCGTATATACTTCTTTATCTAATTGCCGGTACAAAGTATGGATCGTGTAGGTGCTGATGATATCTACCTTTATGCCACGACTGATATCGTACCTCAACAGGGAATTCTGCACATGACGATTGTTTGTTGAATTCTGTTGATAATCGACGCTGTAAGGCTTTGTTTGCTTTGTCGTTGTATTGTAAGGAATGGGGTATATGAAGTATAAATGTCGTAGGAAACACAAAACTGCAGCTCTAAATAAAGATGTACATGAGAATCAAATGTCAATTAGAATTTGTTTGCTTGTCATCCAGAAATCGTATTGATATATAGAATCAGCTTTTTTATTATTCGCGTACTTGACCTGTCCTCCAGGACTCAATATCAGCGAATGGAAGATTAGCTCTGTAAACCTCTGTTGTCTTCCACCAAAATGGTAGACCAATTAGAAAAAAGGCCCAGAATGATGCCACCACCAGACGCGTGTTGCTCATAAAACTGGCTTGCTGTCGTTTTATTTTAATTTGGCTGTAATAAAAGTAATTGGACAATGCGGTTTGCGATTAATTGGTTAGTCTCGGTCCGTCGGCCAATGAATTTTTGAAAAAAATAAAAGCAGCGCATGATGTAAGCTTAAAAGTGTGGGCTGCTATGTTACAGTTGCTAAAGATCATGAAAAGGCAGTGCCGGTAGCAGATGTTGTATTTGCAGGCGCTATGCATATATCAGAAGCAATTTAAAGCATTTGCCAGCAACATGGCTTACGAGAATGTATCAACTGAACAAGGTAATTCTGTAACGGTTGGTATTCCTACGGAAGGCGATTACAAGTTCGGTCCCGTACAATTAAATCACGTTCTCAGGCATCATCATTCAGGGCGGCAGAAGCTACTGCAGTTTGATGCTTGAGTTTGCTGCTCGGCACCAGATTCGACTTTGAACCGAAGAGTTTCCAATGGCATGTGAAAAATGAAATCTTTACGTCGTATCACCAATGCGTGAGAGAGAGAGACAAATAAAGCCTGCCATGCATTTTCAGTAAAAGCGTATTATGTCCTACGCTGCGAAACATTTGGAACAAGGGAAAGCGAGATATCCCGCCGTTTTAATTGCACCAGAAGACGGGAGGTTTTGAACGAAAGGGAAACTGATGATATGTGTATGCGCAAACCTTCTTGCCTCTTCCTTAAGCTATCTATAGTATATCTAGTATACTCCTGCCAAGTAGTTAACTGCGGTACAGTACTATAACTTTTACGATATCGAGTTTACGTGTCGATATATACTCTGTGGGAGGATGAGTTAGTTAACAGCGAGCTACTACTGTGGTTTACCCAGCATATCGAGCATTGTAGGCAGGTAATGTACTTTCGAGCAAAAAGAGAATCACCTATGCAATGCATAACATAAGCATCAATTGACGGGATTGTTTCAGAAAGCTGAGCAACAACCAGATCCTGAGTTTATCAGCATGACTCAATATTGCGTCAAAAAGTCGATTACTGCCACCTGTGGGGGGCTCCGACGAAAGTGCAGCAGTTTCCATTTTTCTAGAACGCTTTGCAATGAATTCGACATTACCTGCATTAGACAAGCCTGTTGCTCGAACCAAAGAAATTGATAGCGTTTGTGTGTTTTGCGGATCTGGCCCGGGCGGTAATCCCGAATACGTTGAACAAGCATCAAGTAATTCGCAGATTCAATCATTTTCTGTTCGTTTGCGTTTCTTGAACTCACAGTATGATAATATAGAACTTGGCAAGGCATTTGCAGAAAACAAATACACACTTGTTTATGGTAAACAGATTGAGCTGCTTTTTGTATTGCTTTCCTGAGCAAGCTACTAATACTAATTATATGGATATGGCATGGTAATTTGCAGGAGGTGGATCTGTCGGTGTAATGGGTGCTGTTGCTCGAGGAGTGATCGACAACGGTGGTAATGTGAAGGGTATCGTTCCCGAGCCGCTTTTTCGTCATGGAAGCAAGCAGATTGCCAGTGAAACGATCGTTGTTGCTGATATGCATACCCGCAAAAAGACGATGGGTGACCTTGTAAGTTTTATGACTATAATGGCTTTCTAACGATTGTTCATCAGACTTGCTCTAATTCGTCTTTAGAGTGATGCATTTGTAGTCCTTCCTGGGGGCTTCGGCACTGCTGGTGAGTATCAAACATCTGAAGCGAATGGATGAAACAGAAGCGCGCTAAAACTGATAATTATTAGAGGAAATGCTCGAAATGATTACATGGTCGCAACTAAACATCCATTCCAAGCCCATCTTGTTGTTAAACACCAATGGATTCTATGACTTGTTTGTAAAATGGATCGAGCATGCTGTTCAAGGTGAGTTTGCTACTGCTGTTAACGATTCATGCAATCATCGATAGCGGACCGACTGACGTTGCTTTTTGTTTCCTTTTAGAAAAATTCATCCACAGCAACAATGCACGCATTTTTGTCCTTTGCAACACGATTGAAGAACTTTTAGACGCATTGAAGAAATATGAGGCACCAACTGGTCGTTATGGTTTGGACTGGATAAAATCCAGCGATGGAGTCAGTGGACGCGACGTGACCTAGAAGAATCTCCTAGCCTTTCTTGCACTTTATTTATCATCTCATAGTAATAGAGTAATGTACTTTTACAGTTTGCTGGGAACACCCGTATGTAAATCCAAATTCACGAGACCCTCCAACTTTTTGATGGCTTCTTCGGAGCGACCCATTTGAACCTCTTTAAAAAACAGTTATTACATACACCCTCTGTCTTTTTCACCCTTGCCATTCAAAACCAGAACTTTAAACTTACGAATGGTTTCCATGCCCAACTTTTTGGCAGAACGAAGGTTCATGCCAATGTCATCGAGAAAGATGGCTTCGTGAGGTTCAACACCAATGATTTTGCAAGCATGCAAAAAGAAGTTGGGATCCGGTTTCCTAGTTGACACGATAAAAAAAAGAACAATTAACAACACTGTTTAAGACAAGGAAACGAGACACAACCGTACAAAAAATGGTTCGCCATGCAGTTGTTTCAGTCACCATCGACTTCAATTGACATAAAGCTTACCGCAGACCAACCACCTTTGACTCGACAAAGTAATCAAACGTTTCTCGCAAAGAATCCGAGGTCTTGTTCTGATCAGCTGCAGTCTCGCTGTTGTTGGTCAAGGCAGCCACCTTGAACTGACCGCTTTCTAGACACGTATGTAAGTATATGCGTTTTGGGGCTCTCTCTTTCCCCATACGCCTACCTTTGAGTTTGTTAATGGCATGGAACACCTTGACATCGACGTTATTGGTCTCATCCATCATGGTCGTCCACAGCGCCTTTCCGTCAACAGAAACATTGGGTATATTTTCAGGAACGGCTAGAAGGACCAAACAAACAAAGCGAGGATTTCGGATATATGATAAAAACAAAATTCAGCCATCCATCATCGACAAAGAAAAAAATGCGTCGACCGATACTAACGTCTGCCTGACTTTTGGAGGTATTCCTTGTAGTTTTGCTTATGACGAGGATCCGAGAGCTGCTCGCCGAATTGTTTGTAGAAATCATTGAGTCGAATCTCACCGCGCTCTAATTTCTATTTACAATAGTCATCAGTCAGTAGAGGAGCTTATATCCATGAGAATAACGATGAATTTCTATGTGTAAGCATCTATTACCTGGAAAGCACCGTCTTCACCTTGCTTGACACTGGAAGTGATGGTTGGCATACTTTATCCAACGATAGTATAATGGTATATACTATAGGCATGCAAACAGAGAGAAATAAAACTTACATTGCAACGTTGATGTAGTTTCTTGGTAATCCGTGTTCTTTTTCGTATCTATGGATTCCAGCCATAGGCGAGCCTACGCACACACCACCTTTCTTAAAGTTTTGAGCACTATTTTCTCTATGTGTTCTGTCCTTAGACCTCAAGTTCTTTGAACTCTCACCAATATCGAAGATCACGGCCTTGAAAGTCATAGTGATTCAGGAGAAGAAGAAGAGAAGAGAGACCCGCTGCAGCGATTGTCTCACACTGCATTTTTTGGTGACAAAGCCTAATATGCCTGACAAAGCAAAGTCGGTAATTGGAGCGGTTTTTGAAAGCCTCTTCTATAATCTCTGTCTTTTATTTAATCACTCTCTCACTGTTAGAATAAAAGGCCACCACTTTCCAGCATATGCATACCATTCTACGTAGATATCTTCTTGTAGTAACACATTACCATGTCGACATACAACAACTAAAGCTCAAGTGTCAAAAAAACACCTTTAGTAGCATATAGGAAATGGGAAAAGAAGATCCCGAGTAAAGCAATATCTGTCTTATATGAAAAGAGAAAAGCTCATGGCCTGTCATAGAAGTTCCAGTATGAACTTTGTTGCTGATATTATGTAGTTCCAGCAGAACTCTGAATGCGTGTGTGTATCATAGAGAGTGTGTGCCTGGATTGATTTGCATTTGGAGGCATCTTTTTTATAACTCAACATTGGTTTTTTCTAGAAAAGGCAATCTCTTCGAATCACTGCCAAAAAAACCCCCCAACACTTCACTCTACATTATCTGAATGAACGTATAAGAGTTGTATACACATAATCCCATTTTAAACCATTACAAACGCATATTACGACAACAAAATGATGGCCGATTACAAACTACGTCGTGATGCCTGTCGACCACGAGTTTTAGACAAGTATGAAATTATTGGCTTCATTAGCTCTGGCACCTATGGCAGAGTTTACAAGGCTAGATTTCGAAATAAGTAAGGCTTTTTGCTTTGTTTGGAATAAACAATTGTGATCGAGAGAGTTAAGGCGACAACAGCGAAAGCATAACTCAACTAATCTTGTATATATAATATATAAGGGAGGATCCACGCGAATTTGCCATTAAGAAATTCAAACCCGATCGTGAAGGCGATACTCATCACTATGTGGGCATTTCGCAATCAGCTTGTAGAGAAATAGCTGTAAGTTTGTTTATTCTCGCGTTTTCTCCTCTCTTGTAAAGCCGCTGTTGTCTTGATTATACTGAAGTATATACGCGGTTGTTTTTGTGAACTCTATAGCTATGCAGAGAGCTCAAACACATTAACATTGTCGGTCTGGAAGAAGTATTACTTGAGGATAAAGCAATCTTTATGGTATTCGAATTCGCTGAGCATGACTTTTTAGTAAGTATATCTGCAAAAGTGCTCGTGATATTGCTTCTCAACAGGGTCAATGCGGTTTGACTTGAACAACCCCCTCCATCTCATGTTATTAGCAAATCATCCATTATCATCTACACACCGAGAGAAAATCAATGCCAGAAGTCATTGTCAAATCGTTGCTGTGGCAGCTTATCAACAGTGTTGCATATCTCCATGCAAACTGGGTGCTTCATCGAGATCTAAAGCCTGCAAATGGTAAGTACTGTATATCACTCACGAGTGTTGTTGAGAGATGGTCATTATCCCACAAGAAATGGTTTGCGTTTCTAATGCTTCTCAAACAAATTAACAGTGCTCCTGACAAGTGAAGGAGTGGTCAAAACAGGAGATCTTGGTTTGGCACGTTTATTTAACCGGCCATTACAACCATTATTTAACGGTGACAAGGTTGTGGTGACGATCTGGTACAGAGCCCCCGAACTATTATTTGGATCACGGCATTATACAAAGGCAGTGGATATGTGGGCTGTGGGCTGTATCTTTGGGGAGTTACTTGCACTCAAACCGATATTCAAGGGAGAAGAGGCCAAGATGGACAGCAAAAAAAACGTGCCATTCCAACGAAGTCAGCTCACAAAGATATTTGAAGTGCTCGGAACGCCTACAAGTAAAATTATATCGCAGTTTTATCGAGTGGGATAGGGAATAAAAGGAAAGAAGCTCATATATTTCTTTTTGTCATTAGAGGAACGATGGCCAACTATAGATCAATTGCCAGATTACTCATACCTCAGCTCATTCCCTATGTAAGTGTTTTTTTCTGGTACTGCACTAGAGAATTGTTATATCCTCATATTAACTCTTTTTCTTTGTCGCGTATAAATAAGGTGTCAAAACAACCTCAAACACCTACATGGCTTACCAAAGAGTGAAGCCGGTTTCAATTTACTTGCATCGTTACTAGAATATGATCCTGCAAAACGAATTACAGCTGAGAAGGCATTAAATCATCCGTATTTTCAAGAAGAGCCTAGACCTGTGATGAAGTAAGGTTAATGTGTCTTGTCAGCATGGAAATTAAGGGGGGAAAAGGTTGAACATTAAGCTAACGCCATTTCTGTGATAATCTATCTATCATATTAGCGTTTTAGCACAACAAGGCACCGAGTATCCTCATCGACGAATTACACAAGATGATAATGATATTAAATCGAACAAAGCCGCTGTTCCTCAAGCAATGGCAAGGGATGATCATTCGTCTCGAATGGCAAAGAAAGCACGGCATGGATAATTGAGAGTCAAGATACTAATAGTAGTTTTTCCGTGCTCTGTTTTATAGTTGTTTAAAATCATGTACATCTCTTTTCTGCTTTATACCCCGCCTTCTTCTCTACTCCTCTTTTCTTTCCTTCAATCATGTAATGAAACAAAAAATGCATAATACTGTTCAAACAAATCAATGCTTACCGAGGGTAACTTATATGCGTGCGTATGTATACGATGACAGGCACGATTAAGCTTCACGCTGTCAAGCAGACTATTTAGAATGATGCGATCATCGATCAGCATGCAGGGAAAGAACAGAGCTATTATCATGTCAATCTAGTTTTTTTTGGCCTTGTAGATTTTAGACTAAAGGATTATGCCATGATTGATTATCCCTTTACTGCTGGTGCTATACATACTATCCTTGATTACACGTGTGTACAAATATTGCGTATATTAAGCATCTCAAAGAAAAGTGGGACCTAATCAACGTAAAGTAAGTGCTACGCGATGATGGTCTTGCATTTCCACTTGTGTAACATATTGTCGTCTCCAGAGCAATTCTGTCCATAGTCACCTATTTCATGATTGCCCCTCGTAATCTTACCTTTCTGTTTTGACGTTCTGGACGTTCGTGTTGGTTCTCGTTTTCCTTTCCAAAATGAATCATAGCAGATATACGAGCAAAGATAATGTTTTCGAAGCCCGTCACCGTTATGCTTTCTTTTAGCCATTGTCACCAGCTATGCCGTCACTGACAATCACACTCTGAGGATTGTTATCATGCAAACACCACGCACACGTGTCATCACGCATAGCAATAGCATTGTCCAATTGGAAAGAGCTACGATTTTCCATGTCAACAAAATAAACATTTCAAGTGGCCCCAGCAACGCAGACCCAACAAAAAGACATGCACACAATGCTGTTGATAGTAACCAGCTCATCCACACACAAACACACACACATCTGCGCAGTGACGACGGTGCTGAGCGAAAAAGCCGTGTGAAACCACATCTCTGTGCTCTCTTCCGTGTGAGAAGTCCGACAACTGCTTGTCTCTAACCATTTCGGCTCTAGTGACGAAGTTGCGAGATCGACACAGAAACACAAGGACCCACAATCTTGGCTTGGGTACTTATTCACTCTTTCTTTCCTCACACACACACACACACTCTCTCTCTCTTCCCCCCCTCCCCCCACACACACTCAACACTCACGCATAGCCCCCTTTTCTGACCTTCATCCCACAAGAAATGCAAAGATTACGAGATTTACTACGCATACCCATATCTTCACAAAACCAGCAACAACAATACACACGATTGCACGGCACAACGCCCACATTCGTACGCCACAAACTGTGGCGACCTTCGGCCATTATTAAATGGGCAATTATTTTGGCAGCCTCTGGCGTAATTACTTTTTTCGTCTTTTTCAATCTGCAACTCAACATTCGAGTGTATTTGCGCAACTGGATCACACATGCCGATGATGCCTATGCCACACCACTCCATGGTTGTTTTGACTCGATTCCAGACGATAGCCCATACAAAGGCGGTCCAGCCGAGTATGTGTACGACATTTCGCCTGGCGTGGCATTGCTCGACGGTTACGATTGCTACGACTATGCAGCGACTATCCAACCCCTATCGGAAGAAAAGCAACAACAACAGAATGTTGATGGGAAAAAGGTTGTTTACCATGCCTATTGGCGAGCCGATCTGGCACCTGTGGGACCCAAACAACTTGCAGTGATCCGTTCGTTCTTTGCCACGCAAAACGCAAACAGCACTGTTCTGTACTTGTGGTCCAACGGCGACTTGTCCACATCACCTATTATCCAAGATGTTAAGGCCCGTGTCGGAGACCGGTTACAGACTTTGATATACAATCCCAAGGAACTATCCAAAGGGACGCCAATGGAAAGCTCACCTCATCTCGACTTTAATGACGAACATGGGTACCTCGATGGCGACCTTATCCGCTTGCTAGTGATATATCGGTTTGGTGGAATGTGGTTTGATATGGATGCTTTATTGATCCGCGACATGTCGCCTCTGTTTGAACATGAATGGTTGTCCCACTGGGATTGTTTCCAGCCCAACTTGTTCCCGTTCAATGGCGCATTTATGCACTTCAAACAGCAGAGTCCGTACCTCTGCGAAATGCTGTCCGAAATGGCAAATGGACCTTTACCAAGACCAGGCACGATTGACTGGGGAGGCTACATGTATTATCGAGTGTATAGGCGGTTGTTGTATAACGGAATAAGACCTTGGTCAATCATCCCTTGGTGCTTTGCGGATTCCATGGAATGCAAGCCGAGCAACTCAATGCCTAACGCGTTTGAAGAGGTCGAGTTTCCAAAGGAGCGGCTGTCTCAAGTGTTTGCATATCATTGGCATAATCAGTGGAAAAAGACGCCCGGATCGTTGTTCAGATATCTAGAAGACCACCACAAGGATGTTACGGGATGGTAGATAGAAAAATGTGTGTGTGTGTGTCTAGAGAAAAAGAAACGTAGGCTTAAAAGACGAGATTATAGCTCCTCTTACTATTACTTTACTACTACTTCTACCATTACTGTTCTTACTACCCCTTATACCAACTCACTACCTCCACCCACCGCACCCATCCGTACTCGTACTCGAACTCCATCTTGACCGTTTGTTCTCTTTTGTTTGTAGATAGATTCTATACATCTTACTTGTTTAGCATACCTTAAAAGCACCATCCTTTTCTTGTGAAATAATAAATATTCTTTTTTGTTATTATTGCTTCATACCAACAAACTATATGCAAAGATCAGCTGTGCCTGTGTGTTACCCAGAACGGGCGCGGAATTGATTCCGAAAGGAAAGTTTCTGCAGCTTTCTGTTTTATGTGTACCACATGATCCCTTTTGATGGCATCATCATCAGCATCATTGTTGTTGCCACCACAACGTTCCCATAGTAACGTCTTGTACACCTGGCTATATATCACTGCTTAAAAGTGCTGCTAATTTTATAATTGACAATACTTTGATTTTTAGAGGCAGAGAGAACGAGTCTGAGATTTTTATTTCAACATACAACGCTTTTAGCCTCTCTTTTTGTCGCGTTATTTCGTTATGACCGTATTCATTGCAGTTCACGTAGGAGCAGGTTCGTCTTGCGTGTGGGGATTGAAAATAATAACAGCACAATTTACCCTAAAGGTCCACTTATGCAACAAATAATTACATGCGCGCAGGTCATTTATCGCGTTCAAAAGAATCAAAATATCGATCGGCTTGTGCGAGGTAAAATCAGCGAGATTTTTTATTGAGGAGTTAATCGGTGTTGTTATTGATTGATCGATCCAGAGCATGCGAAGAAGCAATAAGACAATTGAAGCAAGGCAAAAGTTCTTTGGAAGTTGTATCAAATGCGATTGCGATCCTGGAGGTAGTTCTTATTCTGTTTGGTTGTAAAGATTATTAATGATAGTAATAATAAAACTATGCCATACGTCATCACATCAATACTATGTATATGTGATTAAGGTCAGGAAGGAATGAGGGAAATGAAATTACACTGTGAAAAGAACAGTAAAATGTAATATAAGAAAACAAATTGTTTTTCCTTTGTGCAAACTAGAATGACCCTATCACCAATGCAGGCTATGGCTCGAATCTTACTCTAAATTGCACTGTTGAGTGTGATGCAAGTATCATGGATGGACGTAACGGTAGCTTTGGCGCCGTCGGTGCAGTGAGCGGGATTAAGAATCCTATCATGGCAGCGCAAAAGATGGCCGAGCAAACAACACTGTTACCCCTAGGTCGGATCCCACCTATGCTGCTTGTTGGTCCAGGTGCGAAAGCATGGGCAGACGAACAAGGGTTGACGTTAGTTGAAGATGATGCATTGCTTTCACAAAATGCCCTGCATACCTTTGGCAAACATATACGATTACTACATAACAGCAATGTCGATGATGGTGTCGATGACGACAAAGAAGATCGAGAAAAAATGGATGATACTGTGGGCGCCATCGCTATCGATACATGTGGAAACGTGGCTGCAGGTGTCAGTAGTGGTGGCATATCACTGAAATATCCCGGTAGAGTTGGCGAGGCAAGTTTGGACAATCACTATTAGCACCCACATACATGTTAACGACAAAAATAAGATTCTATTTAACTAATTTTTATTGCTGCTCTAATAAAGGCTGCCATGCATGGATGCGGATGCTGGGCGCAAAATGCCACTGATCGTGATCCAGCCATAGCATGTAGCACATCAGGTACCTTGATATATAAGCAGCATCAAAGGCAGTATTTCTTATTGAGCTTGGGCTTCTCATTACAGATTTAGTATAAACTAAATTACTCTCATGCGATCATTTCTTCAGGAACGGGCGAACAAATTATGCGAACAAAAATAACAACACGTTGTGCCGAACAACTTGTGAAAGAGGACGATATACCTTCCACTATGGCTAGTGTGCTACGTGAAAATTTCATAGAATCGCCATATCTACAAATGTATCATGAAAAATCTGTTGGTATGATCATATTGCGGGCAGTGAGATCGTCACAAGATAACAACAGCGTTGGCAGTGGTAGAGACGATGCTACCAAAAACAAAAGCAACCATCGTAAAGTATCTCCCACCATAAAAACAAACTGGTCTACTCTCTGACTTTTTGTGTGTATCATGAAGAACATACTTATTGAAATTACATTATAATATGTACTAGATGTCGAATTTTGTTATGCACATGTTACAGATAGTATGGTAACTTATTAATCTGTCTTTGTGGCGTAAAACGGTGTATTCTGTAAGTTGTAAAAAAGCATGTGCTTCCCTAACATCGGTCTTCCTTTCCACGTCAGGGTATCGGATGCATGTCAGACACTTGCCAAAAACCTAAAGTAAGCGCGAAATTCCCTCTATCTCTGTCTAGTTTTCTTCTTCTACATATGTTCTAGCTTAACAAGCCGACAAACTCATGTGTGACATTTTTTACAAAAGACATTTGTTTCACGCAAAGCAGCACACGAAAAAATGCGATGTTCTGGTTGGCTTGTACGATAAACATAGTTAGTCTCATTGATTGGTATTTATTATGCACAATTCTCATCGTAGCGAAAGAACAAAAAGTATCCAGTTGATTATATGTTTGTACGGCCCCTCTACACCTCTTTTCAAATGTAAAAGTTACACATATGAATTTTCTTTTGCTTGTATCATGTTGAGCACCATATTTGTCCACAATCTAGTAAACGCCAAGTATTACCCCGTGTTAAGGTACTGTAGGAAACAAAAACAAGGCCCAGGCACTTTGTTAAGAAGGACAGAACCCGTTTTTTTGTGTTTATGTACCTGTGCTTCTGTTGAATGGCTATACAATACTATCACAACATTATATTTCACCACATACGCGCACAACGGAAGTAAACATTTTCAGATCCATATACCACCTTCTGCAAATATACATTGCAAGGTAAACGTAACGTTATTATTGCTGTGATTAAGGAAAACCAAAAACGAAGAGTTGTTGAGATGGTGACGATGATTGAAGAAGTGGGGGCTCGTTAGTGAGTATTATTCTCATATACTCCAATTCTTTCATGATGTCGATGCTTAAAAAAGAATCTCGGGCAGGCCCGAAAGAAAAAAAAAGTCTGGGTGGTTAACAATCGCATATCCTTTTTTTAGCAGTTTAAGATGATGAAAGGCACGACAATAAGCTTTAATGGCAATCAAAGGTGGAGGTGAAAATACATAATTAGCAATTATAACTAATATACTCTGCTTTTCTGGTTGTTGTTGGTGGGAAGGAGCAACGCTAAGCAAAACTAGTATATCATAAAAGGTAGGTTATATTGTCCATGTTGAGGATTTCATGTTTGCTGTCCTCATTTGCGCTCTGTCAGCCCCGTGAGGTGATGACCCAGTTCCCGGATTTTTTGTCTTAACAATGACAAAGCTACTACTGCAAATGCAGGGACCTTATTTATAGTGCAGCAATGGCAATGATGATGATTATTGTAAAACCTTTCGCATTAGGAATTGATCTGCAAATGTCAAAAAGCTTATATGTGTTATAAAGCACATACGAGCAAGGTGGAGAGAGGTCAAAGCGCAAAAAGGAATTCATGTCGATCTTGCCTCGTTTCGTACGTGATGCCCTTTTTTCCCTTCTTCTTAGGTTGCTCGGGCCTCTTTCCATTCACCCCCTCCTTTCTCTCTCACCTTTTTCTACAGTACGTTAGCTTCTTTTGATTCTCCTCTCACCCCAAAAAGTATAAGTCGCCATACAGGAAAATCGGCATTCGCAAAAGGAAATAAAAATGACGCGTATTATTTGTTACTTCATCATATACATTCTCTGCGAACACTGTAATCAGCGGTTTGAATATTCAAGAGAATCCGAGCCGAGTAGTGTGCATCTGTGCGATGTTGCTTTATCAAGCATCATCAACCCTGAAGCTGTTCCGGACTTGAACTTCCAAAAGGTAAAAAAAAGTTGTTACCACAGCGGGTGTAGTACACGCGCAAGAGAGAAAAATTCCGTGTGGGTTCCACAAGTACCTGTGCTCTCGATGCCTGTGCACGCACACCCACGATTTGGAAACCTTTTTTTTGTACAACGTAAATATTCTTGCTCACACCAGGCTCTGATGCACAGCATCATACGATTCAAAAAGAAAAGAAATCTGTATAAAGGATGGTAACGAGAACGATATATGGAAAACGAAAAAAAGAGTATCGCATATACAAAAATTGGGGAGGAGGAGGAACAGGGTGAAACAGGGTACAAGGTCACAAATTTAGGATGAAAATAAGAGAGGGAACACGCAATAATATAAAGAAAAACATACATACAAAAAAAAAGAGATAGCAAAGAATGAAAATGAGGGCATAGGGAGCAAAAAAAAAGAAAAAGGGAAGTTGTGGTAGCTACACCATGTTAGCATATAAGATTTGTAGTGATGATGGGAAACCAAAACAGAAAGAGGCTCCTAGTTGCTTTTGACATGTTACACGATGCACGAACCGTAGGTTGCAAGTAGTACCGTGCACACAAAAGAGAAAAAGAAAAAAGAAGGAAAGAACAATATTTTTAACTATGCTGCTAGCTAATGCTGTTGATGCTGATGAGGCTCTTGCTGTTGCCGTTGATGATGATGGGTTGAAGTTCCTGTAGAAGAAGGAATACAAAACAGCAATCGCCGAAATTGTGACTTCAATGTGATGAAAAAAGCGAGAGGGGCTTTTCTTCTTGTTCGTCTTGATTGTGTTGGTGATGATGATAGTGAAGAAGACGGTGACGAAAGTAAGTTGGGGTCATTCGTGGTAAGATCCCTAGTTTCCGCCAAGATGACAGTTGTCCTCCCTATGGCACCGGGATCATCGTCTCCTGGAGTAGCAGCATGGTATTGGTCGCCGGTATCGTTATCGTGGTCGTTGCTATGGTAGCGCATGCTGTTACCGTGGTCACTGTTGCTATGACCACTACTATTACTGTTGCTGTTGCCATAGTTACCGCCATCATTGCCATGGTTATCACTATTGCCGGTATTCTCCTCGTCGCTACTATTATCGGGAATCGTGGTAGGCGATGGACTGGGTGGTGTTGGCCCTGGCGGTCGTGGGTTGTTTGGTCTCGGCTTTTTATAATCATACGGCTGCAAGCCGCCGCCGCCGCCGCCGCCGCCAGAAGGTGGGCGATTGTAGGCACCCTTAACCATGACGATGAATTCTGCTGCAAAGGGGCTGTCTAGGTGATCGAGCAGATCGCTGACGTGCTCTTTACTGATAGATTAAGCACCATGTTATTTAAAGACGACGCGTAAAATCAGTTAAAATTAAACAATAGAGCTTTATATAGCAATGACATGCCGAAAGTGAGCAAAATACGGGCTTACGTTAAACCAACAGTTAAGGAAATGTAATGCTCTTTTGTTGATTTCGGCAAAAGTAATTTGTCGTAATTGTCGTGGTGGTAGTGGTAACAGCGGCACCAATGGCTAGAAGTATAAGCAGTAGTAGTGAAGATGGGTGCTAATAATGGCGGCGGAATGTCGAAAATGGTGACAAAGTGTACAATGGTAATACTATTAATGTTAACAACAGCTGCTGCTGCCGGTGCTGTAGGCTATTAGTAGGATGATGATGCTGTCGTTCGCTGTTGCTGTTACGATGATATGCTGAGCTATTAATTGGCAGATGGTGATGTTGATGATGACACTATGAGCAAACGCACGCGCCTCGTATTAGCAGCGTGTTGTTGATCGGCAGTGCGCTTGCTTGAAATGTATACAATATTTTTGGTAAAATTTCTTGACGATCACTTTTGGGCTCTCCTCTATATATATAGAGCGAGAGAGAAAGACAGAGAGAGGGACTAAAAGAAATAAGAAAAGAAATTTGTGCAAATAGGGAAGTGAGCGAGACTGAGTAGAGAGGAACAAGAAGAAAAGAACAAAATAAGGTGTATTACAAGATTCTTCTCATTTGCAACTACCATACGCATCGGCATCCATCATCCCCAGAACCCACTTTGCATTTCTTTCTCTCTCTTTCTCACTCTTTGTCTCCCACGTACTAAAGCCTTCTTGCCTACCTCGTTCACTCAAAATACGCTTTGCTCTGTAGCTGTACCCGTGTAGGCAAGAGCAAGGGTGTGCCTCTGTGTGTGTGTAGCGGATACATCCATCACTCGCGAACACGCACACGCTCAAGAAATCACTCCCGGGTTCTAATTTTCGGCTTTGTAAAAGAGTTTCGCTCCGCAATTCTCTCTCTGCCCCCGCAACCTCCTCATCGTTCTTGTTCTTGTCCTTCTCACAGCCGCTCTTCTTTTTCTTTTGCGAATGTAAACTTTAAAGTTGTATTAGCAGCGTGTGCAAAAGAGGCAGCAAGAAAATGAAGCTGAATACTGTATTGAGAAACACGGGCATATGAGCCCAGTATGCCTTCCCGAATCAGCTGTGTATGTCTCATATGCGCCGTAAAAGATCAAAGTTTAAGGGGTGCAGATTTTGGTATCATTTATGATATGTGCGCGACCAAAAAAAAACTTTTTTTTCTATTGTTTCACGGATGCCCAAAATCAAGAAATAACGTTATCGACGACCCTAAACGCGTGTGTATGGTGTCTCATTCCCAAATAGGCAATACGCTATAACCCAAAATGAAAGAATAATAGAGTGGGCGTGAGCTGTACATTCTCGTAAATGACACTTTGCTCACTTTCTGTAGAAGTCATCATTATTAATCCACTCCATGTATCGTCGCGTGTTCTATATTATGCGTGTCATAGCACGCGGTCCTTAGTCCATAGTATAACAAGAAGCAATTATTGTACCATTGGGATATAATATGAAAAAGTCAAAGTGGTTGATGACGAGCAAGGAGCTAGGAGCTCATTTCTCTTTGGGGGTCGTGATCGAGATGCAAGTGTTAGGTAAGTTGGGGACGGATGTTAAAGAGATGCATTTCATCTGCTGAACATGGGTGCTTGCTGTTTGTACTGGTTTTGTTAGAATCAGTGATTAGGTACAACCAATGTGTAAAATAACAACGAGCTTTGAGGAGGCCAGGATACGAGAAATGAGAGAGGAGCAAAGAGAGGGGAATGAAGAATATACCTGAACGGGAAAAAGACCAACTGCACCATGTTCCATAAAGGTGCGAGAACAAGCATATGTACAAGAAAAAATAATGCTATTATCGCTAATCTCTATATGTATAATAGCTGGGAAGTATGTAGGTTTCATGTATCGTTATCGAATCAAGCGTTTTCCTGTCTTTTCTCTCGTTCTCTCTTTCACCTGTATTAATCTTATATACACTGCATGCATGCATACATCCTCCCTCTCTCTACTAGCTCCTCGAGTCATAAAACTTTATTTGCAGCCAATAGCAAAACAATACTGACATGTTTTCGCCCAAGGGGGTACGTCGCGTCCCTTATGTATGGCAATACTACATCGGCCTGAAAAGACCGAGATGATAAAGGGAAGAGTCATGAGAGGCGTTACTTAATATGGCTTATGTCCGAAATTTGCTTGATGCAGGGACTCTTTCGTTTTTACTTTTGCTGTGAATTATGTCATGTGTGTATGTTCCTAAAAATCCAAGAACCGTTCCTGAAATTACATATACGTTTCAACGGCAAGGGGCAATAAAACGAGAGAGAAATAAAGGGAAATGAGGGGTGCAAATGATATTTTTGACTCACACGTCTAAAATAAAGCGATGGAGTGTAAAAAAGATATAAGTGCATCTAGCATATTTTTAAACCATGGTGTAGCACGGGGACCTCTTGATCATTTTTGCTACAACATACAAATGAGGTATATTTTATACAGGCAGCGAATATATATGAACTAAGGAATGACCGTAATACTGTGTTTATACATAAGAGAGAAGGCGCGCATCAAATATGTGTCGTATGCGGTGAAAGATCATATAGAGTGGGGTAGTAGTACAAAGTGAACGGGTCGCGTATTATTTTCATTTCTCCTTTCATTGCGTGATCTCGATACCTCGTTTGGCCATGTCCTTCTCAATTACTTCGATAGCATGAGAAACTTTATAGAACACCCGGTCTTGGCCTATCATATCGAGCAATCCTGAACGTCTAAACATATCCATAGGCCGATCTCGAAGACGCACAAAGTAAACAGCAGCCTGTTGTGCGTGATAGGTTTCAACTATCTCGTACATAATTTGTACAGCACTATATGTCATATACATTATAGTAGTAGTTAGTTAGTATGTAGAAACTGTCTTTTCGGTCTTCTTAATATAGTTATAACAATAATAATAGTAGTAGCAGAAGCAGTAAATGCTTTCTTCTTCCCCTTCTAACCCTAACTCCTTCTCATTTTTCATTTAGATTTACCTGGCGTCAATATCCGGCATATTATCAACATCGAATATAATATATGAAGATGCATTTCGCCGTGGGCGTTCGGATGGATGCGTTGACATGTCTCCATAATGCTCAAGTCGGCGTAAGCGATCCTTGAGTTTTCCTAAAAATATTATCATAGTGTTAATATGTGGTTGGTAAGGAAAAAGAAGTTCAGGGAGGAAGAAAGAGCCAACTTTTCGGTTTTCTTTAGTAAGTTTGGAGTGAAGCATTCCAGTTGAGAGGTCATGCTTTGCAGGCTACCAGCACTTATTGTTTTGCTGCTACTATAAAGCATAATCTATTTTTTTTTACCTGTGTTGGCGAAAAAGAGGGGCTCCTCAATGCGCACGATTAGGACGTCTTCTAGGTGCTCGATCTCATCGGGATCATCGTGGATTGCTCTAAACTTGTTGTGTGTCCCTTTAACACGACCCTGCATAATGAGCACAACAGCAACAGCAGCAGCGATGATTAACAGTAGCCAATGTAAGCGCCCAATTAATAGCAAGCATTAGGATTATAATATTAACTTGCTTATCGAAACACGCACACACAGACACACACGCTTTTAGCATTCGTTATCCTACTTTTCTCTTCCTCTTACCATAATTGAAATACGGGGGTAGCTTGTCTCTTTGATAGTTAGGAGAAGAGACAATGTGATGGCTACAAGCGTACCAAATTCTAGCGAAATCACGACGGTGCCTAAAAAGGTAATCAAAAGCAAGACCAGATCTCGCCAAGCGCCAATCCTGAAAATGAAATGCATGTCTTCAGGTAGCTCGCCTAGCAATGACAAAACAGCTACGAAAATGATGGCTGATAAGACCGTCTTGGGTAGATAATAAAAGTATGGCAATAAAAAGAAAATAGCAACGAGTGCCAAAACTCCGGTGATCATGCACGCCATTTGTGTTCTTGCACCTGCACGATCGTTGATCTTGCTTCGAGCAACCTTATTTTATTTTGACAGATATTATTTATATTAGCTTGCAGTCTTTTTTAAGCGTTCACAAAGAACTCAAGAGCACCCCATCCGCTCTGTTATAACCATTCTCTTTTCGGGACCACTTTACTAGTAGTAGCATCACCCCTGTTTCAATGCTTCCGCTCTCCTATTTATGCTTAAAAAAATTTCCATCTTACCGAGCCAAATGCTGGGATCCCTTGAAAAAGTCCACTGACAGTATTGGCAACGCCTAGCGCGACCAGTTCACGATTAGCGCTAACTGAATAATTATGTCGACTCGAAAACGTTTTTGCAATGACAACAGATTCCACAAATCCAATGACTGAAATCAGTGCGGAAGTCACCAATAAGTCTTTGAGGTGCGTGTTATCGGGAAATGCAGGGATAGACGGTAGAGGAATGCCCGTGCTTTCGATTTCGCCCAAGATTTCAATTTGCCAATCATATTTCCACGTCAAGACAGTTGCTAGCACAACCACCAACAAGACTTCGGGGAAAAGTGCCAACCAGCGATATTTTGCTAGTTTGGATTTGAGCATACGGAAACCGAGCAAAACAGCAATGGATACAGCTGAGACAATCGTAGACAGTCTGTGTGCTTGATGGATATGATTGAACAGAAACGTAACGCGTGCAATGCTTGAAGACGCTTCTGTGATTCCGGCTTCTTCGCTAATGCCGACGAGGCCGAGCAAAATGATGCTTTGTTGTAGCATAACTACAACGGCAACGCCAGTGATGAAACCGCGCAAAAGTGCACGGCTCATTAAGCTGTCCAAGAACCCGAGGCGGACAATACCGAGCAAAAAGGTGAAAATGCCGACGAACAGTGTCATGAGACAGGCCCACGCTAATCGATCCAAGTGATCGTCGTCATATTGTTCTTGTTGCGCTATGGATGACCCCACGAGGAGCGACAAGGTGGCTTCAGGGCCCACACTCATTTGTCTAAGTACATACATTACGTTTGTTTGTTTGTTTGGTACCACAACATACGATAAATTAATATCGGACTTGACCATGCAACGATATAGATGTCAGAAATGCTCACTGAGCAATACCTTGACATGCCAAAGATCTATTTTTGTGATAAACATTTTGCAGATTGATTTGTTACTTCAACGCTTCATCATTGCGGCCCTTCTTTGTTGCGAACGTTTCAGTGTGGTAGTAGGCTACTACTACTATTACTACTACTACATGATGCTATACCACTCATAGAATACCTACCGCATAGGTAATAGCCGGGAAAGCAATGGCATACAAACCATGGATGGCTTCGAGTTTACAGAGAGCAGTTGCATAGGACAGAGCCTGCGGAACAAGCAGACATGCCAATGTGAGACCGGCAATTAGATCACCGAGAAACAGGTTGGCATTGTAGTGCGGCAACCATTGCAAAACAGGAAGGTAGTACCTTGACCGGACTTTGATTAGGCTCCAAGTATCCTTGGGTGCGTGATCAAGGATTATACGCGCCGAAGGAACTACAGATCAAATATACACAAGTCCAGCTCTTTTAACAGGTTTTTCTGTGGAATCCATTGTTGTGGGTAAATTGGAGGCTTTCAAGCAGCAGAGGGAGAGTAAAAGAAATGCTTTTTTTTTTTACTTGGAGAAGCAGTCATGTAGCGTGGGATATGTTCGTCACTCGGTAAAAGTAAGCGTGTTTCATCTGCAGCAGCTGAAGAAGAGTTTGGAGGAATCATCAACGTCCTGCGCACAAGCATGTCGGCACTATCTTCACTGCTAGTGCTGCCGCTGTGGTTACTCCTGATACTGCTGTCGGTTCCGTCAACAACATAGTCCGTCAACGATGCATGACCTGAATGAAACGTGCATATACACGTCAATAACAAATCAACACGAAAAAAAGGTATTGCAAGTGATACTGTGGGTGGCCGATGGAAGGAAAAAAAAAGCATGGATGCTTAACTGTTACTGTTGGATACGCCGGAAGATTGTTGCTGGCGATGGTGACGATGTTCTGCCATGTTATTGTTCGACTTGCTGAGCAGCCAGGGACGGTGGTAGTGGTACTTTTTGATGGAAACGCTCCAACGGAAAGAAAAAGGGGTGCTGGGGGAGAACAACGGATAGGAGAATATATAAGCTGTCCTCTGTGATATCTGTAATATGGGGAAGGCTGTTGGCTATATATGGAAAAGGTCGGAGCACACAAAACAGGCATAGACCGATCATCATGCCCTTCCTTGCTCTGTGCTATGCTTATGCTCTGCGTACAGTATGATATGTATGTAGCTTTTATACCCAGGATGAGTAAGTGGCATGTACTCATCATTTCTCCTGCCCAAGATAACCGTCTCGTGCACACATAATCATTGCCTCTGTTTAAGTCGATTTCATACTCATTCTCATCACTACAATGCATTGCAGCGTACTATTACAAAGTAGTACTTGATTTAATTTGTATGCACTGGTAAATAATTGACGGCCCTTCCTCTCTCTCTCTCTCTCTCTCTTTTCCCCTGTTAGGAAGCACCCCTGCACCAGGACGCATTCTGTTGCGTGGACGGTGTAAATGTAGAGTAGAGAGAGAGTGTGTGTGCCTCTTTTTCTTTTTAAATTGCTTTTGTTTCTATTTCCTCTCTTGCCTCTTTGTTTACATACCAGACTTACAAACATACACAACACAAACATACGGTAAAAGGAACAAAAACACTTCCACAACAAGGAAAAGTTTACTGGCCTAAGAAAAAAAGATTGGCCAGTTTAAGGAGGTGCACACCCACAAAAAGAGAGAAAAATTCGACTTTGACCTGCTCTTCCCTATTTTCTAAAGCTATTGCTCATACGCAAACCTTCTTTTTTTTTTTTTGCTTTTCTAACCGTTACAGATATCATGCACTCATTATACCCACACGATGATTTATCGCCACCTGCTACACCACCCAGCAGCAGTAGCAGTACCACCACCACCAGCAGCAGCAGCAGCAGTAGCAGCAATAGTAGCGGCAATAGTAGCAGTGACAGTAGTAGTACCAGCACCGGTACCACTGGCAACAAAACTAAAACTAGGAGCAGTTCTAACTGTTCTAACGACGACAACGAAGGCGAAAAGAGTAGCAACAACAAGCGACCTTTACAACGACTCCGCTCATCCTATGTCGACTTGAGCATGGGCGACAATCCCGCTCAGCTTTCATCTACATTGGCCAAAAGCCGACTGGATTACATTAGTCAGGTCAAGACCACATTTCAACAACTTTCAAATCGACAAAAACATGCGTTTCTGTCGGAATTGCTCAACTGTTGCGACAACCAACTCCTTGCGTTCGCGCATACACTTATTGCACCTCGGCTCAAGATTGACTTTCTGAAACAACTGCCTATTGAGCTAGCGCTGCACGTCTTGTCATTTATTGACGATCCCCAGACACTGGCTCGTGCATCACGAGTATCTCAGTTTTGGAATGACCTATCAAAAGATGAATCCACATGGAAGGCACTGTGTCTAAAACATTATCGCTTGGTGCGCCCGTTCCCTCTTGTTTCTTCTTCTGCGATAACAACAACAAAGATGACGACACAGCAGCAGCAACAACAGTTATTAGCATCAATACTATCCAGCAGTGGTAGTAGTAGTAGTAGTACGACGACAACGGTTTGCGGAGGCGTTAATGGTCAACAACAGCAACAACAACAACAACAACAGCAGCAGCAGCAGATCGTCTCTTACAAAGAATATTTCAGGCGCAAATACAATATTGCGCATGCATGGAAACAAGGAGGGAAAAAGACAACGTGTGTAAATAATATCGGCTCGGCCCTAGTCACAAGCTTACAGGTCCAAGACCCATATGTTGTCGTTGGCTGTGACAATCACAATATCGAGGTATTCGATAGCACAACAGGCAAGCATCTGCGTACACTATCTGGCCATGAAGGCGGCGTGTGGGCATTGCAGTTTGTAAAGGAAAGCAACGGTGATAACGACGAATACGTTTTGGTGTCAGGTGGTTGTGATCGGTAAGTACTGATAGTTTATTAATTTACTACTACTACTACTACTACTACTACTAGCATTACAATCTTCCCAACCATTGTTCATGTCTCTACATAGCAATAAACATTTCTTTCGGTTTCTAAGCATTATCTATATATATATATATATATTATTTTTACATATAGTGAAGCTCGTGTTTGGGATCTAAAGACGGGAGAGCAACGCCATGTGCTTCGAGGGCATTCATCTACCATCCGATGCCTCAAGATGCGTGACACTAAGCTTGCTGTGACGGGATCACGCGATGCTACGATGCGAGTCTACGACATTGAACGAGGCGTGCTACTCCATGTGTTGCTAGGACATCAAGCCAGTGTACGATGCTTAGATATCCATGGTAATAAGGTAGCATCCGGATCGTACGATTCTACAGCACGCCTATGGGATCTAGAGACGGGGCGATGTCTCCATGTGCTTGTGGGTCATCACTCACAAATCTATGCTATTGCATTTGACGGCCGACGAGTGATTACCGGATCTTTGGATTCCAACATACGCGTGTTTTGTCCAAACACAGGACAGTGTCTAGCCACATTGTATGGCCATACTTCGCTCGTAGGCCAACTTCAACTCCTGCCTTCGGATCCATCAATCCTTGTCAGCGGTGGAAGCGACGGCTGTTTGAGGGTTTGGGATCTGGAGCAATATGAGTGTCGACATAGAATCTCTGCACATGATAACTCGGTCACATGTTTGCAATTTGACGATCGACGGATTATTTCTGGAGGTAGGTATTATCAAATCGTTTTACACTATATAACTGGCTAAACAAGGGTTTTGGTGGATGGTCTTTTTTTTTTCGTTTAGGTGCTGACGGCAAGGTGAAGTTGTGGGATTTGGAAACTGGACGCCTTATCCGACTATTTTCGAACCCGGCTCGAACTATTTGGAAATTAACGTTTAATGAAACCAAGGCAATCGTCGTTATGCAGCGTCAAGAAGAACCAAGTCTTGTACAAACCACCATCGAGCTTCATGATTTTGACCTATCGCCGTGAAATCTCTTTCTCTCTCTCTCTCTCCACCAGTCAAATCCATCACTACAAACCTTCTTCCTCTCCCCGACATACTATCCCAAACCTCATTTTGTAGAAAACAACTGAAAAGTAGAAAATCCTTGTTTCCTAATCACCTCAATAACCATACCAAAACAATCCATACCATCATACTCACACACACATACACATACCACTATGTCGTCTTGTCTTGAACAAAATTAATTTTCTATTGATTGCCTTTTTTTGATATCATTGTTTCTTTCACTCTTCCCATTTGCACAGACGTCCATTTTCTTTACACGCGCACCCTTTTTTGCACATATTTCACTCTTCCTTTCTGTTTCTTTTGTCTTTTTGTTGGATTTTGTCTAAAAAAATTAAACATAAAAGTGTATTCAAGAGCAAAAGAATCGACTCTCTGATGTTGAGTTTTTTTTTTTGAAATGATGGTGTATTATGATTCGATGTTGCTTTTTTCTTGACGCTGCTATTCGACTAATTCTAAGTGTGTCTTGGGGCATCCGCGTACCATACACTATTTTAAAAATGATAAGTTTAGATAGATAAGCACATTAATAGCTAGCAAGCAACCCTGATAGTAGTAAAAAAATATCTTTTTACCTGTTGGTAGCAAATGCAGCAGGTGCAACAGGCTCTGTCTATATGTTCATACAATATACAAATAATAGATAATAATATAGTTAGTATATATTCACTCGTCCATTCTCGGTATATGAAGGATCATGATAATTAGATCTCGTCATATTTACCGATTGTCCACGGAGCGAGCCAGTAAGACGTCTATCGCGCTCCATCATGGCTTTATCAAAGACATCGACATTGAAGCGAGCGGGCTAAAAGTATTAAAATTAATGGAATCAGTAATGCTCGCTTGATAATTGAATTGGTGCGATTAGCTGACTCACCTTGTGGCCGTTCGCGAAGTATCTAACGGTACCCAAACCGGTACCAGTGACGGTGAACATAGCGGCAATAATGCCGAAAGGAATAAATGCTTCAAATGGGACAGGCTACACGAATAGATTTTAAACAGAGAGAAAGTTAAATGACATGTATTGCGTAAGATTTCAAAGCCGCGTTCCCGTTTATAGCGTTGCTTTTGTTAATGTCATTATAATTACCATTATTATTTATAGAGTGGGGAGGGGAGGGCACGCTGGAGGTTTAAAAGAGGACCAAAACAAGAAAACTTGCTGGGTTAAAATGAGAATGACGTGCCCAAGCGCCGAAGCTTCCTTCCTCTTTGCTGAGATATATCAGTCGCAGGTACCACCACTTCTACTTTTTTATATTACGAAAACAAAAAAGCTACGTAAAACAATGCCTGCAATGTCTTGGTTGCCTTGGATTTCGAAACAGAAAATTGTTCTGGCTTCAGCTTCGCCTCGCAGACACGAGATTTTGACAGACATGGTATATAAACACTGTGAACAGTTGCAACTGAGCGAGATCTTCGAAAAGAGTCGCGAACACGCTCTTTATCCCGGTCGAAACTTTCAGTTCGAAATGATAACTCACTATTTTGAACATATTATCTCTATTTGAATATACGCTACCGCGAAAAAAAATGCAGGGAGTTGATTTCCAAGTGGTTACTACGCTAAAAGACGACGCCAATGATCCTACTGCTTTCGAACTTAAAGAGGATTATGTCGAGTATACGGCGCGCATGAAAGCGGTTGAGGTGTTTGAACGATGCAGGGTAAACTCGCGTTATTATATGAAGCGCCATAGTGGATGAGTAGTTGCTTTTTATATCAAGAAAGAAGATGACGCTAGGATGAAGATGAGAGAAACAATCCTAAAGATACATGTATGATCACAACAGGACGATCCATCGTTGCCCGATGCTGATATTGTGATTGGCGCCGATACGGTCGTTGTGCTTGACGATAATTCAACGGTCTTGGAAAAACCACGCGATGCCGATGATGCAAAGCGCATGTTACGTACAATGAGTGGGAAACAGCATACAGCCATGACGGGCGTCGTCATTTTACGTAAATCATCAGCAGCAGGTGATGGTGGCGGCAAGCCATATCATGAAATTTCATTTGTTTCAAAGACGGATGTCGAGTTTTCTGATATCGATGATGGCCTTCTTGAAGCATGTGAGTACTTTTAAATTTTCAGACAGAAGGGTGAATTCACAATCGCTATTGATTGACTTGGATCTTTCCCGTGCATCTGTAAAAGACGTGGCTTCAGGTCAGGCATTTGGAAAGTCAGGTGCTTATGGACTCCAAGGCACTGCATCTCTATTTGTAAAAGGCATTCATGGTGATTATTGGAATGTGGTAAGCCATACTTTTTAATAATTGGATTTCATTTTCTTAATATTTGGAACACTATATGATTTGACATTTCTTTCTTATGCGGTATTAGGTTGGACTACCTAAAAATCGTCTGTATCAGGAGTTATTGACGTTGGAACGGTTGATGGAAAGAAAGGACATAATGTAGTAGCACCTTTGCTACCTTCAAATATTTTCGATAGAGGCACTCACACTACTTGTAAATTTATAACCGGAAGAATTCCAAGATGGTGCAATTATTTATTTTAGAGCTAGTACCGGTGTTATGTAGAGACCCTCTTATTATTAACTACTTTTTGCTAAATCGTTTGACATACAGATGGGTTAATACCTGCTGTAATATTGATTGTCGGTCAATGTGTCAGATTCTTCTTTACTGTTTGATGCTGGTAGTCATGCATACTATATAGACTGAATAAGGAAATCGAGTGTCAAAAAATAATAGCCCAGCAGCTTGATAACTGAGAACGGGGTCAGGGGGCGGTCTTATTGTCACTTTTACACACACAACGACAAACATACCATGGCGAAGAAAAAGTCCACGCCAAACTTTCGACCACGCGCCGCTCCATTAAAATACACCAAACTACCACCTAGTGCAAACCCTAATGTTGGCGCTGGTGGCAGTGCTAGTGGTCGACCCTCACCAAGACTGACACCCATTCTCATTGGTGGTGGCTTGCTCTATATCACCGCGACTTGTGTGAGCATGCTCGTATTTAAAAGCAAAAGTGACACCTCCAAAGACTGTACAGCAAACGATCAGGCAACTTTTCCGGAAGGTGCCGGCAGCAGTAGCAGAAACTTTGACACGTCTCCCGTCTGGGAGAAGATCGCCAAGAGTTACGACAAGGAGATTGATTGGGACGAACTGATCATGGGTATTGGTGTAATGCGACGATTTCTTGTTGGTCAAGCAAAGGTAGCGTACTTTCCATAGAATAAGAGGGCGTCATGAATGTGTCGAGCAAAGGCGGCTCAGACCAATTGTTTTAACGCTTTTATGCATAAATGGTGGTGATGATGATATTCTAGGGTGATGTATTAGAAGTATCGACGGGCACGGGACGAAACTTTGACTACTACAAAGCAGATCAAATGGATTCCGCAAGGTTTACGGACCGGAATGCAGGCATGCTGGCCGAAGCCGAAAGCAAATTTGACAAGTTCAAAGACCAGTTCCGGAAGACGTTTGTTGAATTTAGACAGGCCAATGTAAATGAGCAACCGGCGGGCCGGTTTGACACGGTGGTGGATACATTTGGATTGTGTTCCTGTGGTGATCCGGAAGAGGCTCTGATATCTTTGGCTGATGCATGTAAGCCTTCAGAAGACTCGCGGATCTTGCTCTTGGAACACGGCCGGTCTCATTATGACTGGCTGAATCGATTGCTCGACAGCAACGTGGACAAACATGTGATGAAGTGGGGCTGTTGGTGGAACCGCGACTTGATGGGATTGTTTGAGCAGGAAAAGGTCAAGGAAAAGCTCGAGATTGTCAAGGTGCATCGATTTCATCTTGGCACAACGTGCTATATCGTTGCAAAGCCAAAGTTACAAACAGTACCGTCACCAGAAGATGGCACTGTCCATAACAATAAAGAATAAAAGTTGTCGTTACGAAAATAAAAACAGAATGATGTGGTTGCCGCAGGCACACCTGGAAGAATATCGCCTGCTGCGTAACAGTAAAGGTCCATCACACAAACTAACATATTGGGAGCCACCCCAACTCGGTTTCGTTATTCCTCAGAGAAGTTTTCGACCGTGCTAGTGTAATCTAATAATTGGGCTTCGTGTGACTTGCTAGTAGCTTCCGCTACCGCGACCCAAAATTTTTTTACTTTGGCCAAAAGTGGCAGAAAAGTTTCTCTTTCCTTTCTACTAAAGTCTTATTCAGACCCATAATCATGAGGTATGTAATCTCTCTTAGTTCACTATCTTGCAATGCGTTTAGTTTGTACGAGTATGCGTGCTACATAAAGTGAATGCAATTCATTGCACGTTGCATTGTTGAGAAAGCCAAAAAAACAAAAAAAGTTGGGATTGGAAACGAAACGGAAGAACTGGCTTTCCCTGGGAATGCCATGTGTGTGCGAATAAAGACAGAGACTCACACTATTTCCATCTTGCAATTAGCAACGAACCTTTGCAAGAATTGAACGATCACGAGATCGAGGTGAGTAAAATTTAAATACCCTTTCTTGATTTACATGTGTTGTTGCATAGTTTGCTTTTTTATCACAGTAAAAACTGACATGGTCTTGATAATCTTTTTTTTTGTAGTCCAACTGGGAGGAAGTTGTCGACAACTTTGACAACATGAACCTCACGACTGAGCTTCTCCGTGGTGTCTACGCCTATGGGTAAGCAGTCAGGGAGAGTCAGGAGAAGGGTTCTTGCGTAGTATTGTAAGGGCAGTTTGTAAAGGGATGGGTTACTGATACGATTACTGCTGTCTTCTCTATCACAGTTTCGAACGTCCTTCGGCCATTCAACAGCGTGCCATCATGCCTGTTATCAAGGGTCACGACGTGATTGCCCAGGCCCAGTCCGGTACCGGTAAGACTGCCACCTTCTCAATCTCTATCTTGCAGTCGATCGACGTCAACATCAAGGAGACTCAGGCCTTGATCCTTGCCCCCACCCGTGAATTGGCCTTGCAGATTCAAAAGGTCGTGCTCGCTCTTGGTGACTTCATGGGCATTGAGTGCCACGCCTGCATTGGTGGTACCAACGTCCGTGAAGACATTGCCAAGCTCCAGTCCGGCTGCCACGTTGTTGTCGGTACCCCCGGTCGTGTCTTTGACATGATCAACAACCGTCGTGCCTTCAAGACCGACTCTGTCAAGATGTTCGTTCTTGATGAAGCCGATGAAATGTTGTCCCGTGGTTTCAAGGAACAGATCTATGACGTCTTCCAGTTGTTGCCCGGCAGCACCCAGGTCGTCCTCTTGTCCGCCACCATGCCCTCGGATGTCTTGGAAGTCACCACCAAGTTCATGCGCGAACCCGTTCGCATCTTGGTCAAGCGTGATGAATTGACCTTGGAAGGTATTAAGCAGTTCTACATTGCTGTCGACAAGGAAGAGTGGAAGCTCGATACCCTCTGTGATTTGTACGAAACCGTCACCATCACCCAGGCTGTCATTTTCTGTAACACCCGCAGAAAGGTCGACTGGCTCACCGATAAGCTCCACGCCCGTGAATTCACTGTCTCCGCCATGCACGGTGACATGGACCAGGCCCAGCGTGATGTTATCATGAAGGAGTTCCGTTCCGGCTCTTCGCGTGTCTTGATCACCACCGATTTGTTGGCCCGTGGTATCGATGTCCAGCAAGTCTCCTTGGTCATCAAGTAAGTTTTTATCGATTATTTATTGCACACGCTTCCACTAAACGGTTTGGTCATGTACTTACTCTATCCTCTTTCTTTAGCTATGATCTTCCCTCCAACCGTGAAAACTACATCCACAGAATCGGTCGTGGTGGTCGTTTCGGTCGTAAGGGTGTTGCCATCAACTTCGTTACCGGTGAAGACGTCCGCATGATGAGAGACATTGAACAGTTCTACAACACCCAGATCGAAGAGATGCCCATGAACGTTGCCGACCTTATCTAGATATGTAATAATGAAAAGCCCCCACCCACCTTTCCACAGTTGAAACCGTCATCCTTTCTCCCCGGTGGCTGTCTTGTGTAAAAAACATTAAGAAAAAAGTTTTAGTAAAGATTTAAAAAAGTTTTGAGTGCTCGTTGCTCATAAGTGATTTTTTTTAATAATGCACAATGGTTTTTTTGCTTTTTTTTTCGTTTGGTTTTGGGTTGAATATGTAAAGTAATTCTAGACAAGTCCAAAGTTCAGAGAGGAAGAGAGACAAGGTTTTATGATTCTTATAAGAACAGTAATAACAATGATAATAATAATAATAGTGACAGAAGAATCTAATGCTGCTGTTGTTGCTGTTGATTCGATTCTGATTTTACACCGTCTGAATTCGGTTGACCTACAGAGTGTAAATACAAGTACAAGGGTTAGTATCTTTCTAACGTGTCATTGCATTAAACATGATTGCTTACCTGGCGCAGGCTGTCCGCCAGTGGATGGCCCTGCTGCCCCTTGTCGTGCCATTTGCTGGGCTTGTTGAGCATACGGATGTTGAGTGGCAAATTGCTGCAACTGAAGCTGGTACTGTTGCATTTGCTCAGGTGTCAGCTACAAACAAATCCATCGGGTTAGCAGCTGTTGTTATGACGCCAAGATGCCCTATAATAACTTACCTGTGACAATTGTGTTTGGTAGTACGCAGATGGATCGATCTGCTAATTATATCCACGATCCAATGTCGTCAGTAAACAATTGCTGCAGTTTAATCGCTCCTCTCGTTTCTATTAAATAGTACCTGTGTTGAAGCATATTGTGGCACATTGGTGGGCTGATAGTAGTTTGTGTATGCGTGCTGATCGTACACTGCCGTGTTTGACTAAGGTAGATGAATGCAAATGCGCGTGAGAGCGTTCAAAGTATCACAGTGAGATCATTATTAGTGCATCTGATTTACCTGATCCCAAAGTATAATCTAGCCCACCGACACTAACCTTTGCAGCTTCTTCACGAGGTACAATATCAATCAAAAAGTCGCACATGTCAGTTTTTGAAATAGCGGTAGCAATATCTGAACGTTGCAATGTGCGACGCTTATTTTCTTCGGCGTGGACCCTTAGAGAGGAGAAAAAGGGAGATGCCCAATCAACTGTCTTGCATGATATAATATAGATGGTATCCATTCAACCTTCCCCATCCAAAATCCAACCTTACCACGCGCGTTTCGTCAATTCAGTGATGAATATCTCACATCCTTTTGCAAACAGAATAGGTGCCTATAACCGATCCGATGTTCATTAGGCCATTGTTTAGAAATAATAAGATTTTCTTAATATATGTAAATACCTCTGCACTGATCATCTATAATTAGAAACGTATATAGGATTTAGAATCAAACACCTTTTCTTATCTTAAATATCCACAAGTACATATAGCAAAAGGAAGAAAAGCTTACTTTAACATCTTGATCGGTCTTCATGACCTTTTTGATTCGTGCAAGCGGCAATGGGTGGTTTTTGAAATCGGATTCAAATGCTTCTGCCACACTTAACTGTTCTTGCCAGAATTTACCCAAGTCGAAAACAGGATGAGCACCGGGAGCAGTGCCTGTAGCTGCTGCTGCTGCTGCCGCGGCTGCAGCAGCCGCCATAGCAGCCGCCGATGTTTGTTGCTGGTGTTGTTGTGGTTGTTGCTGCTGCTGTTGTTGTTGTGGGTGGTGTTGTTGAATCAAGCCCGATGAATCACCAGCAGGTGGACCAGCCGCGTATTTTGATGGATCTCCGTGTGGATTCGTAGGTTGCTGTGGTTGTTGGTGAGACATTTGATTATAATTGTGCGAGAAAGCAGAATTGGAAAAAGGTAAAAAGTAGAGAGAAAGAGTGCGTGAGTGGGGGGGGCGCGCTGAGCCTGTTTGATGCTCATTTTCGCGACATGTGTATTTACCCAAATAATAAAAAATTCCGCTTCGAAAATTACACAGACATCTTCCATCGAAAAGTTTATACATATATTTTATGCTACTATTGCCTGAAAAAGAGATCAATCTACCTCCTGGATACAGTGATCCCATAGAGTATTTGACCGTGCTTGTCAATTTCGCAAAACAATATCGCTGGCTTCACGACCTCCATATTGTTGACTTTTTCACTCATGACCAATGGAGCTTACTTGATTCAGAATGGCAAAATGCTCTTCACCAACAAAAAGACGACGTCGACGACGACGAATGGTTCGACAATGTCGTCCAGCTCCCGTCTTTCAATCCTACCGTTGTAAGTAGTGGTAATACAAAGACTGACTATGTTTATGCATACACACTGTCAAACTAACAATATTTTGTCTTTGAGAGAACGCCTCGTGGCCCGATTCATTAAAGCATTATATCCAAGAGACGCATCAATTAGCTCTTTTAAGAACTCGTCCCAGTACGTCAATGTAGTGATTCTATATAAGCTGGTGTCCGTTGCTGAACTCGATCAAAAGAAGCGAAAAGAGACCTAATTTATGTGTCTACTATATAGACAAAGGAAAACACTCCGAATTCAAGAAACATATGTTGTTTGGCATGACAGGCAAAAAAATACATGAGGTAAAATCAAAAGTAAAAGCTGAAATGGTAAGAATCGAAATATATTTACAAGTACAGTACATAGGTTGAACGGATGAGCGATCTGATACATCGAGTGGCCGAGAACCATGGTATTTCATCTGTACTGGATCTTGGTTCAGGCCAAGGCTATCTTTCTCGGGCACTGGCATTCCATCACGACATGCGCGTGTTGGCTGTCGACATGTCTGAAATACAAACCAAAGGGGCCGAAAGGTTCGACCGTCGCGTGAAATTTCATGAAGAAAAGGCCACCGAGAGAAAGCAAGATGCTCGACTAACTCATATTACAGAGCTGATAACATCAGAAAACATTTCGAGCGTATTGACACGATGGGGAGGAGGAGTAGAAGGAAGCAATGATGATAATGATGGTGATAGGCAATGGTTAATTTGTGGTTTGCACGCGTGCGGCGACTTGTCCACATTGATCATGCGACTATTTGCAGAAAGCGACAAAGTCTCGTGCCTTGTTAATGTTGGATGCTGTTACCATTATTTGTCTGAAAAGCAAAGCGGAACATTTGCCGCTACTACTGGGTTCCCTCCTGCTGGGTTCCCAATGAGTGATGCACTTGCCAAAATGGACTACACCATGGGAACAACAGCTCGGGTGCTAGCGTGTCACTCACCCTGGCAATGGCCACATCAAAAGCAGACCAGCAAAAAATCATTCGAGCAACATTTTTTCCGTGCTCTATTACAGGTAAAACCGTACAAGAAAAGATAAACTATCTTCTATAAACACGAAGGTATTAAATCTCAGGTTGCTTATTATCATACTATTATAGAAAATCATGGTGGATAAAGGCTTGGCATCAGCTTCCAAAGCACCTGCTCTGGCACATCGGATTAACAAAAAGAACGGCTTTGCTGGCTATGTGCAGGCGGCACTGAAGAAATTCGGGAAACCAGTGGATGCTATTACACCTGAAGAAGCAGAACGATATCATCAAGAATACAAGTACGCCGAAAAACAGATTACAATACTATGGACGCTACGATCTTTGTTGGCACCAGTTTTGGAAAGTATTGTACTGCTAGATCGATGGCTCTATTTAAAACAAACGGTCCAACAACAACGAGACGATGGAGATCAAGCTGATAGCAATAATGTCACCGTCGTTGATCCATCAAACAGGGAGCGAAGCAAGGGTGTATGGATGTGGCCATTATTCGATCCGATGGAGTCACCTAGAAACATGGTTTTTGTAGCTTCCAAATAGATAGAACAAATGTAACATCACTTTTGTAACTCGTATATATATTCCCTGTAAAAATTGTAATAGACTTCCTCGTGCAGCAATTTTAGCTCCTTCTTGATAGTGTCAGTGTGTGTATTCGACGTACGGAATGTGGTTCTTTCAAAAAGAGTAGAACTTTTTTTTGTGTCTGCAGCACAAAGCTATTACATGATTCGAGAAGGAGAGCATGTAAATATAGTTTTTATATATGTGATTTGATACTGTATTGCATTTTTCGCTATGTAGTTATCCTTGACCTCCTTTAGCTTTTCAATCTGCAAAGAGCACATTTATATTCACCGTAATCGAGCTGCAGCCTGACCCTGCCAACATAGTCCAAAATCCGTCAGTATAAGCATGCTCGATAATCGCACTGTTGACATATAAATGTTTTGAGTGCTTCGCGAGGCATAACATACAGGTCTGTCGGTAAGTATGTTCATTTCAATACGTTTAGGATATGGGTTTCCGCCCATTGTTAGAATGAATTTGTGAGTATTTTAGAAATTTGAGCTGGACAAGCTGGCAAAAGCGGCATCTCTCAATTTCTCGTCGCTAATGTACGGAGGACAAGGCCAAAGTCTTCACACGAGCCTCGGAGCGGAATATTCGATAGGCATCGCTGAAGCAGATGTCGAGAGGTGTGCGTAGTATATGTTTAGAGACTGAAATAGAACAGTCAAGCTATTATAGATCGCTGATGTGTGTGTGTGGAGGTTGTGCGCAAATGATCCATAGTCTATGCTTTAAAGTGGTGTCATGTGCAGGATAGTATAAGCGCCGCGGTTTTCCACTCCATCAAGAAGGTTATTGCGACTGAGCCTGCTACAATATAGATGTGGCTGATCAAAGCGAGTAGGTGATCCTGAGCGCGACATGTACATGAATCACGCGAGTCCTTTGACAGCTTGAACCTTTTAAGACGAAGACAACGTTCTTAGGGTTTCGTCTATAGATTGCTTTAGTGGTGGGAGGAGATTCATAGGAGCCGTGTGGACTAAATAATGGCAAGGGTATATATGAATATGCAGCTTGTAATTTGGCTTTAGCTTAGTGCTACATATATAGTATGAGTCACCCAAACAGGATTCAATCTGGCTAATAATGATTGTTGTTTGTTGGATGCAATTGATATGTAGGATAGTGATTCTGCATGTACAAGGTTTGTCGCTATGGCAACGAATCGGTATTGCAAAAGTGCACACTGATATGTACAAAATGATGTTAAAGTTGAGTAGATCGAGCATAAAATACGTTCTGCTATGTAAAACATAGCTTACAGTATATGAATCATAGAAGACACCATACATATAGGATTTGCAAACGAAAGGTAAAAGGGATATTACCATAGAGCATGCAAAAGAGACAAGCTTACATAGTGTGCGGTACAACAACAATATAATAGACCATAGACAATTTAGCAGATAATTCTAATCCATTAATAATAAACAGTTTATGAACGATAGCTGTGGTGGCTTTAACGTCCACGCATACAGAGGTAGCTCGATAGTGTTCGGTTGATTAAAAAGGGATTGTTAACTTTATGAAACCAGGCTTTGTACAGAATCCCGTGCTTTCTGTATATGTGCTGATGTAATCTGTGATAAAATTGTTAATGTAAACAATTGAAACCCATGTTTTTAAATGTGGTACGTAGGACGGCAAAACTGACCTGGCTACTTTGAACACTTTCACGCAAACTAACCATGGCAGCTTCCCGAAACAAATTATCCAAAGAGGCACCTTTAATTTTGAAAAGAGTATCAGAGTACTAGTTAATTGAATATGTCTCTTTTGTACAACAATGATAAACTTTGCAAATCCAACTTTTACCTGTCCATCGATCTGTTTCCGTGGCTAAATGAATTCGTTCCTCCTCGGTTAAAACAGTTGGCATTTTCGCACAGAGACCTTCGATAATGGCTAGTCGTTGCTTTTTGGTGTGATAGTAAACAAGACATTAGTTGCTTGGTGCAAAAGAACTATTAAACTGTATCTTCCTGCTGCAAGTCACCTTTTGGTTTGGTCGTTGGACGTGTATATGTTCATCGAAACGACCAGGGCGCAGGACAGCTGGATCAATTGCCTCAATCCGATTCGTAGCTATCAAAGGTAGTCGAGTGTAAGTGTATGAACGTTCCTAGTTCAGCACTCAGAAGCTATTCTGTAAATTACCTCCAACCACGAGTACATCGATTTGTACATTGTTCGTGTTACTTTTGGTCAATAATCCATCCATTGCTACAATAAAATAATGTACAAACTCGTTATAACAAACTATGGCGAAAAACAAGAGACCTTTCATCGTCAAACCTCGAGGTAGTAGTTTTGTTCCCTTTCTCACCTGTCAAAAAGGATGTAACAATACGATCGCTTGTGTTTTCTGAACTGGAACTTGTTCCTCGCTTTGGCAACAACATGTCGATTTGGTCAATAAATAGAATACACGGTGCATTGGCTCTTGCATGCGCAAACAGTTTGGCGAGATTGCTCTCAGATTCACCTACGACTTTGGATCGTACTTGAGAGCTCTATACATACCATGTAGTTTGTCCAAATTAGAGAAATCAGTACGTTGAACGCTTTTCATTTCTTGGCCTGCCCGTCCCTTCTCTCTCCCTGTGCCATGTGCAATAGTGTCGATTATAAGAACACGAACAATACCTCGACAAACATGAAATTGACACCTGTCTCTGACGCTAGAGCGCAACACAACATGGTTTTGCCACACCCTGGAGGGCCATAGACCATGATGCCTCGCGGTGGTGCAATGCCCAAGGCAGTGTATTTGTCTGGATTATGGAACGGGTAAATCACTGATGTTTTTATTTCTTGAATGATCGATTCGACGCCAAATAAGTCGGCAAAGCGAACGCGGGGTATCTAGTAGTAGCAGGGTGTCAGAAAAAAAACATAAGCCTTTTTGTATTGGGTGCATATGAAAAAAGACATCCTCTATGTATACCTTGGAAGCATATTCGCTCATATTTGAGGGTCGTACAACCCTGAGAGCATTTTCAAAATGCTCCGAGGAAGCAACATTGACTTTTTGATGAATCAGTTGTAACACGACCTGCGTGCACAGGCTTTGCAGATCGCTCGGGACAAATCCATGTGTTACTTGAGCAACTTGTCCGAGCACTAGGCTCCGATCCGTGTCCGATGCAAACGGTATTCCTGCATACTGTTTGTAAATATGAAGTCATTCTTTGATCCGTGATTCTATTCTTACGTTGTGCCATGATTTCCAGAATTTCACGTCGTGCCTGGGACGTTTTAATGACCACCTCGTGGACGTCATCAAGCCGGCCAGCGCGAAGAAAACTGCCATCCATCGCATGTAATCGACTAGTCAACCCTGTAATGATAAAACACCATGTTCAGTTTGCTTTGTCGACCCGCCCTCCCTTGGCCTCTCTTTTTGTTTGTATTTTTTACCAATAATGTAAATAAAAGGACAAAGTGGATGCTGATTCAGCCGATCCAGAATGGATAACAAAGTAGACGCTATCCGAACATCCAAGTCGCCCTTTTTGCCTTTCAATGATCCAGCCAGCAAGTCGATCTCATCCACAATAACAATACTGTTCTGTCTTATGTCATTGAATACGCGCAATAATTTGGATTCACTTGCGCCCTGTTCTAGTTATACAAAGTAAGATTAGTGTCAAGTTCACACTCTTTGCGAATGATTTGAAAAAGTATGCCCTTACCACTCATAAAGATGTCAGGTCCGTTCACCACGTGGTATGGTATTTTAGAGTATTCTGCACACACACATACACATAAAGATATACATAAAGCAGTTTCAGTGTGTTTGTACTCTGCTCAAGAAAAGGAGCATATCAAAAGTCTTATTTACTTGCAATGGCCATTGCCATGGCAGTTTTACCCGTGCCGGGTTTGCCATGCAACAAAATGCCTTTCGATCGTGGCAATAAGGATAAGGTGGTGGAATCGAGTGTTGTTGTTGTTGTTGATCGACTTTGTAAGAGTGTATGCCATTGCGTAGTAATGTGTTCAATAAGGTCACGACAACCGCCAATCTCGGCGATTACTGCATTGATCCACCAATCCATAACGCGATGATTCTGATCTACGACCTGGGCTGTTATTATGAATACACAGTATACACAGTAGAGCCTGCATAGCTTACTCGGATACGGTTTTCTATAACTCCGACGCGGGGGAAAATGGACGATCTGTCAAAAAAAATGCTATTAACCAGATATGGTGTCGCAAAGTCACTACTCACCTGAGATAGACAAGATAAAATGATAGATGCTACTATGCAAATAGTATGTCTGAGGACAGTCGCTTCATAACAAATGAATGTGTCGAACCTGCACACGTCCTGATTCGGCCAGCTGGGTTGCCACCAAGAACTGAAGTGATCATCTTCTAGAGTGGAAACACTGGCATCCGGTTGGTAGTAGGGTTGTATGTGATGCATGGGATATATAAGCAAGTACAGTACGTCGCAACAGATGGGCAGAAAGAAGGGCAGTAAGAGCAGAGCCACTCTCTAGCTATCTAGCTATCTTGTGTACCATATGGCATGTACTGTAATGATTTGGGATGTCAAATGTTTCGGAATAACAAAGCACAGGGAAATGACGTTTGGATGATGCCATAATTGTGATGATACTTTTTTTTTATTATTAGAATGGTTATTGATTTATGTAATGAAAATATATACAAGAGCGATTTATGTGCAGTAAAATGTTGTACAATCATACGTATAAAGAGAATTAATACATGTTGTGATGAAAGAGAACAGAGGATTAAAGCAAAGGAAGGATCAGTAGTGCATGAATACATAATGTGCTCTGGGAGTATGCGGTAGTTAAAGAGAAAGACTTTCTTTCTGCTGCTTTTTGGTTGTTGTTGTTGTTGTTGTTGGTAATAGTAATAAGTAGCAATGATCTTACACAGAAGTAAATCTAACTTCTCTTGGCACGACGTCTGCGCAAGGTTCCATTAGCGACTTTTTCCTGTCGCGTCACCCGTCGCGAGCGCATGTTCACATGGCGATTTCGATACGAGTCAACGGCACGCTGGATCAATCCACGGCGGCCACAGAGTTGATCTTGATTCAACCAGCAGAGTTTCCAGCCAAGCTGGTTACAACTGGTTTCGTATTCCCATCGATTGCCATCGTAATCGTCCTTGTCAACGTTGGCTCGAGGATAGATCTACGTAAGCAGTGTAACGTGTCAGTCTCATTCATTCTAGATGACTAGAATAGGCAAAGTAGCGGCGAATGGCATCATTATTTCACATACCGCATTCAATACTCGGAACTCCATAGGAATGTCATCCAGCGCACAGTTATCGACATCTGTTCGCACGGTATATTCTTTGACCAGACGATCGTGCGAATACAGAAATGTAATGTGCTCGACACCTTCGATAAAGTGGGCCACTGGCTCATGCGCTGAAAGTGAAACCACCGATGCCACCGATGGGTGAGACGAGTTTCGCCGACGATAGGGTCGAGTCGAAGGCGATGAACGTCGACGGCCACGGCCCGATTTGGCAGGACCACCAGCGTGTGTGTTGGGTTGTTGTTGCGGCTGAGGCGTCTGCTGCTGCTGTTGCTGTTGTTGCTGTTGTAGTGATAGCATTTGTTGTTGCTGCATTTGCTGCGGCGGATAACACATGGTTGGCATGCCAAAATCCAGGCTAGAGGAAGGTGGAGGCGAGGGTTCGGGAGGCATGCCACCAGATGCAGCGGCGGCGGCAGCAGCAGCCATGGCAGCAGCAGAAGATGTGTTCAACTGGAAACCAAACCACGATGGCAGTTGACCGGTTTGCATTGCTTGTGCGGGTGATTCCACAGGTGGCGTTGGTGGCAAAAACATGGAGGAAGAATCCTGTTGCTGTGGTGGTTGTTGAGTCGTATAGTCCAAAGGATGTTGCGGTTGCTGCTGCTGCTGCTGCTGTTGTTGTTGTTGTTGTTGAAATAAGATGTTGGAAGTGTACTGCTGCCATTGTTGTTGTTGCTGTTGCTGTTGCTTGTCAAACATCGGCGAGGTTGAGGCAGACGAAGTGGTCGTCGATGTGGGATGCATCAAATTCAAACACGAGGATGGGTCGAGAGGATCCAAGAGTTCAGCTGTTTGTGGCGGCGGTGTCTGGCCGAGATGGAACAGCGGCTGTTGCATCAGATCGATGGGCAAGTCTTGCGACGACGCTGTTGATGATGTGGTCGTGGTCGTGGTTGGTGTGGCAGAGGCAGCGACAGCAGCAGCTGCAGAGGACATGAACTCGGACCAAGCGTCTTTGACGGGTTCGGTTATCAATGCAGCAGTAGCGGTGGTAGCAGTGTGGTTGTGGTGGTGGCGATCGGTGGAGGTGGCAGTGGATGTTTGATGACCCATAGCCTGCGCAACGGCTACAGCGACGTCAAGAGGATCAGAGCTCGAATTGGGATCCATTTGGGGCAGAAATGAGTTTTTCTAGTGGGTGGCAAAAAGAGAGGAAGGAAAGAGCAAAAAACAAACAAACGAATGTTTGGAGAGGATGTTTGTTAGTCGATGAGAAACCTGGAACATCCGCTACTGCTTTAAGACAGTTCTGTCTTGTGAAACATTGCAGCACATAGCTGGACTGACACAGCTTGCTGTTGCTGTTGCTTTCGTTCGTTGCATGATTTTTCAGTCGCAGCTTCTTGTGGTGGGAAAACGATGGTTTTTACATGACGAAACAATTACTTCTGCTCGTTGCTGCTGCTCCTATTTCTGGGAAGAGACGTTGTTGGTAGGTGACAGCTGTGCTGCTAGTCTTGGTGTGGACTGCGACAGAGAGGATGGGCTCGGATGATTTTTACATTTTTGGCAGAGAGCGACTCGTCGGTCAAACACCGTCGGGTGTTCAGTGCACTCTGATCGGGGAGACATGCTCTGGTAACCGGGCGACAGGCTATGACGGCGACGATTTAGCCAAGGTGCACTATCATAGTAGCAGCAGTACCAGAGAAAATCGGCGAAGTTGCTAGAAAGAAGTGACGTATGCATCTCATGTTTATCACTTACGCAGTGATGATATCGACAACTGGTCAGTGCGAGCGTTAGCGTGTTTGTGCTTGTGATCACTGCCACATTCTTTGCACGTGCGTTCTTCAGTGCCGATCAATGATAGTGACGTTGCAACTCTCTATCTCTCATATTGCGGCAAAACTATACACCCGACGTCATCACACACTGATCGCTTGATGAGTGTAATATACGCCAAGTTTCACTTGATGACATGCTGCCTACAGCTCATGCATTAAAAAATAGGTCATGCTACACGTAGAAAAAAAAATTATTTCTTCGGAAACCCGACGTGCCGAGCTGATCCGATTCCATCATAGCATAGTCGTAACCAGACAACAGTTCTATTGTTGATAGCTGACAGTTACAGCGCAGCGGATCTTTGGATTCGGTTGACAAAGGCAACCTCCCTCGTACCACATCACCCGCTTACTCATTAAATAGAAGCAACAATTTGCATGCTTGCATGAAAGTATACTATTTTTTTTTATTCTTTACTGCTCGAGTCGTTCAAAACCTGGATTCTGCTTCAAGAATTGTGAGCACTTCTTCTTGAGCTGATTTTCCGTCAACTGATTCTGATTCAAATCCTCATCCCGAAACATGGCTCTGTAATCGTCACCATACTTGGTGATTAACCGTGCGACCCAATGTTGCTGGTACATGGATTGATATTTAACGTTTTTATGCGCATTCCGTGCCTGCTCTTCCAACTGTCGGACAACATCCGTCTTGGCCTCCACTGGCTCTGGCTCTTCTTCCAAAATCTCGTCGTGTGTCTTTTGTCGTCCCACAATGACCCGAATCACATTGCCCTCGTCGTCACGTTGGATGATACCTTCGCCTGGCTTTAGTGATTTTTCGAGTCTGGCGACATCTTCTTCGGTCAACTCTTTTTCCTCTTGTTCTTCTCCTTCCTCTTGGTCTTCGCTAGGATGTTCGGGCTTTGCGTCAGGATACAGTTTTTCGACACCTCCGGCTTTGCCGTTTAAGGACGTCATTAAGCCCAATCGTTTATAACTGTCATCCAAGTTTGTTTCTGTTAGTCACTCTCCCCTCTCAAGCAATAACTCAAAGTGGTCGGCTTACTTTTGGATCAAAGTTTGTTTCTTGTCCCAGTTATGTTTAATGATTGCATTGCCCTGTTATTGTTGTTTGTTACAAAGATTTAGATCTAAAGTTACGATCGATCGCATAGCGAAGATTTGCCGTTAAAAAGTTTTTTTTTCGGCAAGGAAGCGACCTACCTGAATATTGTATTTTTTACGTTTATCTGCTGTCCGTCGAGTGTTTTTGCTCCCGCTTTTTTGAGCCTTTCGTTTCTGTGGAGTGGCCATGACGGTTTATATATTAAATAAGTGTGTAGTCAATAAATAGAAAAAAAGAGAAAGGTCAAAGTAAGAAAAAAAAAAAGTTGATAGTGGGTGGCTTCGGAATTTTAAAGTCGTAGCTGCTCAACTTGCTGTCGTCGTTTCTTGTGTGCTGCTTGTATATATCCTTGCCAAATGCCCCGTTCACGATCGCCTCACCGTCGTGATAGCCGTGACCGAAGTTCGCTTCGCTATCGCGATCTCGACAATCCACGCTCTCGCTCACGCTCACCCTATCCATCTCGTTCACCACCTCGCCATCGAAGAAGACGTTCGCCATCACCTTCATCGTATCGCAGCAGCCGCCGTCGTTCTAGAAGCCGCGATCGAGACAGACGGAGAGCACGTAGTCCAAGAGGTATGCTCTTAAGATTCATTCCTTTTACCTTTAGAGTTCATTTTATTCTTTTTTTCTCTTCATTCATGCTCTTTCTCTTTTCCATCTAAAGGAAAACGCAAGGTACTGAAACATTTTCTTCTTTAATGTGCACCTAGATTATGACAGAGATCGGGAACGCTCAAGACATTATCGCTCACGAAGCCCGTCACCTTCACGTTCCTCTCGACGGTAAATATACGTCCATTGACCTTGCATATACGTCAAGTAAACGAAAAAGAAAGGCTAACAGTAAATATGGATCTATTTTCAAAAGCCGTCGTCGCGATGACTATGATGACCTGGAGAATGTGGATAGAAGACCACGTCGTTCGTCGCGGTCTCGTTCGCGGTCTCCATCTTCTTCACGACGACGTCGTAGACGCGACGACCAAGACAGCGAAAGAGAAGAAGGAGAGGATAATGATGACGGAAAGCGGGACCCAAGTGTAGAAATCAATGAAGACGACGACGACGAGACGAGAATGATGAAATTGATGGGATTCTCTGGATTCGAAACGACAAAGAACCAACATGTGCCAGGAACTGATGTATCCGGTGCAAGCGTCAAGAAGGCACTCAAGTATCGTCAATACATGAACCGTCGCGGTGGTTTCAACAGGTACTTATTTTCTTTTAATATCACAGAAGTGTCTTTTTTTCCCAATCATGCTCATTCTTTACCATAGACCATTGGATAATGTGTAAGGTCTTTCTCTTCTTTTTTCATTCTTCTTTGTGGCGAGAGAAAACAGATGAAAGATATAAGAATAATTATAAAAAAAAGAAGACATGTTGTTGATATATATAAAATGTTTTTGTACATGAAGAGGGGGAGAGAGACGACAGAATGTATATGCGTGTGATCAGAAGGAGGACAAGGAGAAAAGAAGAAAATGCCAGATTACAGTAAGAATTTAGTAAGAAAAGGGATGCTACAACTATCGAAAAGAGATTTAATCCATCATCACGTCAGAGTCGTAATCGTGCTGAATGTCGTCGCGAGGTGCTGAATGTACAATCTCACGTCGGATTTCTGGAGTGATTTCGGCATGGAACTTGTGCTTGACAACATCCAAAATGATTTCTTTCTGCTCAGGGATCATATCCTGCTTGTATCTATGAGACACACAACAGGTTACAGTAAGTTACCACGCTTGCAGGCCATGCCCTTCGTTTTGTATACTATACTACCTCTGTGTAAACACCAACAAGGACTGATGCCATAAGACGGGCATTTCTCGGGAATCGTTGCGGAACCGCTGGAAATGTTCGACGAGGCCATCAATCACCTTGTAGGGCAGGGCATACTTTTTGTCGAGCAAGATACGAATAAACAGACTGTTGGGACCCGTGTAGTCCATCTGAACCAACCGCAACAAAGCAGCCGACGAGTGCAAGACAGCAATCGACACCTTGGACAAGACACTGCCGACAATGGCGGCCTCCTTCAGCGTACATGTGCCAGTCTCGCAGAGCGGGAACAAGAAGCCCTTGAAGAATGGTGCAGGCTTGTAAAGGGCCTTTTTCATGGCCATGTACAAGTGATAGTTGAGCTTTTTGTTTTCCTGGATATCATCACGAACGCGATCGAGCAACACCAAGCTCAAGAATCGTTGCACCTGCTCCTGCTTCAAGTTGGAAACAAACATGCGCGTGGCTTCGTATGTGGCGTGTGGGCTCCAGCTTTCAGGTCGTGTCAGATACAATATTTCTTCCCAGTTGCCGAGCGATGGGATGATCTTGAACGCCTTGGGCAATTTGCCAGACTTGTATCGACTCAACAGTTGACCCACCCTGACATGATCGAAAACACACGTTCCCATTTAGCATACTCTTCTTCCCTCGTCATTTCCATCCTTCTTCATCTCTAATCTTACTTTGTATAAACCTCGACCACCTTGGGATTCATTTCAGGCATAGCCTCCTCACCACCTTCACAACCTTCTCCTTGAGCATCCATGGCATTCTTTTCATTGATCTTCTCCATAATCAAATCCGCCAACGTTTTCTTTTGAAGTGGTGCTGTGGGTAAAAATTGCTGCAACACATCTGCATCCTCTTCCTCGATCTCTAGTTCCTCGTATTCGCCATATTTGTCGACATCATCCAAATCTTCGTCGTCGCTTGGATCAAATCCAAGTGGAAATTGTGGTGCTGCAGTAGTAGCTGAGGAAGGTTTGCCTTCAATTTGTTCTTGTTGCTCTCGTGCCATCTTTAAAACTCTTTTTGACATTTTCGAATCCAAGTATTCCTGTTTTTTTTGAGCAAATTCTCGTTAGATTCACAAGCCTGTAATGAAAGTATATTGGAATGTCGAATGTTGAAAAGCTATAATTTGCTCTTTTAACTGTGAATTATATACCTCTTCGACTTCTTCTTGTCCGTTCCTGTCAACAAACTTTTGCCGAACGGCTTTACGGCGAATTCCCTGATCGGGTGTGTCGACCAATTCAGCATGAAGAGGGTCATGTCGCTGTGCTCGTCCGGAAGAACGCTTATCTTTGCCCATGGTTAATGTAAGAGAGAAGGTGAGGGGCGGGAATCGAGTGTTCGACCAACAAACCTAAGCCACGATAATCGAGCAAGTCGGTCGGCTTCAAAAAAAAAAGTTGGGAACGGAAATCCTTGCATTTTTTTTCCACTGCTTAGAACATGCTAGGGAAGGCGTTTCAAAAATTTCACGGATGAGTTTCACTGTCCGACATACGCATGCCGAGTATTTTCGTATGAAAAAGAAGGAAAAGAACTTACACGTTTTTAAGCAACGGGGCTCGCCCTCTCCGAAAAGAAGGCTTCCCGAAACCTGCGCCGGCATGCCGACGGTGCGTCCCACAACATATGAGAAAGACTCTGCCGAAACATCGTCAATCCCATACTCGTTGCACGAATTCAGCCGAAGCTTCATCGAACGTGCGATATAACACTGGAAAGCAAGCAACATAAATGCCCTTTGCTCGGGCGTTGTGCTCCCAGTAGTAGCCTGACAAAAACAAAGGAGCGAGCCTAAAAGGCCCGCCCCTTTGGGCAACAGAAAGGAAAGAAATTAAGGCAGTTAGCAGTCTTGCTAGACAGACAACGTACATTAAGACGAGACACACACACCAAATTAACTGATGAAATGATGTACTGTACTTACAGTAATAAAGCAGCGATCACACTGTGCAACCATCCTTGTTCTTTCATCCTTCATTGGGCCATGCCTTCAACTTGACAGCACGAGAAGCAACAAGAAGCGAGATGGACTTGTTGACCACGAGAAACAGCAGCTTGAGCAACAGGATGACGGCAACTAGCTTGTCCCTAGACACAGGAGAAGGCCTGGCTTGCTTGAGAACAAAGATGGAGTGATTTCAACCACTGTCTGTGATGGATGGATGGATGGATGGTGGATACATCTTGAGCATAGTAGGTAAACTTCTTTGACAAGTTTCTCAGGCCGGGAGTAGCACAGTGGTGGAAACTAGTGACAGCCAAGAGACTCAGTAGCAGCAGCAGCAGAGGCAGTGGTGTGAGGTGTCTTGATTATTACACGAGTGATGACATGATAGGTCTGAACGGTGGACACAGCAGAGACGAATGGCAACACGAAATCAACGGATGGCTCTTTTCCTAACCTTGTACGCCTTGTCCTTGCTGCCATAAGTTTCAATATACAAGTCAAAAAAGAAAAGAGAAAGGTGTAAGCGGCTAGCATATATACCTCAGCAATCATCATGCCCACATCCAGTATACCCCATCATCCCAAAGAAAATAGAATGCCGTACATTTTTTAATACTCACACTACTAACCGAGTAAGAGAAATATCGTAATGTGTGCCCTATGAAACATCCGTGGTGACGATGAGTATCAATCATCCTATGGCGCAGTCCCCAGCATTTGTCCTATCCATTTGCATCTTTCTTCATCTGTCCGAGCAACCCTTTGACTGTAATAATACTTACGTTGACCTTGTTACACTGACAGCACGCGGAAGGAGATAATGATACTTGTTCAGAGGGAGATATATGAAAAATGCTAATTTTACACAAATGCCAACTGTGATTAGCCACTCTTTTTAAAACCATTTACACACGGTCATTTCACAATTACCTAGCCCATTGCCCAATTGCCAAACATAAAACTTACGATCCTTCTCTTCTGAGATCTTGGAGAACCAGCTTGCATATTGCGACGAGGATCCTTCTTGTGTAGCACAAAGCGGAGATGGTCATCTATCACAAGGATGTCGTAAAAGGTTAATAGAGGGAATTGAAGGCGACGATGATTGTGGAAACAACGTATGTACACCATTTGTTGTATAGAAGAAACAACATCACATACCATTCATAATAAAAACAGAACCTTGGCGCAGCCGCAGCAGGAGGAAAGCATGGCCGTGCTTCTTGGATGAACAATCGCACGGGTATGCCTATTGAGTGGCAATACTGTATTGATGGAAGACAATAAAGAAAAAGAGAGAAAATTTTCAGAGAAAAAAATACGCAGTGTCGTATATATACGTCTACGTTCGAATGACCCAAAAGAAGGGGCGATAATCGCTTGACAGTTTTCACGAGCAAGATGCGTAGGAATTGCCAAAAGAGCCGTCAAGTTCTTTGCTCTTTCATTATGGATATTCCCCATCTAAGCTGTGGCGATATTGGTACCATTTTCTAGCCACGGTCTTGTAGTTCACTGTTGTATGTTTTATTTCAGATAAGAGGCCTTGTCGTGTTTGCAAAGTAGAGTAAAAGCAAACAAGTGCCATGGTCTGATCGGAACAAGTCACTTCATAGTGTGTTGCTTTTCATGCAGTCTGGATCGGTTTCAGCTAGCCAAATAAGGAGATGCTGACAACAGTGATCATGTACGTATCTGCCTAAGGCGTTTATGAGAATTCACGCAGACCAAAACCGGATAATTATGTAGCCGAATCAAAAAACGTAACATTTAAGTCGAGATCTCGGTTAATTAGTTTGCCGAGAAGAATATGAGCAGTCATTTGTTACATAATTACGCAAGGCACAAAGCACTTACCAATAGATCGCTCACTCAATTATATTATGCACAAAATAAAAACAACTTCAAAATAAATTTGTATATAAACCAAGCAGAACAATATAATTTAGAACAGAATTGATAAAAAGAAAGAAGAAGGTACAGATAAGAAGAAAGAAGAAGTATATAAAAGAGAGGAAGAAAGAAAAACAGGAAAGAAAGCTAAACATGTCGCACATCTTCGTTTGCTGGGCCACGGCGGTTGCTGTGTTGTACGCGGTGAGTGCGCTCTGTCAAAGTATTGTCTAAATATCTATCAATATCGTGTTGTTGAGCTTCATAGCGCGCCAACTGAAGTGGCCGAAGACTTTCCCTGTATTCTTCGTCTAACTGCAGCAGATTCTCTTCCCGTAGACGGATCTGTGCGCGTAGTTCGCGGATGGCTGTCTCATCCTCACGGTTGAGCCGTCGAAGCAAACGCATGCGGTTTTCCATACGGATTTGCGCTGCTTCGTTATCAATGATGACATGGCGGGGTGGTGAGATAGATGGCGGTGGTGACGAGAAAGTACGATTACCGGTTGCTTGCTGCTCTTCATCGTCGTCGTCGTCAATCAGAAACGGACCGGTAACCATACCAGCAGGTGTAGGTGTTGATGAGGTCATTGGTGTGGGCAAAGAAGTGGCAGTGGCCGTGGTGGTGCTTAGGTCGAGGGAAGAATGACGAGGGAGTAACATACCACGGAAGGGGTTTTCTTGAGGCTGTTCAATAAATAGAAGAGAAAGAAATAAGCTTACCCTGACCAAGATTTGCGCTCCTAAAGACTATCTACAATCTATGTATTTGATGTTTACCGGTAGTATTCTGATGAAAGGAGGTCTACATGTTCTGGCAACGTATTTTTCGCGTTGGGCAATTTGCCGATTATGAAAAGCACGCACAATGTGTTTACATACCAAGTATGATGTACTTTTAACAAACGACGGACAACTGTATGTCCAGCGTTGCACCGATGTATACCATGTGCCTTGAACCAGGTTTGGGCTTATGTAGTTTGCACGAAGAAATGCCGCGTTCCATTCTTGGATAAATCCTTTCTCCCAGCGTGTCAGGTTTTGACGAAGCACGATCTCGGTATTGAAATGGTCAATTAGCTTTGGTATATAGCTATGTATAATGACGAATACCAAGAGATCCAATCTAGCACGGTTGTACGTATACATATGATTACGCTTAAGCACTTTCCAGTGTGCTTCGACAAGCATGGTTATTCTTGACAGTGGGATGCGATCAGGGACAGAGCTAGCTGCCCATGTTATCCACTTGTCAAGCTGGTAATATCGGCGAAACATATAAGCCCATGCATGATGCAGATTATGCATAACACAGTAGTCGTACATCTCCTGGGCGCATTGTTGCCATATATCGTTAGGATTAGCAAATACTGTCCCTATTATATATAAAACCAAGCAAAAGAATGACAGAAACAGGTGTATAAGTATATCAATGAGTGTTTATACATCTACCTAATATCTCTGCACCACGTGTTATGAATACCTTCAGCCGTCATCGGATGACGGCTGTAGTGCCTGCCCACCATCTTCAGCATCTCCTCTCTTCTTGGTTTATCACACATAATGCGATTCAAATCAGTGGTGGCGGACGGTGTGAATTGACGCGAGACAAACGGGAATTGGACCATCGCTTCTTGGACGTCATAGTAAGTGGATGTGGCATTTCTTCTAGAGGAAAGTTTCCTTTCCATAGAATGCTCTATATGCCAAAGACATTGACGTAGACAACGACGACTATCCCATGTCGCCTGGATCGCACTAAGTTGCGCAGCATCACCATCACTAAACATGAACTCTGGTTCTAGTCCCCTTTCTTTGAGCTCTCCCAAAAACCGCTCCAAGGTTTGTGTTTTTGGATGCTCGATTGTGGCGTCTGCATTGCTTGTGTCACAAAGCATATATGCAACAGGGAATCCAGCACCATTCACATTGGCAATGACACCATATAGCTCCATACCAGCACGATTTGTCTTAAAAGTGGAGTCGATATGGTACTCTTCCACATGAACACAACCAGCCAAAGGGGCAAAAAAAGGAGTGACGAAACCCACAGCAACAATACCATCAGCAGTGTCAGAATAAATCTATTTTTTATTCATACAATAAGGCAAAAACACTACGTTTTTCTAATAATCTACTAGAGCAAAAACAGGTCTACAGAAGGTGAGTTCTGTTTTCTGTATTAATCTACTTACCTCCGTATATCCTTGATTTGTATACTGCTGTATCAAGAGCTGGGCGGAAACAAACTGGTCATCGTCTAGCATATACCGCGTACGGAACGTCTAGCCCCACCAGTAGTACACTTGTGCCGCCGTTGCTGCATGATAGCCCCATTCATCGATGATATCATTATGAATATCTGGCGCTGAACGAGTCATTGCACGTGCTGCAATGAAGTCAAGCACCTCACGCGACACACCTTCCGGGCGTAAAGCTGGAGCGGCTGCATGTTGCGATGGATGGCGAACAGTAAGCTCGATCGCTCCTAGATCCCGATCGATCACACCGTGCACAAATCCTTGACAAATGAATGTTTCCATCCGTTGGATGACACGCTGGCGCTCTCGAACAGGGATCTAACATATAAAATTAATCCGATTTCAACGAAACTGCACGCAAACACTTTGCCTATCTGTTCCTTTTTATCGAATGCCTTTTTTGACCGGTTGATTAGCTTACCTGATTTTGTATAGCTACAGATTAAACGCATCTTGCGGTGAATGGCTTCACGAAGTGCTGGGTCGCCAGTGTTCATCACATAATATCTGTAGTTGTCACAGAGCTGCACTGCTTCCAACACACGTGTAATTATACGCTGATCTGACCATGTGCGCATTTCATCCTCGTAAACGATGTAGCCCGAAAAAGAGAAGAC